ATAGCCCAGGGTATATAGCAGGATACAATCCTGGACGATCATATAGCTCATGTACGAATCATATTCAGTATGTTCATGGTCCCGACGTGACATATCTTCAAGCTGAAGAACTTTGAAGAATCGGCTAAATAGTACGGCAGTGATACCGTATGACTAGATACAAGGATAGTCTCTTATCTTGAGCCTTGCCTTGTGGTTATCGCGGCACATTATTTATTGATCATTCTGACTGTCAAGATTACTCAGACGAGACCGTAGCTTAATATACTATGTATGAAGACGAAGTGTTAACTTTCACGACAAGAGAAGACAATAATAGTATGCACCTGCATACTATTACAGGTAACTAATGTACTCGATCGAGCGCAAGATCTGAAGATAAGTTAATGTTAAGTTGACTAACTTAGTTTAGTTGAACTTAACGACACGACCGGAATATTGTATTATATAATCAAATGAGTAAGTAAGACGCGATACCGCACTAGGACACATCGGAACGAGCTGAAAGATACCGCAAACAGTCTTTTGGTCCCGTCAGATTGTCATACTTACCCCAGCTAACTTATCATAGTTAGTATTATCTAGTTACCCCACAACATTCGTGGCCTTCACATGTAACGTAACTACTCCGCAGTGGTCACACAGATAGAAGGATGATGACTGAACTAATGCATGGCGCAGAGAGTTAAACAGACCGGTGCAGTAGGCCCACTTATCGTCGTCCCGTCCCGTCTCGTCCCGTCTCGTCCTGTCCCGTCCTGTCTCGTCCTGTCCTGTCTCGTCCTGTCCTGTCTCGTCTCGTCCTGCCTGAGAGTGAACCAGTCAAAAACGCTGCCATGCATTGCAAGACGACCTTGCCAACCGTACTCAGCCGTTCCGCATAAGGGAATATAAATAGGCCATTACTTCTCAAGGAAACCAGGTATCTTTTCATAGCCTCTACACTCAAGATATCTGTCCTAATCGAAACTCCATATTCTCAAAGTACATCTGTGATCTTACCCCCTTTACTCTCCCGCTTTTTCTTTAATCGCAAGACATGTCTGCTAGCGAAGTTCCGGTCTTAGTTAACTCCTGCGAGTGGAGAACCCTGAAGCGACCAGATGGGTCCACATATCGAGCCAAACTTTCTGACTGTGGTCAGACCACTTGCAAGTGGTCCTCCAGTTATGTTCCCCCTCAGCAGCAGTAGGAAGGTCAGTGACAAGCCAGGCCCTTTAGTTGCTATTCAGCTTCTAATCATTCCTTGAAGCTTGCGTTCCTACTTCGGCCTATGGCTGTTTTTGTGGAGCAATATATCCGGTTTTTGAACGTGCAATTGTCGACAGTTAATCGGAATACTTCTGGATAGGCGTCCTTCGTTGGGAGTCAACGGTCAACTCCACGACGTTGATTTGGTGTGCTTTAGGGATGGTATTCTAGAGCTGCTAGCAAAATACTTATTTACATATGGTCATGTTGTATCAGGGCAGCCTAAGAAAGAAGTTGTGGAAGATATAGCCCAGGAAGCTCATTGTACCTATATTCTAGGATAACTCAGCCACATATTTCTTAACTCTGATATGACCGCTCCTGCCATGATATTTACGACGTACTAGTAGTTCCCAAACAAACTGGATTCGCCCCACTCATTGGTGTCGTAGAGTGGCGACAGTTCCCTAGGATAACCTCTCATTGGCTTGCTCCATCGCATGATCACACGCCTAACCCTCGGGTCGTATGGCCGAGTTCTCGTTTTTTTTGTTATTTGAAAGGCGCCAATTCGAGACGCGCGAGGAGTAGTCTTTTTTTAGTACGTTTTAGCGTGTTTTGAGGCCTCATTGATTGGCATTGGTCGGTTAGCCCTTACAAGTTACTGCCTCAGTTTACTGCGGGTTTTTTGGATTCGGGCCGCAAATGTGACCAACCAGAGGCCTTGAAATGCAAAAACACGCTAAAACGTACTGAAAATGACCACTCCCCAGCGAAGGGGATAGTTGGCTTTATAGCTCGAGGAGACAATACGCTCATTGGCTAACTCGTATAAAAGTTTGACCGAATCCGAGGACACATCTTCTAGCGTATGATTCCAAAAATAGTTTAGCGTCGATTGGTGTCAAAGCTATATCCTCGCCTCCAAGCGAGGATTCTCCCTTTTCTCACACATATACGGTCATCCTCACGTTTTCACCTTGAGTACGAGTTTCTAGAGGTAACGCAGTACTTCCGTCGTCAGTAGACTTGCTGACATTTAAACAGATTATGGAGATTTGCGAGCAGTCCGAGATATTCGTCGAAGAAGGCGATGACTATGTCTTTGATCACACAAAATTCATTCTCCAAGAGAAAGAGAAAGGCAGTTACTTTTACTCCGAAACTAAGGATCGTCTTTATCCTTCGGTCCCAATTGACATCAATAAGTTACGGCCAATACCTATGCGAGATTTTTGGCCGCCCTTTGACCGATCCTTAACGCGAGCCCCAGATCCGCTACCTGGGAATCATTATATAAAGCGACCAAGTCTTTTGTACTACAGGGATGGGCAAGCCCAAGATCTCAGCAATCAGATTCTTGACGAAGCAAAAGTATGCGAGATTCTACGGAATAACCCACATCCCAATATCGCCGAATATTTGGGATGCATTGAGAAAAATGGTAGAATAAAAGGCCTATGCTTTGTTAAATACTCGATGGATCTCATACAGAGGGTGGAGACCGGGAGACCTCTCGATTCGGATTACTACCTCCAAAGCATTGAGAGTGGAATACGCCACTTGCACGCATTGGGCCTCATTCACAATGATATTAACCCAAGAAATATTATGGTCGGTGAAGATGATAGACCTATTATCATTGATTTTGATTCATGCAAACAAGAGGGAGAAGAACTTGGGAAATCGGGCACTCCTGGGTGGGCAATCGAAAACGCACAACACGCTAGACAGGAGAACGATTTTTTCAGCTTTTGCATGATTAAGAAGTACCTATTGGACAATTGTACCTAGAATATGAATGGTGGTATTTGGTTATGACCGATTATTCCAGGCACCATTGTGGACGTCTGTTGAGAGTCTTGAATGCTCCGAAATTCCAAGTAGTCACCTGATACCTTCCTCCAATGATTGAATCCAGCCATCGCAATCTTAGCAAGTCATTCGAGATTGGTGGGTAGCAGTTAATCCTGGAGATCTGAGATCTTCGACAGTTGGATGAGAACACGTCTTGCTCTTTGTTTGCGTAGGATTTTCGATATCAGCTGTAGAACAGGATGGGGACAGAATATGCAGTGAGACCAAGTACATGTAGAGCCTCCGAGGGTGTCTACAAAGGCAAGAGAACTTTAGGTGTAAGAGGATTTTTCGCAAAAAAAATTGTGCGAGAAATCCTCACCCGCAAATGGCTCCCCATGGATCCAAAAATGGTTCTTCACCCAAACGAAATGTGCTCAAGAAGGTAGCGCTGACGGAATCGGAGCGTTTGTTTGGGCTTTTATCCCAGACCCTGGTGACTCGTTTCCGTTTTTCTTAATCCCGGTGATTTGATATCAACATAAACAATGAGCTCTTTGGTCTGCTTGTCTAAAAGGTGTCAGCATAATTCAATTTATACTTGGGTACGACTCACGACTGCGTTTACGAATCACAAATATGTATTCGTCTAATTCATCGACGTCCGGCACTGGGGTGGAATTGATGATCTTATATTCATACTTCGCGGAATCCCATCTATATGTGGTTAGCGACGCTCACGATATACTTTCGTCCTTTCGTCGACATACACTTCGTTGACGGTCTTGTACTCCACCTTTGACGCACGAATTCTCGCTCCATCATTGCCTTGTTCTTCGGGCTTCTCGTTGCTGCTAGAATCCTTGCCATCCGAGGTAGGTTGTGCGCTTTGAATTCCCAGCACTTCCGCAAACAACCATTTCAGCTCTTCTTTAGTGATGAAATTCGAAGGGGCCACGTGTGGACTATTAGGCGGCGTCGTAGCTTCCACAGATCTAGCGTCGAGCCCTGTCCGGGAGAACCGATATAATTCTTGTGGGCAGTCGTCGATTTCTGTTGCGGCGTCCCAAGGTTGGGAATTCCCGTACGTGTCTGACTGGCCATTCTGTGCGAGCTGCGAGAAGCGCTGTAGCAGACGTTGAGTGCCAGCGGAGAAAGTAATTGAGAACATCACGGGGAGGCAAATACTTACCATGTGTCGTATTGTCATCCATGACAGGCTTTTCAATGGAATGTCACTAGTGACGATTTTCAAGCCACCATGGATGTCTAGCTGAGATCGCATAATCCTATCAAATATGTCGATCACAAAATGCCTACGGTGAATAGCGCTCCACAGTTCGTCGACACCGAGCCGGGCCATACCGCGAACGGAGCGTCAACTCTGTTGCAGATTGGGAAGGACGATCCTCATGTTGTTGACAACTTGAATGTGGCGACGATGGGAGTGTGATATTTCGATCAGTCACATCATGTGAAGGTGTAACGGACGGCCTCGAGGTCGAATTCTTGATATACTTGGAGTATCGGAACTGCAGCGCGCCCTCCGTCCGATTGGGGAAGTGCTTCAGGATTTGCGACCAGGACAGGTTGTCCTTTTCTTTCAGCAGCTTCAAGCGAGCGTCTTCCTCGACGGTCCACGCCTTCTTGCGCCTGCGTTTTCCCCCACAGCCTGGCTTTCGACTGTTCAAGCGACTATTCGGTTGGTTGTCATCTATATTTTCGGTGGCCTCATCTTCGACATCTTTCGAAGAAGTATCGAGGTCCCAACCCTGTATGCCATTCATTTCGCTTCGACCGTCTCCTTTGCTAAGCGTGTTATCATCATTAGGTGGACAGTCATCAGAGCACCCTCTGTCCTCCGCCCACGAGAAGGAATACATAATCTGTGACGGAAAGAACTCGCAGGTCAGGACACCTCGCTGAACAGTCCTCAAGTCTGGAAGTGATAAACCTCCTAGCTGGAACCCGACAGCAGCTCCCACATCAGAGCGATCACTGTTTGTGACGGGGAGCTGTCTCGGTTTTTTCGTGGGACGGTACCGGTCATCGACTTGCGGTGTTTGTTCAACGTAATCATCATCGTCCGGGTCGTCAGAATCGTCCTCTTCGTCGAATGGAGCCGTTCTGGATGTCTGCCTCTTAGGACGCCTGCGATAAGGGCGTTTAGCTGATCTTTTTGCGTGTGGCTTCGGAGGCCGCGCTGCAGGTATGACGACCGTGACTGTATTGTTCTCACCCAGACAGTCTCCATTTTGTTCACCACGCGATGATAGTGACGGGTCTTGGGAACAGCCGAGGGCTGTGTTAGTGGTTGAATGTTCGCCCCCAAGTGAACTTGGAATATCCTCGTTATCTTCGCTGTTCCGCACCACTAGACTCGTTTCCCGGCTTTCACTGAGAATCATGTCCGATGGAGAAGAATCCGGGTCAGGAGTCCGTTTTTCACCGAGAACGCCCTGGTTCTTGACGCTCTCTGTGATGAGGGTAATATTGGGCGACATTGTCAGATTTGGGGCCGCACTACTCGCATGCAGCAAATCCATGTCGTCGAGATGTGCGGTATCAGCTGGAATGGCCGTTCCGCTCCGTGAATCAGAACCTTTGCGAATCGATTAGCGTACGTACTCGTGAAGAAAGACTTCAATAACCGAAATAGTTGACTTACTCAGCGCAGCATGCATAGTATTCGATTCTAAGCCATTGATCCGCTCTGTCGTCTCCTGGTACGCCGAGCAAGACCGCTCGTGCTCCAGGAATCCCGCTGATATGCCGGGACTGGCTTCGCCATTATGGCTCACATGTTGCTGATTATCACTTCGAATACCTAGACAGTGTCCTCGATACGTCAGCATTCCATTGGCATTCGCTAGGCAGATAGAACTCTAAATCTAGCCGTACTTACCAGGCGGTTGTTTGCGGAGATTATCTTCAAGGCCCTTGCTACCACTGCGACATTGTGGCTGCTGGCCTGTATTCTCCGTGGCTGCGCTCACAATTGCAGTGGCCTCGACTGCCATATCATTCCAGGCTGCCAGCTCACTATCGAAAACATTTTGGTATGAAGGAACTTCAGCCCTCGACTCTTGATCGATTGGGCTGGAAATGGGATGGGATCTGGACTGATGCAATAATTGACTAGGGTCCGAGGGTGACTGGTGTCGGGAATGGGGCTTTTGTGGTAGCGGATGGATTAATGGGGGCAATTGTGACAGTGGTGCTATGATTTTGGAGGGTATGGAGGGTTTGGGAGGTAGGGGAGGTTGATATGGGATAATCTCGTCCAACGTGATCTTCATTGCAACAGGACACAAGATGAAAGGATATGAGAGGGGAGGAGAATAAAGCGAGGTAGAGGAAAGAACGAAAAATGAGAACGAGTGAATCCTGTGAGCTTTTTCGAGGAAAAGCGCCCAAGCACACCCATTTTAGTACTGCATCATCACCTGGCTAACGAGTCCACTCTGGCAGGATAGCCGAACATGGAAATGCCGAATGTATCGGAACTCTCAAGCATTTCTACGAGAGCTACCTTGACGTGTCCCACAATATCCAAGTCCAGCCGTCCCTGATGCGCGATTTTCCTGATTGGCAGCACGGCCTTGGAATTGATGGCTGTCGCTGCCGTGGGATGACTCCTGCATGCCACCGTCACATCAGACGAGGCCTCTGACCCTCACGCCAGAGAAAGGAGGTGAAACCCAACCTATGAAGTGCATCCATCGGTCACAGCTGACCTGCGATGTCTCCATCGGACAATCACCTGGAAGTACGGTGAGTTTTCCATTGGCCGCATCTACCCTCCGTTGCCTGGATTCAACCTTGTTGTGAGGCATTTTGGGGCAGTGCTATCGTGTCGGACAGCCACTCCTCACTTCCGAACTAGTCGAGATGATGCGGCACGCCCCCTGTGGCGGTCACTGTTGGAGCTGGATGCACAGCATCGGACATCTCCGGCCTCATCCTTCGCTATTTACCTCTGACTGATTGGTGGCGGATTCGCGACGGATCGCCAATCGCCAACTGCTGCCTAGGAATGCGAGGGCTTAGGCCGCATTCAGTTCTCGCATCTGTCACTGCTTCACCATCAGCCCCTGACGCTGCAGGAAAAAATACTCAACAGGTGAGCAATCGGACAATCCGCCTCGCTGGACTAGAGCACCTGGCTGCAATGGAGTGGAGCCGGGAGAAAGACTCAAATTTCAGCTGGCAACACTGGTTTTGCGCTAATTGCGGCCTAGGCATCGTCCTTGTTGTGTTTGTTCGAGTGAAAGGAAATTACACAAGGAGAACGGCCGTGGTCGTCGAGCGACGCACCTGCGGTTTATATACTGCTCGCGACCCACCCGTCACCAGCGCTAGACCGCAAACGGGCACGCTAAACCGGAAGGAGGCCGTTTTTAGCGTCGCCGGGAACGCTAAACCCGATCGGGGGGACGCGTCGCGGACGCGCGAATCAGCGTCGCTCCCACAAATGCTGATACTACTAATAAATGATTAGTATAGAGTAATAAATATTATATAATATATACTCAGATTTCTTAAAATCTATTAAAACTATACATATGAGTCTAAATATTTATAAATGTAATATAATATCATTAATATGATATAATTTACTATACATAAAGGTTTCTGTCCGTTCTATAGTAAGATCTCTAATTAACTATACGATGAGATTAATTAATTATATAGCAAGATCCCTGATTAACTTCGCAGAGATACTTAATTGACTGTGTAGTGCACTGGATCTCTAGTTGACTCACTGCACAGCGAGACCCCCTAATTTACTGTTATAGTGAGCTTCTTTACTAAAAAGAAATGCCGTGGCAGCCGTGGAGAAAAGTAAAATTACAATTTTGACCATGAGATGTTACAGACTACTGTAGGTTGGGCTGTCCTGTGCTTTCAGTGGGCTACTAGTGCTAAGTTAAACCCTGACGCGAAGCCTAGGCATGGATAATTCGCCATGTATGTGATGCTTTTGTCCTATCCATTACGGTAGGGGCCCACTCATGAATAAAAAATCTAAACGAGGAAAAGGCAAAATATCCAGACGGTCTGCGAAAACTCGTGAAAGTAATCCTGCTTGGTACCATTTCGAAATGAAACATTGCAAAAACATAGTTACAGGTTTTCCGGTTTCGAAAACTCTAAGTCTCGGCGATAAAAAAATGCTCCGCTCAGTCAAGTGATGGCGCGTCCAGGTTCGCCTGAAGCTGAAGCAGGTTCGAGTGTGTAAGATTCCAATTTGCGGGGAGCCTTTTTGGCGCGAACAAGCCTGGTTTCCTAAGCCCGCTGCTGAAGGCTAACTTTAGCTATGCATTTCCAGTTTGAATGCCCACGCTTTCAATCAGAAGGCATAGCTTATATATTTACCAGGTAGTCCCGACGAAATGGTGGAATTGCTTTTGAGCATTATCCAAAACAAATAACTTTTTGTCAGGCAGAGAACAGTCAAGTTTCACCAAGCAGGATGGATGACATTCAAATGCCTTCAGTTGAAGACAAGTCTAGCGTATCCATTATCGAATATGTCCCGGTTATTGATTCTGGATGTTATGAGAAATCGGTAATAAAGGCCGTCCTCAAAAACCCTCGGGCAATGATAATGAGTAGGTCACCACCTTATTCTGCAGATGAGCATTACCGCTCTTGACGGAAAAATCCATGTCAAACCGCTTGCTCATCTTTGGTCTGTCAGGTATATACACGTTGTATGCTTGCATTGGTGCCGGATATGAGGCTCTAGCTGCTTCTGTACGTATATGCCCATTTAGGATAGAGAATTTCTTGATCTCTTTCTTTCTAACCTATTTTGCTTGCTTTAGGTCGTCCTTGGCATTGGCGAGTTTCGGAAAAATTACGGCGAACCCTTCGAAGGTGGTTATGTTATGCCTGCCAGCTGGCAGCTGGCATTCACGGCAGCTGCTCAGATCGGCATAGTATTTGGCGGATTGCTCACTGGACCTTTAATCCATAGATTTGGAAGACAACTTGGCATCGGTCTTGCTGAAAGTAAGTGATTAAAAATAGGCCTTTAGTCATATTTCTGCTAGCATTTCTGACACAGCCGGCTCCTCAGTCATTGTGATTGCTGGAGTGCTCCTCCAGTGGTTCTCCAACGGGAATCGTGCTTTGTTCTTTGTAGGAAAACTGATTGTGGGTTGTCCCATTGGTATCTTCTCGGTCCTTGTCCCCGGGTATTGTTCCGAAGTGACGCCAATCGCTCTCAGGGGGGCAGTTACGGCTACCGTGAATTGGAGTATTGGTTTTGGCCAGCTTCTAGCATACATCGTCATGACCCAAACGATAAATATCCAAGGACCCAATGCGTACAAAATCTTATTCGCCGTGCAATGGATGTTTGCAGGTATTGGCTTACTATTACTGCCGTTCTTCCTTGAATCACCTTACCACCTCGTTGCAAAAAACAAAATTGAAGAGGCACGGTCTGTTATCAAAAAGTTGTACAGCAAAGATATGAATGCGGAACACTATCTCGAAGAGATAAGGATGACTCTGGCTCAGAGACAAGTTGAAAACTCTCAGCAACTGGGTTACAAACACTGCTTCACCAAAGAGAACCGTATGCGCACGCTTGTAGCATGCAGTACGTTTTTCATTCAAGCTAATAGTGGCATTATTTGGGTTGGTGGATACGTCACATATTTCTTAGAGCTAGCAGGCATGCCTTCTGGTCTCTCGGCAAATGTTTCCACTGGCATGCTCGGATTAGCAGTTGTGGGGAATATGTTTGGGTGGTTTTTGATTGAGAAGATTGGAAGGCGAGGGACCTCGCTCTGGGGTAAGTGAAGCTAATTCTCAAGTTCCTTTTGTAACTTTTCGCTAACAAAATGTTTGTCTTTAGGAACCGGTCTCTTGTCAGTCGTTCTATTTATGATCGGAATCATGTCTGTCATTAACAAAAAAGGATCGTTGTGGGCTCAAGTGGCCTTTATGGCTTTGTGGAATTTCCTCTACCAAGCCACTATCGGAGCAGTGGCGTGGCCTATCATTGCGGAAGTTCCATCTTCTACTGTCAGATCATCTACGATGTCACTTGCTGTAATGACAAACGAGGCATCGAATACTGTCTGGTCCTTCGCCCTTCCTTATGTGGTCAATCCCGATGAAGCAAATTTGGGAGGCAAGATTGCATTTGTGTTTGGCAGTATCTTGGTTCTTTGCACAGTATTCGTTTTTTTCACTTATCCGGAGACCCAGGGGAGACGATTTGTGGATATCGACGAATTATACAAGAGAGGAATTAGTCCTAGAAGATTCAGGAGCTTTGATTTAAATCTGCAGTCAACCACCAGGGACGTTGAGGCAAGGACCAAAGATTAGTCCTCTGCATGATACAAGAGACCTTAAGCTCAACTAGGCTGTCGCTGCTTTTCATTGCTTTCTTTTAGTATTGCTATATATTCGTTTTTTGGTTTTTTAGTTATTGTGCAACCACTGGGTAGCAAGGTTATTACAGGCTGGTAGGAGCCTGTCAATGGTTCAACCGCCAAAAGGGTCAACCAGTACCCCTCGATGTATCTTTTTTCCTGGTTAACCTCTTCCGCTGTTTTGTATGGTAAATTTCTGACATGCCTCAACCGGACCTCTACTGCTGCTGCATTTTAGGAGCCTTAGGAATGGCAAGAATTTTCCTAACAGCCTTCAGTTTGGGAATTCTCATCTACCGATATTAGAAACCTAACTTGCCTTCTAAACAAGGGCGTATTGAATTCATTTTGTATTTCTGCGTCTAGTGCTGCCCCTAGAGTAAGAATACGCCTGTCCCTTTCACAATTCCTAGTAGAAGGCAATAACGGGCTTCAGTACCATAATAGGGTTTTCTGTACTTGTTGTTGCAAGAAGCTCTCGTACATATTTACTACTACACCGGATGCATCTCATTAGCCCACACAGGCGTATGTTTATTACTTTGTTGACTATATTTCTCACCTCGCTATAGCCATTACTAGGAGCCCCTGAGTAAATTCACCAGCATTCTTTCCATCACTTATTTATATGGCAGTCTGAGCCCTCCTTAGGTAGGTTAACCAATTACACAAGATTACGTGTCAGACTCAATTTCTCCTTAGGCGATTGTTCAACATTTTGGTACTGCACTCAGCTTGAAATTCATGGCACACTAAATAATCTCCACATTCAAGAAACTCATATATATAGGTAGTTTCGGCACCCAATTTTAGTGCCGTGAGAGCTTCACTGATCCCCACGCTTACAATCCAACATATTGCATATTAAAAGTTAGATGGTCGCATGTTTTTATCTGGAAAACCATACTCTATTGATGCCCAGAATTTAAATTTCTTCACTATAAAAACCGAAATCGACTAGATATCATCGCCTTCCCAATTTCACCAAACATCATGTTGCGCCAATCAGATATCGCTGAAAAACCCCGACAGAACTGGGTGTCTGCGTGGTATGCCGCACCACAAGAGATGCCGTCAGCATCACTAGAAGGTCGCACCTTACGTCAAATCGCTTTTCTACATGCAGAGGGTGAACAAATTCGTGTGCATTTGTCCAATCGATACGGGCATGGAAGTGTCACCTTGTCATCCATGTCTGTGGGCATCGTCATCCAGGGACCCATCGTACGTGAATCCCGCCCGCTGCGATTTGCCGGAAAAGCAACCCTCACTTTATCTCCCGGTCAAGAGGTAGTAAGTGATCCGGTAGACCTACGAGTGAAGGAATTCACAAATCTCGCCGTCACCTTTGTAACGCAAGGCGATTGCACCACAGGCCATCTCACGGCGCAACAAACCTCATATGTCTCTGGAAGGAGTGATGTATCTTGCTGCCCTTCGGAATTCTCTTGGCTAGCTTATCCAGTTCAAACTAGCTCCTACTGGTTGCTGTCCGGTGTTGATGTTCTGCCACGAGAGCCCATAAAGGCGATCGTTGCATTCGGCTCTTCCACGACCGACGGTGCGTGTTCGACTTTAAATGCAAATAGGCTCTGGACAGATTATTTGGCGCTACGGTTGAGTGTCGCCGGAGAAACTTGTTTTATGTCGGTCATCAATGCTAGTATTTCAGGAAATACCCTTACAGCCATAGAGCGCCCTCAGGATGAATATTTCGCCATACCACAATTTCTGTTTGGAGAACCCGGCCAGGTGCGTCTTGCCTGGGATGCGTGCACGCACACCGGAGCTACCGATCTGATCGTGAATATTGGATCAAATGATTTGCGGCTTGGGGTTACAGCGGATGTGCTGATAGAGGCCTACAAGCAACTCGTGCAGCTGTCACGGAAGAGTTTACGGCGAATTTTTGGTACGACAATTTTGCCAGGGGGTTATACACCTGAACAAGCTGAGCAACGTCGATTGGTGAATCAGTGGTTGTTGGATGAAGGACTACAATGGTTGGATGCAGTCTTTGATCTTGCAACGCCGCTCCGCTCTCTCGAAAATGAAGATATACTCCATGCCGAATTCGACTCGGGAGACGGGGTTCATCCTAATGATGAGGGCTATCGCCTGATGGCCGAAGCTATTGACATTTCCAAGCTATCTGGCAGCGAGAAAACGCAGGATTGACGCACGCAAGATATATTTGACTGAAATGATGGTGGCTGGCTATTAAAACATTTTCTTGGGCTTTATGTAATTTAAAAGCAAATTGGGTCACCGACACTGTTTTGGCGTCGTCAATTGTCTCTCTGAAATTTGAATAATTCCCCGATCAAGATTTAGCCTTGGGAAGATTGGTCTAATGAAAGAGGAAGATTCACTTCTAAAATAACTTCTAGGCCGTCGCACGGCCTGCCAAGTGCCTTCGTCGATACGATTGATCGCTGCGGAGTGGCTAGAATTTTGAGAGATCGAACTACATGCGGTAGATGATAGCGGGATATCATTGATTGGAATCATAGATCTACATGATGCAAGATATATTTAGAGGATCGTCTCAAGGTTTGGGGCGAAGCTCTAATCGTAATGGAGTCTTTACATGTTCTGATATTGAAGGCGCGAGAGGGACGTTTCCTTTGTCCTATAAATTAATAGAACTACCAAATACAATTTTAGGGATATTTAATCCGGAAGATGTGAAGCACGTTATCATAAATAATGTTATTGAAAACCGCTTTGCCAGTGACCCCGGTGGGTAATTCCTTTTCAACTTGACCAGTGAAGGCCATGAAATGCTTCTCGCTGTTGACCTTGGTAAGAATTTCTGCAAGTGCCCGGGGGGTCTGCTGGCTCGAAATGGCGTCATATGCATCCAAGACCACTTTCCCACTTAGATGTGCGACAATGTCGTCAACGACTGTAGGCTTAGTATAGTCAAAGACTGCAGAAGCACCGATGCTCTTGACGAGGTAGTGGGTGCGCGAACTGGAGGTTGCCACGACATCGGCTCCCGCAGCCCGCGCAAGTTGGATGGCTGCCAGACCAACACTCGAGCTCCCGCTCCAGACAATTAAAGTATTTCCTAACGGCTGAGGAGATGTGGTAGGCAGAGGAAGTTCTAAAAAGCCCTTTTGAAATAGACCCGCTGCTGCTGTACTCACGGCGAGCGGTAGAACAACGGCCTCCTCGTAGGAGACGGAACTAGGTATTGGGGCAGCCATATTCGCAGACAAGATGGTGTGTACTTCTGAAAGCCTGAGTACCGTGTCTCACCATTGGCGAAGCTAATGGCATTGCTATCGTCTTTCAATCGGATCTGATCTCGATAGGTGAAGAGCGAAAGTGGTGGTACCTTGGCTTACCCTATAACTCGCTGTCCCTTTACAAATCCTTCAACGCCTTGGCCGACATCAACGACTTCACCGGCAACATCTTGACCGAGAATGAACGGGTATTTCAACGGAAAAGGGTTGTACGCCTAAATTTTCCAGTCAATAGGATTTATAGCGACTGTGTGGTTCTTCACGACAATAGTATTGGGCTCGACTGATGACGGACAAGGAGCATCGCGGATCTGCAGAGGAATTTGGTGAGGTTCCAGCAGATATGCTGCTTCATTAGTCGCCATTCTTTTTACCTTTTCACTGCAAGCTGTGTGGAAGTCTGTACAGGCAATCAATCTACCTCGATGATATCCAATGGATAAGTACCGAGCTGAAAGGATTCGTTGTGGTGAACTTGAGATTAATTGATCCAAGACGCAATTATACTTGAGGAAAGGGAACATTGATGTTGAATTTGAATAACACCTAACAATCAATTGAAAACGGAAAACCGCACTTGAAGTAGAGTTTCGCCACGAAAGTCATGACGTAGAACATACGCTGGGACCTTCGCCGAAGTTGGTGGGGAAAGAAAGCTCAATTTTCAGGCAGGGCGGACAAGGGCGGCCGCTACCTAGTGTTGACGCATCAATACCTAATGAAAGAGAAGTGGCGTGAGACGAAGGCGCTGGTGGATGAACGCAAAGCCATTCAGCTGCCCTGCGCAAATTTTCATCGAAAGAAAATCCTTGCTCTCTTGTTCCACACGAAGCTGAAGAATGCTTGAAATTGCGCCTGTTCGCCGCAGCATCTTAAGATTTCCTTTCCAGTCACTGCCTTCGCCAGGATTTCATATTCATTGGCCTTATCATCACCGTTTTCTGCCACCGAAAGCTGGAGCTAGCTTGCATATAAGGTGCGTACATGTTTTCGACCAACCCTTATTTTTTTCTAATCCAACCCACACTTGCACATTGTTTAAATTCGAGCATATCATCAAGTCGAGGAGAGTAGTCGATTGGGTCATTGTGCGCTCCCCGCCAAAATTTGACGGAGAAAGAGACAATGGAAATGAAGCTGATTTCTAATTCGAATTTACGCTTCAGATGGCACACGATTCTCCCGCAATCACTCAAACCGGTCATTTCCATCGACCGGAGGCGGCCTTTCGTTCATTCATCTCTCGTGCTACCGACTCAGATCATCCGCCCGCAAAAGACAGATATGTCCTATACATCAGTCTTGGTTGTCCATGGGCTCACCGGACCAACATCGTACGCCGTATCAAGGGCCTCGAATCAGTCATTGAAATGGTAGTACTCGACCCTGAAAGGGGCCCTGAAGGGTGGTACTTCTCAGGCCGTTTTGGCACTGCGGAAAAGGACCCACTCTATGGATTCAAAACCCTTAAAGAACTATATGTGAAAGCGTCTCCTTCTTACAACGGGCGCTTTAGTGTTCCTGTTCTGTGGGATAAGCAACGAGAAACCGTTGTTAATAATGAAAGCAGTGAAATAATTCGGATGTTTTACACCGAATTTGATGATTTGCTTCCGCCTCAATTGAGAGAATCAGGACATCCAGCTACAAATGGCTGTGGATTCTACCCCGAAGAATTGCGGTCCAAAATAGATGCGATGAATGAGTGGATTTATCAATACATCAACAACGGAGTCTACAGGACTGGATTCGCAGCGACTCAGCAAGCATACGAGGATGGAGTATATCCTTTGTTCAAAGCTCTCGATAGGGTTGAGAAACATCTGGCTGAACCTCAAAATCAACCGTATTTGTTTGGGGAACATATCACGGAAACTGATATCAGATTATACACAACTATCGCTCGCTTTGACGTCGCTTATTATCTGATTTTCAAATGCAACCTGAAGATGATTCGTCATGATTATCCGAATATTGACAAGTGGTACCGTAATCTCTACTGGGATGAGTCAGAAAAAACCAGAGGAGCTTTCAAGTTGACAACTGATTTTCAAATGTATAAGTTGAGCTACTTGAATGCGGTTGGGAGAAATGGAGTCATTCCTGCTGGCCCAGAGCCGGACATTCTTCCACCTGCTAGTGACTAAAGATCACTGATTATACATATTTATTTTTTTTTTTTAACACTTTTACCCTAATTTCATCCTAAAATCGAGGTCGAAATGCGACTGCCATCATATGTTCCAAAGGCAGTAGCAGAATTCAATATTGTAAAAGTCGGAAGTTTAGTGGGGGGAAATTAAAAATTCTGGGAAAGTAGTTTGTATTAATCTATTTCATTCATCATATCCTTTTCAGCAACATTCCAAGACATTTCAAAAAGAATCTTAAGCTTATTTCGATCGTTTTATAATTACCCCTTACTTCTTCCTTTTCTCCCACCCGTCGAGGATTAGAGGAGAGCTTCTGGATACGGAGGTAACTTTACATACAAGGAACATCAACACACAGGAACCGTGAAACAATCAAAAGCCATGTCGGATCAGAGTAACCTAGAGCTCAGGATAGTGTCCATTTATTCTTGAGAAGGAACTCCTCAAATGTGGTGAGGTTTTTCGGAGCTAATTCTTGGCTCTCTTCAAGCACTTTCGCCGTGTTAGGGCCGTAGTAGCCAAAATCTTGGAAGTAAAGCATCATGTCGATGACTCGGTCCGCCGCATTCGCAGGGATAAACTTCCTCATGACTTCTGGTGGCTGTTGAATATAGCGGATCTCTTTTCCAGAGACTTCACCCATGATTTGCGCGATTTGTTGCATAGAATAAAGCTTCGTAGCTGCTGGAATGACTTTGCCCTCATATTTCTTGGGATCAGCCAGCATTAGGGCGACAAACTTGCCGATATCCCCAAGCGTATCGAGTAAGGGGAGTTCGGTCTGTGGTATGACCACATTCATGATAGCGTAAGTCCCATTTCCCAATGGAGCGGGGCCCATTGATTCCAGAAAGATCGACATAAACGAACCGGGGCTGACGAAAGCACTTTTGATGTTTTGCTTTTTGATGTAATCTTCCACCTTAGATTTCACATCGAAATGGTCCCCATGGAGGTACTTGCCACCAGAATAATGTTTGATACTTGGCAAGGTACTGTAAATGTAGAAAGACACGTTGGCAGCGACAGCGGCATCCACCAATCCTTTGCCATGTGCTAAGTCCCTCGTGACCAGTTCTTCGTCATGAATGGTCTCCGTCATGGCAAATACTGTGTGTGCATTTTCCATTGCCTTTCGGATCGATTCCCCATTAGCCACGTCGGCTTCTACCACTTCAACTCCCTTCTCACGCAATGCAACAGCAGCCGGCTTCGATGCATTTCTAGTGATAGCGCGAATACGATACTGATCCTTCAAAGCCGGGTCGGCCAGGACAGCGTTTATAACCGAACCACCTTGGTTGCCAGTGGCCCCAAAAACAACAAGGATCTTACTCATGATTGCTTGGTGGCGGAAATCAACGAAAAAGATGATCAAATAAATGACGAACACTCCGTGGACGGTTAACCTTGTCTGATATTGAGCGCACTCCGTTTCGATATATGACAATCGTGGATATGTGAGATCTTTGGTAATTTTCTAGCAACTTTCAACACGCACCCGGTCCTTTTATTATGATCTGAGTGCCCATTTGACACGGAGTTAAGGCCCGGATTTCAGTCCATATTCCGGACTCGGAAAGCCGCCTGGTACACGGTTTGATAAATCTAGTAAGCGGCCGCGCCGCCCGCCCTGTCTCCGCCTTACGCAAAATCTATCAATGTTCTGACAAATCAAACAATAGACTAGCCCTAACTAAATTAGCCATTGAGAACTTGTTTCACTCCCTACGTTTTATGAAATTTTTTGATATAATAGCGACTAAGATATTACTACTATTGTACTTCAGCCGGTTTCAGTCCAATTTTGATATCATATTCTACTCGTGTCGGTCTCTTTTCCCTGTCATTATCGTGGGCAATCTTCCTTGAATAACTAGACCGAAGGCTTAGTACAGGCCGCAGTGAAGTAAGGGACGTCCATTGCTGCTCATTGAGATGGCTTTAAACGAAAAGGGGAGTTCTCCAGCAGGGAGTATGAAAGGTCTTGACGACTCGGGAAGCACCCGGCATGGAGACGACATAGAGTTGGGATTCGAGCCCCTTCAAGAACAGAGCTCAGAAACGATTAGACATCAAAGTCCCAATCCGCTGAAGGATGATAATAACCATATAGTTTCCTGGGACGGTCCCGATGATCCGGAAAATCCAATGAACTGGCCTGTGTGGAAGAAATGGATATATACAGTTGCGTTGGGATCAGTCACATTCACCATTACTTTTGCCAGTAGTGTTTTTAGCACAGCAACTGTTGTAACATCTATGGAATTTGGTGTCTCTGAAGAAGTCATGGTCCTTGCAACTAGTCTTTTTGTTCTGGTGCGTGTGTTCACCCCCACCCCCGGGGCAGCCCCTAATCAGCGAGAAGTCATCGAAATTGATAATCGTTCTTGATGAAAATGCATCATGGGCAAATATCTGACGAAATGACAGGGTTTTGCTTTTGGGCCACTGATCTGGGGCCCTATGTCTGAATATTACGGCCGCAAAATCCCCCTTTTTAGTTGCTTTTTCATCTTTTCGATCTTTCAAATCGCCGTTGCGACGGCTGAAAATTTGCAAACTATTATGATCTGTCGATTTTTTGGCGGTTTCTTTGGTTCGGCTCCCCTCGGAATTGTCGGTGGCACATTCGCAGATTTCTGGGCTCCTGTCGATCGAGGCATTGCTATGTGCGTCTTTGCTAGTGCGACTTTTATCGTGAGTCTCTTTATTCCGCAGCCCTCTTCCTCAATTAAGAATCCGTCTAACGTGACTGTGATTTACCTTCCTAGGGTCCTGTGGCCGGGCCAATTGTCGGTTCTTTTATCACTGAATCCTACCTCGGCTGGCGATGGACCGAATATATTACTGCCATCATGGGGTTTTTCTTCGGCACTGTAGCCTTCCTAACAGTTCCGGAAACGTACGCACCTGTATTGTTATCGCGACGCGCTGCCAAACTGCGATATGAGACGGGAAACTGGGCGTTGCATGCAAAATCTGACGAGTCTCCAATGAATTTCAACACGATTGCGTCCGTGTATTTAACCCGCCCGATCATGATGCTAGTTATGGAGCCCATTCTGATTTTAATGACGATATACATGGCATTTGTGTACGGATTTATATGTAAGCTCACCGTTATTTTCATTTCCCACCAGCTTCCAGTCGGGTTTCCCATTTCCACTCCACATCACCGTTTCTTCACATTCCTTACCTTTGTGGAACAGTTTTGTGACTCATATTAATGACGCTAACACGGTCGCAGACCTGCTCTTTGAAGCATACCCGATTTCTTTCCAGACACAGAGAACATGGTCACCTGGCTTGGCCTCCTTGCCGTTTTTAGCAATCACCGTCGGGGTCGTCATCGGCGCTTGTGGTGTCGTGTACCATTCAAAATCTCGTGTGGCTCGCCAGGTAAAGGAAAAGGGTCGTGTCATACCGGAAGAAAGATTAATTCCGATGATGGTGGGAGCAGTCTTGCTTCCAGGGGGGATGTTTTGGTTCGCATGGACCAGTGATCCCAGTATATCGTGGGTTCCGTCTGTATTGAGCGGCATAATGACTGGCTCTGGAATCATCTTGTGGGTATCCCTTCCTTTTGTCAGCCTTTTTTGTCCCCTGTTTATTCTCTCATGTCCAGCAACAATTTTCGAATTCGCTTGCCGCCGGACCATGCTGACCCCTGCTTTTTTTCCTCAGAATTTTCCTTCAAGGGCTCAATTACATCATTGACAACTACCTCATGAACGCCAACAGCGCAATTGCAGCCAACGGCTTGCTCCGATCTGGATTCGGTGCTGGTTTTCCATTGTTCGCCAGTCCGATGTTCCTCAATCTGGGAGTCAATTGGGCCACCAGTCTCCTGGGTTTCCTTGGCGTTGCAATGATACCGGTGCCTTTTCTCTTTTATATTTTCGGCGCCCGAATTCGTGCTATGAGCCGTTACACGCCCAAGTTGCCCCATGGAGGTCCTCCAAACCCCTTCGCAGGTGCTAATGGACCACTGCCTCACAGCTCTCCCAGATAGATATTTCGATTGGCTTCACTTTCACCATGAGTTACTTCTTGAACGGATATTCGGGTCTCTCTTTTTCTGCGTTCTTTTGTCGCGCAAGGTTCAGTGCGATTCACATCCAAAATGACAGTCTTCACACTTTTGCTACGTGACGAGAAAGCTCCGTTCCCTGACCCTGTTCCTGTAACAGGTTCTTCATACATACATTTCATTATATTCCTTTTCATATTTTGTGTTAAAAAACTTTTTGTTTCCTTCTTTTTTGCTCTTCTATTGAATGATTTTAATTTTTTATTTACTATTTTCCATTTCATGCATGTTAGAGCTAGAAAAACATCTCAATATTACAAAATAAACAAATAAAAGTTTGAACATAATTTGAATCATACTTTAATGAATTAAAAAAGCATTTTCATCAGCAATTTGACGACAAATGAGCCCTAGTAGTACATTCCGATATTTAAACAACACTCACGGATTTAATTTATCGTTAGCAGGGACGACTATGTGCTTTTCTGTAATGGAGCCTGGATATCAGTGGAAAATATATGGCATAGAAAAGTAACAAGACGTGAGCTGAAGAAAAAACTGTCTACATAGGGAGCAAGCCCATATTACGCCTGTGACGGCCAGTGTGTGTGTGTGTGTGTGTGTGTGTGTGTGTATATTTAACGGCCGTGGTTCGTGACTCGCACGCTTCCCACCGATCCCTACTGGGACATAGGCCGCCGAGGAGTAAGCCTCGGGTTTTAGGTCCTATCAGATTTATGTATAAATAAGAGACTCTTTGGCGCATTTCCATAGCTGCCGTGGTCTTACAGGGAGGTCCACTTTGAGTAGATTTTAGGTATTTGCCAGCTATAATGGTCCGCCTACACTCCATGACCTATCACTCCACCACTATTATAACTGAACAGTAAGTTTTGCAGAGAGGGAAAGAAAGAAGAGAAGAGAAAGAAAGAAGGAGAAGAGAAATATAAAGGAAGAGTAGGGCTGTCTTAGCTAGGTGCTAAGGAGAGATTGGCGAGGGCAGATATCCTTAAAGAAGTGGGTCTCTGCTAGCCATGTAGCTAGCTTTTGTGCTCCTTTAGCAGTGCCTAAGAGAAAAGAGATGACCTCAGAAGGGGGCCCAGGAGGCCGAGGGGCTCGTCTCTTAGCTATATAACAGAAGAAGAAGTGCAGAGGTGCTTTTTATACTCTATATTGGCAGAGAAGATAAGTATCATTATAATTAAAGTATTTATAGTAGTCTGCAAAGTCTCCATGACTAGTATAGGCCGTAATAACATGGCCGAGGTCAAGTTGGTTGAGTTGAAGCTCCCTAGGGCGCTTAGAGGAAGTGGTTATTTCTAGATCTTAATAGCTCTGTGGTGTCACCTTCTCCCATTGTGACAGAGCAGCGGATAGGGATTGAGTCTTGGTGTATCTCTTTAGCGAGGCGTATAAGGATTTGTGAGGAGCAGGAAGGATTGAGGCAGCTCCCTCTTTGACAGCGAGATCAGCCGCTTTGTTCTCAGGGATTTTGGCGTGTCTAGAGACCCATTGGATTTAAATAGATCTGCTTTTGGTATGAGGAAACCTTTTGCGAAGTGGCTAGGCAGCTATAAGGGTGCAGAAGGATTTAAAGATTTCTTAGAAAGATCCTGTAGAGGAAAATAGAAAGTATATAGCAACTTCTAGGTTATCAAGGCAGATCTATAGATTAGTAGCAAATTAAGCTATTAGGTATGCTATTACTGCTTGAGCGCTAGCTAGAGCTGCTTCTGCTTCTACGTCAAAGACCTCTTTCCCATGTCTATATGAGAGTGAGGAGTGGAGGAACTGATGGTGTGCTTAAAGTCTAATATAGTTACCCCCTGCACATCCGTCTGCTAGCCTAGATCTATCTGAAAAGATTACAATATCTGAGCTAGGGATGGTACATTGAAAAGCCATGAAATTAGCCGCTGCCTGTTCCTTAGTGTGTCCCATGGGAGCTCCTATTTAAACTTGAGCATTCCTATGAGGCTCGCGAGGGTGCCAGGGAGCATATTAGAGAGGGTTTATCTGTTCAGAGTTTGGGAGGGCCAGTGTATGGCGGGTAAATTAGCTGGTTTGTTGGCCATTACTAGCGATCTGTTCTGCGTGTCTTTGAAGTGGGTAATAAGGGTTGAGATGCCATAGTTGCAAGGAGGGCTATTCAATCTAGTTCAATTTCTGGTGGAGAGAATCTAGACTCTCAATAAAGGACTGGCTTTGGGGTTGTGCGGAAGACTAGAAGGACTGCTCTTGCACCTATTAGTATTACTTTAGTTAGTTTCTCAAGATATTCTCTAACTTGGTTTGAAATCTAGGAAGGTTCAGGGCGAGTACGTCCTGGCCACCAGGTTTCTACGCCATAGTATACTTTATGAAGTACACAGGCTGATATAGCCTGCTATAGTAAATTAGATTTGACTCCTCAAACAGTATTCCCTAGAGAGCGAAGAGCGTTGGCCATAGTGAGGGCTTTAGATGCTGTTTCTCTAATATGCCATTTAAATGTTAGCTTTTTATCAAAGAGGATTCCTAGCTATTGTAGATATAGCCGTTTAGTATTTTCTGATATTATAATAGATCTAGCTTTCACTGAAGATGTGCAGGTTGGGTCCTGGTTTGCTTTATATTAGGAGAAGTGAAGAAGCTTGTATTTATCTAGTATAAATGTAATGCCCTCTGCAGCGCCTTAATTAAGAGCTTCTTAAAATGAGTCTGATAAGGCTTCGCAATTAGTAATAAGAGATGTTGAGATTGCTAGGTTGGCTACATTGTCCGCATAACTAAATCTGTTCCTTGGATTTCCTAGACAGAATAGAGGCGCTATGTAGAGCATAAAAAGAATGCCAGATACTGGGGATCCTTGTGGAAGACCGCATGCAATGTCTGTTGAGGGGCCAATCTCTCTATCAAGTCAGATCTGAACTGATCTTCCAGTAGCGAAGGAGGCAATCCAGAGAACGAGATTGGTAGGCCAGCCCTGCTCGCGTAGTCTGCGGATCAGTCTGCCAGGAAGCACAGAATCAAAGGCGCTCTTAACATCTAGGGTAAGGAGTGAGGCAGTCATACCTTAATTTAGCGCTTATTTGACATCATATATTAGGCATATGGTCAGGTCAGTTACAGATCTTAGTAGAAGAGCCCTAAATTGTTGCCTTACTAATACTTTATAGTGTATAGAGATCCATGCCATATTCTATGCCACCAAGCGCTCCAGTTCTTTGCTAAGTACTAATAGGAGAGCGATTGGTCTGTATGAGCTAGGTGAAGACCAATCAGTCTTTTTTGGTTTCTGGATGATTGCTAAGATTACATATTAAAAGCATTTAGGATAATAACTAATCTTTAGGCACTCTTAATATAGCATTAGTACCTTATCTTTGATCAGAGGCCATACTACTTTGAGTATGCAGGTTGGGATTTTATCTGCGCCAGGGGCTGTGTTTCCTGCCTGAAGTACTGACTCCTCCACTTGTAGCATCGATATATCTGGGAAGTAGAGACTAGTGGAAGGGACTGCTGGGGAGTCTAGAGATATATCTCCTGCCTCTGCCGAGTTCTGGAGAAGATTGCGGACTAGTACGTCTCATTTCTCATGTACAGTAACTGCTGGGAGGCTGTTGGGCCTTAGCAGATCTTTCAGTGGAGGGCTTTGGAAGATGCCTGTAGACTTATGCCATTTACTTATGTTAAAAATATCCTTTATTTGTGATACTATAGAGAGCTTATCACGCCAGAATTGTTATTAAGTCTGTCTAGTAGTCTAGCGAAAGTCTGTCTTTGAGCAGAGGCCTAAGCGGTAATTGTATAAAGCTTTCTTGCAGTCTTCATTCCATCATGGTTATCCTATACCTTGTATCATGGTCCTCTTAGCAGAGCCTCTATATGCTCCTTGAATTGCAGATGTTAGTTTTTCAGTAAGGGCATCAAGATCTTCTTCTGTTGCGGCTGAGCTCTTAGTGCCAGTAAGATTAGAGGCGAGGAGCGAGAGGAAGAAGGTGTGGTCTAGTGTGTCAAATCTCAGTTTCTGAGCTGTTTCCTTGTATCTCTGATCCCATGGTACAGTGGTGATTAGTAGTTGATGATCTAAGATTGCATCTAAGTGGCTCGCTATGCTAGTTTTAGCTCCCGCGAGTGCCAGAGGGCTTGAGGCAAAACTGAGATCTAACACGTTACCCCTTTCATGTATGGGACAGTCTATATTAGAGATGAGTACTAGACCCTGGAGGTCCAGCCAGTTAATGAATGGCTCTGCAGAAGGTGTAGGGCTGCGATGTAGCGAGGGCTGCCATCTATTGTGTAGTAGGTTGAGATCGCCTGCAAGTATCATTGCTTGAGGGAAATATACCTCTGGCAGAGTTGTAAGAGCTTTCGCGGCTTTGCCTGCTCTGATGGAGCCTACTGGGGCATTATAGATGTTAACTATCAGAGCAGACTTTCCTATAGGCAAAAAAATCTGTAGGAATAGGAGATCCGAGGCCTCTTTGGTATTAGTTGTACTTTGTGGCACGCCAGTCGACAGGACCTCTGTATAAACTGAAGATATAAGCCTCCGAGCTCGTACGATCGGCATTGTCTCTAAAAGAAGCATCCGAAGCACATATAGCAACGTCCGAATCGCTGTTTTCTGGTAGTGAGAATTCGATAGCGAGGAATCATATATTATAGAGATATTCAATGACATGTTTAATCTAGCGGATGTGATCCTTTGACAGATTTGTAGTGAATTTGGCAAGTTCGTTTACTAGCTTTGCAACATTAGGTCGGGTCATAACTGCAGTATACATTGCTGATCCCATCAATTCTTGATAGAGGTGAATGTCTTCATTCGTGGCTTCACTCTCTAATAGTTGTAAATCGATTGAAATTGGTGTCCTTGTATTGCTTTGCGTTAGCCTAAACTTTTTAGCAATCTTAGTAATATACGAATCTTGACAAATCTAGATCTTCCGCTGCTTCCTATCCCGTATGATTCGCATATTCAAGAACCACTCAAATTTCTCCATTTGTCGAATCTCATATTTGCTTATGAGTTTCTTAACAATTTCCTTAAAGAGAGATTCTCGATTTTTCCTGTTGTAAAAGATCAAAATATCGTCCACAAAGAAGAGTAAAAACACACTATCTTTAATAAATAAGCACTCTTCATCCGGAATTTGCGAAAATCCAAGCTCTAATAGCGTTCCTGTAAGCTCTTTTTGCTATAATTGCGGACTTTGTCGTAATCCATATAACGCTTTCCTTAATCGTATGACTTTTCCGGGAATTCTGAAGCCATCTGGAAAATAAACGTATACCTCTTCATCCAGGTCACTGTTGACAAAAGCGTTGATTGCATCAAGTTGTACAATCTTGAGATCAAAAACTGCAGCTAATGCTATCATCATTCTAAAAATTCTTGCGGCAAGCGTTGCTGCTCGTGTTTCCAAATCCATACCCTTTTGTAAGTCTCCTTAGACACAAATTTGTGCTTTGAACTTTGTAATCTTCCTAAATTTGTTAAATTTGTATTTGAAGACCCATGTCAGTGGTAGGATTTACTTTCCTTCAGGTCTGTTAACAATTTTAAATGTGCCTTTTCTCTTTAGTGACTCCATCTTAGTTCTCCCAGCTTCCTCAAATTGCCTGGTAAATCTGTGTCTTTTGACACCTATCCAGTTTCTGGGCTCTGGTGGGATATCTTTATGAAGCAGCTTATACCCATCAAGTTTCTCTGCGGCTGCTAAAAACGCTTTATACGCTGAAGACTCTTGCAATAACTTTATTCTCGCGAAAAAGGCTTGGTGCCTCTTCCTCTCCGCCTTAGATGTCGCTATTTCTGGGCTTCGAGCACGCTTAGAGGGAATCCTTCAGCGTGGTCCTGTCACAATATTTCCCTCTGAGAAGTCAGCTCCGATTTCTGAGGCCTTTGGCGCGCTTCTTTGCTGCGGGGTAGTTGATAGTAGTAGCTCAGGTAACGTGACGTCAGGATTTCTTGATTCCTCATTGGTCAATTGCAACAGTGGTGTCTGTTCATTTCCTATTTAGGGAATCTACCCACTCGGACTAGTAGTTGTTCCGGCCGTGAGAGCCATATTCTCTCGCTCTGCTCCTTCATCCTGTTGAGCTTCTTCCTCACCACTATCCTCACCAGTCACCCTCCTAGATTCGTCAAATTTGGGTTCATCACCATACAATGTGACTTTATTTTTGATATTGTTAAATTGAACTAACTGATTATCTTGCTGGCCATGTACGTCGTTGATTTCCATGTTGTCATCCTGATTCTGATCACTAATTCGATTTTCCAGTAACAATTCCTTGCTTGTTGACATCTAGTGACCTTGCATCAACTCTGTCGAACTGGATGCTGACGGGCTGGGTATCAAATAGCTATTAGAGTGTATTACAACAGACTGTGTTGGCTCGTTAACAGGTTGATCATCAATCTCCATGCTTTCTGGTATATGTTACTGTGTTGTGACTGTCTGGCTGTTTCCAGAAGCTAATACTGGGATTTCCAGAGGAAATTTCATCGAGGATGATTGCTGCAGATTCATATATTCGTTAACTGATTCTACAACTTATTCTTCATTGAAGTCCTCCAGGTTCAGTATGTCTAATGATTCTGTGATTTTTGTCACACCGTTCCTAATAATCTCTCTAGCAAATGGATGTTCTAGATTATACTTCTTCATTTTATTAAAAATAACATCCCTTGCTCGAATGACCTTGGTCCCTCGTGGTCCCTCTGTCCAAATTAGCCAAATATTATGAGACTCGTATCCAACAAGATATCCGATTTGAGCCCTCGGTTCCATCTTCTCACTTTTCTTAGTGTCGATCCTTATATATGCCTTTGATCCGAGCAAGTACAAATTTCCAATATAAGGTTTCTTGCCATACACCATTTCATATGGGGTTTTGTACCCAATTGCCTTTGTGGGCGTTCAATTAATAATATATACCATCGCTTACATAACATATAGCCACAATCCTGTTGGTAAGTTTGCTTCCTGGATCGCACTCCTTATTTGTGTAGTGATAAGTCCTCCAGCTCGCTCACTTAGCCCATTTTGTTCTGGAGTATCAGGAACTGTTATCACAAGGGTTTTCCATTTTAACTTGCACCAATCTTTGAAGTCATTTCCATTGATTGCTAATTCACCATCGTAATGTATGACTTCAATCATAACATGGAATGTTTGTTTAACATCCTTAATTAACCATTACAAGTCAAAATTTACTGATTTTGTTGGGGTCGTTGTCAAGGCGTGGTATTTTATAAAAGGGTTAAATAGATGAAGTGCGTACATATCTCCGTTCCTTGCCAAGCTCATAACAATGATATCAACAAATACTTTTTAGAACGGTAGCGTTAGATGTGGTATCGCCACTCTGCTTATTTGTCTCTTTGCCGAGGAAAGTTCGCAAATCTCATATTTCTCCTTGAATCTTTCTTCATTCCTGCCTAAAGCCCTTGGTGAAGTAACAAGTGCACCCTCCGTTGCTTCCTGAAGTTTCTCAATGGCTTGTTCCAATATATGTCCAAGTTGTTTGTGCTATACATTCCCAGAGTCCTTCAATACTTTTCTCTCAAAAGAACTAAATGCTAAGTCGTTTCCTAGAGAACTCCTAGGTTTCTGGTTTTCATCCCATTCAATTAGATAAAGCCTTCCTTTCTTCTTCAGTCCATAAATATCTTGTTTCTTTGTCACCAATCTTCAAGTCAAACCATTAAAGAAAAGTCTGTATTCCTCAGCCATTCCTTGCGAGATAATGTTAGTATGCATTCCTAGAACATACCATGTCTTCTTCATTAATATCCCTTTCTTTGCCTGTCTGCTAATCGGATTTATTGGATAGATAATCATTTCCCCTAGTCTATACATCTTCACTGAGCCATTTCCAACAAGATAAATTTGTTCTTCATTTCCTATATTGTGAAGCCATCTTAAGTCATTGAAGATGTTAGTTGTTGTACCGTTATCCAAAATGACTGCATCCTTAAGATCTTTATCTGAATCTGTGGCTATCGCCATTATTTGAACTTGTATTGCTATGCTTGATCGTTTAAAACGTGGACCTATTGATATCTGAACTTCATCCTCATCATATACAAAGTTCGATCTTTCCGGTTCGTTGTCCTTCTCGCCGTCGTCATATTCCTTTTTATTGGCTGAATTTGTCGGTTTAAGCTTCTCTTTGACTGCCTTAAGTGCCTTCGCTAGCGATGTATTACTGCGTTCCACATCTTTGAACTTTCTGGTAATATCCTCATCTTCTTTCCAATCCTTTGATCTTTTTCCTTCATTGACATATAGGCAATCCTCAAAGTTGTGCTTTGCTCCGCATAGGCACGTTCTTTCTCTGTTTTTCGATTGACTTTTCCAACATGATCTTGATTGTTGACTAGTCTGATTGGATTGCTGAACACCTTTTTGTTCTTCTTCCTTCTCAGGTTGATCCAATTTACCACCTAATGTCGCAAATGATGCATCACGTCGAGTAGGGTCCATCACGTTGCGTTGTGCCTTAACCCATTGTTTGAAAATCTTTATTATATCGCGAATCCCTGGTACTAAATCTAATCCAATCTTCCTATGCAATACTTCCAATCCAGTATCCAATTCGATGAGTGTTGTTGTCTATGATTTAGCAAACTTAGGTACAATAAAAGCTGATGAACGAATAAAGTCCCTTGACATTCTTTTCTCTAGAATCTTGTTGAAATTTGTTAGTTGCATATCCAATAATAGATTCTCCCATTTCAAGATCCAATCCTTAGGCTTCATGCCTCGTTTCGGAGTAAGCAAATCTCTGTATCTCTCATTTATTAGTTCATGCTCCTGCTCCGGTTGCAGAGCAAATTCCTCCTACAATTCCTGTGTCATCTCGAGAACCATTTGCTTCATCCAGATTCAGGGATGGTATCCTAGTTCAACCGTGTCGAATATATACAATCGTACCGCGTCTAATCGTTCCTAGTGCTTCTCATACCTCGCCTTTTCGTTCTTATACCATTGATAATGCTGCTCATACAACTGTAATTCCATTTAGAAGCGCATCAATGCAAGCTTCTCAACTTCTAGATCCTCATTCTGATTTGGCATTATACTGTCTAGAAAAGGGGGTTTAACTAGTTTCTCCGGTGCCGGTTCCACCTCGTGTGTCCGCAACGGGGATGGATTCACATAGTCCCAGACTCATTCCTTCGTCGCCTTTATTCTCAACTGCTCTAACCATCTCCTTCATTCGTTCGATGACTTTAAAATAACAGTTCCCTTATTTTCATCTATTACTAATAACGAGTTCACTCGTTCCTCCTGGGCACGGATACCTTCAAGGGTTCACACACGGTCGTTCATCAAATGTATACTAAAACCAACGGTCGTCGATAAGAGTTCAATTCTGCGAATAGCTTTAAGCTTTAGTCCAATACTTCCGATACAATTCTTGTACTATATTCGCAGGGATCCCAGGCTCATAACTGTCGGAACGTTGGTTTACTAGAGCGATGACTAAGTGAAGGCAAGCACTAAACAATACGTATAAGGAACTAGGTCTATTTTCCGGCACTCCTCTCCAACCACTATCTAGGAGTATTGAACCTGTTTTTATATACAAGATTCCATAGAAGTGATATCACTAAAAGTCGACATTTATGCAAATCGAACTTTCTAGAGATAGGCTGTAAAGTTGATTTGTAATGTTCAATATCGCGTCGGAATGTGATGCCAATTCTCGAAATTTCTTGATACGCAAATCTTGTCCTATTCCCAAATTGGTTTAGCTCATTCTGAGTTCCAACAAAATATACGACTCGGTCATTTCGACCGTCATGTCAACATCTGCCTGTGACGTATCTTTGGTCTGCGATGTTATGCTGACCTGTTAATTCCATGGATTAGTCGCCAAGTTCAGTTTCAAGACGTCCGGGACATGTGGCGTGAGTACAAATCATAAGCGGCGAAAGGGCAAAAACGGAGGGACGGAATATAATAAGTCTCCCAAGATTCGGGCGGCCGCTCCGCTCCCGCCTGGTTGTCAAATAGGCAGCATTAGGTAAAGGCTGTAACTGATGCGGACTGCCCCAGACAACTGAAGGTACTGATAGTTCATAAACCATCTGGAATGAAATAGGGCTATGGCACATGTGAAAGTTACGTCGAAGGACTTCCTCGACTCCTTAAATTCCTCTACACTTCGTCTGCTCTGCTTAAGTGTTGTCACAAATTTTCGACTTGCTGCCGATGACTACGGTAGTTTTAGCCACCTTAGATATCGTCGCCGAATGGGCTCTGGTATATCGAGCACCTCGGCACCGCAACTTTCAAGATCCGACGACCACTCTGATCGCCAGAATACAGGAGGTACAATGGATAAAGATTCATCGAAGCCGACTCTCTCGCCGGCAGAGTTCCACATATACAATAAGTTTGCGGTGCAAATGAATTATTTTGTAAGAGTTCCCTGACCTTCCAATTTATCTCCCTTAAAATGCGTTGTGATTTCTGATACAAAGAATTGTGCTGATGATGGATTAATTTCCATAAAAAGCACGATCAATTCAGACGTACCTGGGACGAATTGCAAAAGATGAGCAAGAAGGACCAACCCAGCCAGTCTGAGGCACGAGCCATGATTAGAATGGGACTTCAATTCTGTTCAGAATTACATATGCACCACCGCTTTGAAGAACGTCACATTTATCCGGTACTGAGCAGGAGAATGCTTGATTTTCAGCCACACCATAGTCTATCCAAGCAGCATGAAAAGATTGATGCTGGTGCTGACCAGATGCAGCGGTATCTTGAGCAATGCGCTTCTGGAAAACAGGCATTTTCAACTACAGAGATTCGCAAAATCATGGGGAATTTCGGATCGACACTATGGAGTCATTTGGACGATGAGGTGAAGGCACTTGGGGCAGAAAATATGAGTAAATACTGGTCCCTCGACGAGTTCAGAAGTCTCAATTTGTAAAATGTCATATGAAGTTGCTCAAGCCAACTATCTAGGTAGCTATACAATAACAATAATTAAAAGTGCGGAGCGAGAGAAAGAAAAGCTAGCTAGGAACGTCGGAGCCATAGAGGTAGACTCCCCAACGCCTCAGGTTAGCTTCCAATTCTTCGTGCATCCCCTTCCAATACTTAACTGCATACATAGTTGATAACCTGGAGCAGGCCCTTCAATTTCCACTTCTACGACAATTTCCGGAAAGATCTAGTCATCCACCTGACTCCCCGAGGTTCCTGAGCCCGTTGGAAGCTCGCTGGTTCCGTCCGGGCGTTCAAACAAGAATGAGCTCGCTTTAGTGTTTATCAACATTCTTCCTAGCGCATAAGATACGTGACAGCGAGCAAGCCCTTGCATGGGTGGTTTTACTCTGGGCCAATTCTGAGGTACAAAGAACCCAGTATGTCACGCTTCATACGGTAGTTTGTAGGGATAATAAAGGAAGAATCAACTAGCTATATTTTCTCTCTTTTTCTTTCCATCTTGACATCAGATTCCACAGTAGGGCTCATATAGACATTTTGGTGGGACGATTTGTGATATATTATGAAGGGTTATCATTGTACTGAATTCCAGGTGCCGACATAGTTCTCCTAAGGTGCCTGTTTGACGTGTGAGATTGAACAGCTGATCTCTCTGCCTTGTTGATTCATCTGGATGATTTGGAAATCGTTGAAGTTTCGAACTCCAAAGAGAATTTCCTTGAACTTTGAAGGAGCGTTTTGCCGGTTTAGATTTAGTATGGAATAATCCTGTCGTAGAAATTTGATTAGAAAGACCGTTGAAAAATCAAACTAGTTGGATTAGAAACTAAAAATGAGCGGCTAGAATAATTATGAACACTATGGTACTGATACAAAGTAAAATAAATTTGGTTATGTTTTCATTCAAGAAGAATAGCTTTGCGCAAATTCAGACACCTGCCAGCTATCAAAGATAGGGGGCTACAAGTGCGGCCAGAGCGTCAGTCACATCAGGTTCCGGGAATATCGATCGGTTGCCAGCATTCCATGGGACAATGGCGGCATCGAAGAAGAAAGACTCGAGGGCGTAAACACTGTCACCAATTTGAGTAGCAGCTGACGTGAAACTGTTGCCGTAAACAAGCTGGCTATTGGGGATAATTCCAAGATAATCGGCACTCCACCACTGGGCATCTTTCGAGAAGAAGACCTGCAAGCCTTCAGTGTCTTCGGCCACAAGAAGCACCTTTCCTTCGTACTTGGGAGGAAGATAAATTGCGTCGCTATGGTAAAGCGTCATATTGTGCGAAACATCAACAAACGTTGGTTTGCCCTGTTCCTCCGTCATGTTAAAGCGGAGGAGACGGTTATATGTGTCATCATTCACGATAAGAATGTCGCCAATCGCCGCAGCACCAGCCGCACCGTAAACGGTCGCATTGTATGGTTCTATAAGATACCAAAGTTTTGCATTGCCACATGTGTCGACTCGGATGATGGAAGAAGGAAATGATCCGATAACATAGTAGTTGCCGCGAGGATCAACCTCCGAGTCTTGAACTCCATTAATTTTCCCTCCTCCCACCTCTGTGAGGTTCACTCGGAAGAGTTCTTTGCGCAAGATCGGATCATACTTTATAAACCAGTTCAAGCCGGACCAATCCGCTCCGTTTGTCTCGAAAATGTTGGCAGGGTTGATTGTAATGCCCAGCTGGCCAGAATTCTGATCGACACGAACGCCCCCGACATGATAAAGATGATTGTGCGTAATATTTTCAAATTTGGCAATATGTATAACCTCATTTGTGTACGGATCGTAGGTGGTTACGGTCGAGTTAAAAAGTGAGCTGCAAGGAGATTAGTCTATGTTACACAAGCCCCGTTCATGGATGTAAAAGCTTCTTGAAAAGTACTCCTGGCGCAAATCATACTTACCCCAGGTAAAGACGACAACGGTACTGGTCGAAATCAAAGTTTTCGGGATATTGCTGATACTGAGAAACATTGATGGTTCCGGTGATGTTAGGACAGCGCTGCACATATGATCCGGGAGCTTTTTGAGACGCAGCCGCTGTCACGAAAACAGCACTTGCTGCTACTAACGTAGAGGCGAGAATCATCATGAACATGTGAACTATTTGAGTTTATGTCGGCGGATGCCAGCGGGTTACGTCGAATAACTCCCTGAAAATTGAGGTCATCTTGGACCTTTTGTAGGTTTGCCCGGCATTTCATAAAGTCTGCGTTTTTAAGGGTCTATGCCTATAATTCAACTGGTTTCGATTCAATTCGTTTCAACCTATTCGGTCTCTTTCTCTAATCTGGTTTGATAATTAGTAATGGGGTGGGAGTTACTAGGCAGCTCGATCTAAGAGACTTCGAATTATGACCTAAGCAGAACTTCATTACAGAAGATCTTGATACAGTAAGCATCCAATTGCCGTAACATAATGCCAAGGGAAGAACGATTTACTTCTCAAGCAATTTCCGGAGGTGGGCACAATGAGTCTTTTGCAGCGCTAAATACGCTTGTGCACTAGCTTACATGCTAGTATTTTTCACCTGGTAATAAGATAGCTTTGTAATCAAGTAAACAAATCAAGAGGCTCTATATTATTACACTAACCCTTTGGTAAAAAGTATAAAAACTAACTCATGTTTTGTCTTGTAATAGTATGTATTGATAAAATGCACAAATAAGAGCTAATGAGTAGCGCCCGCCACATGCAAAAGTCTTTTTGTACCCACCTCCGTAAATTGCTGACGAACATATCCGCGGTCCTACGTGGCCGGAAATTGGAGAAAAAGGGTTTCTGAGGGAAATGAACGGATTCATGAGCATTTGTCATCCAAATCTAGGGCGGCTGCATCGGCCGATCCTATGTCCTTCAAAATTACTCAAACACTATCACCTATAGAAATCGATAATGTATAGATAGGATTTAATAGAAAAATCTTTTCCTTGCTTACCAATTCAATGGTTAAGCTTATAATCTTTTTACAAACATTGTTCTGATGGCGAATTAGGTTTGCATATTCCAGCATTGTCTGTCCGCCCAGGTATAAATTTATAGGTCTTTGTATTTCGTTGCTTCGTTGAATACGATAGACGAGCGTCTGTTTTTATTTGCTGGATTTCATAATAAATCTTATTCTATAAATTTTAAGTGTCGCAAGACGAATTTTACACACCGGGTATTTGCAGATAGTCAAGAGTGACTTATGGCGCCAAAAACTGTGGTCATTATTGGTGGTTCCTTTGGGGGTCTGAAAGTCGCCCGCGGGCTCTTGAAAGACGTGCCTGTCGGTCAGGTCAAAGTCATAGTGATCAATCCCTCCGACAAATTTTATTATTGCATAGCAGCGCCTCGCATATTAGCGAAGCCGAAAGCTTTCTCTAAGAACCAATACCTGATCCCCATCAAAGACGGCTTTACTTCATATGGCGAAAACTTCAAACTAATTGTCGGTACTGCGACTGAAATCGATGAGACAAACCGCGCAATTACGATCCTGAGGAGCGATACAGACGACCGGTTTACTCTGGAATATGACTACCTTGTAATTGCGTCTGGTTCATCTACAGCATCGGCTACTGACGGCGCTTTGGCACCGTTCAAGCGCTTCGGATCAAGCGACCTCTCAGAGCAAATCAGCAACATTCAGAAATCGATAGCGTCAGCGAAGAGCATCATTATTGGCGGTGCAGGCCCTATTGGCATTGAACTCGTTGGCGAGCTCACTGAAGCTCGTCGTACTGAAGCTATCATCACCTTGGTGTCTGCCACGAAACAACTCCTTCCTATGCTGAAAAAGTCTTCTGGAGATACTGCAGAGAAAATACTTAAGCGGCGAGGCGTGCGTATCATCAAGGGAAGCAAAGTCACCAATGCAGTCAATCAAGGCTTCTCGTGGGAAGTCACTCTATCCGATGGCCAAATACTAAATGCAGACCTCTACATTTCTGCTGTCGGCGTCACTCCTAATAACAGCTTCATACCCAAGGAGTTTCTCGATAAAAATGGATGGGTTGAAGTTGACGAACAATTCCATGTCACTGGTTCAAAAAACAAGAATATTTACGCTATTGGTGATATTACAGCCTTGCCTACTCGAACGGTCATGAAAATTGATGAGCGTTTCCCCATCTTGGTGGACAATTTGAAGGCCGACATTCTCAAGTCTGCGAGTAAACGACCTACGTACGTCACGTCTGCAGAGATTGAGAAAAGTAAAGCGATGATGTTTGTTCCCATTGGTGCGGGAGCTGGTACAGGTCAGATGATGGGAATGACACCCTGGAGCTGGGTTGTCAAGATGATTAAGGGAAAAGATTTCTTTGTGCCTAAGGCGGCCTCTTTGGCTGGTTTAGCTTGATTATGTTATGTTATTAGATCTTTTGTCATCGAAAGGTGGATATGATATCATTGTTTTCAATGTTTTTTTGAATATTCGATTCATTCTACATTTATCTACGTGTATAATATTATTAATTTAATCAGTTGTCGATGGAGCCCCGTTTTACATATTGCAATTCCATTCCCAGGGACTGACTGGAAGACTGACTGCGAAAATTCAGACCAGCTTGGAAAAAAAAGTGAATAATTTTCCTGTCAGCAACCACAGATTTCATGTATCTTAATCCGGCCTGATCTGACTCGCCATACCTGCTGTCATGTTGGAATTCCGATCCTGGAATCCACAAACGTATAAGAATGAGGTACCCTACAGATATGATCCTCTTCTTCTTGAGCTTCAGTCTTTTTATGTTAACCATGTCAGCTTTGTTGATGAATTTTATCGAGACACCATACGACTATCTGTTATAGTGACAATTCCTCTTGTCTTACCGTGGGATTAACGTCCCAGTACACAGATATCTACTCGAGAGAACTTGCGGAGGCTATTGGAGGATTTAGACTCTAGCACCAACTAGGTAAGATATTGCAACAAGAGCAGATTTGGAGAGATAACCCTTGAATTGATCGATCTTGATTCTCTCATTTCTATCTGGTCAACTCGATCCTTTTTATATGTAAAATCCGTACAACAATGTTCCCAATATTCCGCTGCCTGTGATTCTAAATCTCGTAATAAGAGTGCGTATAAAAGCTCTATTTGACGCTTCGTATCGTTGGTGTTAAGTGGTGTCAAATAGTGTCAAATAGCCGGTAAGCTCGATATCCCCAATTAGCCTAGTGTGAAAATATGGCCAACTGTCGTAACAAAATTACCGCTTGACCAAAAAGGAGATCCCCTTAGTGGGGTGTTGGAAGCCTGGTGTTAGGTATCTGTTGGACGGAATGGTATTTTTCAGATGCTCCGGATTTCCAACAAGGTATAGAATCCCAAAGCCAACCTCAAACATATAAACCTTCACCTGGTGCACCTGAAACTTGACTTGAGACGTCATGGTCGTATTCCTCGGAACAGGGAGAGCCCAAGTCTGCTAGTTGACAAAATATCTATATAAGTCCGGCTTTGGAACCTGATGGATGCAGAACACAACAACATATACAATTTGTTAGCAAACCTGCGTCACTAACTCCCACTACATATATACGGATTCAAACAGTTAAAAGCCTGAATTATTATCATTGAAAACACGGTTATATCATTGAACAAATTCAATACTCGACAAAATGTTTGCAAGAAACGCCAACAACGCTGCTACCGAGCAATTCCTCTCTGTCCCAAGCGACTGGGAGAAATGGGAGAAGGTCTTTCGAGCAAAAATGGAGCAAAAGGATCTTCTCGAGTATCTAAAGGGGAAGAAAGACCTCATGCAGAAACCCGAGATGCCAGATAACGCGCCTACTTTCCCAACGTTAGAGAATCTCCGAGCAAGGAACGGTGGGCAAGAGAACGAGCCATCTTCACAAACTGAGGATGGGTCAACCTCTCAGCAAATACCAACAATCGCTACTGCGGCTGAGAGAGCAGCGCTCAAAGCATGGAAAGAAGATTATAAGGAAGAATTAGCACACTTTAACCTGGAGCTCGGGCTTCACCGTACCAAGATGACTCTCTACGAGACGGAACGAAAGCACCTCGATGAAGTGGCTGCTTGGATGCAGTCAACCGTTAGCAATGACCTCAAAGAAACGTGTCTCGGCGAAGGAATTGACGTTCGATCCGGATATGAGAATTTGAAGAAATTCTTTGGTCGTACAGTGATGACTATTGCTCACGAATTAGGGGACCAATACAAAAAGCATATGAAGCCATTCCAACAGTGGCCTAAGGATACGAACACTTGGGTATCTGGATGGCTAACGCTTATGCAAAAGGGGAACCAACACAATCTATCATTTGCTACAGATCCCATAAACTGGACCAAGGATTTCTTTGAAGCCTTTTATAAAATCGACGCCTCTTGGGTGACTACTATTCGAACCATGTACAGCGGAAAAATTGAAGATAAAACAGTCACCTATCTCGATTTCTCACGACAACTTCAAGAGCACTCTCGGCTCAAGAATCAAACAACATCTCGAGGAGGCTTCCAACGGGGAGCCTTTAATACGAATCACGACCACGATACTCGCTCTGACGAGGAGGACAGGGAGGATAATAACAAAGACAACGACAAGGAGTCAGGCCAAAGGAAGAGAAAAGGCAATAAGAATTATCAACCAGCACGAGCAAGCAGCGGTCCTGCATGCATTGGATGCGGACAACGTCATTCAGCCTACAGATGCTTTTATCTTTTTCCTGATCTAGCCCCATCTCGATGGAAGCCTAATCCAGAGATCAAAGCGATTACAGAAAAGAATCTTCAAGACAAGAAGATTCGTGAAGAAGTTGAGGATATGCTCAAGAGGCTCACAAGCACAAGATTGAACGAGATACAAAAGATGAACAACAAGAAAGGAAAGAATGCAGAAGAGTTAATATGACTAGACCGGGAGGTTGGATTTATTGACGAAGAAAAGGCAAGTTTCTATATCGCTATCCAAGCTTCATTTACGGCTACAGGTTATATTCTATATTGGTCAGCTATCCTCGATTCAGGTTCTACGATTCACGTTTTCCACGATATCTACCGCTTCGAAAATTATCGAGTAGCACTGCCTGGAGATTTCTTGTGGGCCGGCAAATCAAAGGTCAAAATAGAAGGATATGGCGAAGTTGTTATACAAATAAGAGGACAGAATGGGAAGAGTGTCCCTATCCGTTTATATAATGTGGCTTATTGCAAGGATTTTGCAACCAATTTGGTGTCAATGCAAGCACTTTGGAAAATGGGATACTATTGGGATCAGCGCCCTTCGCACCATTGCTTACGAAGGAATGACGGCCGCTTCGTCGGTTATATTCAACAACGCCATGGTCAATTTGTCCTCGAATATAGAGATCAATCCCAAGCGAATGCCGCCATGGCAACACGCAAGGACGCTGATTCATAGACTGGGAGGAATCCACGAAAAGCAGATATCCAGAGATGGCACCTGCGACTCGGACATCCAGGACCTCAAGCACTGGAGCATCTTGCCAACGCATCTCGAGGGGTGCGAATAACTGGATTATCCTCGAAGACAAATCTCAAGAAAGGTGAAGGAATCAAAACAGTGGAATGTGACGCATGCGGCACATCAAAGGCGAAGCGTCAAATTAGTCGAGTGCCTCGTCAACATCCAGATAAACCAGGTGAACGTATTGCGCTTGATTTTCATGACTTTGAACCCAGCACATTATCACAATATAGTTCTGTGATGCTTGTTACAGATCGATATTCAGGATACATCTGGGATTATAATCTCACCGACCGAACCGCTGAGACAATTCTTGCTGCGCTTAAGGATTTACTCGGGAGATTAGATGCTCAATATGGAATCATACTACACGTCGTGGAGTGCGATAATGAGATATATATGAAGCGGTTCCTAGTGAGGAAATACCTTGAAGAAGACTTGTTCATACGAATCGAGCCTTCACCTCCGCACACGCAGGCGCTAAACGGCGCAGGCGAACGCTCGGGGGGTGTAATCAAGGATAAAGGAAGAGGTATGGCTGCAAGCAGAAGACTTACACAAGATTTATGGCCGGAGATCAATCGCTGTGCGGTTTACCTCTACAATCGCACGCCGAGGTACGAATCGAATTGGAAGACCCCGTATGAGGTTTTTCACACGTATCTCGCGCTTCAAAATGGCAAGGTCTTCGAAGATATGAAGCCAAATCAAGCACATCTTAGAGTCTATGGGTGCAAGGTGTATTCGCTCACAACCAAATATATGAAGAAAGAGAAACGGCTCCAGAGATATCACCCCAAGGCTTGGATAGGATTTCTTGTCGGATACGATTCCACGAACATATTCCACATTTGGAATCCAAAGCTAGGAGTTGTCGTCAGCGCTCGGGATGTTATTTTCAATGAGGATGAAGTTTTTGATGGCAATGTGGATAAGCTGCGTAATGACCTTGCTACCACTACAATTGATGAGATTGCTGAACTGCTTAATAGTGTACAGATTCTAAATGATGACTTTCAAAGCACTACGGTTGGGGGACCGTCCTGGACGCGGGATGACGAACCTATCCTGAACGCTAAGGAAGAAGGCCTCAATCCTCGTATCGACGTCAAATCGAACTCGAGAATTGTTGAAGCCGAAGAGAATGCTCACCTACGGGTAGAGGGTAAACCACTTGATGCTCACCTACGGGTAGAGGGTAAACCATTTGATGCTCACCTACGGGTAGAGGGTAAACCTGACATCGACCTACGGGTTGAGGGGCTGACTGGCGCACCGACTGCAGCGGGAACTGACGCCAGGGTCCTCGTCGAGGATGAAGCAATTCATCCCGATGGAATCAATGATATTGAAAAGGATATTCCTTATCCAACGCCACCGGATTCACCTCCGGCGGCGCTCATGAGCGCTACTATCCAAAATCCGGTCAAAGAGGAACTGAGTGAAAGCAGTTATCTTGATACGGCATGGAGAAAAGTGACTACATGGGAAGCAGCCTTTTATACAGGCACTTGCCATAAAATATATGGTTCACGCGATGGAAAGCCCTTCAACCGTTCATCTTTGAGAAGAATCCTGCGCTCTACAACTGGCTTACAGGTCTTTTACATGGATAAGAAGCCTGCAGCGAGGGAGCGCATAAAGGATATCCTGGATAGCGGAAAGGAGCTTAAAAATCTGCACAGAAATATGCTTCCTGCACCGCCAAAGAGGCATGAGGATTTGAAAACTCATGAACTTGGCGAACTATTCCTAGAGGCCGAAAAAGATCATCTCCGCAGCCATAAACCCACTAACTCATGGTCAAAAGTCCCATCTTACTATGCAAAAGGGAGACAGGTGCTTGATTGCATGTGGGTGTACGTTTACAAGTTTGATAAGCATGGTAGGCTCGCTAAGTGTAAGGCACGTATTGTTGTACGTGGGGATCAACAAGTTGGTCTTCATCAAAGCGATACGTATGCCGCCACCCTAGCTGCAAGGTCGTTCAGAACCTTTATGGTAATTGCCGCTCGCTTCGACTTAGAAATGTTACAATATGATGTGGTGAATGCCTTCGTTCATGCCCCGATTCAGGAAACGGTGTTTATGAGGATACCACCGGGTTATCGACATCTCTACCCGGGACAGGTTTTGAAGCTGAATAAAGCGTTATACGGCTTACGAACTTCGCCGCTACAATGGCAGAAAACGTTGACTGAGTCGTTATGGAAATTGGGCTTCAAATCGGTGCCTCATGAGCCGTGCTGCATGCTCAAAAATGGGATATTAATTTTCTTTTATGTTGACGATATTGTCCTCGCTTATAAGAAAGGAAAAGAATATGAAGCGAAAGGACTCATGGAGGATCTGAAGAAAGAATATACAATCACTGGAGGAGAAGACCTTCAGTGGTTTCTAGGAATCTGTATTTTACGAGATCGCGAGAAAAGACTCATATGGCTAAGTCAAGCCTCATATATTGACAAGATTATAAAGCTTGCTGACTCCCAACCAATTCATGAGACTCCAATGAAAAAGGAAGAGCTTCTTCCTTACGACGGGAGAGCAAGCCCTGCCTCTATTCACAGTTATCAACGGAAAGTCGGATCTCTAATGTATGCCGCTGTAAGCACGCGCATTGATATTGCTTTCGCCGTATCTCGATTATCCCGTTTCCTCATAAATCCGTCACCTTCGCACCATCTTGCCGCCGATCGAGTCCTCTTGTACCTGCAAGATCACCGTCATTTCGCTCTCCAACTCGGGGGTGGGGATGACTTTACAGTCGCAAGCGACGCATCGTTCGCAGATAACTCACTTGACCGCAAAAGTTCGCAAGCGTACGTTATGACGTTATATGGAGGTGTGACGGGATGGCAAGCAAATAAGCAAAATACGGTAACAACATCGACTATAGAGGCAGAATTGTTAGCGCTATCGCAGGCAGCGAAGGAAGGGATATATGTGATGCGTTTATTGAAGGAATTGGATATTAAGTTGGAGAGTCCCATACTGCATCTGGAATGTGATAATCAGCAAACAATTAGCCTCATTGAGAAGGATATCGTGACTCTCAAAACCCGGCTTCGGCATGTGGATATACACCATCACTGGCTTCGACAAGAGCACCAAGAAGGACGCGTGCAAGTTGATTACGTTCCCACGAGAAAAATGATCGCGAACGGGCTCACTAAGGCACTTGGAAAGGGTGAATTCGATGAGTTCTTAAAGCAAGTGGGCATGACCGACGTGTCATCTTATATTGAGGAGCAAAAAGAGGACGTGCAGGAGATGGATATAGACACGATATTTGACTCCCTGCAAATATGAGTCAACAAACAGATCAAATATGAGACAGCTAAGGAGGTGAAAAGTTGGTTGAAGTTGAAGCTATTCGCATATCCCGGCTGAGAACGGTCAGCCTGCCTACGGTGCGGCTGAGGGGGTGTGTTGGAAGCCTGGTGTTAGGTATCTGTTGGACGGAATGGTATTTTTCAGATGCTCCGGATTTCCAACAAGGTATAGAATCCCAAAGCCAACCTCAAACATATAAACCTTCACCTGGTGCACCTGAAACTTGACTTGAGACGTCATGGTCGTATTCCTCGGAACAGGGAGAGCCCAAGTCTGCTAGTTGACAAAATATCTATATAAGTCCGGCTTTGGAACCTGATGGATGCAGAACACAACAACATATACAATTTGTTAGCAAACCTGCGTCACTAACTCCCACTACATATATACGGATTCAAACATGGGGCTTGCTGGTAATGCTGTGTGTAGGGTTATTTGACGTTCCGTATCACGTGATTATTTTTAATACCAACACAGGCGTAGGGTTAGGGTTAAGCTAACTCTAGTTTGTTGTAAGTAATTTCGATTGTTTTTGATATTTCTTGTAAAACAGTCCGTTTTACCTGAAGATACGCCTTGGGTACTGAGCATGCACTAATCCTGTTACAAGGCAATTGTGTAGCTTATTTTGACTTCATCCTGCTTCTCTTTACCGTAACCTGATAGGCTTGGTGGAACCTTCCGTAAAAATATTTCTCCGAGGTTCCAGGAGGCACGTTTCCCGCAGTCGTAGCAGACTGACGTATCTCAAAAGTGCTGCAAAGACCCTTCTAATCGCGCTGCGACCATTGACGCCTGGGAGAGCCTGATCATTGACTACATGGCTTTGCTGGATATTAAGAATATTCTATACAGTTCTTGAGATTCGATTTACGTTTAACGTGCTTCTGGAGGAAGCCTTATTCATCGTGGTCGCAATGGAGACCACCACTGTCGTCGCCCCACGGACATGCAGTCGATGCAAGGTGCGAAAGAAGAAATGTGATAAAATGCTCCCAAGCTGTGGGCGGTGCAATAGGTAATAACCACCTTTCCCATGCAATCTTCCTAGATCATTCGTTCTTCTTCCTTTTCATATGTCTTGTCGTTCATCGAACCTACCGTACTCCCTACCTATTTTACTCTATCTCCGGTTCCTGTATAAGTTATCGGAGAGACGAGATTATGCTAGCAGCATGAATATATCACCATCAGTAAGCAAGGCTTACCAAATTGCTGAGAAATCTGTGCAGGCTATCCAAGGAATGCTCTTACGATGAACTATGGAAGGACCCAGAAGATGGCAGGGCAGGTGATCAAAATATCGAGCTGCGGGAAAGATTGGCTGCTCTAGAAACCATGGTGTCCGATCTTTCCCAAGAAGTGAAATATTTAAGGAGCAAGCCGAATTCTAGCACGGACGATTCATCTCCCCAGTCCCAAAGACAACAAGTGGTGAGCAATCCAGATCATGTGATTCAGAAGATAATGGACCATACAACTACGGCTATGGAATACGGAAATGTCAACGTCCTGGGTGTTTTTGAGACTTACTTTGATACCATCCACAACCGGCTACCAATACTATCGAAACAGAAGCTTTTGATGGATCTCCAGGCAATGGAGACACCTAATGACGAACTAGAACTTATCAAGGGAGTAATAAGCTTGCTTGTGATATATCCAGACAACTTGGCAAGTCAGAGCACGTCTTTTCCTCTTTGGCAATTGTACGAAGCAAGCAAATCTCTATTTTGTTTGATTACTTCAGTGCAGAGCCCTCAGTTGAGGAGTGTCCAAGCCGGCATACTAATCTGCTACTACGAGATCACGCAAGGTTGGCTCAAAGAGGCACAAAATAGCCTCCGTATATGCACGAGGTCTGCTCAATTGGTGCAACAGCTTGAGGAACTCTCACCGTCACCCTATGATGCTCACTCCCAGCACCAGTTTGATTTTGAGATTGAACCTATTTTCTGGAGTCTATCGTTGCTGCAAAGGTAAGGTTCCACTTTTTGAATATCATATACAAGGCTTTCATATTCAGATTACAAATTGCTGCAATTAAATTCTCTGCTCCATGCCAATACTAAAACTAAACATCTCCTGCTAGTTATCTATATAATATGTCGTGCGATGTGCTGGCGCAGAATCCAACCATGTCTCGATTACAATCAGAGGAATTTTATCTTGCGAAGAAGGAAAACAACGTCTCATTTCCAATACAGTATTCTTCTGGGGGTCTTCTTCAGCCCTACCACGTACTGGAGAAGACGGCGGCATCTCTCCTCGATGATGTATCCAGTATTGTCTACCCACAAGATGAATTCAGATCATCGCAATTCCGTCAGGCCCTTGAACTCGATTACAAAATTACTGGCCTCATTATCGAGATCAAGGGGCAACCTGAGCATCCCTTGGTAGATCAGACCGTTGGTGGTGAATACGTTATTTGTTTATGGTAAGAAGTCTTCCTCGTCATAGAAATAAGCAAAATAAATTGAGAGGCAGTTCTGTGAAAGTCGTCTCAGTACTAGAAGCGCAACCCAGTGGCCCTCCATCTAACGTGCCTTTTCTAGGGCGCTCTACAAGCTGCATTGCTCTCTTTACCAAAAAGCAGTCGAACTAAATGACCACAATTTTTCTGAACTGTCAAAGCTAAGTCTTCGACAGCTGTTCTCGGTTTCAGAGACCCTTTTTCAGGCTCTTATTAGTGGAATCATAAAACGAGAGGTTGATATAAGAATTCTCCCTCCGGCACTTTGTTGTGTTCTGCACTACAATCTCATTGCCATGGAGCTTCTAAGCGATAGAGCGCACGAATCACTTGATGGCCCCGTCAGATATCTGCTACATTTATTGTGTCAAAAATGGTCACTTGCTGGTATGCCTCTTCCCTGTTTATTAGATATACATTTCTGTGATCATCGCCATTTTTTCTTTTGCTGAATGATTTTGCACAGAAATGTCACGGTTCCAACCCCAAGCTAGATTGACACCGCGGAACGGGCAAAGGCAGTGAGGTTATGCAACACTAAGGGATCCCTAAGGATCTTTATGAGTTTCACATCTTGGGAATAATTACACGAAAGGCTTTGTTGATTGCTTTTTTGCATACTTTTATTGTTAGGTCTTTGTACAAATTTAGCAGACATGCTCCGTCAGGAATCATGCCCTGGAGCAAGCTCGCGCAGGCGTTGTGAGGGCTCAATCAACAGTCATATTGGAAGCTAAGCACAAGAAAACCAAACATAGAGAAAGAAAGAAAGAAGCTAGGAACATGAGGCTATCTGCAAACAAGATGTATTGTGTCGTGACCACGTGACCGAATCGTTAACCCTCCTACGTAACCCTAGCACCTGACAACACTAACCCTAGCACGTGACTACGCAAACCTGTTGGAACTCAGAATGAGATAAACCAATTTGGGAATAGGACAAGATTTGCGTATCAAGAAATTTCGAGAATTGGCATCACATTCCGACGCGATATTGAACATTACAAATCAACTTTACAGCCTATTTCTAGAAAGTTCGATTTGCATAAATGTCGACTTTTAGTGATATCACTTCTATGGAATCTTGTATATAAAAACAGGTTCAATACTCCTAGATAGTGGTTGGAGAGGAGTGCCGGAAAATAGACCTACTTGTTGCGTCGCCTCTCCCCACCCTAGACCGGGTGGTGGTCGGCCCGGACTCAAGGGCCAAAAATTTCAAAATCTCAACTTGGCATTTACAAACATCAAAACCAGAGCCAAAATGACCCCTAAATTATATAAAGAAGAGGAAGAATTGATTGTAAAGGCCCTCAGTGCGTGTCAACACGAAAAAAAGCCGAATTTTAGCAAATTATCGCGTGAATATGGGGTGTCTCGCAAAAAACTGTCCCGTCGGTGGCATGGCTTACCCTCTCGCTCAACACGCCCACCTACGAGGCGCCTACTATCTCTAGATCAAGAAAAGGCACTTATTCTATGGATTGAGTATCTAGATAATATAGGTGCGCCTCCTACGAATCAGCAAATTGAAGAAAGTGCGAATTATTTGCTCGGCAAAGATTTCAGTGGTCCAGGAGAGGCCCCTCGTGCCGGAAAAAATTGGGTACACGATTTTATCAAGCGCCTACCAAAACAATATGTACGAATCGTTCAAAAACCTCAAGAAAAGGAACGTACCGTTGCAGAGCATTATGGTGAGGTTGAGCGCTGGTTTATTGACCTCGAGCTCGCTATACAACAATACAAAATTCGCCCTCAAAATCTGTGGAACTTCGACGAGACCGGATTCATTGTTGGACAAGGAAAAGATGAAGCGGTGGTAACAGCATATCCAAAAACATCAAAAAGGGTATCTAGCCTGTCCTCTCAAGAATCAATTACTGTCATTGAGGGTATAAATGCCGAAGGAAAGATTATACCACCTTTATTGATTCCAAAAGGCAAGGTCCATTTGGAGGAATGGTACCGGCATATAAAAAATGACGACTGGCTAGTTGCACCTGCTTTGAATGGATTTATCACAGATGAGATCGCATTCGAATGGCTTCAACACTTTAACCACTTCTCTAGGCCCGGGGCCTTCCCGGATTGGCAGTTACTTCTTATGGATAATCATACAACTCATCTTACTATACAGTTCGTGCAATATTGTGAAATTTGGCACTTTCGCCCATTCCGATTTCCGCCTCATTCTACGCATTTTTTACAACCGCTCGATGGAGTGCCATTTCAGCAATATAAACATGTTCATGGACGGGTTATGAACAAGATTGCACGCTTGGGTGGCTTTGATTTTGATAAAACGACTTTTTGAAGAATTACGCGATATCCGGATAAAGACATTACCCCACGACATTCGGCACGGCTGAGAGAGCGAGAATTTGCCTCTTATCCTCGGCTTATACTTGATATGATGCTCAGCCAGAGGAAGCATTTGAAGCACTTATTGCTGAAGGGGATGCACTAAAAATATATAGCGAGGCGGATGACACTATTCCCAGCTCACCAACTACAAAATCAATATCTCCACCATCAACGGCCGTAAAACTACGTCGCTATGTCAATAAGATTGAAAAATCGATTGACGGTATAAAGGATATTCTTGACAAAGTAAGCCCGGGCCTTTCACGCCGTATAAAAGTGGTTAATCAAGGCAGTCTCACCTTGGCCGAATTAGGCGATCTACACCGTGAGAGCTTTGCCAAGGTTCGTGATATAGCAACGCGCAAGAATCAAAAAACTACAAAGCGCCAAGTCAAAGCGAGTGGTGCACTCTATGTAAAAGATGCGAATCGCCTCATAAAACGCCGTCATGATGGGGATTTGTTGAAAATCTATAAGAGCCATGTCGTTGGCGTGCCGCAGCCGATGGAAGAAGTGGCTTCAACAGAGCCTCAAAACAGCGGGTTTTTCTTTGATACTCAGGGAGATAGGTGAACAATGCTTGTATTTAACACCTGTCTAGTTTTTATATGCAATTTATATGGCGTTGGTGGACTGTAAAACATTTTACATGAGACTTCATATTTTTTGGCCCTTGAGTCCGGGCCGACCACCACCCGGTCTAGGGTGGGGGGAGGCGACGCGACAAGTAGTTCCTTATACGTATTGTTTAACGTAATCGGTAAGCGAAGCGACAATGTAAGCGAGCCGACAGTTTCTCTCCGAACGCGTACGCAATATTGAATTCAAATCTCAATTTCTAACCCAAAATTATAATTATACACAAAAAATTAATTACTAGTAAGATTAGGGCCTTGAGGTCTTCTATGCCCGAGAATATTACACTCACTACACCGAAATTGGCGACGTACTGGTGGATGAGAGACTGGGAGCTCAGGCTCGGCCGGAGCAGTGGTAACAGCTTGAGATGCCTCAATCTGACCTTGTAAAAGTGCCTGAGCTTCCTCTCTGGTAATTCCTTGATTATGGGATATTTGCTTTTTAGATTTTTGACGTTTTTGCTTCTCCTTCTCATGTGCAGCCCGTAGATCATGGAGTTCCTTCTGGGCAATTGTAAGCTTATTAATACTCATCTCATAAGCCTTTGATGCCCGTGTAAACACTTCACCAATAGCTTCAGATGAACTTCTTGTATGCCGGCTTATCCTCTTTTTCGTTGTAGTCATTTGGCGCTTAAATTGACGTGGGTTTTGAGGGGTTTGCAAGCAGGATGATTGTGTATCACTTGATCGACTTGGAGGGGGTGTTGGAGTCTTCAATCGAACAGTAAGCTGTTGATAAACTCGATCTGGATTGAATGGTACTAATCCAGTTGCTGTAAAGCTATTCCGAACAGTTTGGGCTTTATATGCCATTGTACGAGCCTTTGGGAATGCAGTAAGAAAGTCAAGTTTATCAATATGATTGAATCCAAGCCTCATTCGCTGCTCAACAAGCTATCCATAATGTCGCTTTAAAACAGCAAAACAGCCAACATCAAGAGGCTGTAAAAGATGTGAAGAATGAGGAGGCATACAGACTGGAATAATATTATTCTCAGTGCATGTACGGTCAAATTCAGCAGTCAAATGACTTCCATGGCCATCAAGAATTAACATGCGATAATTTCCCATTGCACGGCCATTAGTAAGAGGAATAAAATGGGTTTTAAGCCATTCTAACCCAATCTTATCTGTAGTCCATCCATTATCACTGATATTAATTCTCCAGTCATCAGGAAGATCCTCAAACCAGCCTAACCGAGTATATTTCTTTACCTTGAAAATGATGTATGAAAGCAGGGCCCATCCAGTTGAATTAATTGCCTCAATTGCAGTCACCCATTCTCAATTTCCAGGCTGTAATAGCTTTGGCCGAGCATATCGATCGCTTCCAGTAATAACCTTTGCGGTTGCACAGAGTCCCATAGCAAAGCCAGTCTCATCAAAATTATAGATATCTTCTGGTAAGATTCCGTACTTTGATATAACCTCTCGTACGCGATCAAAATATTCTTGGATTAACTTCGGATCTTCGCATTTAGCACGCTCGTAGTTATATTTCCGTGAAAATTTTGATTCAATCTCTGGGCGACGTTTGACGAGATTATAGACCCATTTCTCTCCAACCTATTGATTTCCACATTGTGAAAGAAGGTAATTAGCCATCTCTCGTACAAGAGAGTGCCGAGGGGGTAATCCACGTTTGTCTAGATCGAGTACCCATTTGACAAGTGATTCCTCTTCAAATTGAGACAATTTATGTCTGTTGGCACGTATTATAGATCTTTGTTGAATTCCGTTTAACCTGTCATATAGCGTCGTCCGAGGAATATTGTAAATGATTGCAGCTTGATACACACTTGAGATTTTTCCATTTTTTAAGTCGGAAATAGCTAACAAGATCCGCCCCTCTTACTCTGCTAAATTCTTTTCGTTTTTATTGCGAATTGGTGGCATGTTGACGCGTTGAATAGTATGGAATCAATATTGAGTACGCGTTCGGAAAGAAACTGTCGGCTCGGTTACATTGTCGCTTCGCTTACCGATTACGTTAGTGCTCGCCTTCGCTTAGTCATCGCTCTAGTAAACCAACGTTCCGACATATTTCTCTTTGCACGTGATATACTGGCCCTAAGAAGGGATGGAGCATTTAGGGATCCATTTCTCTTGGCGTTGTGTATTGTTACTTGCTACAGGATGTGCCTTGATGTTAGCCTAATCACAGTCAATTGCTACCTCTTCTGAATTTTGGGAACTGTTACAGTACGGGATCATCTACCAACACCAAACGGGTACGCATACTGACACGAGATGCGATGGTTGTCGTGGACAGAAGATTGTTGACGGATGTAACACTGTAAGAGAGTGGGTAGAGGGCGTGATAATGAGATACGAATATAGCTTCGATTTTCAAGGTAGGGCACGATTCGTAAGGTAGCTATTTGCTACCTTCTGAATCCTATTCGAATCGTAGCTAAATACACAGCCGAGCCGTAGTGCGGTTCGGGTAATGACTAAGCAGCCGGAATTGACCACGTGATCCAGCTTCCCTGGTGAAGTTATCCCCGATTCTAAGTTCTCCGCCTTACAAACACTAATCGGTGCATACAGCACCAAACGGGATTCTTTACCGCACAAGACAGTTCATACGATACCAAACGGATTGTTACCATGATTGAATGGAAGTATCAGTAACATCGATCGAGAGCGCACACTGACTCCTGATGGGAACGAACACTATCGGTATGTATTGGTGCCAGCACAACTTGTTGTCAGTCCGGTCGATCTATTTAGAGTCTCTGTATTCCTGTTCAGGGTGGAAGCTTCCTTTGAGGCCACTGGACGTTTCTTATTTGGGTGGCACAATAAAAGCCTGCACTGCTAAAACTGCTATTATGCTTTCAAAATGCAGCTAAAATAAACTGATAAAGGTTAATTAATAGACCTCGCCATGACCCGGACCGTGGGTCCCTCCTCGCGACCCGCGACCCTCCCCTCCGGAGGGTCGGGTCGTAGATTGACGACCCTCACCGCACCTGAGGGTCATAGAATCTTTGGAGGGTCACCCGCCAAGCGACCCTCACGGCCCGCATATGCATAACTTTCTCACGCTTTCCCTAATTCGGATGGATAATTCTGCTGACAAACATTCATAAATTCCTGTTTTTTATACCTGTTTCGTATGTCCGACTATGAATCCATTGTTTTCTATCAAACCCCTACGTATTTTTATGAAATATGTCTTCTAAATAAGCCTTCTTGCTCGGTAATCCTGGATTTACACCTTTTTTCTGCCTGGGAAAAACCGTTGTGGTGTGTATTGTGAAGAGTTGGAGAGAGAGGCATGTAACGATGGGGAAATATATATTTTGATTGTAGAAGTATAATCTGAAGAAGTTACAACTTTGATATTCTTGGTTATTAGCCTCAAACTTCCTGAAATCCTGACTTAATTATATTGAACATCTATTATCCACTTTCTACATACCTATGCCGTGTCGAAATTGAGCGAAATATATCGATCATATTCAATTATGTTCTACCAAAGTCGTAGGGTCACGAGGTTGACCCTCAGGATGACCCTCACGAACCTCAGGATGACCCTCACGAATTTCAGGGTGACCCTCACGAACCTCAGTTCTAGCCAATTAGCATGATGAGTATCAAATGTGATCTGTCATTTTACCTCCTGAGTCCCTTACCGAACTGCAAAGGAAATCTGGTAAGTCTTCTCTTCTTCTAACCATCTTCACCATGTCCCAGTTTTCTGACGCATTCTCATCTACTTATGAGGGTCCACCCTCAGATTTTCTTAAATACAGTGCTGATGATGGTCCAGGTCTAAATCAGCTCTACTCCCCTATCCCATCTGGAAATCAAGATACCTCCCTTCCGTCGTCTGAGCTTCAAGCAGCACCTAATTGTCTTCATTGAATTTGCCCGGACCAGATCAGATCATTCATCATGTACTCCCCGGAAATGGGTAACGAATTCATGCAGTGGTGGCTTCAGACCAATTTTGGGAAAAAGAGATAGATATCTTGGAATGCGAAATGAGCTGCAAACTGCTGGAAAAACTTTAATCAAGTAGCATTTGAAAAAGATAGAAAGCCTAGGGTGATGTGCCATCAATGTCGGAAGGTACTTGATTACCCTGCGTTGGCTCACTCAGGGACATCTTCAATGAACAAGCATTACAATGGGATAAATTGCCGGAGAGTTGCCTCAGCTGCAGGAAAGAAACTAAACATCAAGCTTGCGTTAGAGCATGTGGTATGTTTAAGACCTGACTTTGACATTGAGCAATGAGCATCCCAGTTCTGACCTCGACATCTAGGCGCAGAATGCGACGATACGAAGATTCGATGAGCGAGTTTGGCAGCAGAAGCTTGCTCAGCTCCTCACTGTATTGCATCTTCCCTTTCTTTTTCTTGAGCACATCAAGTTCCGTGATTTGATCTCCTATGCCTGGCTGGCACCATTAATACCAGAAATTCCTTCTGCCAAGGTTATGCGCTGGCAGCTTCGAGACCTCGTCCGTGAGAACCAAAAGAGTATCCTTCAGAAACTCCCTTCTGGTGTGAAGCTATCACTTGCCCTGGATTGCTAGACATCTCCATTCTGACAGGCATTTATGGCGATTACAGGATACTTTCTTGACGAGAACTGGGAATATCATAAGATATTACTAGGATTTGAACACTTACATGGATCTCATTCCGGCGCAAATTTGAGTGTAGTGCTCCTCAAGCTGCTACAGGAGCATCAGATCACAGATCGAGTGCTTGTGGTAACCACCGATAACACTTCAAATAACGTTAGTCTCATGGCAAGTGTCCATGAGGCGATTGAGTCACTACAATCCTCGAACGATGTCGTTATCATTTGGGTACCCTGTATTGCACATGTGATCCAGCTGAGTCTCAAAGATCTCCTTGGGAAGATAAAGGCTGCTCCAAAGATTGATACGGCTAAGCAGACATGGTCTGATGATCGGGTGGATAGTCTTCGTGCGAGGCAGCAGAAACGCGAGATCGTGGACACTTTGAATAAGGTGCGACATCATGGCTTTTATCCTCATTCATTATTCTAATCTGTTTCTTAGGTTCGAAGCCTTGCGATTTATATCAACGCGAGTCCTCAGCGCCGAGAGTCATTCTATAACTTGCAAACCAAGGAGCCAAAGCTTGTGCCAATCCAGGATGTTGCTACTCGGTGGAACTCCACGTTCTTAATGCTTATACGCGCAAAGAAACTCCAGCAGACCTTCGATATGTTCTGCTCTCAGTACGACTAAGAGCACTTTGCCTTGAGTTAGGAGCAGTGGCGGCAAGTGGACTATCTTATCTGCATTCTCCAGCCTTTTCACTGATTCACGACCCTTCTCTCGAAGTCCAAGGATGTCACCATCCATTGGGTCTTTAAGGTCTACAATAAGCTGTTTGACCACCTAGAAAAGTCAATTAGACAGCTTAGACGGAAGAGGGTCGCTTGGAAGCAGGTGATGCTTGCATCTCTCGAAGTGACAAAGAACAAGCTCTTAATTTACTACAAAGACACTGACAACATAGATGGTCATCTCTACGCCATTGACACCATCCTTTCTCCATAGGATAAACTTCAGTTCTTCTCAACTGCAGACTGGGACCCAGAGGAAGGCGGAATTGATTACCAAGCAATCTATCGCCAGAGCCTTGAGTCCTCTCTCGAGAAGTACTCGGAGAATCTTGCCCAGGAGCAGCAGATAGTGGATGCTCCCCCAACGAGTACGGCAATGGATGAATTTGATTTGGCCTGTGTTCAAGACGAGTCGCAGCAATCTCAGATTCGACAGCCAGTTCAGTCTGACAAGCTTACAAGGTATCTTGACAGCAGTAAGTGTCTCGTCTCTTGATATCAATGGAAATAATTACTGATTTCTCTTTTAGATATAGTCCTAAATGCCCAACCTCGAACCTGGTAGAAATATCACCAAGATGAATTCCCTGGAATGGCAAGGCTTGCACGAGATGTTCTTTCTATTCCAGCTAGTGGTGCAGGAGTAGAGCGGCTTTTCAACTCTGCACGAGATATCTGCCATTATTGTCGAGGCTCTCTACAGCCTCAAACAATCTCAGATCTTATGATGTATATGTGTACATCACAGTTCGAGATTCATGAAGAGAAGCAAATAATGCTCTCTGAATATCTTTTGACTCAGGAGATACAGGCTGCAAAGGAAGAGAGAACTCAGCAACAAATCACCGTTGATCCAATTAGTGATAATGAAGAGGATGAAGGGCTTTCTTCTACAGAGCCCCAAGAAACTTTGTAAGGCCTATCTGCAAAGGCACTTGGCAAAAGATGCCTAAGAGATATTGCTGAGGATGCGGAAAGTGATTAGGAGGGTGATAGTGAGGTTACGTCTCTGCTAGAGACACAGTACCGAGTGTCAGGTAGAGTTTGCAAGCGTTCAAGGTTGCTTGATGGATATGAGATGTAGAACATGTAGTTTAATTCGTTTAATTCATCTGTTTAATTCGTTTAGTTCATTTTGATTCAATGCTTTCAGGGTGATTAAAGCTAAACAAGTAGACCTACAAATACTGTAAGTGAAATACTCAAAAATACCGCTAAAATCTACAGAATTTATGCACCTCGTGACCTGACGATGTTTGCATTGTTTTACTACCCTGAGGGTCGGGTCATGGCCCTAAGGGTCGGGTCGCACCATCAACGACCCTCCCCTTATGGAGGGTCAGGGTAGGGGCTGACGACCCAAGAACCTCCGTGGTCCGGGTCGCGGTCCGGGTCGTCAGGGTGACCCGCGGGTCGTGGCGAGGTCTATTAATTAAACAGTTCTTGTTACTACCACTTATCTATCTCTCTAGAAAAAGTTTATATTCTAGTATAGATTCTAAAAAGTGACTTAGATCAATGTTATACTATTAATAATTGAATAACATATATTAAGATTATAGAAAATATAACTGTACATATTATCTAGATTTCCTTTATACTCTTTATATTGTGTTACGGGCTAGTCCCGCCTAATGCTCACTATAAGGGCATATTTGAGTAGAAAACATAACATGAGGAAGAAAAGGAAAGAAAAGGAAAACAACAAGTTCTTCGGGCGTATACAGGGTTATATGTGTGAGTATAAGCAAGGGGTTTCACCGTTCTAACAGGTGTTGCACGGTAACTGTCGGAACGTGAATATCAAACCTAGCGCGTTTCGGCACTGGATATCAGTTAGTCTAACGCGGCACGTGCGTGCCGCGTATATATGTAGTTAGCCACTCCCCGTCCCCCTTACTCTTGCACGAGTTGATAGGCGACTTCCTTATAATTATTTATATCAAACAGTCGGAGGCTCAAAATCCTCAACCCTCTCTACCACCTAGCTCCCAGGAGTGCAGCCTTTGACGCGTCTCAACGCGCCCGGCAACACCATGGCGCGTAAAGGCCCTGGTACAGACGGCCCTCTACAGACAGCCCTTCTAGAATCCACGTCTGCAGCTACAACAAGAGCTTCTGAAGGACAGAAGATCTTCAGCCCCATAGCTGTATTCCTTGATAAACACCGCAGCCAAACCACCAGCCTTGCTTCTTACCTACTGAGAGCCCTCACCACTCTAAGCGATGACCTCGCCTCAGTAGCTTAACAACATTTCAACACTTATATCAGCGGTATCTCGACAATCTCTATTCTACCTGCCCTATCTTCTTTCCCTTCCTCTTCTCCCACCCTAAATCCCTTATCCTCTTCATCCTCTCCCTTACATCCCCCCTCAGGTCTTAACCAGTTAACTTATGCAACTATTACCCAATATGCTCCAGTCAAATCAACTTCCACCACTCACCCTAAAGCCTCCATCAAAAAGCCTATGCCTCTGGTGAAATAATCCCTTCTTGACATCCAGCTCTTCGTATGCCTCCCAGCTAACCATGCAGCTAGAAAAATGGAAGTCTACGCTATCTACTCTAGCCTATAATCTCAACTAAACTTAAATAGTGCAGCACTAAAAGAAGTCCAAGCTACAAAGACTAGCTTTGTACTATGTCCCTCATCTCCAGAAGCCCTCCTAGCCCTTGAGGCCCAAAAAGAGACTATCTCTGCATTCTTTGTTAACTGCCAGATAGAACGCAGCTCCCAATAGGTCTCGTACTGAGTCACCAACATGCCAAGGAAAATTAGCTAAATCTTAGATGATTAATACTCTCTAATCCCTGTCAATCCTACACTACTATCCTTAGAAATTAGCAAAACTATAGGGCTCAAGCCTATATCTATTAGCAAGACCACTACAAGCGCTGCCAACCCTGATACTCTCTCCTCAAGCTGGTTTGTTAACTTCCCAGAAGGCACGAAATCACCACTATCTATCTAGCTATATCTTTTTAGCACTATTACCAATACTCGTCACCTCTCTAAGAAAACAACAGTTATTTAATGCACACAATACTAGAAATAGCATAATGCACGATCCTGTGCACGCCCCTCTCAATACCGACTATGCAGCTCCTCAGAGCATACTAAAAAGGGCCATGTTAACTACTGTATAGCCCCAGAGCCTCATCAATGCTCTTCTAGATGTATACACTGCCATAGACTATATCTAGCTGATTTCATAGAATGCCTTCTGCGCCCCAAAGGCAATACTAAACATACTAAAGCTTAACAAACAGAGATCCACAAATCCTGCGTCATAAACCTCGCAAAAGCTCGAACTGAAGGAGGATGTAGCTCTCAGCTCTCCATAGGCACACAAGAAACACCTATAGTATTAGATGAGATGCTATCACAGCCTTCAATCTATAAGATTATCTCTCCTTTCCGTTTAGTAACCCCCCCATCTCGCGCCCCAATTAAAGATTCTCCCATTACAGCTTGTGCAGTCTGTTTTATAAACTCTCAACCACAAAACCAGTTCGCCTCTCTTCTTGAACAGGAGCTATAATCTATTACTATCTAACTCAAAAGGCGCCTCTCAAAATCCTACAGTTAAATGTAGGGCACGCGCCAGACGCATATGAAATAGCCCTCACATTGGCATACACTAGCAACATCGATATTATCCTAATCCAAGAACTATATATATTTAAAGACCTCAGCCAATAGATCACTAAAAAACATCTATCATATGAATGCTTCTCCCCAACTGATAGCTAGGCAATAAGTGGCTAACCACAAGTCCTCACCTATATCTGAAAGAAGAAAGGCATCTGGACCTCCCAGCTACGCCCCTTTACAACTGACACTAAAGAAGCCTTGGATCTCCTATTCCTTCAGATTTTTTCGCCCACAGGAAAGTCCACTCTGATAGTTAACATCTATAATGCTCCAGCAGGCTACAGCAGAGCAGGTGAAGCTATAAAAGCTCTCATAACCCTGCTAGAGGCATATTTCCCTCAAACAATAATACTTGCAGGTAATCTTAACCTACTACACAACAGATAGCAACCCTCACTACAACGCAGCCCTACAACTTTTATAGAGCTGTTTATCAACTGGCTGGATCTCCAGGGTCTAGTACTCATTTCCGATATAGACTGTCCCACATATGAAAGGGGTAACATGTTAGACCTCAGTTTCGCCTCAAGCCCTCTGGCACTCGCAGGAGCCAAAGCTAGCATAGCGAGCCACTTAGATGCTACCTCTGATTATTAACCACTAATTACCACTGTTCCATAGGATTAGAGATACAAGGAAACAGCTCAGAAACTAAGATTTAATACACTAGACCACACCTCCTTCCTCTCGCTCCTCACCTCTAATCTCGCTGACACCAAGAGCTCAGCTGCAACAGAAGAAGATCTTGATGCCCTTACTAAGAAACTGACATCTACAATTTAAGGAGCATATAGAGGCTCTGCTAAGAGGACTATAACATAAGGTATAGGATAACCATGGTGGAACAAAGACTGCAAGAAAGCTTTACACAATTACCACTTAGACCTCTGCTCAAAGACAGACTTCCGCAGGATAACTAGATGGTCTCAACAACAATTTTAGCAAGAGAAGCTCTCTACGGTAATACAAATGAAGGATGTTTTTAACATGAGTAAATAGCATAAGTCTACAGGCATCTTCCGAAGCCCTCCACTAAAAGATCCGCTAAGGCCCAATAGCCTCCCAGCAGTTACTGTACACAAGAAATGAGACGTACTAGTCTAAAATCTTCTCCAGAACTCGGCAGAGGCAGGAGATATACCTCTGGACTCCCCAGCAGTGCCTTCCACTAGTCTCTACTTCCCAGATATATCAATGCTACAAGTGGAGGAGTCAGTACTTTAGGCAGGAAACACAGCCCCTAGCGCAGATGAAATCCCAACCTGCATACTCAAAGTAGCCTGGCCTCTAATCAAAGATAAGGTACTAATGCTATATCAAGGGTGTCTAAAGATTGGTTATCATCCTAAATGCTTTCAACACGCAATCTTAGTAATTATCCAGAAACCAAAGAAGACTGATTGGTCTTTACCTAGATTATATAGACCAATCGCTCTCCTATTAGTACTTAGCAAAGGACTAGAGCGCTTAGTGGCACGGAATATGGCATGGATCTCTATACACCATAAAGTATTAGTAAGGCAATAATTTGGGGCTCTCCCACTAAGATCTGCAACTGACCTAACCACATGCCTAACATATGATATTGAACAAGCGCTAAATCAAGGCATGACTGCCTCACTCCTTACCCTAGATGTCAAAGGCGCCTTTGATTCCGTACTTCCCGGCAGACTGATCCGCAGACTACGCGAGCAGGGCTGGCCTACCAATCTCGTTCTCTAGATTGCCTCATTCGCTACTGGAAGATCAGTTCAGATCCGACTCGATGGAGAGATCGGCCCCTCAACAGACATTACCTGCGGTCTTCCACAAGGATCCCTAGTATCTGGCATTCTTTTCATGCTCTACATAGCGCCTCTATTCTGTCTAGGAAACCCAAGGAATAGATTTAGTTATGTGGACGACGCAGCCAATCTAGCGATCTCAACTTCTCTTGCTACTAATTATGAAGCCTTATCAGACTCACTTTAAGAAGCTCTTAATTAGAGCGCTGCAGAGGGTATTACATTTGCACCAGATAAATATAAGCTTCTTTACTTCTCCTGACATAAAGTAGACCAGGATCTAACCTATACACCTTTAGTGAAAGCTGGATCTATTACAATATCAGAAAACACTAAACAGCTATATCTACAATGGCTAGGAATCCTCTTTGACAAAAAGCTAACATTTAAATGGCATGTTAGAGAAATAGTATCTAAAGCCCTCACTGTGGCCAACGCTCTTCACTCTCTAGAGAATACTATTCGAGGAGTCAAACCTGATTTACTACAGTAGGCTGTATTAGCCTATGTACTCCATAAAGCATACTATGGCGCAGAAACCTGGTAGCCAAGATATACTCGCCCTAGACCTTCCCAGATTTTAAACCAAGTTGGAGAACATCTTGAGAAACTAACTAAAGTAATACTAATAGGCGCAAGAGCAGTCCTTCCAGTCTTCCACACAACCCCAAAGCTAGTCCTTTATCGAAAGTCTAGATTCTCTCCACCAGAAATTGAACTAGATCGAATAGCCCTCCTTGCAACTGTCCGCCTACAGCGTCTCAACCCTTATCACCCACTTCGAAGACGCGCAGAACAGATCGCTAGAAATGGCCGACAAATCAGCCGATTTGCCCACCGTACACTGGCCCTCCCAAACTCTGAACAGATAAACCCTCTCTAATACGCTCCCTGGCACCCTCACGAGCCTTGTGGGAATGCTCAAGCTCAAATAGGAGCTCCCATGGGACGCACTAAGGAATAGGCAGCGGCTAATTTTATAGCTTTTCAATGTACTATCCCTAGCTCAGATATTGTAATCTTTTCAGATGGATCTAGGCTAGCAGACAGACGTACAGAGGATGGCTATATTGGACTTTAAGCACACCATTAGTTCCTCCGCTCCTCACTCTCATATGGACACAGGAAAGAGGTCTTTGACGCAGAAGTAGAAGCAGCTCTAGCTAGCGCTCAAGCAGCAATAGCGTATCTAACAGCTCAATTTGCTACTAATCTATGGATCTGCCTTAACAACCTAGAAGTTGCTATACGCCTTCTATCTCCCTCTACAGGATCTTCCCAAGAAATCTTTGAATCCTTCTGCACCCTTGCAGCTGCCTAGTCACTTCGCAAAAGGCTTCCTCACATTAAAAGTGGATCTATCTAAATTCGATGGGTCTCTGGACACGCCAAAATCCCTGAGAACGAAGCGGCTAATCTCGCTGCCAAAGAGGGAGCTGCCTCAATCCCCCCTACTCCTTATAAATCCTCATACACCTCGCTAAAGAGATACGCCAAGACTTAATCCCTATCCGCTGCTCAGTCACAATGGGAGAAGGTGGCACCACAGAGCTATCAAGATCTAGAAATAACCACTTCCTCTAAGCGCCCTAGGGAGCTTCAACTCAACTGACTTGACCTTGGCCATGTTATTGCAGCCCGTACTAGTTATAGAGACTTTGCAGACTACCATGAACGCTTCAACCATGATGATGCTTATCTTCTCTGCTGATGCGGAGCATGAAAAGCACCTCTGCACTTCTTCTTCTATCATATAGCTAAGAGACGAGCCCCTTGGCCTCCTGGGCCCTCTTCTGAGGTCATCTCTTTTCTCTTAGGCACTGCTAAAGGAGCACAAAAGCTAGCCACATGGCTAGCAGAGACCCACTTCTTTGAGGATATCTGCCCTCGCCAACCTCTCCTTAGCACCTAGCTAAGACAGCCCTACTCTTCCTTTATATTTCTCTTCTCCTTCTTTCTTTCTCTTCTCTTCTTTCTTTCCCTCTCTGCAAAACTTACTGTTCAGTTATAATAGTGGTGGAGTAATAGGTCATGGAGTGTAGGCGGACCATTGCAGCTGGCAAATATCTAAAACCCACTCAAAGTGGACCTCCCTGTAAGACCACGGCAGCTATGGAAATGCGCCAAAGAGTCTCTTATTTGTACATAAATCTGATAGGACCTGAAACCCGAGGCTTACCCCTCGGCGGCCTATGTCCCAGTAGGGATCGGTGGGAAGCGTGCGAGTCACGAACCACGGCCGTTAAATATATACACACACACACACACACACTCCCCCTTACTCTTGGGGGGCAGTCATCAATATCAGGAATTCCATACCATATTGATCAGGCTCGTCAGCTCGTCGGAATAGCTGTTCTACGTGACTAGTGCTAGCGACCTAGACGTAGATAAACCGACAGTAACATAAGAATGTGGGCAAGCAGGCGCTGCCTAGCAACGTAGGTGTAGGCACCGAGCAGGTGCCGGTTCAATGAGGCGATCAATGAAGCAATCGTGAGGGCTTCGCCCGAACACCCTTCATGAGGTCAGCAGTTATTTGGGACTTTTTTAAGCCAGTTTTGCTCTTTCTTACTTTAGCACTGTATAGCTCTACCCGTGTCTGGACTCTTTATCAAGGTTTCCTAGCGCTACTGATATCTTTGGTGCACATGTAAGAGCGGTCTTTAGCAAGTGGACCCTTCATTTCTCTCCTTTCCCTATATTTTGTTTGTCATTCGACAATTTCCTTATATGGGAGGCACAATGGCTAGAAAAAGGTGATAAGATGATGAGGAGGCGGAAATTTAGTCTAGACTCATCAGAGCTATCTGGACTAGCGAGGCGGTCAGACTGCGGGAGGACTAACCATTTAGGACAAGTAAGTGGCAGAACTTGCAAAGAGTAATGGCACAGGAAGTTGGAAGCTACTGGAGGGAAAAATAGTGAGAGTAGTCAGGTCACAAACATATTCTCGACATGGACTCTTATCCAGCGTAGACCAATTATACCTTCGATTAATAGGCCCTGTACACATTGGATGAGCTATCGCTTAATGATCGAAAATGAACCTTGTCTATACACTTCTTCCCAACAGAATAAAATAGCAACGAGACCGTAATCAAACGTTAAGGAACATATCATTTCAGATCTCCGACAATTCTTGCGAATCGATCCCGTGAAGATTAGGATCGATAACTGTCAGTCATCAATATAGGATTAATCTCCGTCTTTCTCCGACTCCGCCACCTCCGGAACCAAAGACACCGAGGATTCTTGCTTCGTGCCACGTGTCAGAGAACGGCTGTACGATCGCGTCCCTGTATATCTGGTTGATGGCGCATTGCGTCGACGCTTGCTGAAGCGTGGAGAAGTATCCATGTCGGCAGTTAAGACAGAGTCCTGGGCGACAGCTCCTTGAACCTCGACCTTTCTTTTTCCACCACTTCTGGCAGTCTGCGGGGGTTTCGAGGGCTCTAACGGCGAATCTCGGCTTCTCACCTTTGTTCCACAGTCACCAGTCGCATTGATGATGAGAAGGCTCCTCCCATCCTTGATGGTATTAATGCAATGGATGTCTTCAAGGTGGAACTGAAGGTCTAAGACCGACAGAGATAGTTCAGCACACCTGGGATGTGGATGAGGGCATGGGAGTAGAGCATCTTTCCCTTCGGAATTCGAATGCTCTTGAATCCATGCTCCTAGGCATTTTATAATGTGTTGTTTCCATGGAATTCTATGTACAAACTGGTACATTCGCTTCGACGGTGTATTGTTCACGTTGCTCTGGCAGACCGGACAGCAGCCAGGTTCAACTAACGTTCCTCCGTAGATGAGGGGATCGCAGTGAACCATGCAATTCGGTGAATCAAGGTGAGACTCGCAATGTTGTTCCCAGGCTGACTCCGCAATGAACCAGTCGTCACAGCGAAAGCAAAATTCCGCAAAATCGTGACGTTCCTGGAGATATCCCTTATGGCATTGGTAAACATGCTTCCATCTCTGTGCATCTGCTTCACCTCTATGAGAACAATTGGTCAGCCGCACATGATCATTGAGATTTAAATCAAATAGTACACTTACGCTTGAGATATTTTCTTTGACTCCGCGCAGTGGCATTTATCAAGTTCCAGCCCTGGACGTATCTCGATCTCATGTTTTTGCCTGCACAAGGTGATCATGTCGTTCAGGACTTGGCGTCCCAAGTCGCTGCGGAGAGTGGCCTCTTGAAAAATAGTTTCCGCCAAGCGTTGGCGTGTGGGCATCATTCGGCAGGCTCTGCTGAATCGTGATCGATGGGAACCCATGGCGTAGGTTCCATCTGCTTCCTCATGCAGAGGGCGACGGGGTTGGGTTTTTTGACAAATTCGTAATTCTTCTCGGATTAGCTGCCTTTTTTGCTGATATAGGTCCTGACGCTTTTTCTGTACAGCGAGAGATGAGCCACTTAGGCTCGAGAGAGCGTTTTGTACCTCTGAATAATCCTCTCGATTCTCTAGTTGATATCTTTTCTCCGCCGGCAAAGTCTGCCAGAGGTCGGGATTTCGATGCAGCGACAACCCTCGAAAGAGATCAGCCACGTGTGTACGCACATCATCGCCGAGATATGCAGCCTGGCCATCGACCCCATTGTTCGGTGCGTAATGTTGGCGATGAGTCTTTTCACCTCGGTGTCCAGCGTAGACCATTCTCTGCGTTACTGAGTAGATCTTGTCTGTAGGCTGGTCAGCTGAGCTGAGCTTTGAGCAGTGCGGTGTGAAACTAACCAGTCAAATATAAGCCCTCTGCTCGGAAATCGTGAATTGTCGGATTGGTAGGATATCCAGCTCGTATGGCCCATTCTCTTAGAATTTTTGCAAGCACCGCTGCCTTTTGGATGTGTCCGTCTAGGCCCTCGAAAAGGGGACTCTCTGGGTCTGCCCATTCAAGGACGTAAACCTCATCCGGTGGCGGAGCGGGGATGGCCAAAACGGCATCCACCGTAGCATAGTCCCGAAACCTGTCACTAGCGAAGAGCAATGCGACGATCGGCAGCATCGGATTCAGAAGGAGAAATCGCGGTCTACTCGATAGCCCTTCATAAATCTCATGTTCGGGTCTGAAATCTCTCACTTATCAGCCATATAGTCCTGTATCGAACTGAGCACGAATGGCAGCATCTCACCGTTTTTCGGGAGTATTCGTCATCCCCTTTGCGTCTTTTACAACCTGGGCAGCAAGTTCAGGCTCGCCAAGCTCATTACGGATGACACCAAATTTGATATCCTAGGTTGCACTGATTATCAGTCAGAGTATCTGCACCCGCATCGACGTCACTTACTTTGCAATATAGCCCCCGTCCAGAGTTTGCTCGAGAAACACCTTCAAGATACTCGCATAATCTTGCTGAGGAGAACACGTAGAGCAACATCTGCGCCCATATGCTCACCCTTGTGATCGGCTTTGTGTATACATCAAAGTCGTTCTCCCAGAGCTGACGACCAAGGTGGATGAAGTGGTTCTTCCTCGCATGATTCCGCTTCCGCTTAGTACTCTTGTTTCCACGTCGGGGAAATACTGTTTCACGGAGGAACTATTGTCAGGTTAGACGCCGAGCGCAATCAGTTCAAATAGCAGGGATGGTGGGTGGGCCATAACAAGGAGCGAGAAGAAAAGGACGGTAGAAACATCGGGCGAGGGGCTGTCTACATTTGTCACTGATAGTGTTATATGCCCTGGAATAGCGTCATGCTCGCGCTTGAATCCGGCAGTAAACCGCTTCCAGACCACCCTGACAGAGCCTTGTCCAGCCGCTTCGTCGTCGTATTTTCCCTCAATTCCGTAGGCCAGGTGTTGGACAAAATCCTTCAGCGACTTGAGATCGTACGCGCTGGCCACGGGACCTTTTCCCTTATCAGCACAAAACCTGTAATCTATCAGAATCAAGACATGGAACCCTCAGGTGCAAAATCTTACAGTCGCCACATATTCTGCGCTTTCTTATACTCCTTGTCGGTCTGAGCTTCGATCTTGCTGTTCACTCTCGCTGTTCACTCTCTCGCCGTTGATTCCTTCTCGATCGTTCTCTGCGCCATTCTGCCGAGCTTTTTCAAGAAACGATTTTGATTTGTTCCGGGCGGGCATGATTTTACACCAAGACGGAAGAGTTTCGATTTTGGGAGATTAGGCAGTAATATACTATACAAACAAAGATGGGGAGAGAACGAGACTGAGACGACGAGCTAGGTATTAAATACATCTTCCAAAGACAAGAGCACGGATCACTGTCACTGATTGCAGTCAGCTAGTGACGAGAACTCTTCGACTACGACGACAGGCCCTGGTCGAGAAATAGCAGCTATCTAGGCATGAAACGAGCCGTCTACGAGCTCGTCTAAAGTTGACCATTTCGAAAACCCACGGATGGGCTGAAAGGACAGAATGGGATTTTCGAGGGAGCCGCCGCGAGTGCCCGCGAGCAGGGGGGAGTCGCACACCAGCCGAGTTGAGTGGGACGCGAGCATCACGGGAGTCGTGAGGGAGTCAACGGGAGTCGCGAGGAAGTCAACGGGAGTCGTGAGGGAGTCAACGCGAGCATCACGGGAGTCGAGGTCTTGGCGAGGGAGTAAAGCGGCGGGAGACTTGGCCAAAACGGGAACCGTCAATCGCTGCATTTTCGGGGACAAGTACCTGTATACTTGTTCCCGAAAATGCATCTCACCAAAATCCATTTTCGTGCTATGACGGGAGTGGGACAGGAGCATCGCCGCTTTACTCGCTCACATGATCAAAATTGCGGGCGCGAGTGCACGAGTCAACGCGAGTCAACGCGAGTTGGAAGGAGCTGAAGCCTGGATGAAGTAGATTGAGTTGGTAGTTTCATTTCGAATTGGTGCTCTAAACGGCGTCCGCTAATACGAACGCCAGAGCCTATGTAACTGCCACCAACTCGCAATAGTACTATGTACTAACACCAACTCGGTTCAATTTAACAGTATCTACCCTGACACAGCTTCCCATCCTTGTTCTTCGGAAGTTCCGTCGGCCTAAACTTACGCTGAAGAATATTAAAGACAACAACGACGCCGACATCCTTTTTCACAACTGAGGTAGGGGCATTCCCGGAGACAGCAAGCTTAGGCTAGAAGGCATTTATGTGCGTGCACTTTTTTGCAGGCTGATGTTGCTAGCATGGAGGGCACCACACGTGACATGAAGAAAAGGCGCGCGAGCAGACCAAAAGTTCGTACAGGATGTACAGCTTGCAAGTAGGGCATCTCACCGTTCCTAACCCCCCCTCTTTCTTGTGTGCTAGAGAACTCTCACATGACTGAGATCTAAAGTTTTATTCAGAGAGTAGCGAAGCTAATCCCTATCCTAGAAATCGGAGAGTAAAATGCGATGAGACAAAGCCAACATGTTATCGGTAAGTGATCGGAGAATGACTTGTGTGAAATGGCTCCAGAGTGTGCTCAATTGACCAACGGCTCATGTGTCCGCTACAGATGCCAAGAGTACGGTGCATTCTGCGAGTACAGGCACCCTCGACCCCGCGTTGCAGCACCTAAAGTTAGCCCGCCTCAAGATCGTCGCCGGGACCTCGTTCCTATCCAACCTCGACCTCCGTTGCAGCGTATGACTAGTTCCCTAGATCCTTTCAAATGCGATGAGGTGGAAGGTCGGTATTTTCGACTATTTCAAGAGGAACTTGCATTCGATCTGAGCGGTTATTTTGAGACTCCCTTTTGGACACGAATCATACCGCAACAATGCCATCACGAACCAGCCATAAAACACGCAATTTTCGCTTTGAGTGCTCTATATAAATCTGCAATGTCGTCCAAGACTAATACGGCTAATTTGGATGATGAGCATTTTAAATTTGCTTTGGTACAGCAGAGCCAAGCCATCAACTCACTTCGCCGAGACCTGTCTAGTGGACGACCTCAGATGAGGCTTGCTCTGGTGGCGAGCTTGCTCTTTTCATGCTTTGAGAGTTTCCATGGGGATTGGGAGACAGCATCACAGCAGATATATAGCGGGCTTAACATCCTGAAGCATCTAAGCGAAGATGAGAGACGGCATGCAACCAATGGCCTCGCTGATATGGATTTCGAAGTGGGTCTGACCTTGCGCCGTCTCAAGTTGCAGATATTATCATTTCTGGCCATGAACCCAATGTGTGAGCATCCCTTTAATGACCTAAATGTCGAAGAAGTTATGCCGGATATACCAGATCAGTTTACTACTTTCAATGAAGCTTTCGCGGCAGCAACTAACTTGGCTGTGTCTGTTCTTCGACATTCGAGGAGATCTGCTCGATGCGGAAATGAATTAGGTCCACGGGAATTGATTGCACAACAGTACCTCCAGGGATTAGTGGATCAATGGAACAAGGCGTACGAACCGATATTCCTAAAAATATGCCAGAGTATTGTCAACCAAGCGTATCTTGGAGCCCTTCAACTTCGGATCTGCGTTTGGAAATGCGAAATAATGATTGCTGCAAGCTTGTCTAACACGGAAGTTGTATATGATAGTTTCATAACTCAATTTCAGAGGATTACTCATTTTGCACGGCATGTACTTCAGACGGACCAGGCAATTCGACAATCAGATGGTCCCAGACTACAATACGGTATGGGATTGATAATGGCTCTATTCTATACGGCTACTAGATGCCGGGACTTCTCCGTGCGCAGGGAGGCCATTGCTATACTCCGGAAATGGCCTTGCACGAATGGGATCTGGCACAGTCTGCAGGCAGCAAAAGTTGCGGAGTGGATCGCGGACATAGAGGAAGAGTGCTGTGTTGGCATGAGATTTATTCCGGGGGACTGTCGTGTAAAAATGCAGAGTTTGAAAGTGTCCTTCCAAAAGGGTGTGATTACTGTGGAATGTATGCAATATTCTGTTAACGGCGTATTAAACCCCCGAAAAGCAAACATTCATTGGCGTTAATACTTAATTTTACTGGCTTATTATTCTCGGGATAAAGTTTTTGAAAAATATAAATAGCTTCTGTAGTCATTGGCTAGTGAATACGACAGCGATTGGCTGGTGAGTACGAGAGCGATTGGCTACTCACCTCTTTGAAATAGTATGCGCATTAGCGGTTATACTCCTAGTAGGTGTTTGTCATAATACAGCATACACACTACTATAAGTATGGCCTTTACCTACTATTCGGATAGGTGTATTTCGTAGTTGTTGCAAAAGGATTACAGGAACGACAACCAGCCGATTCCTAATCCTGATTTCTTATATCTACTGGACTCACTACTTTGTACAATCTTGGTCTCAACGTACTCTTTTACTTCATTTTATGAATCAGTTCAACATGGCGTCCAGAAGCATCAATGTCCATCCTACTGGCTACCACCCCGCCTCCCTCACTCAAACAGCCTTCGACATCATCATAATTGGCGGCGGTCCCGTTACCAGTTTTGCCGAAAATCGTCTCGCCAAAGCTGGTCTAAGCGTTGCTGTAATCGAACACGAGCTCTACGGCGGTGAGTGCCACTTCTTTGGATGCATTCCGTCCAAAGCACTTCTTCGTCCTGTCGAAGCTTTCGAAGCGGCGAAAGCGATTGACGGAGCTCGAGAGGCGATCGGCACCAACAAGCTCGACGTTGCTGCTGTATTTGAAAGAAGAGACAGGTTCGTGGATTTGTGGGATGACAAAACGTGGATTTCCATTTCAAATGGAGCGAGTGGCGCGACGCTTGTTCGAGGTTTTGGACGTATTGCTGGCATGAAAAAGGTCAGCGTTCAACCACACGGTGAGACGCAGAAGTATCATCTTGATGCGAATATTGCGATCATTATTGCGACAGGGTCCACGCACAACGTGCCTGCGATTCTGGGCATCGAGAGTCTCGACGAAGGAACGGAACTTTGGTCCAATCGTGACGCGGTCGCGGCAAATGTAGCTCCTGAGCATTTGATCATTCTCGGTGCTGGGCCTGTGGGGTCTGAAATGGCAACTTTCTATTCTGCCATTGGCTCCAAGGTAACACTGATTTCGTCCACTGCGGAAATCCTGCCTATGGTTGAGGGAGCGGCTGCGAAGATTGTGCGGAAGAGCTTGGAGGCAAATGGTGTCTCCATAAAGCTCTCCTCACGTGTGTCCAAGATTGAGAAACATGCTGCAAATTCATTGACTGTTGTATTATCTAGCGGAGAAATGATCTCGGGTTCTGTGCTCCTGAACGCAACAGGTCGAAGTCCAAGGACATTCGATTTGGGCCTTGATAGTATTGGTCTGACTGGCGAAGGCCAGCCGTTGAAAACGGACGCAAGGCTCGCTGTTCCTACGGCTCAAGGTACTGAGCCTTGGCTATTTGCCATTGGAGACGTGAATGATCTTGCCCCTACCACTCACATGGGCGTTTATCAGGCACGTATTGCCTGCAATGTCATTTTATCCTCCATTAGAAATAAGCAACCATCTGTAAAGATCGACACTCCTATCGGAGTTACCGTCACAGAAGCCAAGGGGGGTCAAAGCACATTTGCCCAAGTCATTTTCACAGAACCCAACATCGGTACCGTTGGTCACACCTTTGCTTCAGCTCAGTCCGCAGGCCTGAAAGTCAGGGCTGTTGACAGTGATTTCTCTATCGCGGGAGCATGGTTGTATGGAGATGGACAACCTGGATGGGCTAGATGGGTTATTGAAGAGGGTACTGATAAGCTGGTTGGTGCAACGTTTTGTTGTGTTGAGGGATCAGAATTTGTAAATGCGAGTCAGGTCGCTATTCTGCAAGGCTTGACCTTAAAGGAGATGGTACATGTAGTACCCCCATTTCCAACTCGGGGTGAAATCTGGACCCATTTGTTGAATGCTGCAGGGTTCTAGCTGGATAAACAATCAAGATACTCAATATTTACGCTTATTATGCATCCTTAAATAATACACGGAAAAGTAATAACTCTAGGGTTATATCAGTGACTAGAGTGACTTCAAAACATCTCATTTCTATAATATGTCTAGAGGCATCCATCTACAATTAAATAAAAAGTATACTATCAAAAGCAAAATCCGTCCAAGATCCTAAGCTTGAGAGATTAAAAAAAAGGAGTGCTGTTTGAGAAGGGTTATGAGTCTCAGCATATTCAGAGTGTCCTATCACCAAATCTGGCAGAACCACAAGAATTGTGGTTAATACTAGGGTTGGATACGTTGCCTAGAACTTGTGGTGTGCCCAGTACAGTCTAGTTACTCTGTATTCCATGTGGAATACTTAGGAGTACTATGTACTATGTAAAGCTAGTACTCGTAATTTACCCACTCCGCTAAAAACGAGGACCCCATCAGTAGGGGGGCATTTCTTCTTGTTATATGCTTAATATTGCTTCATTTTTTGCTCCAACATATTCTATTGCGGATACCCCGTCGTTGATACGGAGCCAGGTTATCCTTCGGATCCGCAAGCATTTGATAAACGCGTGTGGTGAGTGGCCACCACACCCGAATATCGACGATGCGGCCGGCATTCGGTGACTAGTCCTGATAGTGGGTTCGGTTGTGCGAACTTCTGAAGGGAGAGTTTATCAATTGCATCCCTCAGCGAGTATCACATCATTTAGCCGAACATCAATTCTGAAGGTGCTTTAGCTAAGCAAAATCTTCCAGAATATGTGATATCCGAAATATGATTGGTCCTTTCGACTTGCTCTCAAGAAGCCTCGGAATTGTAGGGTCATCTGACAAGTAGATATAAGGTATAACGTATTTCACGGGTAAGTGGCACACGGCTAAGTGTAATAGGAGGTTGGACAGGAGGAATTATCAATATGACAGAAGCGTTCGGTACTTTCAGATCTTCATTAATAATGGTACTATTGCTAATATACAGAGACTAAAGCTTAAGAAGAGAAAGTAATCCTATCTATAGAGAACCTCATCCTTATATATGATAGTGTATATAGATTCTAAAGTTAGAGTCTAAATATAGTAGTAAATATAATAGGTTAAATAAGGCTAGTATAAGATAGATTAAATTAAATCATCTGAGCAATCTCTATGTTGATCAGCTCCAAGATCTGGGCTTCGACATCAAGGATGACTTGTGTTGGCAGGTCAAGATTCACAACTGTATCCAGCAGCACTTGTTGTCTGAACTATGCGTGTTAGCACGCACAGGAAAATGTTACTGAGTTTTTAGGTCATAAAAGGTATTCAAAGACTAAAGCACCTGTACGATTTTGCTCTGGAAGGCCTAGCTGCTCTACACTGAGAGGAAGTGTCACACGAGAGTTGTTTATTCCACTGAAAGAAACTTTCAGGTGTGCTTTGGCGTCGCCCATGTCCCAACCTGAAGCGAACAATTTACTGGGAAACTGAATTATCAGCGACTTTGCGAGAATGATTAATTGCTTTCAGATAAACACTGTTAATTCGATCATGGTAGCAGTGACAGAATCGACGAATCCAGCACTCCCCAACATCATATTGTAGAAGCTATACAACAAGATTTCGGAGAATTTAAGGCGTTGGAGGTAATCCACGAGATGAGAGCTTTGAGATATGATGAAGAAGAACTTCTTCTTGGGTATCTGTAAGGAGTTTGCGGTGAATAGAAGTTGCTTCCTGGTTTGATACGGTCTGGCCTTTATACCGACGCCTTAGGGTCGAAGGCTCAAGATTATATTTTCTGGAAGTTTTGGCATATTGAGGCGTTTTTTTGTGATTCTAGATCACTAATTGCCTTTAAAATAGCTGCTTCGTTGACCATGTTATCGAATTCTGAATGTTATTTGTAGGAGCGGGGTAAAACGGGCATCGAGTGATTGGGAACCATAGAGTACACCCGGCGGAAAATGCGCGAAGCAAGTACTTCTTATATTCTGACGGGATCGTTTAACATTGTTACTGATGTTATGGGTTCTGTGTATCTCGATTCCGAAAATTTGGAGGCTTCAGATGCCGTTTCGGAACAAGATTGCATTGACGCTGATATTTGCTGTTGGGTTTTTATACGTTCTTGTTCTTTCGCAATCCTCGAGGCTAGGCAGAGGCTCATTGTCTACAGTATATGCGTCATCAGCATCGTCTGAAGAATCACCCTCGTTCGCATCTCATACCTAAACATCCCACAGCTCTAATCTGGAGGATGCTCGAACTTACCTTGGGCATCACATTCCTTACGTCCTAGTTATGCGACCCATGACAATGAGTGTCCTACCATAAATCAAAGGTAGCAGCAACAAGATAGGTCCGGTAGGGTAAGGATTTGATTCACGCAATTTTCAGAATATTGATGAACAGCATTTGTATTTGTTAGGGAATATGAAGTGGCTCAGCTCGGTTTCCTTCGAATTCTCGACGCAGCCCTCAGAGGCTCTATAATCCAGTTTTGATCCAGGTCATCAGGATCATCATTCTCCGAAGTAAACCAAACAATTTCAAACCCCAACACATTCGGATGAACCGGAAATACAAACGAGGAGACTTTGTCATAGTCTGCATTCCCAATATAAAAACTATTAGACTCCGAGACAATAACGCGGTGGCCCTTATCAAGCACTCTTTGCGTAACACCATTATGCCAGGTTTGAACCACCCAATCCGTGGAGATGTCGTTTAGGCCGTTTCCATTATCTCCCTCGTCGGTGGCGGGGTCATCCCACATAATCAGCGTTTTGCTTGGACAACAGACGGTTTTGAGCCATTTAAAGAATGTCGTGAGGAGATTACTGTCGTCTTCTGTATGCCATATCAAGGCAACTTCATCGCCGCCAAAGTGGTGTAAGGCTTTAGAGAGAAAGTATTTGTCGACGGTGGAAACCAGATCGACTATATAATCATATATCATTGGATTTCTGATGTCGAGTTGAGCGTTTGGATGCTTTAGGTCTGGATTCCCAACTATTAGGTCTGGTTTCCAGTATCCCCTAATCTTGTTAGATTCTAGAAACTCGTAAAGAGGTTGTTCTAAGCAGAACATACCATATGTCACTATGTCCAGGCATATCCGTCTCCGGATAGACTTCAATACCCAATCCTTCTGCATACGTGACGATATACCGAATGTCCTCAGGCGTGTAGTATTGGCGAGTATGACTGTATTTCAGACTCACCTCAGTCAACACACCATCCGCCGGCCAGTAAAGCGGGAAGCTCTCTGCATCGTATATGTGCCAATGGAATACATTGAAGTTGTATTGGTGCAGTAGTATCAGGAGATTGATAATGGCTTGGACTGGGAAAAACTTCCGGCCTGTGTCCAGCATGAAGCCTCTGTGGGGGTAAATATCGGAGTCCATTATCCTTGTAATTAGAGAAGTCCGGATAGTTGGATAATGAAGTCAAACCTTCGTATTACAGGCGGTAATATGTACAAGGGTTTACCCTAAAATCATTCTTCCACGATAGTACGTAATATTTACTATTACACTCTGATATCCATGACATGACTGGATCTTTTCTTTCCCCTGTAGAAAGACTTATCAGAAGTGCTTCTAGTCGATTTTCTGTTCTCGCCATTGTTTTTTCTCTCTTTGGAGACTCTCTAGAGATATCGTTCAATCTCATGGCGTCTGTTGGAGACACTCCACAGGTTCTCCATATGCCGGAAGACACCAGCGACGAGACGGATACATCAAAAGAAATTAAGAAATATCCGCTCGCATCGACCTCTTCAAGAGATCCGGAGGATCAGAGCAAGTCACCCATCGTTCCCCAACAACACGATCATCTTTCCGAAAAGCGAACTCTCAGACGAGAACTCTGGATCAAAAGGAAAAAATCCCAAAAAGCTACACTCAAAATCAAAACCAATCAAACTGACGAGCGTATAAGGCCCGGAAAATACCGCAGATTCTGGGTATGGTTTGCACGGTGCTTGACTTTCTACATACCTTCTTGGTTCCTCAAGAAGGCTTTCAAGATGAAAGATTTTCGTCTCCGTCTTGCCTTCAGGCAAAAATTACTCTTTTGCTTACTCATTGGGGTTGTTTATGTGCTGTTATCCTATTTCCTCATCGTTCAGCCTGTTTTTAGCTGTGTCATGAAAGTGCATCTTGGCATGTTTTCCGGCCATGGCAACTTCTGCAGTATCGTCCGCCATATAGTCTGGATATATATGGGGGTAGGAGGCGGGTTCATGCTTCTGACGGCCTTTTGCGCTGTCAAAACTCGCTATGCTTCTCGTTCTTTCGAAGAACATGACACTCTGATCATCATGCACGTCCCCTGTTACAACGAGAATGAATACGTGCTCCGTAAAACGATTGACTCATGCGTTGCTTCCACCTACGCAAAAAAGCGCAAGCTTCTCTTCATTGTCGCAGACGGCAAAGTTGCAGCTCCCGGCCATAAACCAACATATCAAATCTTGCTATACGATATCTTCAATCACAAGGCAGACTTGGAAAGTGGAATCGACGCCGAAGCGCGACATTACTCATCCTTTGACGAAAACGGCACTTCGGACAATTATGCTTTTTGTTGCACCGGCTACTTTCGTGAAGTGCCTTATGTGGTCGTTGTCAAGGTTGGGCGAGCTGATGAGCAGAGGAATCCGAAACCAGGTAATCGAAATAAACGTGACTCTCAACTTCTAGTCTACAATTTCCTTTACTACGTAAATTATCATCAAGAAGGAGGAAAAGAGTCAGCACCGCCACTCTTCGAAACGATCGATTTTCAAATGTGCATGCGTTTGAACATGGACGCACGCCATGCGATGTACATGCTGGTGGCCGACTCGGATACCGAGATCGAACCGACAGGTATCTCATATCTGGTCCATCAATTGGAGAAAGACCAGAAACTCATTGGCGTTTGCGGATATACGGGGGTCAGCAACCCCGTGGACAGTTTCGTGGCTTGCAGTCAAGTCTTTGAATACTGGCTTACCCACGCCATCCTAAAAGCATTAGAAAGCGTATGTTCCAACGTCTTGGTGCTCAGTGGCTGTTTTACCATTTATCGACTCAAATGGCCAGAGAACAATAAACCTGCCATACTATACTCAGCCATCTTGGAAGACTATTCCGGCAATTACGAGAAGACCCTGCACGAACACAATCTCCTTTCGATTGGCGAAGATCGTTATCTCTCAACTCTATCAATCCGATACTTTGGCTCACAATGTCGACAACGATACTTCTCAGCTGCAGTATGCACAACCACTGCCCCGGCCAGTTTATCTGTATTGATTGACCAGCGGCGCCGATGGACCAACTCTCTTATCCACTGCCGTTTTTCGCATCTCAGCATTCTCCCCTTTGAGGCTTCTTTCTGGACTCAATTGATGTTGGTGCTTATGATTGGCAGCGAACTCTTTATGGTACTTATCTTGCCTCTCGCGTTGCCTGCTGGCTTCGTTCTTGCGGCTATCAATCTGTTTTTAAGTCCCTTAGCCTGGCCCATACTCCTTGCATTTTGCCTGATTCCCATTGCGCTGTGCATTCTGTGCAACGATTGGCGATATATTCCATTTTATATCCCGTTCTTCCCATGATTATCGTCTACAGCATCGTCATACCGCTGTTCTCATTGTGGAAGCAAGACACTGTCAAATGGGGTAAGACCCGTGATAGTAGTTAGGACTGGACTCGTCAATTGAGCTGGCGACGACACTGCCAGACCGGATTTTGTGGGAATGGGTCTATTAGTTACTCCCTGTAGGATTGAATAACTGAAAGAAAACAATCTGTAGTAAATATACATGGAGAAAAGAAGGGAAATCCAATAGAATATATTTTTCATTCGATATGCTTTCAGTCACCTAGATATGTTGCCCGTTCTAGACTCGGTAGACATGCACATCAACGAAAAACTATAAAATCAACATCCGGAACATTGAGGAAATCCAAGGATGATTGTCAGTCGGAAATAGCCTACAAAATCATGTAAATTACCAGCCCCTTAGCGGGGCTCCGCTTTTGATCGAACGGTATATTTTCCGGTCCTCGATAGTTCCATCAAGCAGTAAACGATCAGAACTTAATGACCCTATCAAAAGCTCTCGTTGATATTGTTTTTCTAGCTAACGATGGGTTTACTCCGACACAATCTTAAGTTATAAAGAATCCTTTATGCTGTACTTCATACGGTAGCTTACAATGATGGTAAATGGAAGAATTGACTATCATAGCAAGATTGTATGTGTTGAATTCTCTGTCTCTTTTAATACAGGAGGCTTGAAAGCCGGGTTTTTATAGACATTCCGGTGAGCTGATTTGTAAGCTATTATGAGGGGGTGAACATTGGCTAGATCTAGCTGCCCAAGTAACACCCCTGAGGTGGCTATTCAAGATCTAATAGCCAATCTCTCTGCCTAATTAGATATTTTTGTTCTCTTATTCATTACGTCCGGAGGGACTAAGGGCTTTTTTCTAGGGCTAGCTTCTTCCCTACCTCACGACAGGATAACTTTCTTCCCTCTATACATGCTCCTCCACTGTTCTTCTCATCCTCACGCTCTCTAAATTTTATCAATTTCATCAATCGTTCGCTACTTTCATCTCGTTATTCTCACTCTACTCCTGCTGTGGGCTTGAGATATCCTCACTCCGCCACTATGGCTGGAGATAGCACTCAGCGGTGCTCAATATGCCACCGAGAGAAATCAATTGAACAATTTCGATCTGCAACTGGGAATCATATCTTGAAATCGTGCTCATAATGCCATACTCATCGTCCCTCCAAGAGAACACGTACTCAGGCTGGAATCCACACTCATGAGCCTCCTGAGAACCCCTCTACAATCCCCTCTGTCGAAGAAGATCTTCCTCACTTTATACGACCTACTACTGCTTCTTCGTTACGTCGTCTCCAGCCCCAGGGAGAGACCTTCTACGCATCGAACTCATCATCAATTTGAGAAGCATCAAAGAGCATCTTCATCTCAAGAAGTTCACGACTCCCCTATTTATCATTATCGTGGAATTCATTCGCAAGATTCCCCCACTCATCAAGTACGGCGTCAGCGAGAACGTGATCGACGCGCACATCGTGCCATAAACCGCGTCATTATGCCTGAAAAATCGCTAACGGTGTTGATATCTGACAGAACTGCCAAAGCCTGAGTATCCCATTCGAACAATAATACAAATCTTGTGTTAGTAATGATCATGAAATCCTAATCACTACCTTCTTTGACTCTACACCCACTAAGCATAATATTTGCAACTCGTGCCGTCCTCAGATGATGACCCAGAGTGAGACTGACCCTTTATTTCACCCGAGTAGTAGCATGCCCCATTCGGAGGATTTGTCCCTAGCTTCTACTCAGCCACGATTCCCTGGTCGTACTGCTATCCCCCGTATAGAACCGCAACAGGCTTCGACTTTACTTCAATCTGATCCTCCATATACCCCCGGCGATCCAAATTGCCTTTCAAATCCCGTCCTCGCCGAAAGTAATATGACCTTGGCTAAAAGATTTCATGCTACTCTTGAACAACATACCATGGAACTCTGTCACCCTATGAGGAAAAGTGGTTTAATTGAGACTTAATGCACACGGTATTTGCGACCATTGTGTGCGTGTTGATAGTGGAAAACACGTATATCTGTTCTCCGCTATCAACAATATCATTCGGAGCAAGTTGTATCGCTGTGGCAGGGAGATACTGTGTTAAGTCATTGACACGGCCAAATGTAAGCAGCGCAATATCTTTGTGAGGCTCCCGGGTATGAAGATGGAAACAAAGACCCCTATGGAAAATGAGAGAAACATATATCCATCGTTATTCTTGAGGGGCGGGAGGGAGGGGTCATGCTCATATCTGGAACTGTTGAGATATGGAGCGGTAACTTACCGCTAGGACAGGGGTTATAACTACTGAGTGTGAGTGTTTTGCACTCGTTGTTTGTCTCATTTGTTAATCTTATATTCTCTATGGTTCGCCCTGCGGTGCGCCTCCCGTGGCACAGATGCCTGCAGGCTCAGGCACACACCTGGATAGCGGCCCTTAGACCGTAGCTAGCTACAGCAGGTATCAAATCTAACTAACTAACTACTGAGTGGCCCACTTCTCCTGTACTATGTATACATAGTAAGTATATTTCTCAGCAGATTTGAAGCTCACTAATCTAACCAGCGCGCTCAGAGGCGTGCTCAGTTCTACTCAGTGAGTAAAAGCGGCAAGGGGCGAGCACTAAAACGGAATAGGAAAGTCGAAAAGCGTCAAGAAAATCCGGTATGTAGGTATTATGCTAACAAAAAGATCTATTTTAAGAGGCCACATGCTTGAAAAACCGACATTTTATTCCTTAAGATATCATAGCCTTTATTTATTATCTATACTTCGTCTCGGCGCAATATAAGCATCTTAAGATATAGTCAGCAAAGGTGCCTAGCATCCTCTCCGCTTGAGCGAAAGGAAGAAAACTTACAATCTGCTGAAAGTACTTCATTCCATAAATTCTCCTCTGCTTCCCTCTCCGTAAGCTGGTCGGTGTAGAAGAATCCCCTCAGAGCCGAGCGTGCTTTATCCCATTCCCCCAATCCAAGTCGGCGCGTCATCTCGGTCAAACCGTTGACAAACCAATAATGAGACTTGTAGCCATGAGAGGCCATGCTGCCAATGAACAAAATCCAGAACAATAATTCAGGAGCGGTACTTTCAAGATAAGAGTACTGGAGCTCCAAGCTCTGCTTTAGTGTTTGGGCCATGTGTTCCATGATTGGGAATTTCTGGAAATGAAATATTCGAAGGTTCACATAGATCATGAGGGTGAGACGGAGCGATTCGTGGACATCGTCGGCTTCTGCGCAGTACTTGGCGGATAGGAGCTCATGTTCAAAGACAAGGAAAAGATCGTTATCTGTGGGTATTACAATGGATGGTCGAACTTGTGCGACTTCGTAGTAAAGAATGAGTCTGCGGAGGGCCCGGATGAAGGTCTTCATGTTTGAATCAAGCTCCCCATACCATGGGGAGTGGAAGAAGTTTACACCAAGAGACAACAGATTCTCGGGTGTCTCCAGGTCTTCCTTTGAGAGGAAGACCTTGGAGTCTTGTAGGATCTCACTGCGCCATCGGGCTGATATTGGGAACATGGGCTGTGTGTTCTTCAAAGCTGCGCTTTTTACATCGCTCCTGCGGTGTGAGATGGAGTTTAGTCTGCAGCCTGACGGAAAGAGGTTTGAGGGAGGGGAACGAACTGGTAAATCTTGGAAATAGTCATGTGGTCTAATGTGTCCAATCCTCCCCTTAGATGGATTAGTCTCCGCAGTCCCTTTGTATGGGCTTCAAGAGCCTCAAAACTGGCACTACAAGCCTGGAACAGAGCCGATTAGCAAGGACGAACTACCGAATGAAAAATTACCACATAGGCGGAAGGGTAGTCATACCTCGATTGCTACAAGGGAAGCAACGACCAGAGTAGTGGACCCAGCAACAGCTTTCACCGGATCTTGCATAATATCGTTCAGGGTCTTGAGAGTAACCCCTTTGAGGTGGAGGCAATCATGAATCGACTTCTGAATTAGGTGAGGAGCCATGCCGCTGTTTATTTGTGAAGCTGCCAGGTGGCCGGCCGTTGAGAAAAGTAGGGTCTGAAGCAGAGCCGGGGTAGTATTTGCTTTTTGCCACCACCATATACTCATTCTTTTCCATTCGAGGGGGTAGCACGCTACAACCGTATGGATCCTGACTGTAATGGTCGGGGTTAGTTACAGTAGAGACAGACGTCTATGAAATATACGTACAGTGATGAAAGTACTGGTTCATCAAATCTGTCATCTTCACTGCTGATGAGGAAAAGGGGTCCACACAGCCCTGGCCCAGATAAGCGTTCAGAGACCATATCTCAGACCCCATAGCGACCTGTCGGCCAGGAGGACTATCCGGCTTTCTCCTTAGATCGCTCTTCCCATTTTTTCCTGTAGACGGAGTCGAAAGGTTGGTATCGGAAGTTGGGCGATCATTTGCTAATTTGTATCCAATGTGAAGGTGATCTTTTGGTACAGCGTTGGAGCTCTTTAGTCTCTGTATAGAAGCCTGCTTCTTCTTTCTATGGTAGTTCTTTGCGAGGAATGCCTGCTTTTGTGTCTTTATTGCAGCATTCTTCGCCTGGTCTTGGTAGGAGTCTACGAAGAGGAAGGTTGCTTGAGAATTAGCCCGAAAATCAGTGGTGCTGGAGGTTGTGGGCGCAACATCAGAGAAGCCAAAGAAGGGTGGTGAATGTGACAGCCTAATAGACTGCGAAGAGGAGCTCATTGAGGGTGAGGAGGGAGAACACAACATCTTGGATGTAGAATATAGAATATAGTGCCGTTAAAGCGGTTGTACCAAATCTGACGTAAAATGAGAGCGAGATCTCCTCAAGATTTGGCAGCAGTTGTAATTCGTGGCCGTTCACTCCAGTTTCTTCAGATGTAGATGTGACCCTCGTTTTAAACCTCCGAACTGCCCAATTCCTACCGTAATTCCGTGAGACCCGTTAAATAATCCTACAGTCTCGAAATCTGATGACCAAGCATGACAGTTTGCTCCCAACAGTAACTAAGACAAGCCGCGTTGAAGAAGTTCCAACCTCAACTAGCATGCAGCAAGAGTCTCGAAGAAGCTGGTTGGCTCCATGGTCCTGATATCATCGGGATGAGCCGCTCAGGCTCTGAAACGACCTGCCGTCTGAGTTTAGACCGGAAAGTTCTCCGGATACAGATTTTGCAGGGTCTTGGGTAAGTCGAAGAAAGTGACCTATGACGAGGGCGCCAAGGAGGACTCTGTAACGGCTCGTGGAATTTGGGATCGTTCGCGCAGAAAAAAAAAACTTCATGGTTATCGTCGGAAGGTCCGAACCAGTACCGCAACTTCTGCTCCAGTGACAAGCGTGATTCCCCCCTCTCAATTTCTCCTTTTAGATTAATTCGTCAGAATCAAATGCCGGCCTGCGATATACCGCTGTCTTTCGGTCTTCCAAACATCTTTAGAGTTGACCGGTGACGAGTCGCTCGTCTTACTAAACCGATGACAAAGCTTTTGGCGTCTGCACTATTTTAGCGCGGAGTACCAGTCAGCACTGAGCAAACGGAGTAGACCTGTTCGGCGAGGGCCAAATGCTGTCCATATGAATATTGCAGACAAAAAAAGATCCGAGATTCTGTGTAGTTCCGTGCCTGTGTCGGAGGCTGTCCCATCTTTCGTTGTGAGCTTCCCAATGTCGACTAGTCCGGTTGTGGAGATCGAGGATTGGATGAGCCTTGGGGGGTCATCTTCGATCCCTCCGTGACTGCTGTCATCTTGGTAGAGAATGTAAGAAAAACCGTGAATCGCAAAGGCTTCAAGAGGAGAAAACGAATTCTTAGATCAAGGGGAACTGCCAGGTTCTTAAAGCATGCCAGGTTTTTTGCCTCTTCACAAATTGGACCCGCGGGGCTAATGAGAGGCAAGTGTGAGATGCCCCAAAACGGAATAGCTCCGGACCGCTGAATTGTCTTGAAGGCCGACCGGTCTTCTGAAGGCCGGCTGCTACTAATATGCACCGCCGCAACCCTAACTGCTAAGCATTTGTTGATTCCCCTCCGCCGAATCTGCCTCTGTCAATGCTGGAGCTGGCATTTCCAGGTCCTATCGATCCAACGGTAGGTGACAGGACGCCACAGGGATGTGGCTGGGTTGAGATATCGCCGGTGAATTTCGTTGTAGACCGTCCCAAAGAGTACCCAGTCTTAGAATGCTTAAATTGTCCCTTGAGGATCCAGTTTATGAGCCAGCTAAGAAGATATTACGTAGTTATACGCCTCCCTTTGCCGGTTTGTGGATTCTTTTCTCAGCGTTCTTATCCTCTTCATCTTGTTATCTCTTCCAAATAGGGGAAACGGTAAGGAGGCGAGGGAGACACACCAAGAGATCTCATTGATGTGTTTAGTGACCAGTACGTACGGTCTATATCAAACATTTACGCTATGAAACTAATTGCATTTAGTCCATAATGCCCAACTCATGGAAAGAATTTATGGCCATAATGCCAACATTACAAGAAGGAAGGCGTTTGAGGCGGCGAAGCTACCTCCAGTCAAGAGTATCTTGATACTGCTTCTGACAACCACTTTCATCAATACATGGGAGAAAGAGAAGGTATCAAATTTGTAAAGCATGCGCTTGCCGACATTTGAAGGTATTTGGGTCTCCAGATAACTTCCAAGTGGCATACAGGTTGGGACCTATCCATAGATGTATGGTACCTAGTTAGGGTTTATATAAGCGGGTTCCAAATTTCTGACTTGGGAGTATGGCTCCCTTCAGTGACAGTGCCCGTCAATGGGGGATCTGACCATTTACTGGTCTCGTCTCATTTCGAACACGTTCTATATCATATCTTTCCCTGCCCGCTCCTTTCCCTGCTATCGAACTTGGGTCTACATTCTCTGGCCGTTTTCTCTCTCTATTCTTGTCTATCTATGATGATGTCTGCAAGTCTATACCTGATGATGGAAAGCGATGCCTCCGCCACTTCACAGAGCATTTTTTCTTGTGCTGGAAGCAGGAAAACTGACTCTGTTGTGTGTGTTACCCTAGGAGGAAGATATCTAGCTACTGGCGCGCTAACTACAAGAGGTAGGCGGTGCTGATTATCTAAGGGCAGAATCCCAACATCTTTTCGTGTGATTCTGTAGATGATATGTCAGACAGCAGCGTCTTTGACAATGCGTCAGACGACGACGGCGACTGTGCGGATGCAGATTCGGATTCAGATCATGACCATTGTCCTTTCGAGGACGAGGTCGAACATTCTCCATAATACTACCTACTCCGTACTATGTAAACTATTCGCTCCACTTGAGTATAAGCGTGTCAGATTAGCCAATCATATTTATCGAAACCGTTATCCAATCAGAGCTCGCCATCCACTCGGAAGAGAGATCCACCGTATAGGAGTGAAAGAAACATCTCCCATTTCTACTGTACTTAGAACAGGGCCGCAGGGAGAGAGGATTACAACTAGCATCAAGGATTGCATAAATTTTACCTCAAAAAAGCAGGCGTGCCACTGCCTACAGCGGCTGAGGAAAACCCCGAGGCTAGGCTATTTGCTGAGCCTAGAGCGACGCAGGGTTTGCTGCAATTCGTGGCTGAAGCCAACCTATTCAATGATAAGGAGCGGACAGCCAGAGAGGCTGAGTCTAGTGATGCGTGGGGGTGGGATACGTTGGAGGAAGGTGGCCTAGGTGTCACATTGGAGGATGAATAGGGGTGAGGGCACACTAGTCAGAGTTTGTACTGATTAGGTGTGCCCACGGGTTTGGAACTATAAGGGATCTCCGGAAGGATTAGCCTAGGGAGAGTGCCCAAAGGTCCCTGGCATATCGGCCACATGGGGACGAGATAGTGATTTATTTTTGGATTTTTGTATGTAGGATTCTGATAGGGGTGAGGCCTGTAGGGTCTCACCAAGGCTTCCAGAGGTCTGTCATAGCCAATAGGGCTGGGTACGGACAATAAACTTGAATAATAATAATAATAATAACATACATAATCTGATACGTTGAGAAATACCTCTAGAGATTGTTACGTCCAATCCAACAGGATGATAACCTGATTTACTGAATTTGGTTTAGTTTTGGTAATTACATGACTAAGCAGCCGTGGCCACGGAATCGAAAAAGAGTCAATTTTTGGACACTGGATAACTACACAACAAATAAATATTTCATTTCAAATTCCTACCTTGTGTTGAAAATTAGTATTTCTAATACCTGACAAATTTTGGAGTCGGTAGATCTCTGCTTTATGTTGAAGTCCAGTGCGGATATCGCCTAGAGACGTCGAGATTCTCTGCTGCAGCTACTGCGTACTCTGCAATCAAAAATATGCCACGACTCTATACTATATCTCAAATTTCAAAGGCTTTTATTGAGTAGTTACTCAGATTCTATAGATCCTTATAAATTACGCTGTAATTTCCAATATGAAGGAGTTTATAGTAGAATAGGTGAACACATTTGGAGTGCTTTTCACCCCCAGATCAATCTTACTTCTAAATGGTATACTGATTTCCAAGGGCCTTCTGTTCGTTATAATCAGGTTCTTCGCACGCCGCGTTAGGGCTATCAACAGATGTAGATAAACAACCCCACAAGATATAGACTAGATCTGCATAACAACGGTCCAAGAACCAATTAATTGAGTAGTTACTATTAAGCTATACTTGGAAAAGTAATAGTTCAGCAGTATGCTTATCTTTCTGCGGGGACAGCTCTATGTCTTGATAGATGAAGCTGTGCGACTATGTGTTACACCTGCCACTTTCTGATATAGTGAACAAGTGATGTCCAATTGCCGACTAGATAGCATGCGTTTCAATCTTGACGTTGCAGTTTACTAGTGCTAAAAGTTAGGGTAGTAGTTCTCTATCTGTATCTTTCGATAAACAGATAAGCGTTCGTCTCGGTGACTATAGGGCAACCTTGCAAGCAGATTCTTTAAATATGGGCTGTACACCAATCTTTAATTCCAAAAATCATAGGATCAAGCCAAGATGGAGACTCCGACAAGTAAAGAGGTAAAACTAGACTCCAAAACCGCCGCCTCGGGGGACGCAGAGATTGGCCATGAGCCTCTGGCCGATCTCGAGGTCGATCTCGCCACGGTGTTGGAGGACGACAATGTCGAATACTCATACGAATCGCACCGCTCTCCATTTGCAGAGGGTAAGATCACTTCCCAAGATCAGTTCACATACGACCAGCTAATACGACCGGTTTAAGTGAGAGCTGTCGTCCCCGAAGTCGACGACCCCTCTATGCCCGTCAACACATTACGAATGTGGCTCCTAGGAATAATCTTCACTATCATCGGATCTGGCATAAATCAATTCTTCTCACTACGCTACCCATCCGTCCATATCGTAGCCCTGGTCGCTGAACTGCTTGCTTTCCCCTGCGGCGTCTTCCTCGCCAAAGTCCTACCAGACTGGACTCTCAACTTCGGCCCCTTGGGGAAATGGAGTATCAACCCAGACGACAAATTCAATGTCAAGGAACATACCGTGATAGTCATTATGAGCAATGTTTCGTTTGGATATTTCACCGCGGATGCGACGAATATTATCCAAGCGGCGTCGAAGAATTTCTATAATTTTGGACTCAAGACTGGATTTCAGGTCTTGATTGTGCTGTGTGCACAATTATTGGGGTTCGGTGTTGCAGGCCTCTCGGCGCCGTGGATTATTGAGCCGGCGAGTATTATATGGCCTGGAACGTTGTCTAACTGTGCTCTTCTTGAGAGTTTGCATTCAAGGGCAAATGTGGCTGTTGGAAAGTGGAAGGTTTCTCGTCTTCGGTTTTTTCTCTACGTGATGGTTGGAGCGTTCGTTTGGTAAGTAAACTCATCTTTCCTACTGCCAGCATCCGTATTGATAGAGCGAAGGTACTGGTTCCCCGGCCTCATCTTCACAGCCCTAAGCTACTTCACATGGGTCTGCTGGATCGCCCCCAACAATAAAATCGTCAACCACCTCTTTGGCATGCAGACAGGTCTGGGTCTAAGCCCAATTACATTCGACTGGAGTCAAATCGCCTACAACACCAACCCGCTCCTCTCCCCCTCGTGGGCAGCAATGAACGTCTTTGCTGGATTCGCAATCTGCTTTTGGATCATTGCGCCCATTCTGTATTATACGAATACATGGTTTACGGCTTATCTGCCGTTGATGACCGCTGATGTCTATGATCGGTACGGGAATGAGTATAATACGACTCGTGTTGTTGGGGCGGATTATACCCTTGATGTGGGGGCGTATAGGGAGTATTCACCACCATATTTGCCGGTGACCTATGCCTTTGTCTACGGTCTTTCGTTTGCATCTATCACGGCTGTGCTTACACATACCTACCTGTGGCATTGGGACGAACTGGTTGCGGCTTTCCGGGGAACTACAAGACTAGATATCCATGCAAGACTCATGAAAGCCTACAGAAAGGTACCCTGGTACTGGTATGCGAGTATAATTGTCGTCATCATGGCCATGGCAATCGCCATGGTAGAAGTATACCATACCCAACTACCGGTCTATGGCGTTTTTCTCGCATTCATAATACCTGCATTATACATGATACCCTGCGGCTTGATTCAGGGCATCACAAACGTTGACGCTAACCAACTCAACGTCCTCAGCGAATTTATCGGCGGTTACATGTTTTCCGGCAAACCGCTAGCAAACATGTGTTTCAAGATCTTATCAACTGACGTCGTAGGTCAGGGCGTCTATTTTGCAATGGATATGAAACTGGGCCATTACATGAAAGTGCCTCCTCGAACACTCTTCTTTGCGCAGGGCTTCGCCACAATCCTTGGTGCCCTGACCCAGACTGGAGTCACGCTCTGGATGTTGGGTAATATCGATAATATCTGCAGTCTCGATCAAGCGGATGACTTCAGCTGCCCCAACGGCCGAACCGTGTATAGCAGCAGCGTGATCTGGGGACTGGTAGGACCAAGTCGATTATACTCTGCAGGCAAGATCTATTCCTCCTTGAACCACTTTTTCTGGATTGGCGCCATCACACCGGTTATCACCTGGGCGTTGTGGAAGTATACCAAGAAGAATTATTGGAAAAAGGTGAACTGGCCATTGTTTTGGGTTGGAACTTATAACGTACCACCTGGTAATCCACACTTCTTCCCCTGTTCCTTCATGTGCAAACCCAGTTCACTAACTTGGCAATGTACAAAGCAACCGGAATAAATTACTCCAGCTGGGCCATTGTTAACTTCATCTTCAACCACTGGATCAAGAACAAATTCTTCACCTGGTGGACCAAATACAACTATGTCCTAGCAGCCGCTCTCGATACGGGCATTGCCATCAGCGGCATCATCATATTCTTCTGTGTCTCATACCCTGGAGCTGTCTTTCCGGATTGGTGGGGGAATAATGTGTATGTAAATACAGCTGATGGACAGGGTGTGGCTTGGTTGGATATTCCAGAGCAAGGGTATTTCGGGCCAGCGAATGGAACGTGGTCGTAATCCTTAAAGGTTTCGAAATTCAGTTCCTTATTTTGATATCAAGTTATGTTGTATAGAGAGACACGACGCAACAGATTGTATAGGTATGGGTTGGACATACAATTAAGTTAAGGGCTACGGGACACCTAACTAGAACCTTAACTTAAACCAAGGAAACATTCTATACATGAGAAGCTCAGAAACTCAGAGAAACTTTCGTTTATCATATAGTAATACGCATATATAGTAGTATAGTTAGTAATTTCAACACATAAATAACCCCCGTTCATACCAAAGTTTCCTTGACATCCCCTTCCAAACGCCGTCTGTACTAATGTTCCACATCAACCTGAAATCAAACTAAAGAAAAAAAAAGACATAACCCATATTATAGTTGAGAAGGAAAGAACAACGATTGCGGCGAAGGAGAAACCAGACAGTTGGACATGATCGGAGGCTAATGTATGCCTGAATGATGAGGAACAAAAAACAGAAAAAAAAAACTCCCACTGCGAGAAGCCAAGCAATGCTCAATGTCCAATTAATATATTGGTCTGTTATAACGTAACACGTAAAGTCGACCGGTTTGATCTATACATCGGAAATGGGAAGGTAACGTGGCTACAATCACGGTGAGGCCCAGCCACCTGCAACCTCGACCCATTCTGCGAGGCAACTTCCTTGCTTTCCTTCAACGTCGACAATGTCTGTATCGCATCTGCAACGGCAACCTACACCGTTTTCTTTGACAGTGTCGAAGGCGGCCCAGTACTCGTCTTCTTCGACCCGTTTCTTTTCATCCTCAATCATCGGATCCAGGAAAGGAATACGAGTTAATTGCCGAGCTGGTGCATTGGCAGGACAGTGTTGGATCGTCGTATGACGGTAACCAAAGTCTCGGAAGTAATGAATATCGCGAGGAGCAAGTAGTGCACCAGCGGCCAAAGAGTGAATCGGCGCATCACCCCACTGCAGTCAATTAGAATCTGCATGAACAAGACAGATTAAAGAAAAACATACCCGTTCCATCCAGAAACCACCACTGCGGTCCATCATCTCAAAAAAATCTTCATACTCTTTGCTGCGGAAGAAGTCTAATCGAGCAATTTCAAAATTACTCCAAAAGTGGCACATGTTGTACTTTTCGCCTTCCATAGCTTCCCGATCGATTTCGGGAGGTTTCACGTCTTCGAGCTCTTCAGGGATGGGCTCTTTCTTACTAGCCTCATCTTTCGTTTCTTCTTCTGCAGGTTTTTCGACAAACATTTCCCACAGACCTTTCGATTCCAGTCCCTTGGTGCGCTTGTATGCTGATGCATAACGGAAAATGTTTGGCACAGTCTCTCGAAGCTCCTTGACGGCGATTGTAAAACCGTATGTTTTGTTGTTTTCCGCCATTTTAAGGAATGGATCACTGCATTGGGTTAGTGGTGGGAATCCTCTTTAAGAACATAGAACTAGACTCACTATGTAATGTCACAGAAGTACTTAATCTCAGGTTCCAACCGCCAGTACCACTCATATTTCAAGAGTAGAGGATGCTTGTAGAAAAACCTGGAACAGAGTTAAAAAAGAAAGGCCACACCTAGTCTAGATGAAGGAACATACCCTGAGTAGAATCTGCACATATGGTGGTAACTCTCCATGCCACCATACATAATAGCGGCATCTCCTTGTTTCCTGATACCCTCCTTGGCGACTTCATGATCTACCCAGTCTGGAAATCCCCACATGGTGTCATCGATCTTTCCGAACTCAACGGGTGCACTCGTATAATTCTGAACAGTGTCTTTAAACTCCTGGTCGAAATCACCATCGTTCAAAAAGACATACGGATAATGCCACCATCTATTGAAATGACGCTCAATCGATCTGATGGATTGAATAACACCTTCGAGTTCTTTGTTACGTGCAAGCACGACAAATGCTGCATTGGCTCGAGGTGCAGCGTCAATTTTCTTTTGGTCGACATGTTCGCAACCGGTCGCGAAGACCTTATCATGTTCTTCACTAATTCGCCTGTTGAACAAAACATCAGTAAGATTGAGTGATCAGTAAGACAAGTGTTCTGGAAGTATGACAAACCTGATAGACGGAGGCGTCCCAGCTGGGACCAAAATTCCACCCGAGGAAGACGGATGTCTCGCGAAAATAAGTACGATTAAAATGATTATAACACATGGAAATATTAACACAACACCCAGTGGTATCGAAATAGTAGAATTGCCTCGTAATCGGATTCGTCTTCGAAGGAAAGCCAAGGGAGATAATCGTTGGCCTTTCTCACGTGATACATTTTCGAGAGATGCCAGCGCTGGCGCGGACGGCAGGCGCTTAACAATCCGTCGAACGATATTCATGGTGGCTGCCCAAGCCCCAAAAAACTGAATGAGAGACTCAATCGATCAAATGGAAGTTGAAGTAACTTTTGTCTCGTGATAGTGTGGAGGTGTTATCGGGGAAGGTCGTTTCTGCTTGATACGCAGCCGTTGGCGATTCGCCAAAGATCAATGTCTGTATCCTTCTCTATCGACTAAAACTCAAGCTTTCCGCACAGTCGTCAAAGAAAATCCTGACAGAAACGATAGATCCGTAAAACGAGCGGCTGGAGGAAAAGCCTCCTTTCTTCCCTCAAACGAGCCCTGCAAGGCCGACCACAAGGGACTGAAGCTCACGGCGATCGGCCAAGCGTCGCGGTGGCAATGAGGTAGCAAGAAGTAGTCGAATCCGACCGGAACCGTCAAGTCAAAGAGGTCATCGGTAGGAAGGGACGAGATGGTGAGAGGATGAAAGAAAGGTTGGTGGATGGTTGACAAGAGCGAAGACAAAGTAAAGTTGGCAGTTGGCCGAAGTCAAGATAATTGGCGCGGTAAGGGCTGGCAGAACGCCAAGACCAAAGGGGTAGATTACACTGTTACAGATGTTACCATTACATACGGTTGGTTACCGAGGGATTCTGCGGCTAGGGATACTATAAATACGGTTTGGTATGTTTCAATACCGCGTGAAATTTTCTCGGAGTGGCGTTTTATTGAATATCTTCCCTATCTTGATTGATTCCCCTGTCGATATTTATTAGTTGACTATGTACGAGTGGAATAGGGGACAGTGTGTTTATTCGGAGTATTACCAAATGCTTAATCCCTGTGAATTAGTAAAAGTTACAGCACCAAAGGGCCAGAAGACGAGTGGATTCTGGAATTTGAACACTTTACGGAGCAACGGTTTGACCATATTACTCGGCGTTCTCATAGGCTAGGGTATACTAAACGGCGTCATAGACGGAATCTTGTTTCTACATACGCTCTCATCTCCTCTTCTATGGCACTTCTGACCTTTTTCATGAAGAATATATCAGTCAACACTCTATCTCCAAGCAACTGCAGTCTGCAACGCAACACAATAACTGCAAGGTGTCTTGAGTCTTCTGGCACAGCATAGCAATGCAAATCAGGCCTGGATCAGTCCATGGGCCACTTTTTGGTGGGCCTCAGGCCGTCTGCAAGTGCTACTCATATAGTTACTCCATAACAATCCATATCGTCTTGGCCTTGAAAGAGCTGGCGATAGACTTTAACTGTCGATGAATAGAAAAACCAGTAACCTAAGACATATCAGCTGTCTTGAGGCAGTGCTTCCCAACAATCATCTCGATCGTCCGATGAGAAGTTAAGCTGCAGATCATGCTTACATAACCCGATGTGGCTTCGGCTTCAATGACTCGAGTCGAGTTTCACCCTGCTAGAGAGCATCGCCACTTTGCTGCTCAACAGTTTTGGCATTCAACATCTGTTATATGTTCATCTCTAATGCATCTCTGCCTGGAAGCTCCAGCTTACCACCCAGTACGGTACGTAGAATATAAGGTGAGGTCTCGCCGCTTCCGTTCGCGACGTCACGGGCCGCCACTGCCAAATCGATAAGATAACCTCACCAAGAGAAAAAAAGGTCCCCAGAACCCCTTTTCTCTGCTCCACGCGATCTCTTGGGTTCGACCGTCGATCGAAGTCGTACTTCAATTCAAACTCTTGTCAAACAACCTCGACGGAATATTTGCACGAATCCGACCATTACATCGTTGTGATATAGCTTGCCGTTCCGTGGATCGTTAACCTCGGACTCTCGTTCACATCGGAGGTTCCAGGCCATACTACTACCTCCTCTGTACGGAGTACAAAAATCACCCCTTCGTACTGATGAATATAATCAATTCTACGCGCCTTTCGTCTCTTTTTCCCCCGCACGTTTCTTAGTCTCTTGTGTACAACAACAATAACGACAACGACAACAAACATGGCGCAAAGCCTCTCTTCGCAAACGGCAGTCAATTCCGGAACCAGACCGATAAATGTTCCTCCCCCGTCGAAAATAGGGCCAATGAGTGTAGCGGGCCCCTCGCAGTCTTCAGCAAGCTTTCGTACGGGTCATTTGAATCTCGACACTTTCTCGCCGGTCAATGAATATGGGAGCTTCGAATTCGACCGCGTTTTAAAGCGGGGGAAAGTATTTGGCAAGATCAAAAGTCGACATGTGAGTGTAAAACGAGGTCGCAAGCTTTATATTATTCACAATTAATCAGTGATAGGCATTCAAAGCTTCCTGGAAGCCATGCTATTTAGTGCTCCGCCCAAACCTGCTTTCTGTCTACAAAGATGAGGACGAAGCCAGACTCTTACTATCCATTACTCTCTCCGACGTCGTTGCCGTCGCACCAATCCATTCCGCGCGATCGACTCGCGAACATGTCTGGGGGATATTCTCACCGTCACAAAACTATCGTTTCCAGTCTATTTCTGAGCAGGATGCAAAGGCGTGGGTTGAGCGAATTCGGTCAGAGGTGCACATTGACGAGGAAGAAGAAGCTCTGGTTGCGCAATCGAAAACGAAGAAGATGTCCGTGCCCACTACAGCCGGGTATACTAGCGATGGAGAAGACCATGCTGCCATTATAGCAAGTGAATATTCGGATGTTGGAGAGAATGAGCCGACAATTCTGTCGAGTTCGCCGGAGCTTATGCGGACAACGTCGTTGGGACACAGGGGGAAGAGTCTACCTTTTGCGCAAGATTATTCCGGTAATGAGATGACGGAATACTCGGACTTATCAGATGGGCCTGGAAGTAGTTCACGGGCGAAGAAGATTTCCAAGGGGCGCGAACCTAGCGATCAACCTACCAAGCGTCCTTCTCTAGGCCGCGAACCCACTGTCTCAGGACTCTTGGGCGATCCTGACCGCGTGATATGTCATGGCTGGCTACAATGTCTACATAGTAAGCGAGGAGTTCGACAATGGAAGAAACTCTGGGTCGTTCTTCGACCAGTCAGTCTCGCTTTATACAAAGACGAAAGGGTGCACCTCCCCTCCCCTTTTATCTGCTTGATCTCCACAAACTGATAATATATAGGAGTACTCCGCAATCCGCATCATACCCATGTCCCAAGTCATCAATGCCGCCGAAACAGATCCCATCTCTCGATCCAAGAATTTCTGTATGCAAATCATAACCGAAGATAGACCCATCTATCGCTTCTGTGCACCAGATGAAGAGTCTCTAGCACGATGGCTAGGCGCATTGAAAAGTATCATAGTCGGAAGAAAGAAGGCGATGGAAAGTAGAAAGGCTAGTACTAGTAGTCAGACCGCTGCTACCGCTACTTCTGTTCCTGTTGTTGCGCCGCCGACGATTATTGCTACGCCTGAACCCTTTCAGCCTTTGAGATGATTGTTCGATGCTATTTTTTCCTGTATTTTATTGAAGTTCACTGGCGATCTGGGTTTTATTGGAGCGGGGGTCTGAATTATGATATCCAACTGTGTATGAGTTTTAACTTAGTTTTTTTAATTCAAATATGTTTCTTATCTATCTATATGCATCCATAAACGGTTTGTACCATTATATTCTCAACGGCTAGTTCTCATTCTCCATCTCTCTTTCTCCTTCCCTTGACAAGAGAATAGAATCAACTAGGTCTTCTTGCTGCTGTTCTTCATCCTCTTTACTCTCCTGATTCACAATCATAAAAGATGCAAACACAATTGTCGCGCCAATCCAGTATAGGACGCCGGCATATTGGCCTTGGAGAATGATTTGGCCAACCAGTGATAGAGGGATGGTAAGACTGAGACCCACTGTGACCACGAGCGGTGTTGTGAGGAGCATGGCGTAGGCCCAGCATATATCTGATATGAGGGAGGATATTGAGTTCACCTAAAGAAAATCAATGTTAAGACTGACAAACAGGAAAATGCGGACGGAGGATACATACCAGAATAATAACCCAAATCCTGTTCTCAGTCGGCAAAGAGAATCTCTCAATATCCAAAAAGTGCAAAATGACGAATCCAGGCCAGAGGAGAAAGACATTGAAGAATCCCACCAGCCCAAAAAACAGCTGCATATTGACGCGGGACTCGTCGCCGACTTGCTTTTTCATGACTATTGTATATACGCCATATACAATTGCACTCAATGCTGCCATCGCATCACCAAGGGCAATTTCAGCAGGAGTTTTACTCGAAAATGGATCCTTGTCGTTACCACCATCGGCCGGGAGTGTAGTATCATCGGGTGTGGCAGGTGTCGAAGAAGATAAATCCACACGTGAAATTAGAATAACACCAACCAACGAAGCGAACACACCGAGCGCTTTTCGTAGAGTGAACTTCTCGACACCGATCATAGCGCCCAGAATCAACGTCCAAACCCCACTTGTCGATGTCAAAATGGTCGTGCTACCCACAGTTGTGAATTGCAGACATGCAATTGCGAAGTAGTTTGCCAGAAACCATAGCATGCAAAATTGTGCCGCCAAGCGTGCCGTTTGACCTAGTCCCAATTTCCCGGCTGATGATTTTGTTGCCGTTGCATCGGTAGACGAGGTTGGTGATGAAGGTCCCAGATCAGGGTCCTGCGCGTAGCTATTCAACAATCGCTGTCGTTGCGTGTCCGCTTCATATGTCCCATATTCCTCATCCTCGGGATCCTCGTCTAGTGACGTTACCGTCTCCCGCGCATAAGAAGGAGGCTCTTTCATTCCATGTATATCGAGATAGGTAAAGAACGATTTGAGTGACTTCACTTGCGATAATTTGCCTCTACGCCACATGCGAAAGATGCGACGCGCAATTACATACATCAGAAACACCACGAAGAACGACGTATTGACATAGGTAATGAAAAATGGGTGCGAGTAGCTGTCATCTGCGAGGATATTCTGGTTTACCCATATCTGTCAGTAGCTTTGTCATCTTCACGAGGATCTGAAATGTAACAGACATACACTAGCCAGAAAGTTTGAGGCCGTCCATAAAAAAACTACACACATCAACAATATGATGCCCATTGTATGTCGAGCCATGCCGTATTTATGGACAGGCTTTGTCTGTTGTTCTGCGACATAATCTCGACCGTCCGCGGAATCCATCTTGAGAACAGACTTCCCAATTATTCCGCTGCTATGACGTTCGAAAGCTCTCCTTCGTATAGTCGCCGTGCCTGACGGGCTCATCAGCTTACTCTGTCGTTAAGTAGTTCCCATGGAAGAGACAAGCATCGGTGTCGAAAACCCGTCGAATCCGAATGTGGGTGACCGGACAGCCAGGTCCGTCTTCGTCGCTATCTGCACAAAAATAGAATAGTATCCTATCCTGATCAACAGGACGTCGGAACAGAATGGTGTTTATGTTGAAATGGCCATGGGGGAGAAGTTGCTTGCCGGTATAACCGTCCTGTGTCGTGGTGAGTGCGCTTTCCCGCCGTTATCATTCGGCGATGTGGTCCGCTAGGCTTGTCTGGGTTTAGCCGCCGGTGGATAACGACTGAGTCACGACATACACAACAACATGATACATTCCTGTTACAAGTAAAAGGTTTGTCCCTTGCAGTCTGTAACTACGTAATTCGCTTATAGATCATGAATGGAATTGTCACTTCGTATACGGGAGTATTATGTATTCGACGAAATAGTAATATATGAGGGGTGGAAGTAGGGTACATGACAACGGGGAATATCCCAGACTCCTGATGATGAAGATAAAAGAAGACCAAGTCTTGGGCCGAAACGCGCAAACATCAGACAAAGGAACTATGAATCAAGTACACAAACAATAAACGGATCACGCACAAGCAAAAGCACAATGGAATAAACTGATCGTGGAAAAGAGTAGTCATCTTCGCATGGGTACAGTTGCAAGGACGTGGAAGAGGTCTAGGAAGCTCACTGCACGGAAATTGTAGGATGGATCTGGAGGGAGACAGCACGTATATAAATTTCAAATGCACTCCTGGCTTAGCAAGCGCAGCCGTCACGATCACTGTCTAGTCGAATGTTGATTGGGTCGCCAAAATCTCCTCCGCCATACTCCTCCGATTCCTCTTGTGCAAGCGCGCTACGAGCGATCACTAAGCAAAAATATGTCAGTGCGTACTAATTCTAGACGCATGCTATACATTCTGGACTTACCCTCAAATGCCTGCTCAACGTTGAGTGCCTCCTTGGCGCTGGTCTCGAAATAGGGAAGGTTCCCTTTGGACTGGCAGAATGTCATGGCTCGCTTCGATGATATCATCCTCTTGTTCTCCTCCACGTCGATCTTATTACCAATCACAACCTGCCCACATCAGCAAGTCAATCCATCAACCTGTACCAATTGTGGTTTATTTGGTGTACTCACAAACGGAAAACTTTCAGGGTCTCGCGGGCTAGCCTGAATGAGGAACTCGTCTCGCCAGCTGTCGAGGGCTTCGAAACTCTTGGAGTTGTTGACATCGTAAACTAAAACACAGCAATCGGCTCCGCGGTAGAATGCGACACCTAGGGACTGGAAGCGCTCTTGACCGGCCGTATCCCAGAGCTATTTAGGAACAGAAAGCAGTCAGTAATCACATATCCTATCAGGTTGATCCAATCACGGGAAATGTATAACATGCCTGCATTGTGACTAGTCGATCATCCACAAGGACCTCTTTCGTGAGAAAGTCGGCTCCGATTGTTGCCTTGTAACTGGCGCTAAATTTTTTGTTGACCTGAAAGTTCGCAAATAATCAATGAGTATGTGGACCAGGCGAGAGATTGAGCTTCGGTTTTCGTTTGATAATACGCACATATTGATTCATCAAGCTTGTCTTTCCAACACCACTATCTCCAAGGATAATAACCTAGTTCAATCTGTCAGCGACGCCGATAAATGAACGGCATTTCGAAAGCAGAATGAGATAATGCGTTGAGCGGCTCCCGTACCTTCAACAAGACCTTCTTTCGTGACGCCATAGTTATAACGATTATACGGCCACTTTCGAGAAATCAGAAAGGGTGCGAACAGAGGAATAATTGTGTAAGGTCAAGGCAAGTTTGAATGTTAGACAGTCAATAGATAGATGAGACTTGGAAGAGGACCGAGCCTCGTGACGTTGATAGCACGAGGGCGGTGGATGCGGCGGTAACGGCTGAGGAGCCAATGAGAATGCTTCCTCACATAAGGTACTTGCCTGGAGCGGACTAGAGACCCCGCTGGCTAATTCATCTGTACAACGACAGGTCGCAGTCTGTCAACCTGGTACTACGGTGCTGCAAGATGTATATCTGAAGAATTCCAGTCATGTCGACGCTCACCCTGTAGCTATGTCCAACTGGCGAGAGGACTACTATGCCGCTCTAGTGGCTCGTGACAAACAAGAGCAAGCAAACAGCAGTCTTTACGATGCTTGTACGAAAATATCCCAATCATCCAAGAAAGCAGTATATTAATGACCAATTTTTGTCAGACACTCGACTCGCCGACCGCACAGCGGCAAACGCTGCACTCGTCAGTAGGCGACAATCTCAACCTCCCGAGGTAGCAGGCAACCCCTCTTCTCCTAAAAGAGCCTCCACTCCCCAGCAACAACAGAAACAACGATCACAGATTAACGGTAGTGGTGCTGGTGCGGCGTCACAAAGTGCCCTTCTAGCAGCTAGGGCAGACCTAGCTGCCGCCCAACGATCTCGCTCCGAGCTCCAAGAACAACTAAACCGTACGACCGCGGAGTTGGACAAATTAAAATCCAAGACGCAACAGGATTCTCGACGGATAACCTCTCTAGAAGGAGAACGGACACATTTGATTCTTAGGTTGAAAGACCGGGATGAGGAGTTGCGAGGGAAGGCGAAGTTATTGGATGTATGTGAACCATTCAAGAATTCTGGGACTTTGTGGTGGATGTATTTGCTAATGCTGCGTGGTTTTAGAGTGTCCAAGATGAATTGGCGTCTCTCAACTTACAGCTCAATATGGCCGAGGATCGTTCCAGTAGATTACAGCGGGAGAATCAGGAATTGATTGATCGGTGGATGGCCCGTATGGGTAAGGAGGCTGATGCGATGAATGAGGCTTCTAAGTTTTAGCATAACAATCACTACATCTATTCACGAACCTGCTGAGCCGGGACATGTACTCTATAGATACTAATATACATCCTAGATTTCCTGAGTCTATATTTTATGTAAAGTGAATCTAAACTAGTGTACATAACAGTTCCCCAAATACGGACACGAAACCGATTAGCCCTATAGACCGACACGGATAGCCCAAGCACTCAAGGAAATACCAAGATTTTTAGGTGAAATGACAGGCCGGCGCATAGTCCAGCATAACAAAAAGTGGTATCACACGAAAGTCAGAAAAGACAATGGTCTAGAGGCTGACATCGACCCAAAAATATGTGAAGAACTCAAAATCCCTGACTATCAGCGAAGGCCTTGAGCCTAGAACTATCCTTCTTGGCGATGAAATAAGTACCGCCCACATCCGTCCAACTCACAGAGTCAGACCAATAATTCAGCTGCCTGACATCTAACAAATTGATCGGCGAGTTCAAGTTTCGAGACGTAATCTTATGACCAGCCGGCACGAAGGATTTGAGCGAAACAATTTTGCAGCCCTCTTTCATATCCAAAAAGTGGTTGATCAACTCATTGTTTAGTTGCGGGGTGAAAGCTTGGTTGTTGATAAGCACGACGTCGGCCCGTTTGAGAACCTCGATTATGCTTTGTTCTGTGAGGAAGTCGCCTTGGATGAGACGGGTCTTTCCCGGCGTGATTCCCCATAGACTACATCGTGCTTTGAATTCAGCTTGTTGCAAGTCGGCCAAGGTGCAGGCGTTGGGCATCATTTCACAGCCCCAGCTCTCGCATCCAATCTCGAGTGCTGCTTGTAGAACGACATTTCCAACTCCAGAGCCTAGATCAACAAATACCTGGCCTGATTTCAGGTGTGTCTCTTTGAAAATAGTGCTAATAAACCGAGGCAGGAGTTCTCCATACACATTATCGGTTCCGTTTTCATATTGTCGTAGCGAGTCGACTCGAGGCGAAACCGTTCGGGAATATATCTGCGTCAATATGCGCTCCACGAGGGGCAACTGCAAAACATGCGTTTCATCCAGATGCTTCGCGATAGACCCGTCGGAGACATATTTCTGCACAGCGCGGTTGTAGTCTGATATGACCTCTCGAAACTCGGCTTCGGAAGCATGCGCGAAAGCTCGGCGAATCCGTCTCTTAATCCCTGTCGACTCATTATTGAATTCATCAAGCATATTCTCAGGGATATAATACTCGGAAACCATCTCTACCACCTGAAAAATATCATCGAGTGGCTTGAAATCGTCATTCTCCTTCGAGACGGCCAGTTGGTATCTTTCGCCTTCAAATGTACTCGGATACTGTAATGTGATTTCTGATAATTTCTCATCAACGCCCTTCTCGAACGCCGGCTTATATTTCCCCGCGGCTTTTGCGGCTGTGATATTTGCTGCATGGACCATTCTAAGGGTCTTGGGCCCATCTTTGGAAAATGCCTCCACCGATCTTATGCGACGAGATAAATCCGGTTCTACACTATCGCTCAACTTCGCGCGTTTGCGTACCTCAAACGAGGTATCCGTATCGTTGTCGTCGTCATCGTCATCGCTCTCAAGTCGCTGAATAGGCGACGGCCTTTTCAGATTTCGACGAGAAATAGGAGTTCGAAGACACTGTTTTCCCGAGGATTCGTTATTCCGGCTTTGTGCGTTGGAACTTCGGCTCTTTACAATAGGTGTAGACCTTATCGAAGGCGCAACTTGAGAATCTGTGGTGCCTGCAGGTGACGATCGCGACTTTGGGGCGGGCTTTTTTTGAGTAACAACTTTGCGAATTTGAGGCTTTTTTGCTTGCAGCGAGAACCCGTTGCCCTTTTGTAAGTGGTCAAAGAAACCCATATTGTCGAGGATGCGCAGATATCGGACGCGCCGTATGAGCCGGTCTTGGGCCACGTGGGAAGGGTAGAAGAGTATTGATGAATTATGCTATGAATACAACAACAGAGGATGTATGGAGAATGAGTGGCAACGATATACAATAACTGTACAGAGAAAATATAAACATAACTGGGTAAGAGAAAGAGATGCAAAAATGAAGATGCCGATTAGTGATGGGACGGAAAAATAGTTAGAAGGTCAGGTCAGCCTCAGGTCCGGGTGGCGGTTTGGTGGGCTGTCAATAGGCAAGTGCCGCAGCCAGTCAGCTGCTGCCCTCGAGATCGTTCCGTCCCGTCGGTTTTCTCCAATAAACGTGGTGATTTAGAACAGTATCGTGACATGTACACATCCCATTATGTCTATCCATGCTTGCAAATATATACTTTTTAGCGCTTCTTCTGCGCTTTGGCTACTCTCTTCTGGGCCCGAATGTCCTTCTTCATTCGCGAGTCCACAATCTTATACTTGCCCTTGACACCACGAGGACGACCAGAAATACCCCTATTAGCACCTTTGGCAACCACCAACTTCACTTTCTGCTTGGGCTTCTTCTTAGCTGCCTTGCTCATAAGCTTAGCAATGGCCTGCGCTTTGTCCTTCTCACTAACACTCTCGTCCTCAGCAAGCAGAGCGGACTTCTTGCGTAGCTTCTCCAGTCGCTGAGCAACCTTGAACTTCTTTCGTGCTTTTGCTTCGCGGACTTTCTTGATAGGTCGAGCATTGATTGCTCGCAGCTTCTCTTTGATGGCTGCCGCTGCAGCTTTGGTGACTGGTCGCTGAGGACGGCTGTGCTTGCTCTCGTCATCCAAAAACCACTCTGGTAGTCCGTCTTTATCGCGGAAAGCGTATTTATTGAATCCCTCATCTGCCACATCTTGGGTCGTCTTCTCTCCTGTGGCTATCTGTTGTGCAAGAGCCATAGCTTCCGCAGTAATAATATCGATATCTATACATTCATCAGTATGCATTCTTTTGGAATATGATAGCGTCAATACGTACCCAAGCGTCCATCCTTTGTTCGAGGATCATCCGGTTTCTCTGCTTCTTCATCCGAGGAATCCCAGCCATCTTCCTGTTGTTCTTCAGTAGTTGATGGCTTAACGTCCTTTGATTTGGCGACGGATTCCTTGGCTGATTTGCGTGCTGGGCGATCTTCCATATCAATTGCACTATCTTCATCATCAAGCTCGTTAATCTCCTCTAACCCTTCGAATATGTCCTGGTCGAAAAATAGAGCGGCCTGATTCGACAAGTTGCCTGGCTGGGGTAGTTTTGTAGATAGAAGAGAGGAATCGTCGTCCTCCACATCTTCATCAGAATCCTCGCCTTTCTCGCTTCCAGAGAAACCCTCCCATTCCTCCGCTTCGTAGTCCTTACGCGCCTTCTTTGCACGCAGTTTCGAGTCCCGGTCGTGCTTTTGTTCCTGGTACGTCTCATACAGTGAATCAAGTTCTCGTTCAAGCTGATCCTCTTCATCGTCTGTTTCCTCCTCACCGGAAGAAGCTTCCGACTCATCCTCGCTTTCCAACTCAACCATTTTTCCCGAAGCGATCTTGTCCGCAGCGTTCTCCCGATTCACAGCTTTCATCGCAAACATAGTGTTGTCGCCACCAATACCCGCTTGCTCCATTCCAATATCTGTGGGCGTGATCATATGCATCTGCATTCGTACAATATCTTTACGTTTCCTCTCGTTCTCCTTGCGCCTCTCTTTCTTCCTTTGCGCATTCTCATTGTCCCGAAGACGTTGGAGCTCTTCTTGGATAGCCAATTCGTCGTCCATAGGTGCAACCTCAGCAACTTCTTCACCCTCGTCCTGGGTCTTCTTTTTCTTAACAGTAAGGCCGAATTTCTCTCGGACCTTCAATCGCCATTTCAACAAGTTTCGAAATTCTTTCTTACCAAGGACCCGGAGATCCTCGCAGCATTTGCGAATTTCATTTGTGGTCTCCTCCAGTCTTTCAAGGGTAGCTAAAGCCAGATCTCCACTTGGAGATTGTTGGAAACTCAGCGTATGGTAGGTACCGAGAATCGCAATCGGATCAGTAGTATTGATAAATTCCGTTACAGAAATCTCTTTGTGTTGGGTATAATCGCCCTCCTCGTAACCTTCTCTCTTACGCTTCTTCTTTTCCGGGTTGAACACTTTGGCCTCATTATTGGGTGTTGGGTCAGCCAATTCTGCAAACACATGTCGAGGATCCAAGAATTTAGGATCTAGGCGTTTTGGTGCTTTGAAGCCACGGCAAACAACGAAAATTTCGGCAGAGACATTTCGCGATGACGGAGGCTTAGTAGCTTCAACGGATGTGAAGAGCTGCTTGAAGACCCACAGAAGGGGGTTATAGTCTTTTGAACGGAAGACCTTGGTGACAAAGGTACCTCCTTCTCTTAAAAATTCAGTCGCCAATTTCATGGATTGCAACACTAACTCGGCCTGGGTGAAAGCATCCTGCACCCATGCTGTACCGACATTCGGCGCACCGTCGTGAAGAACTGTGTCTGCCTTCAAATGCTTGACATGAGATCGGAGGGTCGAACGGCATTTATCGGTAGTGATATCGCTCTGGAAGGTGATAACGCGAGGAATAGGTTTAATCGGAGCGAGATCGACGCCGACAATTAGACTGCCTGCTGGCATACATTCTGCCGCGACTTGACACCATGACTAGACGATTTCTGTTAGCATTCTGATAATCAAAGAGCAAGAAGTAACAGCATACTCCAGGAGCAGCACAAAGATCGAGAAGAACTTTGCTCTTTTCGAGGAAACCGTATTTTTTATTGAGCTGAATTAATTTGAAAGCAGCGCGAGCTCGATAGCCCTTTTCTTTAGCGAGTTTATACCATTTATCCAAACGGCCTTTGCCGTGCTGCAAGTGTATCGTTAGGGGTAGAGTTCAAATTATTTTGCCATTGTAGATTGAAGTACGTACCTTCTTTTGGATCGCCATAATTTGATCACTGAAGATCAAATATCAGGCAGATAGCCAGAGGTTGTCAGGATCACTTTGAACGACACCAAAAAAATTCCTTATCGACTTGACTAGCTTCTCTCCACTTTCAAAAGCCCACTTAATTTTTAGGCTTGGCAGCACTAGCCATATTGGGCACTCAAGTCACGAGTTGTGGCTTGGCACTTGTGGCACGGTCTTGTGCCTGAGGCATTTGCGGCTAGCCCCGTACTTTGCAGGAATCACGTGGGGCGAGAATCGGTGACATCAGCTCCGTATCTCGAATGGGCACACGCTTGATTGGTTGGCTGGCAGCCTGGCTTGCTGGCACGACAACCATCTCTACTCTACTTCATGCTTTCTTCTGAACCGAAGGCTACCTAGGTACAACAGCCACGTATATCAAACATTAACTCTTTTAGTGATGTTTCTTTCGTCCACCGACTCAGCTCCATGGGATCTCGAAAGCAGCTGAAGTCGACTCCCCCGACCCCAGATCTGAGCAACACAACATCCAATTCGGATCCGAATCGGTCCGCTCAACATAACGACTCTACGTCGCCCAAGCGAGCCGGTAAACCGGTATTTCTATTCATTCCTGAATTGTCATGCAAGTCAAGTCTATATACTAACTTGGAACCGCGCCTACAGGCTTGGACGACGAAGACTTGGCCGCATGGCCGGAAAGCCGCTGCTGTGACCGAAGTCGCCCGAGAGAGCATTTCTGCAGCTGGAAGCATAGCCTCGGAGTTGGTTACTTCAACGACTTCTCTTCCCAAAATCCGAAGCCCTAGTCGACCAGGCTCGATTCAGTTAATTAAAAAGACTGGCGGCTCGAGTCGCTCTCTTCCGGCAGATGCTACAACGACGCTCATCAATATTGATTCGAATGGATCTGCGTCGGATTCACCCGTGAACAAGGGCATATTTCAACCCTTAGTTAAGGAAAGTGAAGATATTGGCAAATCGACACCGGACCAAGAATCTATACAGAAGAAGGACTCCACCACTGAACCCGTCACTGAAAATACCCAGGCAACGCCTAGCCCTGAAAAGGAACCTGAGTCTAATGAAAGGCCTACATCTACCTGGTTTGGGTGGCTTGGCTTAGGTAGGACGTTGGCAGATAAGCCAAGCCCTGAAGAAGTCAATATGGGGAATTCTCCTGATACAGTTCAGCCGACGCCAACCGCGGCAGAGGAGTTTCGGAGAGATGCCCAGTCGTCGAAAGCTGATCAAGCCGCAAATGAGGCAGACAAAGCTCGTCAAAGTGAAGACTCTCAAAATGTTGATCAGCAAAAGCATAATGACACGAGTGTCCCAGTGCCACAGAAACGTTCATGGTTGCAGATGTGGGGAACGACTAATGTTAGTCAGACGAAAGAAGATCATCGGGAAGCGGCCTCAGTGAAAGAGCCTCGCATTGAACAAGGCGAGCCCATGGAGCAAGACGCAGACAGTACTGATAATAATCAGAACTCCCAGACCGACAAGACCCAAGACAAGGACTCGCAAAAACGAACGTCAGGCTCCGGCAGATCAAGCGGATGGGCTTTCTGGTCAAGAGATATCTCAAATACAGATCAGAAACAAGGCTCTGAACGTCAGCCAGAGACTGGTGAGCTGGCAGTTTCAGGGCAGCCAAAAGTGCAATCCAATTCGGAGGATGTAGTTGCACGGGTTGACAACGGCCCGAATACGACGTCAACAAGCAAATCACAGCAGAAATCACAAAAGAAATCTAGCAAATCAGTGGATCTCAAAAATGCCAAGTCCGTCGAAATAGTCCAAGAGACTACAAACTCAACAACAACAACGGCAACTGCCCAAGCCTCTGCTGCACAATTACCGGCAAAGGCGCAAACATCGGAAGTCACTGCTTCAACAAAGCTCGAAAGTGTTCTTACGAACCAACTGCTCCCTTCCTTCAAAGATACATTTGCTTTGCAAGAGTCGCCATCGTGGCTACAAACTTTGGGTCGCATGATATACCATCCGAAAGATTCGGGAAATCGACATGTCTATGCACTTCGGGATCCGCCTCGTCCTAAAAAGGCTCTGGCCATCGGGGTCCATGGCTACTTCCCTGCCCCATACTTGCGTACAGTGCTTGGACAGCCTACCGGGACATCCCTCAAATTCTCAACTATGGCAGCAAAAGCAATCCATCAATGGGCGGAACATCATGGATACCAGTGCGACATCGAAAAGATCGCTCTTGAGGGAGAAGGCCGCATTGCTGAAAGAGTCGATCTACTCTGGAAACTTTTGTTGAGATGGATAGAAGAAATCCGAGAGGCTGAGTTCATAATGTTTGCGTGCCATAGCCAAGGTGTTCCGGTCACAATTATGCTTGTTGCAAAGTTGATCGCTTTTGGATGTCTGGACACAACTCGTGTTGGAATATGCGCCATGGCTGGTGTGAATTTAGGTCCATTCCCGGACTATAAATCTAGATTTATTGGCGGTTCTGCAGGAGAACTGTTTGACTTTGCACATCCAACGACAAAAGTTTCGAGAGATTACGAAGCAGCCCTCAAAACGGCATTGGCGTTTGGTGTGCGTATCTCTTATATCGGCAGCATAGACGACCAGCTGGTTTCCCTAGAGGTATGTTGGTCTACTTAAATCGGTAAGTCTACACCAAGCTAATCGTCTAGTCATCTCTATTTGTCCCGGTATCTCATCCATATATCTACCGAGCTGTATTTGTAGACGGAAGAGTCCACGCGCCGAGCTTGTAAGTGCAATCCATCACCTATCCATCAACCAAGTAACTAACAACTGGTCTCCTGTAACAGTCTCTCTCATCTAGTAGGCTTCACATTAAAACTGCGAAACCTAGGCATCCATGACCACGGCCTCATCCGAGAACTAAGCGCTCCCCTCGTTGGCAGTCTCGTCGGTGGCGAGGGTCATTCCCGCCTTCACGACGAAGAGAATATATACTAGTACGCCAACTTATCTCCTCCCAGTCAAAATGTGCCAAAGCTAACATACAAAACCCTCAGTACGGCCGTCCAATTCGCCCTAGAGACATCTACCATCAATTCACCACCCCCCTTGCACATCCAACGACACAATCTCACAGCGACGCCAAACCCTTACATCCTCCCGTTCGCACTACGCGGTCTTCTCGAAGAGGACTATGTACGCCACGAACTACACGAAGAAAGCCTTGAATTGCTCAAACAATTCGACGAGTGGAAACCAGCGACTAAAGTCCTTAGAGATGTCAAGTTTCGGTTAGAAGGTATTCGATCAAAACTTTGAGATTTGTTGCTTGTATCTAGATCTTTTTCCCCCTCTATTATTTGTGGTTAGAATATGGGCCACCTATTCTGAGTTTATTATCTTATTATATCTATCCGCACAATTACGTAGCAAGCGATCTTGAATTAAAATAGGTTCTATTCAATCAGCTCATCTATTACTACCCAGGAATAATATAAAGCACATCAAATTAGCTTTTTCGTCGTCGAACTAAAGTTACATAAAAAACCATGCATCCATTCCTCTTTGTATCCAGGGTATTCGCGGAATATACCATACCATATGCACATAGTAGTAGATAAGGTATCTAAGCAAAAACTCCACACCTATGTAAACCAAAAATAACTCAGTGCTCGCATCATACCCTCCCACTCCATATCGGGCATATGCTGGAAAAGGACCATTTCAATGAAAGGCCTTGTGTTGATCAAGAAAATATTCGAAACGCCGGGACCGTGTTCATGCAAGACTTTGACGTCGTGAAGATTTTGGGAACTCCGTTGCATAATGTAGTATATGTGTATAGATAGGAAATAAAAAAGACCGTTGTTGCGTAATATCAGGGTTGAGAGAATGCTGTATGGATTGCCCTTTCAATATGATCTAGAGAGTAGTTTAAATGTTAATAGAGATCTTAATGATATAGTTCAAAATTCAAGGTATATCTTACCTCTCATACCACTCAGCGCCTCAAAAGCCCTTGAGAAATTGAATATAACTCCAACAATGCGCTCCAAGCCATGGCTCAAACCATCAAGCATTTGTTCCGCCGGAGAATGGTGCCCCTCATCGTATAAAGCGTTGCTGGCTGTGTCCTTTGCAACCCGGGTCTTGTAGACAAGCATCAATAGTGCATAGCTACCTTGCATAGCACAAGCAGCATAATAGGGCATAGTGCGTGGACATTGTGTCCGCGGATCCAGTAGCGCGGGATCGGCAAAGGCTTGTTGGTGTCTGGTGGAGTCTCGACGGTTGCTAGTCCGCATCGAAAGAGGATACGGTAAACTTCCAAGCATGTGTGAAATCATCAGAGCCGCCCGTAGACAGATATCTGATGATTGTTGAGCGCTGAATGGAAATCCAGGACTTAGCCAGCAGTAGTGTGGATGTACTGGGCCAGAAGCTGCTGTCGCTGATGAATCGGATGCTGAACCGCTATACTCCGTCGGTAGGACGCTCCCCATTGGGTGATATTGATGGCATTGGCATTCCAGCGGGTTGCTATTTCCGTTGTTGGATATATGAAACGACTCGTTCATGTCGGAACCTGGTGGTGTCAAGTCAAAGTGTTTCTTGATGAAGACAGGAAGGTCGGAAAAGGCTCGAAATTGATGCATTCTGATTTGTGCACTATAATCCCATATTCATGTCAGTCAAAGCCACATCCCTCAAAAGAACACATCATACCTAGCAAGCTTGATTCTCGAGATAGCCCGGATACTTTCAGCTACGTCGAATTCCAAAGCTGTGCTCATATCTCCAGGGCGTGGAGCGCTAGGAGGAGCGTTGGCCTGCGTCATCAAATTCGATGTCCACGCATCCAGTTGCTTCATCTGATCATATATCCACTGCATATTGGACCTGGACTTCAGACACCTATTGAGATCCACGACGAATTGATTGGCGGTTATAAGGACTTGCTGTGCTTGAAGCAATATCGACCAACCCTGTAAACGTATATTATTAGGAAATTGAAGAACTTGGGTGAGAACTCGAAGGAGCCGTAATACCTCTGGATCTGATGCAAACTGGGGATAAGGCGTCGTAAATCGAGTGTCATTCATCATAACAGGTGAAGGCTACAACAAGTCAGCATCGTCGCATTGAGACTAGCAGGTTTTGGAGCGTATACCGTAGCGCTAGCGATAGATCCTTGAAGCACACAAAAATACTGCAATAATCACGAATTAGCAACTGCCATAGAAGAACAAAGGCTCTTGTAGGAAATCAGTACAGTCATCCACCACGCTCTCCTCCTCGCTTCAGTAAATTCATCCTGTTCCGGTCCGAGCGTATGGAGGGACATATTCATAGCCAAAACCCATGCCTGACCAGCGCGATACCGCATTTTCATCATATTGCCGCGTTGCGCATATTCGTATATGGACAATACAAGTAAAGCCAAGATACTCTCCAACTCAACAGGGGCTCGAGGATGAAACGGTTGTCTATTGATCGTTGGCTGAGCGTAATTTAACGCCTGAGAAGGATCGGTTACTGAATCAATGAGCTCACCATCAGCTTCAATCCTCATAGTCGCTAGTCGAGCGTAGGTCTGTGAGTACGACCTTCGCAACATGATACTGGCGGAATCAGGAACGTTGGGAAGCGGAACTAGCGCAAGAATCGCCGATATTGCGCAACTAAGAGGAGATGCTGGCTGGTAAGCAAGGCTGACTTCGTCGGACGGAGAGTTTGGATGTGAGCCCGCATCTTCCAACGGAAGATCTGGACCAGGCTGCGCAATGCCTGGGGGTAAGATGGGGAAGTATGGGTGAATGAATTCGTAGTAAGCATTCAATCTGTGTCCGACCGAGTCAGTCTCTGCTCTCATTCAATGACTTTTTTCAGTATACTTACATCTCTTGCTCGCTGCCATATGCTCTTACGGTTGGGTGCTTTCCCGTTGAAGCTAAAGGTACTTGTGACACAGGTACAGCTGGATGGTTGGCTTCTCCAGGATGACCGAACATTCCAACAAACATGCCCTGCACCTCAGGGTTAAAGTCAAGATGTCTCAAGCCAGCTCCCGGCAAGGACAGTGGTTCGATTTGACTGAAGGCGCCATCTGCTGACCATGCATGTTAACGACTTCGCCGATCGTAACAGGTGATCGAGTTGCGCTCACCTTCTTCATAATGAGCATTCTGCACAATAGGAGGATCCCATGAATTGGCTTGTACCAATTCCTCCGGGTCGGTGGGTGTAACACTGCTTTTTTTTTTGCGGGGTCCTCCGCGTTTGCTTGGTAGATATGAACATGCCCTTCCTTTGTTTGCGCACTATTGGCGGAAGCAAGCAACATTTAGTGAATAACCAGGTGTTGGATCGAAAAGAAAAGTTGAAGAAAAGAAAAGGGGAATCAAAAGGGATAGACAGAACGTACGCTTGAGCATGGCTCCTGCCCATCGCAACGTGTGCGGGATGCCCGGCTGTCACGGACAATGGTTAGATCATTACTTTCCTCAAGCACCGCGTTTTGTTCAAGTTCACTGGGAAAATCCTTACCATGCCAAACAAGCTACCTTCACCGGGGGTTTTGCAAATTTTCTTCGAACAACAGCAGCATTCCCGGATCGATGAGATGTCTCTGCCGGCAATTGGGGCTGTTCTTCAACAAGAAAATGCTGCTCCTGGAGATCTCGCTGATATTGGTTATGCCCTAAAACCATTGCGATTGGCACAGGGCTACCTAAATATCAGGGGTGAAATCCCGAATTGTTGGATTCCAACCGCGGAGTAGCCAGATTCTTTTGACTTTTATGGTGTATATGTGTATACTGAAACCCCTAAGTCGAGGAGGGGGGCGGACTACCGAGCAAATGCCTCAAAACATTCACGAATTCCATTGATCCGGGCCGAGGTGTGAAGGGAGCAGATTGGAGCAGAGAAGCATAATTAGCCTCTTACAGTCCCAATATGGAGGACTGACTTTCTGTTTCTCAGGGGGGTGAGGAACGGAAAGAGAGAAATGCAACAGCTCTATCTCATTCGAAGCTGGAAAGGGCCAGTTACAAAACTTAATCATTGGCGGCCATCGGTACTAGAGAGGGCTGCCATAGTAAACCAGACTTAAGCAAAGGATTGAGTGAAAAGCAAATCCCGGGTGATTGGGTTTGTTGTCATAATACAGCATCGGGATTTGCTTCACCGGACCGAAAGGGATTAGTGGATCTATTTGCCTCCATGATCCACGCTGACCCAGGGTCTCCATCAGCCGTCAGTTGCTTCACGCAACTGGCTAGTTTTTCTCCTGGGAGCGAAGTGAGGGAACCGCTCCTGGGCACATTTATTGATACCAATATGCCAAGGAACTTGCCGAGTCAGCCCTCTTCAAGGTTTTTTTATTTCCTGTGGCCTCGTCTAGATGCTCTAGCAACTCAAACTTCTGGCGTCGGGTCCCGCTCTTCAGCCACAGCACCCTGTCTTGAGAGTATTAGCGCCACGTTTTTTGAGTTTTCAGATGATATACATCATACGACGAAAAGACGGAGGAAACTTTCGCTGAGCCAATGGCAGCCAGTTGGCGATTTCACTCGTAATAAGAGTAGATATGCAGCATCATTGCAATCAACTTCAAGCATTCTGTCCTAGGAGGTCGTATCCATGGATGACTCCGCTGGTGTTCATGTCACAACGTATGATGGGTCTACAGCTAGAAGCGACAGGTGGTACCGACGATCTCCAGCCCAATTGCAAGCATTCGGGCAGCGAAGGAATGAGCAATCGAGGTTATCCATTCGCGATACGTCTGGAACAAGAAGAAACGGAATAGGAAGTCCGGGCTGGTGTGGCTGCATTCGAGGGAATTGGTTGAATCGTGAATGGATAGAAGTGGAATGATGGGGAGGCGGCAGCTAGACTCTTAGTCCAGACGCTTAGTGGCCCAGGCCCCAAGGCATCCCAACCGCAGACTCGGGTGTCGCGCCTCAGGCAGCGAAAGCAGCCAGTCACGAGACACCATCGCTGATTAGTCTCCGCTCGGCGAACTGACGATATCCTCAATTTCTCTGGATCCCGAAACTCAATTGTGCATGCTTCTTTTTTTTCTTCCGGATTTCGGATCTCTTCATTGCACCTGTTCTGGTCCTGGGGATTGGAAATGACCCAATCGACATTGGACAGTGACACTGTGCTAGTACACTTCCAACTCTTCGCAATATCCTACGGGCCTTACGGAGTACAGGGGGCCCCATATCCTCAGAACAAGCAGAGCACCATTCCCTGGTGTCGGGATAACGGTCACGAGGCCTGAGCGCGCAATATACCAACAGACCAATACCGTCGTCCCTTCATTCAATAGAGTCAAGCCTAGGTCGACACTAGACTGCCTTAGGACAAGATGGGAAGGTCGAGGGGCCATATTATGCATTCTCTTTTAGTACGATGTACGTATTGATTGACTACTTTAGCTGAGCTTGGCAAGAAAACACATGGCTTCTGAAACGGGGACGATCATAGTCTGTGTCTTGATAATTGCCTCGATCCATACTCCGAGTTCATACATTTTTTGATTCCACTTTGGCAGCATGCCAAGGCAGTATTTTGTACTCTATCGGTACTAGGGAGTCGCATAACTTAGCTTTTTATCTTACTAAGTAACAAGCTAACTAATTAAACTAGATCAGTTACCCTTCTTTGAAGACTGAGTACGGAGTAATCATGTCCATAGTACGTATAAATAGGATTGAACGAGAATGTCCACCTATCGAACTCTATGTACAAGCGTATAGACAAATAGTATGCATGGGTTCACCAACTACCCAAACTCTTGTGGAATCTTTATTCCAGGCAGGTGACGGACAGATTCCCAGACGCTGTCGGGTACCTTAACGGGGAGCTTGTGGCCTTTAAGAATCTCGTCAATAAGCCATAGGCCAACCACAAACTCTTCCCGTGAGAGCATGCCAATTTCCGTACGGTCGACTAGATTCCAAATCAGTTCCAAGGTGTGGAGTGGTACGCGACTACGCGACCATATATCGCGCACAACAAGGTTCACTACTAGATCGGACGAAACCAGTGTGCGTGGTAGATCAGGAAAGATTCGATAGATTACAGGCTCTGGGGGTACCCACAGTCCCTTGTTCGCGGCCCACACTCCTTCGTATCGCTTACGTGCTGCTTCGCTAACTTGTTGGCGCCATCGCTTGCGGTCACCTTCGTGGTGCTTATGAGGATGATGTCTAATCAAATGACGTCGGCCACGGCTCTTGTTATCCTCGGCATCGGATTTGGGAGGATCTCTTAGAGTTTGCCGTAGTCCCTTAGGCGGACTAGGAGTCGTGCGGCTGTCTTTTCTCAGTATATCTCCAGGATGCAAGATAGAGCGCGATCGCGATCGACGTGGTGGGGGAAGAGGCGGGGGAGCGGTGTATGGCGACGATACACGAGATGAGGCTAACGAAGAAGCAACGATTGCATCCGCCAAAGCTTCTTTTGTCATACCCTGCAGTGCATTTGCATTACCAGTGTGATGACGACTCGGCGTAGTGTAATGACTGCTGGAGCTTCTTGCGTCATCGGTTACTGAATGGGTGTATGAAGAGATTGTATCAACAGCCTCTGACTGACTTCTTGTACGAGTTCCCTCGTTCCTATTTTCCGAGGTCTGAGACTTCTTTGCGCGAGTATCATCATCGCCTACGCGCGATGGAGGCTTCTTGTAAGGTTCAGACTGTAGTTTTCTGTCGTCGCTTACTGGCTGAACGAGCTTTGGTTTGGCAGCAGGTCGTTCTGGTTTAGATTTGATTGTTTTGGGAGGAGATGCTGAGGCTCGTTCGGCTGACGAATGAATAGCCTCCTCAACTTTCGGGTGGCGTGCTTCTGTTGACTTAACCGGCGACTGTGATTTTCTAGACTGCAGATCAGTACCGGGCCTACCGGTTAGGCTCGCTCTTTCTCCATCCAAGCTGTTCGCCAACGAACGCGCGACAGTTGGGCTCTTGCGGATAGGGGTTGGCGCATGGACTGATCTAAAGTTTTGAGCAGACAAGAATTCGGGCTTGGGTGCTGGCGAGATAGCTTTCTTCCTCGAAGAAGTGTTGCCAGTCACCGCTCTTCGAATGGGTGAGACAGATGTAGAAGAAGGAACAGTCTGGGGTGTTCGAGCCGATGACCTCAAAGCTGCCAATTGTGCAGCTTGCATTTGAGGAGTATCCCGTCCAGAGACATCGGAGCCTGCTCGACTCCTGAGACTGGATTGTGAGGCAGTATTCCCAGAGAAAGCTTTTATTCTATCCATAACAAGACCAGATTCCGGCATCTCGGATACGGGGTCAGGCTCGTCTCCATGTTGCGTAGAACGGGGCGGACCGGGTTTCGTAGGGGCTCGCATCGCATCTCTTGAGCTCTGGACACTCGATGGAGCCCCGCGATTCGGTGAACGGGCATTGAAAGCCATACTTGCGCCCTGGAGGGCAGTGGAGTTCAACATCCCATTACCGTTGGGTTGCCGGGACATCCGTCGACCGTCACGAACGACAGTCTGGATACCACCGCTCATGAAAGCATGCACCGTTCCGTTTTATATATATACCACATGTGTCCGTATTTTGGCTCCTGGGGAATTCGATATTCGTTATTGTTGGGCTGCCCGGAACGGTCGGGGTAGGCAAGTGGCAGCTGCAAATTCGATCAGTAACAGCGCGATCTCATCTGTCGACGAAGTCACACAGCTCACAATATCAGGGTAGGCGGTTTCTTGTGGCCATGAGCTTTAGAGTCCAATTTCATAACTATTCTATGCTGTGATAATGATAGAGATGATGATCAGAACAATGATTATTGTCGTGAAGTTCCTGTCCGTCTGGAGTACGGACCACATGGGTGGGTCAAGAAGGAAGGAAGCTGTTGGGTCGGTAGCTCCGGAGCACGTGTCTCGCAGCTTCCTTACGTGAACATTAATAAGGACATACATCCAGACTGATCATTGACCTCAAATCTCCTCAAGACACTAATTCACCATCATCATTGAAGCAGTTCTCCAGATCGTTACCTTGTTACGCCGAGACGAGATCGAATGCAAACGTTATTGAGAATGTGGGTCTTATTCACTCTGCTTAGGGCATGTGGCGATCGGCTAAAATGGCTATAAACGTATTTAGGCAAGCAAGCATCTTGACGAGACGAACGCTTCTATGCACCGAAATCCATGAAGATGTCGGGTGCAAAATCTTCCCTTTCGTGTTATTTAGCGGACATTATAGCATTTTGCAGTTTCGGAGTTATCTACAGCGCGTGTCAACAAATCTACTGTTAAAACAAAGCATCCTGGCAAATACAGCGACAAAAAAAGCTTACGTATATGGACCGCTTTTAACCGACGTGGAGTAATAGCCAAACTCCAAGTGTCCACCAGGTTTTGGCCAATACCTACCTTAACTAGCATTACACCAATGTGGCAAAGGAGCTGCGTGAGTTGAATGATTGGATTCTCAGTTTCTGGTTTTGCGGACGATAGTTAGTTGGTTCTACACCGGCTTGTGGAGAACAGGCACTGCATCGGCAATTTTTCTACACATATGTACAGGCCGTTACCCCGGATTTTTGCTCTCCGCATCTCCAATGTCGGTCAAACCATCTTTGACCGACTTGCCATGTCAATGATTCTTCGATGTTTCCTTCACTATCAATTCAAACGACAAACATCGACCGCAATTTTCTGAATTCCAATGTTCTGTCTAACTCCACTATTCATCCTGACCAGGAACGCATGTAGCCTAACTCTCCGGATACACAGAGACTCGTACATTACATTAGCAACCACTTCTTGGCAGAGCTCGACAGTCGAATGCAAATTGGCGCCCGATGGATCAAGAAAGTTCTCAACACCAAAAGGTCTTATCGCCTCAACCATCTTCCACGCCGAGATGTCCTATATGTGATGTAACATTCAGAAGACCAGAGCATCTCAAAAGGCATGTTCGTAGCCACACCAAGGAGAAACCTTTTCGATGCGCTCAATGCAGCCGTTGTTTTACAAGAAGGTATGACGCCCGTGACCATCTATTTTACTTAGTTATTAAATATCAATAGCGACACCCTTTATCGGCATGACCAGAGTCATCACGCACAGGGAATAGATGGAGGCCCTGACCGTGTCCACCGCATCACAGTCAAGACATTCCGAGCTTGTTCGCAATGCGCATCTGCTCGTGTTCGATGTAGCGGTGGCGAACCTTGCAATCGGTGCCGGAGTCGCACCATCAGCTGCCAATACCCAACTGAGAGACGTGGAAAGAACAAAAACTCTGTGGACTCGCTTCAAAGGTCTGCCAATAAAACGGTCAAAGCGTCTCCACGAGGAAAGAGGTCTATTTCACAGCAATCTGCCGGCGGTATATCAAAGCGACAGATGTCTGCGAGTCTTCAAAGCCCTCGGGCTCAGTCAATGGACCAACAAGTTCAATTCCGTTTCATCAATTACAATACTGCTTCCCAGGTACCTGCCACAAGTCAAGAAACACAATATATAAGTCAGAACTTCGCAAATGATCGCGGAAATGAAACAATCCTGGACTTCGGAGCTCAAGCCGAGAATTCGGAAGAGCACAGTCAGAATAGTCCACAAATTATATATCCGACGAGTTCTCCTGAGGCTAGTCCTCCGAACAGTACCACCGTTTGTCCGTTCAATGTAACGAATCATCAGCTATCGGAAGCCGACGATCTGAATCAACTACGATCTCCCGTGACAACCTTGCCCCTTGATCTATCACAACCGTCCGCGTTGGACTTACCTATAGCTCCAGAACTGTTTGAGTCGGTTGAGGACTTGGGCTTAAATTGGCTTCCCATAGATATTTTGAAAGATATGAACGCACCACTACTGATGGATTCGAACACTACATATAACGGGATGAATGAATGGTGGCTAGAAGGATTGAATGCTAAAAATGATTGGATACAGCCCACGATACCCCTAGGCCAGATACCTCCACTTAATGGTGCAGATCAGCCCACCTCGTTCCCTTATGCTGATATACAAAGCCCTCATTCATTCGGCAATTCGTCGCAAGACAGATCCCCATCCTCTTCGACGAATGATGAAGCGTTGAATTCTGGCCAATATTATGTTGATGGAGAAGGGGCCCGTCTCACAAAGCAAAAGAGGCGAAGAACAATTCATACTGATCCAGTAGAGGATCCAATATCCGCTGCGATCTACCAAAGGCGGCCACAGCTGGCATTCCCAGTGATACAAGATGTTCTTGTACAAAAACTTCAACAAAATGTATCTTCCACTAACCACATACCCACCAATACATATGAAAGGATTCTCAACATGTTCGACAAGTTATGTCGCTCTGAGACCTTGTTCGCGGCTTTTGAGCCAACTGTTTTCCCTGGAGCAGATTTGCTAGCCTTTTTTGTCTCGAGTTACTTGGACGAGTTCCAGCCTGTCTATCCAATATTTCACATGCCGACATTTGATCTGGAGAAGAATCATTGGATTCTGATACTTACCATGTCAGCAATTGGATCCTGTCTTATCAACTCGTCGCAGACGGCAGATTATGCGTACCCCCTACAAGAATTTGCACGAAGGGCAATTCTTGTTGAAAAAGAAACATACACCGGTGCAAAGCCCATCTGGCTCATACAGGCGATGATTTTAAATTGCATCGGTCTTTATCACGGCACTGATGATCAAGCCAAGGGACTCAGCTTCAATTGTTTGAATGACTTGGTACGGTTAGCGCATCAACAGAGGCTGCTCTCAAGCGAACAAACAAATATGGGAAGTGAAACTTCGTGGAAAGACTGGATCGATGTGGAAACAAGACGAAGAACCGGTTATTTTATTTGGCTCGTTGATAGCACTCTGGCTTATACTGCAACCAATTTTCGGCCGTTCTTCAGTCTTAAAGATGCACAGGCGCCCCTCCCAGCACACGAAAGTTTATGGGATGCAGCAAGTGAGGAAAACTGGAAATTATTAGACCGTACCGACAACGTTTCTCTTCATTCAGCTACTGAGGTTCTCTTTATCGAAAAGAGGTCGATACCGAATATTTGTGAATTTGACCACACTTTACTGCTTCACGCCCTTTATCAAAGACTATGGGAGGTTAGCGACTACTTTCAAAGTCCTCTTACATGTTGGAACCCAAATGCAGCAAGACAGCCGCGAGAAGCGGCAATCCCATCGAGTTCTGTGTGGCTACCTGGGGTATCGATGTATTCCAAATGGCGCAACAGTGCCTGTGATTGCTTGGATACACTTCACTGGCATGCCAACGGAACTATCGCAAAGGCAGCAGGCTTTGAGCATCCGACTGTACTACATCTGCACGCCGCACGCGTGGTACTTTTAGTCCCGTTTCGAGAAATCCGAAGCCTGGCTACCTCGTTAGCAAATGCAACGATTACTTGGGACAGCAGGTCACTCGAGCGTAATTCTGACTGGCAACATGCTTGGCGATGGGTGACACATGACCAGTACAAAGCTCGACTTTCGATTATTCACGCGGGCTCGGTGTTTTGGCACGTTCGTCGCTACTCGACTAATGCATTTCATGAACCAGTATCTGTATTTCTAGCAACCCTAGCGCTATGGGCATACGGTATGTGCAGTTATAACTCATGTTCAAGGCCACCACCATCAACGACAGCAGCCGGACAAGAAACCCAAGAACAACAGGATCAAGCCGACTTCGACGCAAATCCAACATTTATTCATCTTGATCGACCATGTGATGACGAAATTGTGCAACTCTTTGTACGCAAAGGTCAGACGATGAGGGGCAATGTTACGGGTGTAGGAGATATATGTAGTCCTCAGGGACCATCAAGGGTTCTGAAGGAAGGTATTCGAATCTTGTCGAGTTTGGCTGCAACGTGGGGGATTACACATGAGTATATTCATATCTTGTCGAGGTTGAGGGATCATACATCCTTGCCTATGACGGCTGTAACGCGAGGCTAGGTTGCGTTTGACAATATTACATGATAGCTACGTACATGCTGAGCCTCAGAACTGCTAAATGCATTGTATGTATAGTACATCAGAATCGAAGTTATCATACAACCTGTATACTCTCAAGTCAATCACGGAGAAAATCCTAAATTCAACCAGTCAGCCCGCAGCAACTAGAACCATGAAATAGGGGCGAACATACGATCCTCATCCAACAACGTCTTCTCCTTCCAACTCTGCTCAATCCATTCCACAGTGACAATATACGGAACTTTCAAGCCACGATCAGACGAATGTTGTTGAGCGAGTGTCTTGCGGATGTTTGAGACTTCTCCTTTAGATTCATCCATGACGACGACGTGTGTAGGGAGGTATGTTGTGGATTTATGGATGTGTTTCTTGCTTTTGTCGTTGATACCCAGATCGTCGACAATATCGGCACCGCCAAATTCGGTCAGTTTTCGGGCAAGGAAATGTCGGATCTGGTCAGTATTCTCCGATGATGATTCTGAAGAGGCATGGAAATATATGGCGAGTCCCCTGAAAAGCCAACCAGGTGGAGTAATCCCTTCCTCATGACCACGCTCAAAGACAAGGTCAGAAATCTCCTTGATTTCTGCATCATGATCAACCAACTCTTGCTGCGAGGGTTTTGCTGCGTCTAATATCGTCCTGAGTTCTTCCGGGGTAACGTCCCGCGCATAACTGTCGTTGTATACATCGACATTATCAGCGATTTCCTCCTGTCGCTCCTCCGTTGTGAAAAACATATGCCGTGGCTCCAGCGGGAGGAGGAATGACGATAAATGACGGCTGTCGACTTCATTCTGTTTGATACAGTCAAAGAGCCAGATTGGTCGAATGATGATGTCCTTCGCACTCTTTTGTAGCGATGCGACTTTGACGGTTCGTCGGTCTGCAATGCACAATGTATCGGGTGTAGCTGTATTTGTTTGATAGATTTTCCCACCGTTGGATTTGACTAGTTGCTCAAGTTGGACTTTGGTCTGTTTTTTTGGTGCGGTTGTATCGGTCATGATGACTATTATGGTCAGAACCATCCTAAAGAAATAGTAATGTGACGAAAGGGGAAGTACAGAAATCCAGCCCATCAAAAATATTTCCAGTTGGACCGGCATATTCGACTCTCTTATCCTTCTCATCATAACCCGCTATAGTCAAAGGTTTCTTTGTAGATGTCTTGATCCGCTTTCGACGCGAGTTGTCAACAGTAAACTGCTTCTCCTTCTGCTCCTTTTCCACGTTAGATTTGAGATCCAAGAACTCCTGCACAGACAATGCACTCTTCCAATCCTTATCCATGCGCAGCTTTTTAAACCGCGGAAATCGCAGTGTCAACCCAATGCGAAATTCTTCGCTGACCGAGACAGATGCAGCTTTCACACAAATCACGACCGATTCATCTGGCCGAATCCATTCATCAGGTTTTTCTTTCTGGGAAGCCTCTCCACCTGCTAATTCTATAAACTCAGTTGGCGGCTTTTTAGGATTCCATGGCTTCCATTTCCCGTCTGTGTGATGCCGGATATTCGCATAGTCAGCTGCAGTAAAGCCACCACCGACTTTGCAGAATGAATAGCATTTCATTGAATTCGAGCCATTGGGATCATCCACACGTAAGCCGCAGAGATAACTTGAAAGAGCACCCCCACGTTTTCCGGAACCGTAATAGCCTCCAATGATGACAAGGTCGAGGGCCTCTCCGAACTCGGTCATATATTCGGGTTTCACTTTCATCCAGTCATCGTGGCGCTCGTTTAATCTGTATGGGGAGCGTGGGTTTTTCAACACCAGTCCCTCAGACGCTTCCTCAACCACTTTCCTAAGGATAGGCTCAATCTCGGCGGCCGTAGTAGCCTCTGTATACGGGTGTATCTCAAACCTTCGATGGACAGGCCGAATAGCCTTTTCAATGGCCTGGCGACGATCTCTTAGCGTATAGAGTGTCAATTCTCTGTCATTCAGATACAAGATATCAAAAACTCGAAGTAACGGTCTCGGTCCCTTGGCATTCGGGTCTCGCTGTTCAGCCAAAGCTGCCGATTTTAACGTGCCAAACGGGACAGGGGCGTCTTGCTCAGGATCCCACGTGATCATCTCCCCATCTAGAATGATATTATCCACTCCATCGACAAAGGCATCCTTCAAATGTCGGGTCAGAGAGCCGTTGCGATCGTAGAATCCATTTCCATACAGATACGTATAATCCTTGGCCTTTCGTGACCAAAAACAAAATCTCTTGCCCCCTTCAACTGAATCATCTGTTTCCATGTGTAGCTGCATCCGCTCACCATCCAGTTTCTCTTCAATCCAAAAAGTAGGATCCTCCTCTGTTCCCCTCATACGTTGAACCATCTTATCGAACGAATGCATCTGGAACTGCGCCAACTGAGGTTGAAAACACTGCATCAACGACACGCCACGCTCATCACCTTCCAGCCGAATATTGGGATCATGCAGTTCCCAGCAGACGCGTCTCAAACTGCTAGAAATACTAAATAGACGCTCCGCATCCGGATGCCAGACATCGAAAAATGTACGTTCCGTAGCTCCAACTTTCATCTGTCGCAGAATGATACGGATGAGCCACATGAGCTCTTCCGGATTCATGCGCCGATAAAACTCGGCCAAGATCGGAAGCTGCTGGTCTTCTTTCGAGGCGGATGATAACTGATCTAAGCGTTCGTTAACCTCTTCAATTCGCATATCTCCAACGTCAGTCCTCATGGGCCTTCTCGATAAGACTTCGTAGCATCGACCGGCAAAATCGCCCGCCATACGACTAGAAGCGCTCTGGCCGGGAAGTTTCCAATTCAGTAGATTGAAACCATCTTCGGAATTCTTATCGATCTTCATGATCTTCACGAGCAGTTTTCCGATCACTTTCTCTTTCAGTCCATACATGGCCCGATCCCGATCTTTGTCGGGTACAATGAGTCGAAAAGCAGGGTAGATATCATCACCCACATCCCTGCGCCAGCGCGAGATGAATCGCTGAATGATATCTCGCCGGCGCTCCTGCGGATTCAGACTGGAAGGTCCATGAGGTCCGACTTTTCTACGCGCTGGACCTGCAGCGGGCTTTTTCTTGTTGTCGTTTAATGGGTTGAAGAGGTCAGTCAGAAGGTCGTGAAATAGAAGGGTTGGGGAATGATTGTGGGGTCGATTTGGATATCTATACAAGATGTAAGTTTGTTGAGTCACCTGGCTGATGCGTTAATCTGCTTACTTCTCGTCCAGGTCTTGTTCATCTTCATGGAACGGACCTGCATCAGGGATTTGGGTATCTCCATCTAGCTGGCTCATTTTGGATATGCATGTACCATCAAACGATACAATTCATAGTTCTCAGCTTTAGTTGTCGATGTCATAGGAAGCTCTCTGATTCGCTGGCTGGCGGAAACTAGTCCAGCCAGCTGTTCGGTCACGTGATTTTGTCATCGTTGTGCCTCAGGCAGCATACGTACAACCTCTACCCTCTACCCTAAACTCATGGGAATAAATTCATTATAGACAGGGATATGTCCTCGTCGATCAAAAAGAATATATAAAATACAAACCGCACAGACAGACCACTGATACCATACGTACACCATCTTCGAGGTCAATCCCCCCCTGAATCCGTGATCCATCACATGTTCGACCCTTCATGAATGGTCAGAGATAAGCAACTCTCAAAATCCTGTAAGACAATACGTATCATGTCATGCTATGTCACATCCGGATCTCATACAGCATTATCGCACCAGGTTTTGATGCGTAAGCAGCTACGTTCCTTGTCGGTGATCAAGTGTGGAGTTGTACTGCATGTACTGAGTACCTAACAAGGCTAAAGTATGCGTAGTACGGGGTTTCCCAAGATGATGTTACTTCAGAGTTCCTAGCGTTTTTTTCTTTTCTTTTTTTTTTTTTTCCCATAAACCTCGGTGGGGTGAAAGGATGAGCATTTGTAACGTTGAATTATTCGTTGAGTTGAAGCATTTTTGGTGCGGGAAGAGCGGATATCTATTAAAAAGATCTACGGAGATAAGAATCATCTTACCCAGATTACAGATCATTACAGAGGCCTAAGCGAAGGTATTAAAAGTGTGGAGGGCTGTAACTAATAGAAATGGTTAAACTGATGTAAGATTGACAAAATAAACGCCAATGTCAGACATTCTGACAAACGCCGCGCTATGTATGGCCTGGAAAATATGTATACACCTGCTCCATACCCAGATATCAATGCCAATGATGCAATGCTATGTACATAAACAGAATGGAACGGTGGAAAAAGATGTAAAACGGAGAAAAAAAAAAGTAAAGTACTAGGGCTCAATTCGTTCGATCGAGATCCCAATCCATCGTTGAGGGACGGCCGGCCCTTCCTCATAATCACCCGCAATCAGTCGTACGGCTTTCCGTGGAGGAAGCCATATCCTAGCGCGAGTAGGTGCATCATCGCGTAGTTTTCCGCTGCGGCGCATATTCATTTCCAATACAACCATGCGGAGAAAATCACTGTTTTCTCGTGGTTCTCGCTGCCGAGAAGATGGGAGCTCCGCGCACGCTTGCTGATGGTTCGTGCTCTTGCTGTCGGAATGGTTATATGTTTGCATCTGAATCGAGACAGGGCATTTGGCAATTCCTTGCAACGTATCATGAGGATGGTCATTGTAGACGTGCATCTCAGCGGGAGATAGAGTGATTGGATTGAGGTAGCGGCGAAGAGCTGGTGAGGGCGGTCCACTCAATGGAAGCGGACGCCGATCGTCTGTCAGCTCAGGAGTGATGGAGAAAAGAGAGCGTGTAAGAAAATCATCCGGTCGAACTGAAGGGGTTGCAAAATTCGACACAGTCTGGGCTGCAGACTTGATAGCCCTAAGGGAAGCTGTAAGATTGGATTTGAAGGTGAACCCTAACCGCGGGAAACTTCGCGAACGATTTTCAGGTGAACCAACAGCGGAGTCACTTTCTTGTGCCAGATTAGATGGGTCAAACGTGTCGATATCAATTTCCAAAAGAGGATGATCAGTCGCGCATTCCTGCGGAGGAGATAGTTGCTTCCGTCTCTCGAATGTCCGTCTTTGAAGTGAAGGGGACAATGACGGAGTAGTAGGGCCGGAAGTAATAAATGAATTCAGGTCTTGATCCAAAGAGGGCACCGAGTCCGTCGAAATAGAGCGCTCAAAATGAGGCGACTCGACATCGGTACTGCTGTTGCTCACGGAGACCGGAATACCACCGTAGTTTTCATCTGGAGGACTGAGCAAAATGTCTAATGGTGAGCTTGAAGCTCCTTCAAGGCTGGCAAAGTCGTCCCGAGTTTTTACTCCATCCATAAGTAATCGACTGAAGTCTTCAACATGGTTTCCACGAGGCAACTTGCGTGCACCTCTTATACTCTTACTCCGGCGAGGGATAGCTGTGGTTTCGAGAAGCATGCTCAGAGATGGTGGTAAATTGCGATCTTGAGTTTGAGAGGATGCTGATCGACGTGACGACGCAGAATCCCTGCGTATCGACCTCACATTTCTGTTATCTCCATAAATGCCGGTATTGTTTCGTTCTTTACTAGTTTTTGGTGGAATAACGACAGGACTCGTATGGGGGACAGTTGTTGAGTCTGTATGGGAGACGGAGACGGTTGCGACGGGTGGAGGGAGAGGTCGGCTCTGTGTATGCCGAGAATTTGTCACGGTCTTAGCCGTGACGGACTTCTTTTCATTCTGCAGTGAATCATTTGGGGCTCGTGCCGAAGAGAATAGAAATGCTCTAGGCACCATCATGTTGCATGCTTCACGAGGACTTTTGTAGCATACTATCTCCCGAGGAGGCACTCTGGTCAAGAGTCTGTGCGAGGAACATAGGAAAATGGTGAAAAATGACGATGGAAATATACTCCGCTCAGCGGAGAGCGTGAATAGGAAGTCTTCGATGCTATTCCGTCAGGTTGTGTTAATTTAGCAGGAGGGGGGACGACTATGAGGCGAAGGGCTCGTTATCGGTGATGTCGGTTGTAGATAGCACGCGACTCGTACGGTGCATCGACGGGCAAGTGCTCTATCGATGCTGATAGTGGTAAGAGTGATCACGAAGTCCGATGACACATTCGTCGGATCTGGGAAAATCCGGTTGAAACAAGAGTGAAGATGAAGTAGAGTCGTGGTGAAGATGAGAGGGAGAGAATAGATTAGAGTAGTAGCAGGGGAATTTCTACGGAGTAAGGCGATAGATAAGCCTCGTAAGTCATCGTTTCATTCTCGCCGAAAGGACGTGACCGAATATTACGTACGCTGTATGGAGCTGACCGGGGCCAGCCGCAGAATTTAATAAATTACCGCGTAACGAAACCGTATTTTGGAAATCTGAACCGTCGTATTGGATCCCGGCTAGTAATTTAGCGGCAGTGGGGGATCTTTTCCGTTACGTCCGTTACAAGATCATCTATTGTGTTCCTCACCCGATTTGTTGCATCGCCTGCTACGAGAAAAGAATCCGACGGTTGTCAGGCAGCATTCAGGCTACATTTCGATACGGTGTATGGAGTACTGTTCACTGTTTACTTGATGTGTTGGCAGATCACGCCAAAGCGCCCAATCGACTGAGTCGCACACGACACCTAGACAACAATTAAGATTGACACTTGATGTAATCACCCATAACTTATCGTCCATCTAACCCTTCCTAAGTAACTCACTCAACACACAAAAATCACATCAATAGAAATCTTCAGAATGGCGTCTAAACTGCTTTGGGCAGCTCAGCACGACCTGGCCGGTTATTAGTAACACAATGGAATATTACTGATCTCTCCGACTCCGACACCCGACTGACCCGCTGCCGCAGAATATTCCGTAGTGGAGCATAGAAGGATTCTCAGGCTGTGCATGCGAGACACAAGGCATCAAGGCAGGAAGAATTCGGGATGCTTGCCTCACAACGTGATACTCTTGAATTTTGATCAATTCAGAGATCTGAGTTGAGAAGCGAGATCAAGTGAAAAAAAAAAAAAATGAAAAAGAAAAATTGTAATTGTTTATTTTACTCTAGGAATTTTCCCTTATCAAATAAAGTACTCGTACCATGGAAGGTCGAGCCGTCAGAGCCGGCACTGATATGTGGAACAGGCCACAAGTGAGAAGCTTGTCGGATATAGATCGTAAACTGAAAAATTAGCGGTGTAATTCAACAAACAGAAACTTTTTTGAGGAAAGAAAAGGATTGAATATATTTACTGTTTTTGTCACCAGATACTATGTGCATCGTAGCTTAGGTCTCAGGGTTGCGCTCTATATTGATCCCTCCACTGTCACCCCGTATTTCATAGCCGGAATACACAATCCTTTACTGATACTCAGTATGGACTTGAATACTACTCGATCATATTCTTTACCGCAGTATATACTTCAATCCAGGTCTAATCGAATTGATCAAAACATACCGTGAACATATTTCCCTTGTAGGAAGAACCTCTACGATCAAAGAGAGGACTTCTATTACACTAACTATCCGTCTTGTATTCGCATGGTCTACCAGGAACTGCTAATTGCGATTTCTGAATTCACCCACTCATGGCTTCTTCTTTTTGATTGTAACAAATATGGTAACGTCTCCGGCGTCCAGATGTTGAATCTGAGAGAGTCAAAACTATTCAAGCATGCTTTTGATGCACCAGTCATATAGAACTGCTGGGGGTTACTGTCAAGTATTCGAATAATGTGAGGTACATGTTCCATTCCTTGGCGCGCACAGGGATACGTATGTACGCAATAGCAATCGCATTAGTTCATGCAATAGCATGGGCTGTCTTAAAGACAACGTTGCAGTGACGTGCAAGTCGCCCCCTGGTGCCAAGGGTTGTCATCCAGGTACCTAGGTATCCCAAATTAGATCATGATATTGTCGACTGCGAGCTTAGAGGGTCACTAAACATTGCACCAAAACTCTGAGTTTCACATATGTTGGAGACTAAATTACCGGGACTCGAAATTCAGAAAAAGCCACTTTCAATTCGATCGTGCTTCGAAGGAATATCAGATGAACTTCAAGCGAACGAGTTGTCTTAACGCAAGAACGACTGGTTTGTGGGCAACCGAGTCTGAATTGTTCCACGCTTGGGAAATGTCAAATTAGGCCTTTTACTCAATGGTGAATACTATGAGCTCCATCGTGAACGAGCAGAACAGAACTGTTTCAAGGAGGAGCAGCGGGTGGAAACGCATGTCAACCAGAGGCCTTGGTGGTTTGCTATTTCAAACTTTACAGCCATGGACTGAACAGATATGCCCAAATAAAGAATTCACCTCATTCGAGGAGAAGCTGCCTGGCTCCTGGTCACTTCAGAGAGCAATGTTACTGCTATGGTCAATGCCATCCTCACAGGAGTCATTAACCTAGTGGATCGGATGAACAGGACTGGTAGCCTTGGAAAAAAAAAAGGACTTTTCTTGGAGGAAAAGATTAAGATGAATAATCTCTGGGCTACCATTGCTAAGAGAAAAAGCTGCTTTCACCATTAACCTATAATTTCCTAATCAGGTAAATCATGCTGTTGCTAGATCGGGAAGCTTCCTGTAAAGGTTTTAGTAGTGAATTAGGGCTAAATGGCATCCTGAAAGCATGAGCCCCAAGCCTTCGATACTCGCTAGTAAGTTTTATTGAATCTTATTCCTTATCAGTCTGCTTTTCTGGTACCCTTAGACAATAATCTGCAAATTACGTTTATTCATGTCTAGATCTACACGATTTGATGGCTTTCCACTTAAGTACATGTTATATTTATGTAAATCCTCCCCAGCCCCGTGACCAATTCCTTTCAAGATCTGCCGCAGCTTGGAGATAGACCCGTGCTTGCAGCAGGCTGAGTCCTGATGACCTATGATTGCTCGCAGTCTCGAAAATGGCCAATCAGCGTTGGCGATAAGAGTGGTTTGAAGACCCTGGAAACTATATACTTCCATTAAGGCTGTGCAATAAGACTGGTTCGATTTTCACGCTTCAGTGAAAAACGTAGTCTATTTTCAGGGTTGTCAATCCACCATCTTGAATAGCATGACAATAAGCAGGCTAGAGGACAACGGCATGTATTCATCGATGCTTACTCAACCTGACGCACGAACCCAAACAGATGTAAACCCCCAACTGAGGATTATCTACAGGCATGGTGTTGCAGATTTGGCATGAGAATATGCGTCATGGCAAAATAAGAGGGAAGTCTGGGAACGGCCATGCATCTGAGAGGAGAATTTCGGTTCTGGACAAAACTAACCTCCCTATATCATGCTTGCCATCCTTTACTTGTTGTTCGACGTAGCACGTAGTTACTAAGTAATCAGTTGCAAGTAACTTAGTTGCGGAGTTAAGAGTAAAGCTCCTGCCGAGAGTTGTCTCGACCTCAGTAGAATCACACACTTTCTCGAGTCCTTACCCGATAGACGTCGTACAATCTAGTTCGCCTTGTCTATTCTCTCAAATCAGTCAAGCTTGGATCACATCGTGGAACGATTAGGAAACAGGGAGAGGAGTGGGAAACGTCAACATGCAGGCTCGTCAGGGATCAGGGTACATGCTGTGTCGCACAAAGTGAACAACTGCTAGGTCTGGGGGCTCTGTGGCGTCTGGACTATACAGTTCACTTAGAAACAAGAAGTAAAAGCTCGTCCAAGGGAATGAAGCATTTGTATATTTTCTCGGAATGGGCCAATCACAGCACAGACAGTAATCAATCCACGTGCGCAGCCAATCAGAGTGCTTCCCCTCGCTGACCTCGGCGTACTTGTATCCCCAGCTAATCTACCGGTCGTCTCTGTGGATGCCATATTCAATGTTCTTCTCAGTATCCATCATCTAGACCATATACCAGAATACTCTGTCAATATCTCAACAATCCCGAGACACCTCATCAGGCCATCGCAGTGCTAAGCCGAGCCGAGATCGCAGTGGGCTACCGACGCGGGATGCCTTGGATTGAGCTGACCAATCACTCGGCATGCCCTGCAGAGATAACGACCTAGCCCAACCTCGCAAGTCGCACGATTAGCCCCAGATATCCATCCTCTCTGTTCATTCGCCTAACGCCGCTATCTGGAAATCGATTGTTGATTGCAAATCCAAATTCTGCAATCAAGGGCCCTGGAGTCATTCGGGGAAACTATTCATTGCGCGGGGTCGCCGCATGCAGAAAATAGTCAGTCCTTTTAGCGGGGATCCGGATTTCCACTCCGTGCACGCCTTCTTGATCGTCTCGTCTCGTCTCGACCCTGTTGATCTCTTTTCTCACTAGATAACTACGGTATTTTCCAATAACTGTGAGTAAGGATATGGTGTCATCGCCTACGCGGTAGGACTTGATGCCCTCCGACTATGGACTTTACCTACGGTTAGCATACGAAGTATTAAACTCCTATCGACGAAGCCCGGCCTGGTCGCCGAAATTGTCGGGCAATGGATGAGAGGGCTGGATTTGAGAATGATAGTACGACAAGTACTGATGAGGCGCCGGAATACACGCCGTCTGGAAATGTGTCAGGCTCTCGAACCAAAGTCAAGGCTAAGCGGAATGATGACGGCCACGCAGCCAAACGCCGATGCGTGAGCTCCGCATGTATTGCCTGCCGTCGAAGAAAGTCAAAGGTATGAAGACATTTCAATCTTTAACATACGCCATATACTGATAAAATCAGTGCGACGGAAATCTTCCTAGTTGTGCCGCCTGTTCATCCGTGTACCATACCCCATGTAAGCTTTCGCCACTTGACTTCAAGACATCTCCTGAACCAGTACACTTATATTGCGAACAGGTATATACGATCCGAACTCCGATCATCGTAGGAAAGGCGTCTATAAGAAAGATATCGATAACCTTCGAACCAGAAACACAACCTTGCAAACCCTCATACATGCGATCTTGAATTATGATGAAGACAGTGCATTTGAACTGGTTCGCCAAATCCGCTTATGCGATAGCTTGGAGGATGTAGCAGATGCTATTATGAATCGAGAGCAAGGAATATCCACGCCGCCCGTGTCGGCCCAACGCGAACAACCAGTAGTCGAAGACCACACGGCAACAGACCAGTTCGAATCAGAGCTCGCAGGGAAAATGAGTGAGTTGGTGCTTGATGGTTCTGTCAAATTCATCGGTGGCACGTCCAACCTGCTATTCCTACCGCCGGATTTACAACTGGATGAGGAGAGTTCATCTCGCAATGATTTGGTGAACACAAAGCAAGGATCGAGATTTTCAGTCGCTCAGTGGACGAGGGTCACGGATGATGAAGCATTGGTGAAGCATTTGATGAACATGTACTTCACTTGGCATTATGCTTATTTCACCACGTTGTCTAAAAACCTTTTTTATCGAGACTTTCGACGTGGCCAACCCAGCGCGTACTGCTCATCCTTCTTGGTGAATACGATGCTCGCGCTAGGTTGTCACTTCAGCTCGTGGCCCGGCGCATACGAACACCCAGAAGATTCTGCGACAGCTGGTGACCATTTCTTCAGAGAAGCGAAACGGTTGCTGTTGGAGCACGATGAACATGAAAAGGCTAAACTCTGCACTGTACAAGCGCTAGCATTGATGTCTGTTCGAGAGGCGGGCTGTGGCCGGGAAGGCAAAGGCTGGGTTTACAGTGGCATGAGTTTTCGCATGGCCTATGATTTAGGGCTCAATTTTGGTTCCACAAATCTAGGCTCGAGTAAGTTGATGGAGGAAGATATTGATGCTCGAAGAATCACTTTCTGGGGTTGCTATCTATTCGACAAGTGTGTATAAGCATCTACTTCGTTTTGAAGAAATCATCTAATGTGGTATTTTCATAGATGCTGGTCAAATTATCTGGGCCGCCAACCACAATTATCACTTGCCGATGCAACAGTCCCCAAGTTTGAAGTTTATCCTGCTGAGGAGGCGGCACCGTGGGTCCCCTATACGGATAACGGCATTGGGCGAGAGCGTCCACAGCCTGCGCGGACTCGTGCAGTAGCCTTGCAAATTTCAAAACTCTGCGAGATCAGTAACGATCTTTTGGCGTTCTTCTACCATCCTATGCCTACGGAAAAACAACCTTCGCGGCAAGCCGAACTCTCAAAACTCAGCGATCTCCATACTCGACTTGAGGCTTGGAAGAAGGGGTTGCCCGCTGAAATGGAGCCCAAAGACGGTCAACTACCACCCGTCTTACTCATGCAGTATGTATTATTATTCCTATGGATCTTATGGAATATTCATTAACGATGTCGCAGTATGTTCTATCAACTTCTGTTCATCCATCTATACCGCCCTTTCCTCAAATATACCAAGTCAACATCACCCCTACCGCAACACGTCTCACCACGAAGATTATGCTCACAAGCTGCGGCTGCCATATCCAAATTGCTTCGAATCTACAAAAAGTCCTATGGTTTGCGCCAAATTTGTAATATTGCAGTATACATTGTTCATTCGGCTTGCACAATTCATCTCCTAAACCTACCAGACCGAAACGCTAGACGGGATCTTATTCACGGTGTTCGGAACCTGGAAGAAATAGGCGAAGGCTGGCTTTGCGCTCGACGTACTCTAAGGATTCTGGATCTATCTGCTGTTAAATGGCATATCGAGATACCCAATGAGGTTACTGCGGTCTTTGATCGAACGCGTGTTAAATGGGGTTCTTGGGGCACCTGGGATCAAGTAACTTCACCTAGTGTTTCCGAAACGTCACCAATGTCGGCTACCGCTACTATGAGCGTACCTGTTACTCACAAAAAGCACGACAATCTCTACACTTCATCAACTACTCTTCCGCAACAGCAACCAGCGTTGTCACATTCGAATTGCGGAACAACATATGCGACAATGCCCACAATACAGCATCCAATGGCCGCAAATATACCACCTACTCGTTATCCAGACCAACTCAAAACCCTTCCATTCGAAAACTACCCTCCGGTCTCGAATCAGACATCGCCCCCCCCTAGTAACATGACCCACCTTCACCCAAGCCACAGCATGGCTTACACCCAACCCAATGGCATATATCAAACTCATCAACCACAGGATATAATGACCATGAATAATCAGGATATCTCCTGCAACAATTCCAACAGCAGCAACAGTCCAGTGGCAGTTAGTGGTACGCCACCAATGCCCGTCTTCAACGGAATCACCGACAATCTGATCGAGGAAAGTCAGGATTGGTGGATGCGTGACCAGAGCGCATTAGCGTTGGGATTAGAGAATTGGGGTGAAGGATGGGCGGGAAATCAGTTCATGAATCTGAATATTCCGGCTGGGTCACCTTCTACGCCTCATGTATCTCGTTCTGTGCATCAGAATCAGCATCATCTGTCTCTACATCCGGACGGCCGTACTACAATCGTGGATATGCAGCCTCACGTCACTGGCAGCGAAACACTAGGCAATCTGCACAACATGCCCCGAGACGGGATGAAACATGCTTACGGCTATACAAACATGCCTCCTCCGAATTATCAGTGAATGACTAATATATGCCTCTCAGATGACCATTGATGAAGTCTAGATTTATTTCTATTTATGATTATCAAAAGCACTTTAGGACATACCTACTTCTCGATTTTTTGTATAGATGGAGTCAAGTGGGAAATTAGATATGGGAGGCTTTACCATGTTAATATGTTATGTATGTAGCGTCTGTTTGTTTAGGTTCATATTATACCTTCGTCTTGTCTCAATCTCTTGTTAGATCCAGGATGATAGTAGAATTTTGTACGAATTTGGATTATATCCATCCATGGATGGATTTATGTGGTCGTTTCCCCTGGAGAAGGTCCACCCGGTCTTTTGGTATACCGGCTCGCGCTGGATATGGATGATATTCGAGATTGCAATTTGAACATGTGTTGGTGTTGATTCTAGTTATATTTCTAGCTATAATTAGAGTAGATATCTGTACTAATCCCTAGGTAAGTAATCACATGTTGGAACCACTGTCTACTATCTACCTTCCAACCACTATGTTAGCGCCTTTGACAGGGGTTGTCCGATTGATAGGTCCCGGTGTCTCGAGAGGCATGTTAAACTAATAGTACAGAGGTGGGAGTCAAAAGTGATGAGAATACGCTAATTGCGCTAGCTCTCTAGTTGCATGTCTAGCGAGTAAAGCTGTGTACCAAGATTACCCTAGTGATTACTAGTTAACTCTGGCAGCACATTTTCGGTGCCGTCCTCTCAACGTCCCCCTCTCAACAATTCTTTGCTTTTGCGAGTCGAAGCTATTCCCATCAATTTTATATTACTATACAGCGCCATCTCTATTGAGTATAACAAAATAACTCCTTTTTATACGCCGCTTTATTACTAGCCTCTAATACTATTGAGTATTTAGGGAGTAGCCGTCGCCGTAACGTTCTACGCTGTTTAAAACGCTGCATTGTACAATTCTTCAGATCAAGATGGCAAGAGAGGAATATTCAGTGGAAATCCGTGCCCAGATTGTGGCCTTGGTGATGATTGCAAAAATGAAGCCTCAAGACGTTGCTATATTGCTCAATATCCCACAGGTGACTGTTTATAATATCATAAAACGTGCTAAAGAGTACGGATATGACCCTACAGTTAATCCTCGTATTGAGCATGAGCACGTTGCTAGTAAAGAGCGCAGTGGCCGCCCTAAAGTGGTTACTGAAGCTATTGAGAGCTCCATTATAGCAAGTATCACAAAGGACCGCGCTGGTCGTGAGAAATCTGCCGAATATCTTGCTTATGAAGCCGGTATTTCTGAGTCCTCTGTTCTACGTCTTTTGAAATTGAATCCTTTTAGCAAATGCAAGCCAACTGTGAAACCTGGTCTGACAGAAAAGATTGAGACAGGCAAGACTCGCATTCGCCCTTGAGCATCAACATTGGACCCTCGAGGAAATCAAGAATATAATATGGACTGATGAGACCTCTGTCGTCCTAGGCCACCGAAGGGGCTCCAATCGGGTGTGGCGTAGGACTTTTGAGTGCTACGATTTTACTGTTATTCGCAGGCGCTATAAGGGGTCTACTGAATTCATGTTTTGGGGATGCTTTTTGTATGATGCTAAGGGTCCCTGTCATATTTATCAAGCAGAAAATGCAGCAGCTGCTAAAATAGCCGAGAAAGAGTTGGAAATCATAAACCGACAACGCGAGAAGCAAGCTCAAGACGAATGGGAATTGAATAACGCATTTGCAAGGCTCCAGCTGCGTCCTCGTCCTGGTAGAAAGCCAACGTTTAAGTTTACTGCAAAGAATGGAAAGCTAGTTCGGAAAGGAAAGGGTGGCATTGATTGGTATCGCTATCAAAAGGTCTGGTAAATCTAATACATTTAATCCTTAAGCTAATAGTTATAATAGGAAGTATTAGTGCCTAAGCTGCTTCCCTTTGCGCAGGAATGTAAGCGTTCGAGGCCTGGCACAATTATAATGGAGGATAATGCCCCTGCGCATTCTCATTTCTACCAAAAAGAGATTTATTCGTTCCATGACGTACAGACTTTGGCCTGGCAACTCCCCCGATTTAAATGCTATTGAGCCGACATGGTTTTGGCTTAAGAGACGTACGACTCTCCGAGGCGCGCCGGGTGACAGGAAAACAGCAGTGGCAGCATGGGAAAAAGCATGGGAAAGGCTACCCCAACATCGTATCCAAGCCTGGATTGAGAGGATTCCTTTTCATATACAAGAAATTATACGTTTGGAGGGTGGGAATGAGTATCCAGAGGGGCGGCCTCAGGGTGACATACGCCGGCGCTGCCGGCGTAAAGGGGTGCTTTCGTTCAGGGCATATCTGGAGGATGAAGATTGGGACGACTTTCAATAGCTTCAAAAATGCCTATTGAGGCATCTAGATTGCTGGACAGCTTACAAATGATTCCTTGTATGTTTGATTATTTTATATCGAACATAGATGTGTATAGTAATTTTGGTGTATTTCTATGTATCATCAAAACACGCTAATAGCCACTAATGGTGCAGATTACTCTTGGCATTCTCATCACTTTTGACTCCCACCTCCGTAGTCTGCTCCAAATCGCGACCAGCCCTTTAAAGCGTAATTGGTCTGATTAGGGCCGGATCCGAGTCCATGTTTTATCCCGATCCCTCTTAGTGAGTCTGGTATAAGAATAAGCATGAGGATGGTTTCCTTCCATCGTCTGTATATACGCTGTCAACTTGCCCCTGCTCATATAAACCAACATACACAAAATGTCCAACGAAAAGACCGTGTCCGAGTACACGGTAGGTTGGATATGTGCTCTCCCCATCGAGATGGCGGCAGCCAAAGCCATGCTAGACGAGATTCACCCCAAACTACCCCAAGCATCCAATGACCATAATTCGTATTGTTTAGGATCAATAAACGGACACAACATTGCCATCGCTTGCCTCCCATCTGGTGTTCACGGGACCACATCTGCTGCCACTGTTGCATCAAGCATGTTGCATACATTCCCATCCATCAAATTCGGACTCATGGTTGGAATTGGAGGTGGTGTACCTGGTCGACATAGTGACAAGAATGATCCCATTCGACTCGGTGACGTTGTCGTGAGCAAGCCTACGAATAGTTCCGGGGGAGTCCTGCAATATGACCTTGGAAAGAGTCTGGGTAACGGCTTGTTTCAACGAACTGGATCATTGAACAAACCCCCGCAGGTCTTGTTGACGGCTGTATCGGAGCTGCAGGCTGATCATATGATGGGGTTTACGCAGATTCCTAATTTTCTGTCGCAGATCACCCAGAAGTATCCTAGCATGAAGACGTTCTCGTATCCCGGGAAAGAATTTGATGAACTCTTCGAGCGGGAGTACGAACATGTCTCAACTGGAGTTGATAATGATAATGATGGACCGTGTAAAATGTGTGATAAGCGGAGACTGGTCCCTCAACCAGACCGAAAGACGACAGACCCGCGCGTCCATTATGGAATCATCGCATCGGGCAATCAACTAATGCGAGATGCGAGGATGAGAGATCTTCTCGCCCAAGAAGACCCAGGCATTCTCTGCTTTGAGATGGAAGCCGCCGGTCTAATGGACCAATTTCCCTGCCTGGTCATACGTGGTATAAGTGATTACACCGATTCCCACAAGTCAGGTCTCTGGCAACCATATGCAGCCTCCGTGGCAGCTGCATACGCAAAGGAGTTGCTTTCTGTCATCTCGGCACGTCAAATCTGGAAAACAACTACTATCAACGAAGCCATTGGTATTCAGCAGCCTCCACCCCAAGCAGCTAACCCTTTGCTCCAGCTGGCGGGCTTGAGTCTCTTGGGACCTAGTACACCTCTACACGAAGCCATCGCAAGAGGTCAGCATGATGTCGTAAAGTCCCTACTGGAAAAGGGAGTACCCAATATCAATGCACAAGATAGCAGAGGGTATACCCCACTCCATATAGCGGTTGAGCAGGACGACCTAGTATCTGCCAAAGCGCTTATTGAGAAAGGAGCATCTACCTTCCGGCCAAATATCATGGTACAACCCGTCCTCAAAATGGCCGTCCATCTAGGAAATGAGGAGATGGTGAAACTTTTCTTGGATCAAGGAGGGAATGTGGATGAACGTGATGCACTAGGTTACACGCCCCTGGTAGCAGCAGCATCGTCAGGTAACGATAAACTATTGACGCTCCTTATCCAGCAAGGAGCAGACCTAAATGCGAGGGGTTCCAGGGGTGGTACGGCGTTGCATCAAGCTTCGCATGTGGGACACGCTGGCGCTGTGAGGATTTTGTTGAAAGCGGGGGCAAACCCTGATGTGAGAGATATCAGTGGAAGGACGCCTTTGCAAATTGCTACGAGATTGCGTCGTGAGAACGTGAAGAAAGTGTTTGCTGAGGCAAATATTGTTTAGAATGGAAGTAATGATCTGAGGGAGAAGCTTTAGCCGTATGGGAATATTGAGTAATCAACGAGGTATCAAATTTCTCTTTGGATATTGATTGAAACAATGCAGAATGAATAGTACATAGGATAAGGTATCTTTGAGCGTATCTAGAGCAATGAACCGAAAGCCAAACAAAATCTCATGACACTAGAATCAAGAATGTATCAAATGCAATCATGTATAGGAGCAGGATTTCGTCAGATAAATCACTGATTTTCGTATAAAGTTAGCATTGGATAGAATATTTGTGGAGAGAGTAGGGGGTAACTTGCCAGAAAATAATCGGCGACTGGCTTCTTGGCTGGCATGCCTCTAGTATCTTGCGCCGCCGCTTCAAAGACCCTGTACCGTCGACCAGGACCTAGAATATGTTTACCCATATCACTGTGTAGCACACCATTACTTCGTCCAATATCTCCATTGGTACGTGCGATTGTGCCACCATTGCTAGCGTCTTCCCCAAGCTCCAATATAGCCGCGACATTACCGCATCGATAACAATAATTTGGTGCTGACCAGACAGTGACAATACCCCCATCGAACATCTCCTTATAACCTTCCATAACAAGTTGATGTGCGCGAGCAATGAGGGAAAGATCATTTTTGTGATTGAAGTGTTTGACAATGTCACCGCCAAAGAGGAATCCTGCGCCTCGAGGACTTAAACCCCATCCTTCGATTTCGTCCGGATCAGACCATAGAAGATCGCACATGGCACCTTCGTGAGGCACTTCTTGTTTCCGGTCAAGGAGACGAATCTTATCAACGCTGTCTACTAACGGTGACAACCCTCCGTGGACACAGAGTACTGCGCCTGCTGTTGTACCATAGCTCCCCGAGCTGCTGCCCGATGCTCCTGTACCGGCGGGTCCGGCCCTAGATGGAGTATTACCGGGGGCAGCAGATATATCCCTGGGAGGTGAAATATCTCTTGTATCCGTTGAAGCGTCTGATGATGATCGATATCGAGGTCGATAAGACATGGAGGTAACTTCGCCATTCGCATTTAGCACCTCCGTCTCCAACTCGCCGTCTATCTGTGAGTTTTCCACTCGAGTCGTCGGTTCAAGCTCTGAACTTGCGCCAAGAACCAAAGCTCCCAGTGCTAGATAATCAAACACTTCGCAACAGTAGCGCCATACATTCGCACTCCCGTATTTGCGGATACATTCGTCATAAAAGCCATAAACGGTTGTAATCTGCCTCGATTCGTGGTTTCCTCGGATCAACGTAATACGGTCGGGGTATCTGACTTTCAAACAAAGCAATAGTAGAAACGATTCGAGTGAATAAAATCCTCTGTCTACGAAATCACCCATGAAAAGATAGTTTGTATCGGGTACGTCGCCGCCCACTCTGAACAACTCCATCAAATCATGGAATTGCCCATGAATATCACCGCATATTGTCACTGGCGCATCGACCGAAACCACATTTCCTTCTTCGATAAGAAGCTCGCGTGCCTTGTAGCAGAGCTCGCGGACCTGAGCTTCGGGGATCGGTCGACAAGCTCTGAGCTGCGCAATGGCTCTATACATAATCAGTCAGTAAAGAATAAAACATCTTGTTGAGTCGGGTATATAGGTACTTATCCAAGTCACTCATGATGTTTGCTATTGTAATGTGCCGTTACCGCAAAGAAGGCGCGGGCAAACTCACTCAAGCTGATTAAGCTCTAAGCAGCGAAAGTCCCCGCTCCTAACGCTCTCACAGCCACCGCATGTCTTTCTGGACCAGCAGATTGAGGCGAGACGACTACCAAGGATGAGTCAAGTACCAAGGATGAGTCAAGTCAAGTCAATTAAAGTGAATGTTCGGTGACTCGATGTGGTGCTTAAGAGTCACGAATATCACGAACGAGGAGATCGAAGGGAAACTAGACCAGTCGAGCCCGCCGATAAGGCCTATTTTTTGCCTAAATTTGACGGCAATCAACTGCCCCCACATTGCAAATCAGGTGATCGCAGACAAAGTTGCTTGTCGGTTCCAGCCGGAGAGGTTCAGATCAACACAGAACAACCATGCAATTGAGCATCATGCTCACCAGCATATAGCTCAATGCAGCTTGGAGTTAATGGTAAGGTTCTTAAAAGATTAATTCTTATGATTGACCTCGTTAACATCCACTAGGACCATTGGCATAGCAGCATCCACGCTACATCCTGTCTTTTGGATCGATCTCATCTCTACTACATGACGCTCCTTTAATTTTTCCCATAATCCACTACAATGCCGCCAATTCTACATCCACGTTCGCGGTCAACGAGCTCCCTCTTTGCTGCCACCATGGTAGCCTCTTTTGTCATCGTCGGCCTTCCTCATATATTCCCCTGTCCCGCTCCTCGCCGAACACTAGCCGATTCCCAAGTCGAGATAACCGCCGACGGTCAACAGATTATGAGACCACGAAGAAGAAGAAAGAATCCAGATACTTTACAACAACGGGATGACATCCAATATACTAAAGAAGTTGCCGCAACCAAAGGTGCAACACCACAATTCGCAGATTCAACAACTGATGAAGTATCAACATTCCTCCAAATGGAAGCTGAAGCAGAGTCATTGGCCCGAGTTGGTCGAGAATGTCCAGTGCCGAAACCGAAAGGAATTGTTGGTCAGCTGCTCGGCCTTTCAAATAAAAGTAAAGGCACGGCAGACAACCGACAACAACAGTCGAAAGCTAATATAGCGATACATGAGAATGGGGGTTGAGAACAGTCTCACGGCGAGGGAAAATAGTAATGGACTTTGAAATGAATGGGAGCATCATAAACGCTGGTAAAGCACCGATTGTCACAACAGCTGGAGTCGAATTGAGCTACGAAGATTAGAATGTATTTCTGTATATACCCACAGATCGAATTTCTGTACAATAAATGAGATGTTATCAAAATAACACGTTTAATGCCTCCTCGACTTCTATAAAATGGACTGCAAATAATATTTCATATCATCCAGGTTCTTTAGGGTTAGGGTATAATTAGCACATTCCGCAGATAACCATCAGTACAACGAACTCATTTCTCCCTCGTCTGAACAGACAGTGAGGAACTCAATCTCGCAGCAATGACGATCAGCAATACGATTGTCGATATATTAACCAATCCAAAGCATTCACTATGGATTGCACCACTGCTCGTAGTAGCAGACGCAGTGCTCTCTGCACTTATTATTAAGAAAGTGCCTTGTACGTTGATTGAGAGTTTCGCTTCTCCAGAACACAGACTTACCCCCGACTCAACAGACACAGAAATAGACTGGACAACCTACATGCAACAAATCGCACTATACCAAGCAGGCGAACGTGATTATACCGCAATCAAAGGCGACACTGGCCCTCTCGTCTACCCCGCTGCACACGTTTATATCTATTCATTCCTATATGAATTAACAAATAAGGGACAGGACATCGTCCTGGGACAGGTAATTTTCGCCGGAATCTATATAACTACATTAGTCGTTGTCCTGTCCTGCTACATCAGAGCCGGTGCGCCGCCATATCTACTTCCACTGCTGGTGCTGTCCAAAAGACTACACAGCGTTTATATGCTGAGATTGTTCAACGATGGAATTGCGACCTTTGCTATGTGGTTGGGTATTTTCCTGTTTCAACGACGGCAATTGACTGCCGCGACTACGGTGTGGTCTCTGGGAGTGGGAGTTAAAATGTCTTTGTTGTTGCTTGCTCCTGGAGTTGCTATTGTAGTAGCTTTGTCAGGAGGGATTTGGACAGCTGTACCGCTTGCTCTTAATGCGATTTTGACACAGGTAAACATCAACCGTATGGCTTGTACCCTTTTCTTGCTAACCTCACAAGGTGCTACTTGGTATACCGTTTCTACGAGAAAACGCCATTGGCTATGCTTCGCGCGCATTCGAGCTAACCAGACAATTCCTCTATGAATGGACAGTCAACTGGCGTTTCGTGGGCGAGGAAGTTTTCGAGTCGCCTATCTTCTCAATCAACCTTCTCGTTCTGCATGTTGTTCTCATCCTCGCTTTCCTTGCTACCAGATGGATCCGCCCCTCCGGCGAAGAGCTTGATTTTTTCGCCCAGAAATTCATTGAAGGTCGTTCGACACGACATCCTTTATCCAGCAAATATATCACCACCACCCTCCTCACATCAATGGTCATAGGAATGCTGTGCGCAAGGTCGCTGCATTATCAGTTCTATGCGTATCTCGGCTGGACGACTCCATTCTTGCTCTGGCAGGCGAAACTTCATCCGGTCTTGATATATGCAGTGTGGGCGATGCAGGAATGGGGCTGGAATGTGTTTCCCAGCACTAATGCTAGCTCTGCTGCTGTTGTTGCCTGTTTGGCTGTGCAGGTCGTGATGCTCTTGTTGAATGATGACTCGTCCCAGGGTCTGTCAGAAGATATCAAGAAATCGGTGGGAGAACAAAAGACAAAGTAATGGGCGTCTGAGCATTGTTTGGAAAGTTTCAAGTTGTCGTGATGCCATAGGTGTTTAGTTCGTGAAATGTTTATATGTTGCGTAATTTACTCATCGTCCTCCTCGTCAGAAGAAGGCATCTTGCCTACTCTGGATTCTTCTTCATCCTCCGAGTCCGAAGGTAGATATGACTGCTTGACAAACTCTTTCGGCCTATGCAAATGAACAAATTAACACGTGCATCCTACAACCCAGCTAGGTGAGAGGGAAACGAACCAAAAAGCTGCTTTGCGCCATGCTTTCTCATCTCGTACGACATTCACGATCTCCCCTGCAATCTTATTTTCACGACCATCGAGCGCATTGGTATCAACAACAACATAGGAACCCCTTTTCATCCAGATTTTGGATCGAAAACGAGCCGAAAGCTCTACCAGAGCTGTTTGTTTGGAGGGCCATTCGACCGAATACAGATTGTTTCCTGTTGCTTTAATGATTCGAGCGATTTGATGCCCCTCTAGGAGTGTTTCGGGTGGATAGAGGCCTTCTTCGGCTGTTGCTAAGACTTTGCGCTTAGGAGGACCCATGTCGATTTTGGGGTGTATTGACGGCGTATTGTAAATTGGTCGAAAGACCAGGCTGATACGGAGGTTGTTCTTGTTGTGATTTGTTGTGGAAGTTTCTAAAGTGTGGGTTAGCTTTTTTTGTCTTGAAGCTTAAGCAGGACCCACCCGATTTAAGTGCCTGAATTCTGCCTGATTGCGGGCTTCCATCTTTGGTCATTTTCCGACCACCATCCATTCCTTTCTCTGCAATCTGTACGTCGCTTACTGCTGGATACTAAGTAACTAATAGTTAGCCGATTCAGGATAGGGACATCAAAAGGGTAATGACTTGCGAAAGCGAAAAGCAATCTGCATTGAAACTGATGCCCTGATAGGCTGATAAATATGATGGTCGACTCCTCGGCAAGTATCCGAAGCCATACTCGACTACGAGCGATCAGGAAAAATTCCGCTTATTACTAATGATGAGAAGCGTTCTGGATATATATGCCAACTCGCATTACGCGGCGGCGATAGTTAGTGGATAGCTGACAGCGAATTTGCAGTCTACTTAAAAGATCAAGCAAGCATCGCCCAACGCTCTCCCGGGACCTCTCGAGCATTTGTTCATGTATCCATGCCTGAAGCGTGAAGTCATCGTCATGGCATCCCACTTCGCCGCCTTTCTCGAAGTAGAAAGCTCTTCTCCAGTCACAAGCCCCGCTACAGTCCTTCGTCATGACGAGCGACTGACCACAGCCTCTTCAACCAACCATGAATGGATAGAGTTGCAATCAAGTGGCTCAATTGTCCAGAGACCTGGGTCTTTTGCATCACCGCCTCCAGATCTGGAAAACCTACATCCAGAAACTGGGTCTGCCCTTGGCGAAGCTGATGTACCATTATCAAGGCCAGATTCAACGGAAATAGTACCCAGTCTCTATTACCCAGCGAAGAACAAATGGCGCGCTGTGAGTGCTTCATGTATACTACTCGCCCAAGGATTAAGTGATAGTGCCCCTGGTGCTCTGATCCCATACATGGAGCAGAACTTTCACGTTGGCTACGCTATCGTATCGCTCATCTTCGTCACCAATGCTGTGGGCTATATTCTCGCTGCACCCCTGACGTACTGGCTCGAGAATCGGCTCGGTCGTTCCAGGACTGCCATGATTTCGCAACTTTCCGTGCTCACTGGTTACCTGATCATTGTGTGCAAGGCGCCGTTTCCGGCTGTCGTCTTCAGCTTTTTCCTGATTGGACTCGGGAGTGCAATCATCCTCGCCCTCAACAATGTCTTCCTAGCCAATTTAACGAACTCTACTGAGCTGCTAGGAATCAACCATGGGTTTTACGGGGTAGGGGGAACCATAGCACCCCTGATTGCAACAGCCCTAGCATCAAAAGGAGTACACTGGACATTCTTTTATATCATCAACCTGACATTTGCGGCCTTCAATCTTATTTATTCCGGGTGGGCGTTCCAGGGCTATGAAAAAGATATGCCCCTTCAGGCACTAAACGGACAGAATCAAGACGCGGAGCAGCGGGCTAAGAAGAATTTGATAGGGCGAGCACTCAAGACAAAAGCTACGTTATTGTGTGCGCTTTTCGTTTTCGCATATCAAGGAGCAGAGGTTTCTATCTCTGGCTGGATTGTTTCTTTCCTCATTCATTACCGGAATGGAGACCCGGCTCATGTAGGATACGTCAGTTCGGGATTCTGGGCAGGCATCACCGTTGGCCGATTTGTCTTATCTTATCCAGCGAGACGGCTTGGTGAAAGGCTCGCAGTGTTCAGCCTTGTGGTGGGTTCAGTACTCTTCCAGATTCTGAGTTGGTTCGTCCCAAACATCGTTGGCGAAGCCGTTACCGTTGCGGTTATCGGTTTACTTCTGGGCCCGATTTATCCCTGCGCAACCGTTGTTCTGAACAGACTTCTACCCAGAGATATCCAAACTACTTCCCTAAGTTTTGTCAGTGCAATGGGGAGTAGCGGAGGCGCCGTTGCACCGTTTGTCACTGGTATCCTCGCTCAGAGTGTTGGAACAGTGGTCCTGCATCCGGTCTGTTTGGGGCTGTATGGCTTGATGATCCTCGCTTGGTTCCTCTTGCCTCAGAGGTCGAGGCGCGAGGACTAGAGTGGCACATGGTTCTAGAGCCGGAGGAATCTCTTTTCTCGTCATTTGCCGACTTAATACGTACAGGTGGTCCGGGCCATGCAGAGTAAAGCAGCAGCTGTCTTTGCAGCATTGCGCTCGCTATGAAGCTCGTTCGCCTTCAGAAGCAATCTCTCTCATTCGCCAAAATAGGTAATCATTTACGGTAGTTATAAATATCACAAATAATTCGAGGCACATTTAAATATAATGGCTCGTTAACGACACGGACGATCGTACAGTTTTCCAAGTAGAACCTTTAGATCTCGCAGGGAGATATCGCTCTATTCTCCAAGTCAGCCATGATCCACGTATAAACTCGTAAAGCATATTATCTTCGCAGGCTTTTACGTGTACTTCACATGTTAACACAATCCAGGTCGCGAAGTACCCCTATTTAGCATAAGTGATGCAGCAAGAATTCACCGGCGGCATGCGCACCCAACCCCCTCCCGAAAAGAGAACTTGTCTATCGAGAAAAAACGAGTCATGTAGCGACCTCAGCCACGACGAAAGATTCCAAATGTCCCAAGCAGAGTACGTAGTTAAACATGATGATGGAATCAGAATGAAAGGACCAGTGGCTGGTGTGGTGATCCAGAGTGTTGACAGTGGCTTAGTCTTCCCCACAGGAACTGCGGCTCCCGTCCCGGTGTTTCCCCCTCTGAGTGTCTCTGCTCTTGCCTTTTTGTATGGCACGACACACACTGCAACCTTCTCCTCCTTATTTTCCTCCATTCCCTCTCCATCACCACGACACATTCCCCCTTACCAGTTCTCCAACACACGCTCTCTTTTTCGTGTGTTCATTTTCTATGTCTGCTCGCCCCATCGTCCAATTCTCTGAAACGAGCTCTATCATTGGACGGCTCGACTAACCCACTAACGAGTGACTCCTCCACCCCTCCGCCCCTCCAACCCTCCACGACTCGCCAACTTGACTTCTTCGTACCAAGAAGTTGAAACCACTAGCATTGCACCACACGGCAGATCACATTCGCTCTCTGCTCTGCTTTGCTCGGTCGTGCTCGTCAGCCCAATATTTTATTGATGACCTAATGATATTACTGGGTGCTACGTGATCAGCACCCGACCCGATTAAAACGTCACATCATACTGTCAGTAAGGCACCTGGTGTTTATTTTTCTTTTTTTGTCGTCTTCCCTAGATTGAAACGATCCCACTGCACGCGACGTCAATTTGGAATGCGAAGAATGAGACTTGCCGGCATTGACTCCTGAACCCGGCAAACAAAAGACGATTTTCATTTATCTAGTTTGAAATACGTGATCAGAGCCTAACATCTCGTTTCATAGTTTTCGCATTCTGATCCAGCAACTCACCATCTACTGCATTTGCCCTCCTCGCCTCCGACTCCGAGCGGTGGTGGTTGTGCGTCCCTATCTCTAAAGCGCCTAGAAGCCTGGGGAAGATCTTCGAGTTCAAAGATTGACATCTGTGTGTCTTTGCCAATAGCGAGGAGTAATCCGCCGAAATCAGCACTTTCGACAATCACCCGCCAGGCATAATCAATACTAATAACATGGCTGACGACGTTATCGCCTCGGTCTACCACAAGATCGAGAGGGAAAAGGCCCTCATAGCTGCTGCAACAAACATGAGACAATCTACCGACAATCCATCTGTGCAGCAACGAGTTGATGGGCAAATCCGTGATGGCCGCAGGAATATTGCATATCTAGAAGAAAAGTTGAGAGAGTTGCAATTTCGCAAAGATAGCGGCGCGGCATCCGGACCACCTCAGTTACCACCACTGGGAGCTGCTGGTGAGCAGCACCGGAACGGTGGAGGTTATGATGCGCCTACACCGCCCCCGAAGGATGCCAGGTCGGGCTACATAGGCGACACAGGTGAATACGGAGACGCAGGTTCTGGAGGATATAGTCAAGGCGGCCCTGGTTTGATGCCCTCTCGTGCTCCATTTGCCGATCCTCGACCTGATCCCACCATACCGAAAGCGCGACCTAATTATAGCAAATTGGGTATGTTCTGCTGTCGTATCAGATCTTGTGTTGACCGCCTAACTAATGTTGCTATTGCTATAGATCTTATTAAATATGACACACCTTATCTCGGCCCAAAGATCCAACTGATGTTGTCACAGCTTGAATTCAAACTTAGTGTGGAGAAGCAGTACAAAGCGGGTATTGAAAAGATGGTCCGTCTGTACCAAGACGAAGGCGACAGAAAAAGCCGTGCCGATGCTGAAGGTCGTCGCATTGAGAGCAACCAAAAGATTCAGTTGCTGAAGCAGGCTTTGAAGAGATACGAAGATTTGCATGTTGATATCGAAAGCTCGACCGATGGCGCAGACGGTACGTATCTGTTTCATTAATTCTACGGTCCAGATGATGTTGCTAATGTGAAGGAGCAGACGACAGTATTAATGCCCCCAACATGCGCAAACCTCTTACTGGCCACTTAACGTTACGCATACATGCTGTCCAAGACGTTGACCACGCCGCAACCTCACGGTTTTCACGCGGTCCCGAGACTTTCATCGTAATCAAGGTTGAAGACGCCATTAAAGCACGCACCAGAGCCTCTCGAAATGACAGGTGGACAGAAGAAACATTCGATATTGATATTGATAAGGCCAATGAGCTTGAACTCACGGTTTATGACAAGTCAGGCGATAGACCAACCCCCATCGGTATACTCTGGATGCGCATATCAGATATTGCCGAGGAGATGCGCCGGAAAAAAATCGAGACAGATCTGGCTTCAAACGGCTGGGTTTCTGCAGATAAAATGAGCCAAGGATCGCAGGGTCTCCAAAACCCCAATGCGCCGCTGAGCCCTCTTAGTGGGCAACGTCCAGGCGGTCAACCTCAGCAACCCGGAAATGCACCGGGCGGCACCGGTGGAGGAAGCCCTGTTTTGATAGATTCCTGGTTCGCGTTAGAACCCGTGGGTAGAATTCATATGCAACTCAGCTTCGGTAAGTATATACTATATTATCTAGTACACTCCATCCATACGAAATCATCTAACTCGACATTTTAGCAAAACAATTGAAGGATCGCCGACCATTTGATATCGGTCTGAATCGGCAGGGTGCAGTTCGTCAAAGGAAAGAGGAAGTGCACGAGAAACAAGGACACAAGTTTGTCACTCAGCAATTCTACAACATCATGCGTTGCGCGCTCTGCGGGGAATTCCTCAAGTATGCTGCTGGCATGCAGTGTCAGGATTGTAAATACACTTGTCACCGCAAGTGCTATCCAAAAGTCGTCACGAAGTGTATCAGTAAAGCCAACTACGAGACTGATCCTGATGAAGAAAAAATCAATCATCGCATTCCGCATCGTTTCGAGAACTTCGCCAACATCTCAGCAAACTGGTGCTGTCATTGTGGTTATCTCTTGCCATTTGGACGGAAAAATGCGAAGAAGTGCACAGGTAAGATACTTCTTTGGATACTTTTGGTTTGGTATTCGATGCTGATATGGTATCACAGAATGCGGCCTTACCTGCCATACTGCCTGTGCCCATCTGGTTCCGGATTTTTGTGGTATGTCTATGGAGACTGCGAATGAGATTATAAAGGCTCAGATCCAGATGAAAAATCTCAATATGAACAAGACATCACCGGTCGGATTATCTAATCGCACTCTAAGAGAAAATGCACCTGCTCCTTTGGCTCCAATGAAACCCTCGGACTACGGAAGGCCACCTTCTGCTCAAGCTGTCACCGCTGCAACGGCGTCCTATACCCCCCAATCACCCACTGCCTCATCCAGGCAAGATCTTCCTCCTAGAACATCATCAATCGAAGCAGCGCAAATGGCCGCAGAGGCTGCGATCAGCGGCGTGCGGCCACCGTCTCAGCAAAACCAAGGTTTGTTTCGTTTACATTGTGAACCAAGAAGTCGGTATACTAATACGCCACAGACCCCCGACTTGCACAACCCCAACAACATGCTATTCCTCCGTATAATCCGGGGGCATATACCAATGTCATGAAACAAGGGCTTCCTGCAAGTCCTATGCCCGGTCAGAGGATGCCACCCTACCAAGCAGCTCCTCCACCTCAACAAATGCCACCACCCGCTCAACCGCAACCAGCATCTCAGGCCGCAGTCGTAGCCCAGCAACCACCTCCTGTAAAAGAGCCTCCTCCATCAGGACGCGGCCCAAGAATTGGTCTCGATCACTTCAATTTCCTTGCCGTTCTCGGAAAGGGCAATTTCGGTAAAGTCATGCTTGCAGAGACGAAGACAACGAAGAAACTTTATGCTATCAAGGTCTTGAAGAAAGAATTCATCATTGAGAACGATGAAGTCGAAAGTACCAAATCCGAGAAACGGGTTTTCCTTATTGCCAATAAGGAACGACATCCATTCTTGTTGAATTTACATGCTTGCTTTCAAACAGAGACGCGTGTATACTTCGTCATGGAGTATATTAGCGGTGGTGATTTGATGTTGCACATTCAGCGGGGCCAATTTGGTCTGAAGAGAGCACAATTCTATGCAGCCGAGGTCTGTCTAGCGTTGAAGTACTTCCACGAAAACGGTGTCATTTATCGTGATTTGAAGCTCGACAATATTCTTCTGACTTTGGATGGACATATCAAAATTGCTGATTATGGTCTATGTAAGGAGGAAATGTGGTATGGAAGCACCACGAGCACATTCTGCGGTACGCCAGAATTCATGGCTCCTGAGGTAAGTTAACTCTCTGCGTATAAACTGGCAACACATAGCTGACAGCTCTCAGATTCTTCTCGATAAGAAATATGGACGAGCTGTTGACTGGTGGGCGTTTGGAGTTCTTATCTACCAGATGTTACTTCAACAGTCTCCTTTCCGTGGAGAGGATGAAGACGAAATTTACGACGCTATTCTTGCCGACGAACCTCTATATCCTATTCATATGCCACGTGATTCTGTTTCTATTCTTCAAAAACTGCTCACTCGCGAGCCTGAGCTACGACTCGGATCAGGCCCTACTGATGCGCAAGAGATCATGTCGCATGCATTCTTCCGAAATATCAACTGGGACGACGTCTATCATAAACGCATCACTCCACCATTCTTGCCGACAATCAACAGCGCTACCGATACAAGCAACTTTGACCAGGAATTCACCAGCGTCACTCCCGTCCTTACTCCAGTACAATCTGGTAAGTCCATTCTTTACAAATTTGAGAGTGCATTTATTAACTTAGTATGTATCTACAGTTCTTTCTCAAGCTATGCAAGAAGAGTTCCGTGGTTTTTCATATACCGCCGACTTTGTGTAGTTTTTTGACTCTACGAATATTGATATATTTGAGGGCGGTCCGATGTGTTTTGTCTACAGGCTCAGTTTATCTTAGTAGCCTATAGGAACGATGCTAAGGAGACGAAGATATTTAATCTTTTTTTGCTCTTTTTTTCTTTTTCCCTCCTCCATCAGCTAATGATTTGTCTTGAAATATACGCCAAATTTCAATGTTTACAATGGATGTATGTTCTCTTTTGAAAAGAGATATTTAGATGATTTTTAATTCATTCTTTTCATGCCATTCATAGGATAGAGTAGAATGTATCATCTGTATGCAGTCCATACTTTATTTGTCTGGTTGACATTTAATGACCTTTCAATAATTCGCCTCGTAATCTCTCAACAGCAACCTTCAACTCCTTCGGTGGTACAGTCCAGTCCTCATTCTTAACTAAATCAGACTGGATCGTCATGAACAATGAATCAGAGACTGCTATACGTATCTGTATCAAAATTCCAACCAATTAGCCTACTATGTCGCGACAGAAGGGGAGTGAAGGTTAAGTGAGTTCTCACCTTTGGATAAGGATGTAACAACATCGCAGTGAGTTTCTTCAGGACATCTACCCTTAAGTCGGTTGCTCGTGAGAGTGATGCGTATACCTTGATAGCTGCCTCCAAGCGAGGGATATTGGATGATTTGAAGTGTGCTTTTTGTGTTAGGAGAAAGAGCTTTTTGAGACTAGCAGCTTGGAATTAACAAATTCGTGTCGTTTAACTAGAGAATACAGGAGTCTTCCATACCAGGGTTTGTTTGCTTGAACCAACGGTTCGGAGATGTATGTATCCAAGAAGAAAGCAGATACTTCCAATGCGGGAATTGTGTATCGATCATCGACCAGATTCGTCTCGAGGATTGAGACTAGATTCTCGATGAGCTTGTTGACCCATTCGTACTTCTTTTCACGGTTGGGCTGATTTTCGATAAAATCGATCAGCGCAAAGCGGGATGATTGAATCAAGCCCTCGGTTCCAGCGCTGGCTGAGGTGATGAGACCCTGCACGAGCGGTCTTCGGAGATTTTCCACCTGTAGGAGTTTGAGTAGTTGGTGAAAGTAATTGAATGAGGAGACTTGGCTGAAATGTTCGAATTTCCTGTTTTCCATTTCCCAAGTCAGTATGTGTATCGCGATCAGGTGGATATTTTGTATACCTTTCCATGGCTGGCAGATGAGTAGCATCTCCCCAGTATTGCTGCAAACAAACCCAAGCTTGGAATCTGACTTTATCCAGCTTCTCCGCTGCTAACCGGCACAGACACCCAATGAACCGATCGATGTATGCAGAGGTACCGTCTGCCGTGTCTTGGGCTTTGGTCTGATCTAGAATGACCTGTACTGCTTGGATAGCTTCTATTCTGATGAATGATCCGATATCCCCTCGTCGATCAGTCGTGTAGTCGGTTAGGAATTCGACAATGTGCTCTGCTAGAGAATCCGATATCTCTGATTCAACTGTTAATTTTGATCAATAGGCAGGATTTTATGAGTGACGCACGAATGTCGGGTAGAACACCACTCGCCAGGCATTGAACGGCAGATACTCTCTTCTCAATAAACTCCTCATCCTTGGTGCAATGGATCAACTCCTTTATGATATACTCGCGAATACTGCTACTAGATGGCAAGCGATGGAACACAGCCCCCAATGCAGAGATTTGACCACGGCCACTAGCAGATTTCCAACTAGCATGGATATTCGCAAACCAGCCGCGTACCGTTTCTTCCTGTTTCTCCAAGGGGAGGATGCGGAACAGCTGTGATGCAGCTCCGGAAGATGCATTGATTGCTACGTCTTCGCCGCGGGATACACAAAGCAACATGGTATTCAATACTTTCAGGAGAAGAGATTCAGGCACGCTTTTGTCAAGCGAGAATGTTCCTGTAGCACGCGCAAGAGATGCAATAAGACACGATACTGCCTCGGCGGTAAGTTCGGGTCGTGCATTCTGTTGAGTCAAATCGTTCTTCGTTGGGCCATGCGATGAGTTGAATACTTCCCATAGCTGCAAGATCATCTCCTTCACAGTTTCGGCGTTTTCATGTTTTAAGTTAGATTCATACTCAGAAGTGAAAGCATCCACGACAGCTCCATAAGCTAAGAGACAGCCATGGCGAGTTTCCACATCAGTAGGTGCAATAGTCAATAGCCGCGAGTTCAACCGCTGAAGTACAGTCTGTATTGATTTGAATGAATCTTGTTTGCACAGTTCGCCGAGTGCTGTAGCTGCAGTTCGCCGAGAGTCTGCGTCCGACGATCCAATTCCTCTCCAGAAGAGTAAGGAGTTGACGAGAGGACTCCAATATGCACTATCAATCAGTGCAGCACCCTGCGCAACCTCAATCATAGCTTTCGAGCGTCGTGCCACGGCGTGGTAGTCCACGACTTGCACTAGAGGAATTCCTTCGAGGATAGTGTCAGGATGGCGGCCGATCAACTCTTGCAATGCAGCAGAGGCACCACGACGAATATTTCCGGATGGATCTATACAAGCAGCACACACCAATTCCACAGCTAGCATTTGTAAAATGGCACGCTCTTCTTGCTCCGTAGGTGCTTTGACGGTACCAGTATTTAGGGACAGCAGTTCCTTGGTGGTATACTTGCGTGACACGGCCCATATACCAAAGCAGGATGCATCACGAACACCAGTTCCAACGGAGCTACCAGTAGCTGATCTTTGTTCAAAGTCTAAGCCGGAAACAAGGCCTTGTAGGATTTCGGGAAGTTGACGAGGCGGAGGAGCTCTTCGGAACAGAAGATGGGCCAGTGTGAGGATCAACCCCTGCCAGCGGTGCGGATCAACAGCACTCAAATTACGCTTCAAGTCTTTCATGTTCATGTTCTGCGCTTCATGTGCTGTGACAAGACCCCCATCGTTCTTCTGGTATAGGATGTCTTCATTTAGTGAGCCGGTCACTGCGTCTACAATATCAGCACTCATATCCGCATCCAATTTTAGCGCTACCACAGCAAGAGCTTTACTTGCGGCAAATCTGACAGGCATGTCCTTGTCGGCTAATGTCACTAGAAAGAAATCAATTGATTCTTCCAATATGAATGACACTTTATCCTCTGGCACATGCGGATCGCCCTTTTCCGCTAAAGTCAAGGCGAGTGTTGCAGAGGTGCGGAGGATTTTGATGAGCATCTTTCGCGCTGAAGCAGAAGATCGAATGTTTGTACAGATTCCCGAGTTCCCCTGTGCAATACGGAGCGACTTGTCGAACAATTTGGTGACCAATGGGGCGAGGTCCTCTACCTGTCCGGAAACACCCAACCTGGCGAGAAAAGACAGAACACCTATGCAAGTATACACAGGTGGTAGTGTTTCGCTTTCGACGGGTGGTTGAATAACAGAAAAAGCCCAGTCCGTAAATATATTCAAAAGACCAAGTCGTTGCATATCCGGACGCAAGACCAACCTGGCGAGAAGTAGCGTTGCTGCCTCTCGCTCTTTCCCCGCAGTGACAACATAGCGGACAGCGATAGAGATGATAGCTTTGGCAATTCTGGGTGTGGTCAATGGAATTGACTCCAGGATGTCCACATCGTCGTACGGTACTGGGATATTATCGGATGACAAGGATGTTAGATCAAAGGGTGCGAGCAGTAGATGAGAGAGCCAAAGCAGCATGACATAACGTTCCTCCCATCGAAGTGGCTGTACATTGATTCCTGTTGCTGCAAGTTTGGATTCTTCGTCGGATTTTATGGAGTCCCATTCGATGAAAACACGAAGCATCAGGTCCAGATACTTGGGCTCATTGTTTAGAAAGCGGCTGATGACCTTGACGCCGCGTACTTTGCAGAAGGTGTAAATAATTCTACATATTGACCTCGGCAAAGGGACAATCTGTGTTTGAGATGGGGCTCTTCCTTTAGTCGATCCATAAAATTGACGATTCTTCGTCAGATAGACAAGAAATGCGTCGACCAGTTGGCTGAGGAACGGCTGGAGCTTGGAATCAAGCAATTGAGGCCATTCTTGAAATCTTTCGAGCTATTTTAAAAGTTAACTATTGTTCCCATGACTATCGCATGGGGAGTCACTTACCACTTCAATCAGCCGATTTTCTTTCGGTACCTGCGACCATCTATGCACAGTCTTCTGAGACTGTCCACGGATTGTGTTTTGCTTCCATAGCAGCGGGGTCAACTTGTCCTCGAACTCTTTCAATAGATCCCCAGATGCGCGTTGAAATCTGATATCTCTGTCATCGGGTGCGTCCATTTGCGCTATAGTCCTCGGACGTCTTTTTGGAGGTTCTACGACAAATAATCGCGCAGTTGGTTGACTCGAGAAGGAAATATATAAACAGTTCCGGTTAACGTATCGTGCCACGTGATTGGTTCATTACAAACCTAGAAGAGCTAACAAGTTAAAGGATAGGACGACAGATACAGAGTACAACCCACTTTATCAAGTTTAATTTCAATAATAAAAAGAAAGAAAATAAGAATCCTCAAACGAATACCTGAAATTGTAAAACTAATAGACAAAAAAGAAAGGTGCTTTGCATCATCCGTGAATCGAACACGGGCCTCGTCGATGGCAACGACGAATTCTACCACTAGACCAATGATGCTTGTTGAAAAGGATTGGGATCTTTTGCTCTATAGCCTCTTTCCCATGCTCACTTCAGCACCTTAATCAGATACTCCGTAATGATCTGTCTGTCGGAATATCACGAACCTCAAGAGCTGTCTGAGTCCGAAATTTCCGGAAATACTTGCGACTTCCCACAAACATCATGGCAGCAGCAGCTGCATCGGGCTCTGGGATCCCTCCCAATCCTACGTATGTCCCATTTTTCCATCTGTTGACATGCTCACTTACTGATTTGTTTTTCTGTAGGGTTTATGTGAGTTGTGGAGCTCCACGAATCTCCGTGTTGGATTCTAACTGTCTCTTGTCTAGGTACATAATTTAGAAGAGCGCGTCAAAATCGATGAATTAAAAGAAGCCCTCACCGCAATTTTCTCTGAGTATGGCACGATACTCGAGATTGTCGCAAAGAAGAATTTGAAGGCAAAGGGACAAGCTTTCATCGTGTTCGACAATGTCGAGTCTGCACAGCGAGCAATCGAGGAAGTCAACGGGTTCGACCTACTAGGAAAACCTATGCATCTTGACTTTGCGAAGACGAGGAGTGACGCAACAGTTCTACGGGAAGCTGGTTCAGAGGAGTTGGAGGCTCATAAGAGAAAGAGATTGGCGGAGAAGGGTTGGTCCATCCAAGCATTTTGGTACTTTTATCTCGTGAATACGTTGCTGATATCCCGTTGTTTCTTTAGAGCGAAAGCATGCCCAAGAGGCGCTTGAAGCGCAAAAGAAACTGAAACGACCTGCCGGTGTGGTACCTGTACCAGCCGAGGCTGGAAGGCCAGCAAAGGCAGCTCGTGGGACTGGCCTCAAGCCGACCAGTGCAGCAACTACCGCAGTTATACCAGACGAATATCTACCTCCGAACAAGATTCTCTTCTTACGAGAGTTACCAGAAGATGCCGACTCTGATATGCTTGCCGGTATATTCGGTCGGTTTGAGGGTTTCCGTGAAGTGCGTCTGGTGCCAGGCCGCAAGGGTATCGCTTTCGTTGAATATGAAAACGAGGCCGGAGCAATCAGTGCGAAAGAAGCGACATCTGGAATGCCAATGGGGCCTAATGCAAAGCCTATTCGTGTGACATACCAGCGACAATGAGGCTATTTTATGCATGATTTCGACTTTTGCGTGGCGTTCTCTGGTTATTCTATGAAGGTATCTGTTTTATATTTACCGAGGAGGTCTTTTTTGTGGTGATGAATATGTGCCTTGAATACCTAGTAGCTCTACGTACCATATTCCGGCCCGGCCTTTCTTGTTAGCGGCCGCTTTAGTGAGTTAGGCTCACTGAGTGAATTGTAGCCGGGGGTGACAGGGACAGGAGTAGGAAGATTGGTTTTTCCAGCAACAGGGATGTGACATGCGCGAAAGACTGCGCTAATGTGTTGTTGATAAGTGGGAAAAGCCTCGCGCGTTCCTTCACTTCTTTCATTTTCCCCCAATGACAAGTCATCTTAGTTGTCTGAATACCTTCAGATTGAGCTCTCACACCCAGCTTAAGCTGACTGAGCTACTCAGTGAGTGTTACTGATTAGCTAGTGCATCTATTTAACCTTGGAAGCACTTTATCTAGTTCATATAATACCTAGGCCTTGTTGGTTCCTTGAAATTACTTTTCTATAGTCCTGATCATAACCCTGGTTTATAAGGTGCTTTGTTTTCCATTAACCATGAATTGGCTGTTGAGAAACAGTGAGAAACGGCGAGGAATTGGTGCGGGACCCGTAATTCAGTGTATTGTTGTCTGTCTACTGAGGTGTAAGGATTCTTAGCATCCAAGAATGGATAGGTCGCCATACATACTGGTTGCAAATGTCACAGATCTGTATCCTCCCACACCTGTTTTCTCCTATTGATCGATTCCCATTAGACAACTGGATTTACACAGCTGATTCCTCTATCCTCTTCCTACGCACATCAATATTCTTGCTGTCCTTGACTCCCTGATTGTATGCGTGCCAATTCCGTATCTCTCTGCTTCGAACTGACTGGTGGTGAAGCTTCACACTTTTGCCTTTGAGGTACTCTTCTGCGATCTTGCCGGCTGTGGCGCGAAAGGTGATGAGTTGCATGTGTGAAGCCCATTTGAACTCCGGTTCCAGCTCCCCCTGTCTTCATCTCAGTAGGAACAGCCGGCGTCTGCTCTCGCTCCGGTAGTGAAGAAGACACAGTATTTAGGGGAACCGGGGAGGGCCGTGTTGACGAAGATAGTCTAAACGAGACTTCGGATGACGGGGACCCAGGCTTGATAAGCTTGCTAATCTCTTCGTCTAAACCTCCGAACGGGTTCAAGTCGTCTTCGTCTTCCACTTTGAAGTCGGGTTCGACGCCATCATCGCCACTATCTTCAATTTCCTCATCCAAGGAGCTGGGGGCGTCGAGAAATTTGCAGTCTTCATTTGTTTCCGGAATCGAAGATGTCCTAATGACGAGATCATCTGGAAGCGGGGAAAAGGCGCGGCTGCCGTTAATATCAACGTACCATCGGGATATGTTGGTATTTCGGGGGGAAGGGATACGTTTGGAGTCTCGGACAATGGGGCTGAACGGTCTAACTCCGCCTGTCTCTCAGCTTCCTCGTGCTTCACCTTGGCCGTGATAGCGTCATTCTCCGCTTTCTTTGCATGGAATTCCTCATCATCTGTCTCTTTCTTTGCCATTCTGTACAGCCCTTCGGAAACACCCAAAGAGTAGCTATTCTTGTCACCTACACCCCTATCAGGCCTAGCCCATTCTGCAATTCTACCCCGTCTCGAACGACATGGCAGTAGCGACCGTATTTTCTGCGATGCCGCAGAAAGTCCAGTCCACAGACGAGTATGTGCCAGTTGAATATGACTTGCAGTCAAAGAAGCGTTCCATGGCGGCGCTAATGGTATTGACATAGCTCTGCTGCTGCACAGAGTTGAACGGATCCCCGTCGACGCGTTGAATTGATACAACACTCAGCCCAGCATACTGCGCCTAAGTAGAAGGCGGCTCGTGAGTAAGGATCTCCGCTTGCGATATGTTGTACTGTCCCATCAACCGCGACGCCAAGTGAAGTGCTGCTTTTTCTTTCGCTTCTAGCGTACTGGGGTGGTTTTGCACCCTGAAGGCATTTCTTGGTCCGCTGAACTATCGCGTCACTGATATCGGCTATTGAAGAACTGACTCTGATGGTGCCTGTTTCTGCGGGTTCCTTGACTGATGCCTTGTATAGTGGCAGAGGAATCTTTAAAGGGGCCGTGGGGCCTCCGTTTGTATGGATGTCACCTTCTCCCCCGTTCTCATCCGAAGTTCTCTTGACCATCTTGGACGTGGAAAAAGGACGAAGGCGTCCGTAAAGTTGAGCACAAAGAGTCCAGAAGAGTTATAAAGGACGCGATCAAGTAGGGGCTGGGACTGTAGGCACCCATCACAACGACCAGTCTTAGGCTGTCGACAAGGATGTGCTGGAACGTGTCAGATTATCCCCATCATTTATGCCTCAATTTGCCCCTTATGAGAGATCGCAAATCACCTTACCAAAATGTCTAGATTAAAAATCATGTACACAGACGGACAGAGAGAAGTCAATACACACAAAACTTGCTAGTCGCTTTTCTTTCACCGTCATACGAAGTCTGGCATTCCATATTCTTTAGGTACTACGTATTCAGGATTGAACCTGGAGTAAACAGAATATAGCTTGCACAGCCCACATACTATCCTGATGTTCGATTGCTTACCCTTCCCCCCATTAGGGGCCTATTTTTGACAAGTAAGGCGACCAAATGCGAAGCCTTATTTAAGACTCATTGATCTAAATGTGCTTGGTTCTACTCACTGAGTAAAAGCGGCGAGGGGGTGAGTGGGAAAGAGAGGGAAAGCCAAGGAGTGTGAAAGATAATCATCGATACGATGAAATATAAACTCGTGAATATAAATGAAAACAACCTAGACAAGCGCCGTGAATGTGAATCCGAGTAAAATGGCTACATGAGCTCAAAATGAACCGTTAAAAGATGACATCCTCGTCCTCTTGTCCGAGCACATCGCTTGGAGCTTGCTCCTCTGTCGCTGTAACAGCAACGTCGCCCTTCGACTCTTCTGCTTTCGCCTGCTGAGCTTCTTGTTGTCGCTTTGCAAGGATTTCGGCATCCTGGGCGGCCGTGTCCCTTTGCTTCTTATTCGACACTTTCTTCAATCGGTAGAATTCCTCGCGATCAAGTTCGTCCAACTCCGAGTTGATATCTAGATCTGGTTAGCTACGTTTGGAATTAGAGCATAGGAGATTCCACCGACATTTTATAGTGTTCTCCGTACGGGGAATGATAACGTGTTCGCTGTGACATGTTAGAATCAGGCCCAGAATCAAGTCTGATACGTCCTCAGAAAATTCTTACATAGCATTTACTAGATAAAAGATTAGCACTATGTTAAGCTCGCATACTGAGTAGTGTACATACCTCTTCTGTTCACCACCTTGATGACCTCATCTAAAATGACAAATGCAGTCTGTTGCATAATTAGATTCCGTACTGGTCGACCATCATTTTAGCAAACTCACTTGTAAGCTGGCAAGCTCGACAAGAGTTTCTACTGCCCGTGCATATGTCTCTCGTGATCGCTGCACTTGCTGTCCACCCTTGCCGAGACCGGTCAAGCCAAAGTCGTTTGCATTCTCTGCGATAACACTCTCGAACTGCGGGAGCAGCACTCCGGACACGTTCTCTTGCTTTGTTCGGACCCGGAAGCGAGCTGACTTCGCCGACTCTTGGATCTGAAAACCGATATCTCCTCCAACGGCATATGTAACTTCAGCTAGAGAGAAAGCTGCAATCTGCATAACACGGCCCATCTTCCTCTTTGCTTCGTCGATTCGTCTCGTGATCTCTATGTCCGATTAGCTGCAATGCGGGGATATGCTTAGTTTCAACTGAAGAATGCATACCGCGAAATCGTCTGTGGAGAGAGTACTTGTTAGTAATTATCATACTATGTAGACAGACAAGGATGAGTACTTGGTTAATGCTTCGCTCTTTCTCTTTAGCAAACTATGGCCGGTTTCCGCACCCTTGAGCTTGCTCTTCATCAACCCGAGCGACTGGCGGGTCGGAAAGACAGCTTCACGACCCTGAGATGGATCAGCATCTTAACCCAAGATTTTTGCTAGAGTATTTTACTCACCACTGCGCCAGACATTGTTGCGGATCAATTAGATACCTGTTTCCTAGTTGACCTAGACAACACGTTGATATCGATGCTGTCTGTACGATGACGGATGAATTGATATGCGGAAGCTCGGGCCCCTGCACTCTCATTGGACACATGTGCCAGGCATCATTAAGGCGCCAAGGTCAAAGTGACGCCAACGCTGTTGGTCAACCACGTGATCTCCAATCTCACTTCAAGAAGTTGCAGGACCTGTCCGATACAAGAAATTCGAGAATTCCACTCCGTCCAAGCATCGTCCGCCTTTCGCTACATCGATCGCGTGGCGGTCTTTCCCGTGAGCCTGGCAAACATGCCAGGAGCCTTATTGCCTCCTAGATCGCAGCGATATCACGCACAGATGGAGCGAACATCAGCGGCAGAGCCAGATCTCTACCTGATCGTGAGTATCAATCCCAGTATTGACCGCGCCCAAGAGAGAGTAATTAATTTTCTTTCAGTCTAATGAGGACACCATCTATGAGCAAGATTTGTTGCGAGATCCTGGCAGTATCAAGCCATGGCTGTCCTATATCGAGTACAAGCGCCAAAATGGGACGCTTTATGAGCAGTCTTTTGTAGGTATCTCTGTCAAAATTGGTCTTCATTACTGACTGATAATGTAGATTATGGAGCGCGCCTGCAAGGAACTACCCCGATCTTACAAATTGTGGAAAATGGTATGTCTGACACTTCTGTCCGGTAACTTTTCTTCGAAAGAGTATGTTTACTAACACTTCGTCTAGTATCTAGAGTTCAGGATTAACCATCTCCGTGGTCGCAATCCTGCCATACATCGTGCGGAATATCAGAAAGTGAATGCGCTATTCGAACGAGCCCTTGTGCTTCTCAACAAGATGCCGCGGATATGGGAGATGTTTCTCTCTTTCCTGCTGAAGCAGCCCCTCGTCACTTATACTCGTCGCTCCTTTGATCGCGCTCTCCGTGCCTTGCCAATCACCCAGCACAACCGTATCTGGAAGCTCTTCAAGTCGTTTGCCAGCTCCGTTTCCGGATTGACTGCAGTGCAAATATGGCGGAGGTACATGCAAGTTCACCCTGAAAACGCGGAGGACTACATAGATCTGCTTGTGGACCAGGGACATTTCACTTCAGCCATCAAGAAGTACATGGAAATTCTTAATGATTCAGGTTTTCAGTCAAAGCAAGGAAAAAGCCATTTCCAACTATGGACTGAGATGGTTGAGCTTCTAGTGAACAAGGCAAAGTACATTGATACGCAGGGAAGCGGAGGAATTGACGTTAACGCCATCATTCGGAGCGGTACTCTTCGATTCCCTGACCAACGAGGCAGACTATGGGTGGGTCTAGCAACGTACTGGATCACTAAGGGCAACTTCGAGAAAGCTAGAGATATCTTTGAAGAGGGTATAACTAGCGTCATGACCGTCCGGGACTTCACCATGATCTTTGACTCTTATGTCGAATTCGAGGAGTCTATAACTGGAACACTCATGGACCAGGCGGCGGCTCGTTTGAAGAAAGGCAAGGTTGACGAAGATGCAGACTTCGATCTTGATCTGCGTCTGTTGAGGTTCGAACAGTTGATGGATAGGCGCCCTTTCCTTGTGAATGATGTTCTCCTCCGACAGAATCCGAACAACGTTGTGGAATGGGAGAAGCGAGTGGGACTGTGGAGAGACAATGCCACCGAAGTCGTCAATACTTACACCGCTGCCATAGCTGCTATCAATCCCAAGAAGGCTCATGGAAAGTTTCATGAACTATGGGTTAACTACGCGAAATTCTATGAGAAGGGAGGAGATATCGGTACAGCACGAATCATCTTTGACAAGGCGGTTAAAGTGCCTTTCAAGACAGTAGCAGAATTGGCGGAGACTTGGTGTGAATGGGCCGAGATGGAACTTCGTAATGAGAATTTCGATAGAGCTGTCAGTATCATGGCTAAAGCAACCCAAGCTCCGAAGCGGTCAACAGTGGACTATTTTGACGAAACTCTATCGCCTCAGCAACGTGTACACAAGAGCTGGAAACTTTGGAGTTTCTATGTGGACCTTGTTGAGAGTGTTGGCACTCTTGATGAAACTAGGAAGATCTACGATCGGATCTTCGAGCTTCGAATCGCTACACCACAGACCGTTGTCAACTACGCCAATCTTTTGGAAGAAAACAAGTACTTTGAGGAGTCATACAAAGTGTACGAGCGTGGACTGGACTTGTTCAGTTACCCTGTGGCATTCGAGCTTTGGAACTTGTACCTAACGAAAGCGGTGGATCGAAAGATGAGTATTGAACGGCTCCGGGATCTTTTCGAACAAGCACTGGATGGTTGTCCTCCTAAATTCGCCAAGGTCTTGTACCTCATGTATGGCAACTTAGAAGAAGAGCGTGGTCTTGCCAGACACGCTATGCGTATCTATGAACGTGCCACTCGAGCAGTATCGGACGAAGATCGATTCGAAATGTTCAATTTCTACATAACTAAATCCGCATCCAACTTTGGTTTGACATCGACCCGCCCGATCTACGAACGTGCCATTGCTGCATTGCCGGACAGCGAAGCCAAGGATATGTGTTTGAAGTTTGCTGAGATGGAACGACGTCTTGGAGAGATTGATCGTGCACGTGCTATCTATGGCCATGCCTCCCAATTCTGCGACCCGCGCACCAATGCAGGCTTCTGGCAGAAATGGGAAGCATTCGAAGTGCAGCACGGTAACGAAGATACCTTCAAGGAGATGTTACGAATCAAGCGAAGTGTCCAAGCTCAGTACAAGTAAGTCCCACCCCTTCCTTCGTTTTATTTGTTCATTTGACTAACCAGAATCACAGCACGGACGTCAACTTCATCGCTTCCCAGGCTATCGCCCGCAGTCAGCAACAGCGCGCACAGAATGGCGAGACAGACGGTAAGGGAGAAAGAGAAGAAGAAGATCAAGAACGTGCAGATGCAATGGCAGCATTGGAACGTCAAGCTCGAGCCCCCGTCGGCTTCGTCGCTGCCAGCACCGGACCAGAAGGTGGGAACCGGCCTTCGGCTGCGGCTACTACTGCGCCACCAGCAAACGTTAATCCGGATGCTATTGATCTCAATGATGACGAGGATATGGAAGACTAGCCGTTTCTTCTAGAAGCGAGCTTTGTCTTGTAAAACAGTACCATCTGCTGAAAGCCACGAACTACCATCGAGATTGCTACTGGGCCCACAGCTGGTTATCATAATCCTTCCTATCTTCAATACTTGCCCCAATCTCATTTTGTTACACTATTTTCTGCATACTGGATATCGGCGTCATTTTCACAATCGGCTTTAGTCTGTCAGGACATGAAAGTCCCTAACCCATTCTACCATCCTGTCTCGCTAGAATTTCATTTGTCTGATATGTAGCTAGCTATCCCTCGGAACGCAAGTATTTATCGACAATTCTAGGCACAATATCGAAAAAGAATTCCATTTACGTATCGTAGATAATTTGTGAGTATCATTATGTAACAAAGAATGATTCGAGACAGATTGTAGAAATACATAATAGTTGTCGATTTTTTGTCTCTTTCAGAAATGGCAAAAGAAAGGAAAGAGGGACACGCTGATATTTTGATCGAGAAAAAAAGTAGACAACTCATAGTACAAGAAACATGATGCAATGGGTGTATATGGGATAAGGTGACGAGAGTCCAGGATATTAGTAAAGAAAAAGAACAAGAAGAAAAAGGATGGAAACTTCAAGGAGAATGGATGTTTTGAGTATATCCCAATCCAATGCGTATGATTTTCATTATTTACAAACATTTCGTTAGCCCTGAATATGATTCAGGGAGGAGAGTAATAACTTTCTGGTCCGAAAAAGCGGCATGATTGAGCAAGGTTCAATCTACATCAGCTGGACTTGGTGATGGTGATGTCTGCTCCTGTTTTTCATTCGACTCGCTGCCGTTAGATGGTGTGGAAGTCTGACCGTTTTCTTCATTCTCTTTGCTGGGCGCGGTTGACACATCCTTTCGAGATTCAGAGACCGGGAATAATTCATTGAAGAGATTGGGTAGGAAACGGTCAAGGCGTCTCTTGGTCTCGGTCCAAATCTTCTGCTTGTTTTCGTCGGTGGAAGGGGGTGGACTGAGATGACCGCTGTCCGCCATGACTAGAAGTATATTCTTGATACTTTCGGGAATTGCTTCTTCCTGTATGATCAATTACTAATTAGTATCTGACTTGGAGGGAAGGAAATGAGATATATTGCTTACCAGACTCTCGCCTTGGCCACTATTCATCATCCGGTCTAGGATGTCCAATATCTTCAGCCATAGATCGAGCATACCACCAGAGTTGGATAGCTGGTCCAGATATCGCAGGAATATTTTGCACACAAGTGTGGCAGCCTGAACGCGAGTCTCGCTCATTCCTATGGGGTCCGAATGGTATACTTCAGGTTTTAGCAGACGTAATATGAGAGGGAATAGGACCTCTTCGAATATCGATGTCCATTTGTCGTCATTTTCAGAAGCAAATTCCAGAGACACGAGAGAACGCTGAAGGGTTGAAACGGCTTGATGTCGGATATCCCGACAAGGGTTGGTACATTGCATCGTCAAGGATCGGAAGATTGGAGACCAGTAGGCAGCCCAAGCTGTAAGCATGTTAGTACAATCTTAGACATGCCTATTCTGCAGTAAAATTGGGTCGAAGTTTTCACTCACCTTCACTCCTTTCCAGATGAGACTGTTGGATCAAGCTGGGCGTGCGGCTGGTCATCTGATAGATGATATCAATCGCATGGATACCTCTTAGTACCGTATCGTTTTCACTAATTCTGTTAGTCATTAACCAGATCAAAGCAGACGGCGAAACATACGTTGGCTTTTCAGGCTTAGCGCCTCTTGACCGACGAGCATTGGCGTCTCGCCTACGCTCTTCAGCAGCTCCTATACTTCCAGCACTTGCAAAGTCATTCGCAAGCGCAACAGCTGCTTCATAGTTATCAGACGAAATTGCCGGCGGGGTACTCTCAATAATGCCTTTGAGAATCTCGTAAACAATGGGAGCGGATGTATTTTGTGGGCGCAGACGTTGTAAGATGGACCAAAAATCAGGCGATATGATTATTTCCCTCCTCAACAATTCTGATTCAGCAATGCATCGTGATAGACTGTTAAGCACTGGTGTTGCTGACATCTCCAGAATATCTTGGTCAAAACTGGAAATAGCATGTAAGATTACTGGCACTCGCATAAATGGTTGATCCTAGAACATGTGAGCTAAACTCGTATCTCAGTTTTCGAGGACACAACTTACATAGCTAAGCCGGAGGAGATTGAGCAGATAGTATAAAACTCGTGAAACTATGAGGGGATGAACATTCCTTGCATCTCGGACGATGCCTTGTAGAGAACCGGCCAAATTTTCGCCAACGGATTCTATGGTTTCTGCATCCCGAAGAGCTAGAGCAGTAGCCAACTCTAAGGTATACAGCATGCCAGGATTGTAGCCAGGCGATGTCAAGTCGCTCTTGACACTAGCAGGTCGGGGTCCTGCCGACGATGGGCGCTCGGTCTTAACCACAATAACGGCGGAGGCATTCTCTTCCGGTAGTTCCAATAGCAGAGCATCAACAAGGTTGGACAATGAAGATTGAGGGAGTGATCTATTTAGCGGAAGTTAGCGCGGAGAACATTGTAAAGAGATATGAATGTAACGTACTTGAGGTTATTTAGCATATCGTTGATTCTGCAAGCGTCTATGCAGTCGATCGTGCAAAGAGTATTATCGAGCTCTTCATCTGACGGTTCTGGCGGGTCATCTGCAGCATAACTTGACAGATACGAAGTGAAGGCTGACAGTAAACCTGTCTCCCCTCGAGAGTCACGTTCGACGACTTGTGATGGAGGCTGGAGGGGGATCGGCGTAATGTCAAAACTGGAGATAAGGTTATCCGCGAATGGTGGAATGAGCGCATTGATAAATAGGTTGTGCAGAATGCGAATGACATATTTCCAGCTTTCTGAAACGGTAGCCTCGTTGCCAGTCAAGACTCGGAAGAGAACCACAGTTGCCAACTGAGCCCTAAAATCTCGGCCAAACTTGACAGCCAGCTCGCTGACCATGACTGTTTTCTTGCCCACCTGGACCTCAGTATTGAGAGTAGTGCTCGGCGGGGTTTCCGTGGCCAGTGTGCTAATTGAGGCAAGACAGTAAATGATCCGGTCGAGAGCTTCTGTAAGACCGTATTTGGCTGCAATTTGGGCGCATTGGTCGAAACCTTGGACCACTCTCGAGAACACCGCATCATCAGATGCGGACATGAAGACGTACGAAAGAGTGGCAACGATAGGTCGCCAAGTAGCGGCGAACATTTCAGTGTCATAAATGTTGGTGTCACACATTATCAACTCTCCGGCAGCTGGGGTCTTCATCAACATCTCTCGCCAGGCAAAATCAAATGCATGTTTGTTCTCATGTTCATCCGGAAGAATAATCTCGTTCTGCTTTATGGAATCATAGATGTTTTGTAATTCATCTTGATCAAAGTCCTTGCCGCCGTTGACTCCCCTGAGGTTCCTTGCAAAATCCACGCAAGTCATGCGGTCTGCATTCTTCACATTGGGATTGTATAGGTTTGTGTTGAGCATAATGATGCCGTATATTAAAACAAACAGAGCATCTTTGTCGGCAATTCCCTCAGGTTGTGCCTTTGCCATGTATATCTCAGAGAAAAATGTCACTATCCTTTCGATCAATGGAGATTCACCCGGTAGTCGAAACGAGCCTAGAAGTTCACGTAAAGCCTCGACGACGGTCTTGCCAGCAAAGTCAAACAAATTTATAAAGGCTGCTAATAATTTTTCATTTTGCTTCTTAGCGATGAACTCTCCGAGAATCTTCTTTGAGATACGGGTGGTACCCTTCAAGAAGCGAGCGACAAGTTCAGGATCCTCGGGATTCTCAATAATACCCTGGGAAGCAAGATACGCAATCCCCGATTTTGGGTCTTCGTTGAACTTAGTGGCGCCTCGTACGATGACTTTCTTCCTCTGACGTTGACTTTTCAGTTTCTCCGGGTCTGGATAACCCTCATATTGAGGTTCGTCATCAAGCCTATCGGCGATGAATTGTATATAGCCGAGAAGCGAATCGAGGCAGAGAGGCGGCACGTTCGTAGTGCTCCAGGTAGCTGAGTCCGGAAATGCGTTTCGAGAAAGCAATCCCACTAGGTCCTCACAAAGATCTGCCCGGTCTACCTCACTGTCGTAATTCACAAATAACTCCACCATGAATCCGGGCATACGAGCCAAGACACCAATGCTTTCCACCATAGCCTCTCGAGCTTCGGGCTTCCTGGAACCGCCCTCTAATCCTAGTTTTTGCCTGTCCTTCACTGGAACGGGCGTTGAGCGGCCGCTGCTAGTTTGTGATGGGGAGGGTTTGACGAGTTTTGGCGCCTGAGGAACGCCCTCGTATAGCGATGGGTTGATGCCAGGCTCCCTTGGAATATCGACTCGAGGATGAAGACAGGCAACAAGGTATGACAAATATAATTCTTGTTGCAGTTTCAATACTGAACGGCAAGTTGAGAGCAACGTTCCAGCCACCCTGAGTGAAGCATTGAGAATTGCCATGTTCTCTGAACGTACTAGCTGAAAGAGATGACGGCATAGATCATCTTCGGCAAGTGCTGCAAGAGTAGGATGACGGGAAACGGAAGGACCAGCGACCTCGAGTGCGACGTCGATTATTCGTAGAGCCATGACCCGCATGGTATCAGTATGCTGTGGGTTATGGGGATCTAAGAGGTCGATTAGGACACGGAATAATTCTCGTATTGAGAGTATGCCATATGGTCGCACTTCAGCCGCATCCGATTCCTCATTTTCAGTTGCCGATGCTGCCGACGTATCGCCGTTCGCTGTGAGATTAGGGTCGTCATTACTTGCACGTTCCTTCTCTTCCTTCTCGGGCAGTATAGTGTCCGATCCCATTGTTGACGGATGCTGGGGTATGACTGTATCTCCATCCACAGAAGGGTCCATCTTCAGATTGGCGGTATCGTCCTCGGTCTGCCGTTGCTGATTCTGCGCATCGTCACCGACTTCCTCAATGTCGATTGCCGATAACCTCACGAATATCACCTGACACATATTGATCATGGAAATTTCGGCCGATCGACGCAGTAATTCTGATAGACGGTTCTGGCAGCACATGCTCAATCCCGTTTCCATCATCTCACAGACGCTCTCATCTCCAAGAAGCTCGCCTTCCGGTCGTGACAACATTCCTTCCATTAATTTCAGTATTCTCAACAGGACGACCTCGTCGGCAACGGTATCGCTCGCCTCAAAGCGGCAATGTGTAATTGCGGCCGATAGAAGTTGCATGGCCACCGAGATTCGGGGAGAGTGACGGTTGAGTATATCGTAAGCGAGAAACTTGGTGACTGCGACCAGCGCGAGGGAGGTGATTGGCGCGGACGTAGACGAAGAGCGAATGACCTGTAAGAAAGGATGTAGCAGTGCAGGAGCGTCAAAGGTTCGGATATCTCTGCACGACTTTAAATCGCTTCGCAACCGAGTGAAGGCGGATATCAATGGATTGTCTTGAATGCTCTTCCCTTTCTTGCCCCTCAACCCCCATCGATTGGCCAGCACATAATCCCCATCTGCTGCCTGTGACTTATCGCTCTTGCTCGCGATGCTATTCCTCGAACTCGGGAGGGGGGAGGCTGTCATATCGCGGTCGCTTCCTTTGGTCGAGCCGCTGCCGCCCAAAATGGCAGCAACGGAGGAGTGAGCCCAGCGGGCGTGTTTTCGCATGGCCGAGGTGACGGTGATGCATTCTGTTGTCACCAGGGACACAGGGTCCACCGATATGGGCAGAGTATACTCCGACATCATGGAGGCAATCGGTGGAGGGGCGAAGCATAGACGACATGGGAATCACGAATCTGCCATCTGTTACTTTTGAGTCTTTAGCTCCGCCGTGCCCGCATAGCTCCCGTTTGGGTTTAGCTTAGTTTCCATTCCCTATTTTCTCTGAGACAGCATATCCCTATGATAAATATTTTTGCATCTATATTGCTAATTCTCAACCATGTATTCGATATAGTTATGTATTATATTACCTTAGAAGCGAAGGTGTATTGGCTGTCGTGGTGCCAGCTGCTATGGCCGACTACAACAGTCCCTTACATGGTGGGACACTATTGTATGAGCCATCGAAAGAGAGCATCTTGAAGCAATAATTAGGCTGTCAAGAAGAGCGGTCAAACCCATTCAGGAACAACTCTTTGTTGGATCCAATGGTGCCCTTTCTCTTTGCATTCCTCTTATCGACCAGATTGGCCCAATTATATCCTGAAGAACTCGGCCAATCGTGTAGTGGATCTATAGGATTTACAGACAGACAAGTTGTACCTGAAAGCTTCAGGTCTGGCCGACTATTTATTTGCTGTGACACTGTTGGTGGCGACCCTTGTAAACCAGCGTAAAGCTAAGAGACGCGCCCCGCCGTCGCGCCGCTGGTCCATAAGAATAAGGTTGTTTTCTCATCAACAACTCTGAATAACAGACCTGATTCCTCGATTCCTGACGTTGCATGCTTTCTGTCTCTCCAGAAAGAAATCATGTTCCTCTGGAAATAATCCGCTGCTTTTGGAGGGATGTCTGTTGTCTGACTCTTGGCAGCATTAACATTGTCTCGGGGTCGTCGTCGCATCTTGTTTATCTTATCTCCATCTAACACCGCAGCGCGCGTTGAATGCGCTTTCGTCGTGGCTTTGTATGGGACATGCGCTGGGAGACAAGAACGAAAAAGGACAAATACGAGAGGAGGAAACAGTGCGCCAATTGAGTAATTAAAGAGTGACCAAGTTGAAATTCAAGTCAATCCATGACTCTGGCTCCAGCCATTTGGTATCGTTGTCGCATCGGAAGCTACGAGTGAGGCGGGCATGGCGACGATTTCCCCTTCCCTGGCAGACTTGCCTTTGGAGCAGCTGTCTCTCTACCATGTCGTTGATCCTTACTTGTCCTCTGTCCTCATATTCTATGGGTCAGTCGCGACAACTAATTCCAGCACAAGCAGCACGAGAAACCAAGCACATATCTTCAGCGCTGCCGGCCTGAGAAGCTATCCCCGCATCATCGCGTCTCCGGTTGCGCCACTTTACAGCGCAGTCCATCAGCTCCCCCGCGAGAAACAAGGAGACGAGATATATCGCGGAGTGGCCGTCAGTCTTCTCAGATATTTCAACGATATACCCCAGCCCGCCCAGCAGTGCTTAAAACAGATTGCAAAGACCAGCAAATCAACCGGGAGATTACCACGTTTGTTCGAAGAGGTCCATGCTGCTGACCTCACCAACAGAATGGTTAGAATCAATAATACTGCCGAGATCGTACGCGATCTTAGATTTGCCTATGATGAGAGGAAGGCTCCGTGGATCGACATTGATATTATGCTGCCTTCGGGTTCAATCGTACCGCCTACAATCCATGAACAAGACCAGAATGAGACGGGAGCAGACGAAGTATTGGATGACAATGCAAGTAATGGTCAATATGGAAAATTTACTTCATTGATCGAAGCTTTTGGCGACCCAGTTTTCCTTCCAACCTCCCGACTTCGACGAGCGCCGTCGCAACCGACAAACCTGAGCAAATCCACCCTTTTCACAAGAGGTCAAAAAGAAGCCTTGCGTCTTGCCATGTGCGAGGTGGTTGATACCGAGGAGCGCTATGTGAGCAAGGTTTATGATTTAGTGCACAATGTTGTTCAAGAGTTCCAGCAGAAAGCCCGATCTAAAAGCACATCCAGTTCCAGCCCTGACGAGACTGCCTTGGCTGAATTGTTCCCGCCATGTCTGGAGGAGATCCTACAGATTAACATGGGATTTTTGAGTGTGATTCGGGAAATATTAGAGAGTACTGAGCAGGATGCTCTCACGAGCCTTGCAGAAGATACGGATTTACGAACCTCGGCATCCGGACGCTTAATCTCAGAGCAAGACAGAGATATAATGGGATCAATGTCGTTTGCAAATGCGCTCATTGAGTGGTTTCCCCGGTTCTCCGAGCCGTATGCTGCTTACATGAGAGCTCACAACGGGTTTACTCAGACGTTAAACTCCTTCTTGAAGGACGATCAATCGAGCTTTTCGCGCCGAGTTTACGAGACCGGCGAACAAAAATTGCGATCGCTACTCATGGAACCTGTCCAGCGGCTGCCCAGATATAGCCTTCTTATTGACACCATGACAAGCAACATACCGGCCACTCATCCATCTGTTCGGCTTTTCCTCAAAGCACGAGATATTATCAAAGAAATCTGCTCCCTCGACACGCCAGCTAATACAGATCATAGCCAAAACATCAAACGAGTGATGAGTCTGGTTGAGTATTGGCCGCCTTCTATTATCCCTCAGGGGCGCCTAATCAACGCCATTGATACAACCGAAGTCCTTCCACCTTACAACATACAAGAACGGCAGGAGACACAAAATACGACTACTCTTGTACTTGTCTACAAAAATTACTCTATTCTGCTGTCTCGATACCCCGGGAGCAATATGACAGCTCGTGCGCTCTTGTCGGATCTGGAGAAGCAGCCGACTACTAACAGCGAAAAACCCCTGTCGCAACCTGGCCCTCAGTTCAGGTTTCTAAGAGCCTTTGACCTAAACAGCCTACTCTGTGCGCAGTCGAGTGGTGGCCAGATACTTTACCTGATGCCTACTAGCACGTTACCCTTCAGCTCCTCGCAATCTCCTCAGATGACACCACATGCGCTTCAATTATCGGGTATGTATGAAGGGCGAGCGAGCCGGCTTATTGAAGAGATATTGAAAGCCAAGATCGAGGGCCGCTTTTCAGAGCGGGAACGGGAAGGTACCAAATGGACTTTGCGAAGTCCTAACGTACCAGCTGGAACTCTTGGGATCCTCGCTCCGGTATTTGAGGAAGACACCGATGGATCAATGCAACGGTCTGGGTGCTCCCGGATCAGGATCGTCTTTGACACGCCAAAAGCGATATGCACCAAGACACTGGATAACGCATCAGTAGATGTAATCGTATCCGTGAGTTCGGCGGACAGCGATATGTACAGAATGGAAGTGAGTAGCATCAACGGGACTCCCAACACTGTCGTCGATACAGTTAGTGCTGGTGCATTTATAGCGACACTAACGTCAAGATGTGAGATCTCCCTAAGCTCTCTGAAATTATAGTATGCTAAAAAGACTTAGTGTGTGCTCTACTTCCTGCGGTGTACAATATCCAGAACCGGACTTTGACAGAATCGTCGGTCTACTCGAACTTAGATATACTTCGCCAGATTGGCAACCACATCATATCCCAGACGAAAGTTGGGCGTGGGTTCCGGCCTCCGTCTCCTACGAAACTAATTTCAAATCTCTGGGGAAGTAGCAGTCAGGCTAAAGATACCCCTTCGTTATCGAAGGCATTTACGCAGACCCTAGTTCTTAGCGATATTCCGAAAATGTCACCAAAAACTGTTGGACGACCGGTAACTTCACCTGGATTGCTAGATGAAGCTCCTCCCAAAATCTCGGTGGTTGGTCCTCCCAGCTTTGCTCAAGACGACCAGCTCGCGAAGTTGGAGCAGACCTTGAATGCGTACGTCCTCGCTCTACGTTTGCGGAGTGGCAACATCGTAGGGCGTAGTTTGAGAACTCGAGCAAATGCGGACAAGGCTATGGTGAATGAACTGTACAACGTTCTCCTCGAAGATCCTGCCAAACTTCAAGCTGCTGCAGAGGTCCCTGTTGATGTTTTGTTCGTGGCATTTGAGACATTCATCCATCACGCATGGAAGGATTTGATTGGCGCCATGATCGCCCCTGAGGTTCTGAGTGCCGTTCAGAACAAATATGATTCTTCCTTCCCAAGGGACTTTGAAGACTATTTCCGCACGATTCTTGGTGACTTTAGTCCACAGAATCGCCGTGCCCTCACTGCAACGATTCGTCTTCTGGCTGAGCTCCTGGATGCCTCTGGCAATGATGGCGATAGGGGTGCATTGACAGTAGCATTTGCCGAAGTGCTCACTGAGAATGAAGATCCTATGCAGTACATATCCTTGCTCGATCGTCTTGTCGAAGACTTTGAGAATCTATTTGAAGAATCACTGGGCCATTCAACATCACATGAAAGGACTCCAAGCAGGCCACGTTCCTACACGGGATCTGTGGGGTCTAACGCTTCGTCTTTCCGAAAGCGACTGGGATTTGGCCACAGAGAAAATTCATCTCGTTCTGAAGGAGAAAGCAAAGTCAGCTCCCTCATCCGCACTTGGAGCAAGACCAAAAACAGCGGAGAATCGGATGGAAGGCTACAATTATTCCGTTCAAAGTCCACCGACACGGATTCGAGGCTTGCGGAACTGTTACGCCCGGCAACTCGTGAACGACCCACGGTATATGGAGCTTTTCTATCAGACGACAATATCCGCCGTCCTGGAAGTGCACATGGTGATGATTCCGTTCTCGGAGCTATTCATGAAACGCCTATCACTCCGCAAAGGGATCCAGCACGCAGGAAGAAAAGACGGAGCTCTTTGTCTGATCTGCCGCCTCTGTCTACTCCTCCACCTCCTGGCGCCCTGTCACCGATTGAGTTACCTAAACCAGTGACCCCAGTAGCGAAGCCTCGTCCTCAGTCGGAGGTCATGTCTCGCATAGCTCAATTACAGGACCCCGAGAGCCCTAAACAGAACTCGCTTACTCGAATACCACAGGTTTCTCGTCCTCCTATCCGAGCTACTTCTCCTAAACGCCCAGAATCTCCTGTGCGCAGTCTTCTCTCCCCTGTAGTCCTGAGGTCACCGATGCAAAAGGAAAACATTCCCCAGAGACCGAAACTTACGGAACGTCCTGTCAACAAGAAGAGCGATGGGCCAGCGTCCCCGACATACACGCGCAAAAAGCGATCAGATACTCTGACTAGTATCCCGCAACCATCCAGATATTCACTACAATTCAAAGACCGGCCTGTCACATCCCACGGACTAGATCTCCCAGGAAGACGTGAGCGAGCTTTGTCCTCGCCGCAAAAGCCCCAAAGGGTACGAATGCAAAGCCCTCAAAAAGTACGATTCTCTATAGACCCAATTCATCTTGCCACATACTAATCTGATGCTTAGCTCCGCGATCGTCTTCAGAGTACTGTGCAAGCTCAAAACAACGCAGAGTCTGTCCTCCGGTCTGAGTTGCAGCTAGTTGGACAAGAATTGGCTTCTCTTACTCAAACTTCGTCACCAACAGAAACCGGCCAATCTTCCGTGGTAGAAGCCTTGCTCAGTCGTATTCGCAATCTAGAGCAACAGGTCTCCACTTTTAATGCTGACGTGAATACTCGAACTGCGAACCTGGAGAAAGACGTGGAAACTGGATTGCTTGTGAGCGAGAAACGAGCAAAGAAGCTAGACGAACTTTATCGAGAGCTCAGTGCAGAAAATGAGGCACTGTACGAAAGATTCAACACCGAGCTTGGTAAGGTTGTGAAAGAAGTTCGTGCAGGCAATGGCGAAGACGTTCTCAAGACGCAGTTGAAGACTGCACTGGAGGAACTCAGCCGCGTGAAGAAGGAGAATTTGAGACTAAAGCGCGAAGTCGGGGGTCTCAAAGCAGTGAGAGCAGATATCGACTTGCCTAGTTCTGCCAAGGAAGTTGTCGAAATACCTGACGCGTAGTCAGTTAACAGCTACATGACCATGACCTGGGGATTCCTTTCATTTCATTTCTTCTTTCCCTTATTCTGTTAGAATTACTCTTGATTGGTAAACAGCGAGCGCCATCTTCACGGACCTGTCATCATTATCATCATTGGGTTCTTGATTTTCTTATTTGGTCGGTCTTTTGAGCGTACCGGGCAGGATACTGGGTTATTTCTTTTTTCTTGTATTCTTTCATTTTCTTTTCATTCTCGAAATGTAGATGTTACATTACTTTGTCAATATTTGCATTACCAACAAGTCAACTTGGAACAGTACCTTTTAATCAATCAATATTTTACAATTCTTTATCCATTAAAAATCGACTAATCATACAATGTCCGCTTTTGAAGGTCAGTCATCTAGTAATGGGCATGATATCCAGCAACCTCCTGATGATCCTCAGCCAGCCAACTCATCAACTTCAACGCCTCAGCATCAACTTGCTTATACCACCAACGACACTGAACCTTGACCCCAACATCCCCCTCCTGACTCTGCATATCCATGAAATACAACGTCGGTAACCCAATATACCGTTCTTGAGGAACATCACCTTGAATCTTCAATATACCAGTCTTTCTCCTTTTCCTGTTTATCATTGCGATGGTCTTGTTAGGGTTAGTTGGCAATGGTGTCGTTGTTGTGATGACGGGTAATGTGAAGCGGGAATTCCTCGGCGCCCATTTCGCAAATTGGAAGTTTTTCTTGATTCGTTTTAAGTATTGGCTTATGTGGATCATGTCTTCTTTCTTGACGGGGCGGATTGTGATGCGTGGATTGTAGGATTCTGAGATATTTTTATCGGCGGCTGCATCAGATGATGATGCAGCTTCTGCAGAGCCGGATTCCGGCTTATCAGATGATTCGCGATGGAGTCGGAACTGGAGCCAGAAACGGTTATCCCATAGTACCGGGGCAGACCATTCATCGCTCAAATTATCGATTTCAAGGACAGGTTCTTGTCCCGTCATGAACGGCGTTCGCGAAATGTGCCATATATTGTCAAAGAGCACACCACCCTCTTTATTATTAGGCGATTCCTGCAGTTTGAAATGTACACCCGCGACAGTGAAATCGTCTCTCTGCTGACCTGTAAATATATCCTGTGCGAATCTCTCGTATAGTCTAAGAGCTTGATTTTTCAATTCGGGACGCGGAGTGATCAAATTCGTGATACGACGGAGTGCAGCAGCCAGGATGCGAATGTTTTGCGCATCTGGTGAATCAACAGGTAACGTCGGAAATATGACTTCCATTGTCGAGGAATTGGGGTAGAATTTCAATAGTTGGCAGTCCCGAAGGAGTTTATCCGTCTCACTCATGATATCAAGAAGGGAGACGCGATTATTTGCCAAAAACGCACTCATTGAAGCAGGTCGAAGGGCACGTGGGAATTTATCAGATTCAAGTAAACTCCTAATCGTATTCCGCATCGTAAGCGTAGGATCAGAATTCGTCGGATCCGTCACATAGGGCACATTAGCCTCCCGACAGGTTTCCAAAATACTAGCTTTGTAAAAAGGTAGAAGCGGTCGACAAAGCAATATACCCCCGGTGGCCATGGTAAAACTCCAATCATCCGCTGAGAAATGAGTCAATTTGCCCTCGTCGAGATCAAATTCAAAGCTCCGTTGCCGTCCTCGTATTGTCTCGAATGATCCGCTTTCAGATACTCCCCACAATCCATGACATTCGGGAATACGTGCCACGGGGGCTATACCAGCTAACCCTTCAAGTTTTGCCGTGGGTGTCATCCTCAATAATCCTGTTTCGACATTGTCATCCAAATGGTGACCTATCAATAAGGTGTTGAGTTGGTTCTTAAAGCATGCTTTGCCCAGTGCTTGATAACGTTTTGTTCTGGCTAGGGTTTCAAAGGCCATTTTCTTTTTTGGGGTTTCCCCTGCTTCCCAGTCTAGGGTTAATACCTCTGATAGGATATCTGTATGTTGTGAACTTAGTCATCAGGCCTTATACCAGGAAGATAGGTAGAGCATACCCATATTGGATAACCATGATGACACCTTGTGGGCTTCTTCAGTACTTTCTTCGCGAAATTTGTGATCAACAACAAATGCTTTCATCTCCAATTCGAGCTCGGGCCGGGTGACCTGCAATTGTTTACACAGGTATGCCAGAGCCATGGAATCAGGGCCACCACTGACCGCGATACCTGGATATAGTCGTTAGTATATTATAAGCATGATCAATAAATATAAAGTGTACCTATTCGGCGCGGTATATGATTCAGCGGCGGGCGCTGATACCGAGGTAAGATATTCGTCCATGCTTCTCGGAAACTCTTGAAAAATTGTTGTGCCGTTATAGGCGCTGACATTCCATGTTTGAAGGGGAGTGCCATTCTTCCCTCGGAGGTAAGCCAATTGGCTTACATGTATGAGTTCAAGTGTGCATGAATAAATAGTACTTTATTCTAGATGTTGATGAGGAAGTTGCAAGGATAGATGATGGTGATGGATAGAGCGAACTGGTTTTTAGTGAAGTTCCGGGTTTTGATTGGTCCAATTGGAATACTGCGGCCTGAGGCACAAATTCGTCACCAACTTTCCAACCCCCTGAACAGCAAGCAGCTGTTTCTCAGTGATTTTGTTTTTACGAAATTTAACAACTTTTGGATTGCAGGATCGTATGGATAAGATTCAAGCTCCTCATCAAGGTCTTCATAGTCTCTCGTATGGACTGCGTTTAGAAAATATAGGGAACTTGATGATGGATACATCTGTTATATATTCGTTAGAATATGATTTTCTTCTCGCGCTCTATGAAACGGCTGTTTATACAAGGGGTGGCTGTACTTTCAAGTCAAATCGACGAACTTTTGTACCATGGTAATTCCCGGTGGCCAAGAGTACCTAGGCATTCATGCTTCAATAAGTAGTTATGCAAACATACACATATATATATATACATACGCATTGAACATATGAAAACGGCAGGTATCCGTAACATACGCCACGCAAAACCCAAGAATATAATGAATATAAAGTAATACATGCAAGTTAAGAAGTAGTGCAGTCAAAAGAAATGCCCCAAAACAATGGAAAACGTCCAATCAGCACCATGAGTATGCCTACAGCCCATCCGAAATCGAATTTGAAGCATGGGAGCTAGACATGTTGTCATGTAGGTTATTGTCTTCAACCGGGTGACTAGACCCTGCAGCTTCTCCCGTCTCTTGCACAGCGACTGGTGCGCGAATCGCTTTTTTGCCGTTCGCTTTATAAAATAGAATCATATCTCCGCCTGTTCGCCAAATGTGGGTCTTGATTGTTGCCAAGGTCATATTAACAGGGACCAACTGTAATATGTTAGCGCTTTTTATCATTTGAGATGATGGACAATTCTTACAATGTTTTGACAGTATAACTCCAAATATTCTTCTGGTTGCATAGGATTGGGATCCGGATTGGCGGGGTTAGCTGGATCAATTCGCTCCGCAATGTATGCGAGCACCTTCTTGGCTCGAAGCATACGATTCGCATTTAGTCTAGAACTGCTCATATCGAAACCCCTGTTATTTCGTTAACTGGCTAATCCTGTATAATCAGAATGTTGGCATACCCATCAAGCTTGTTCACTGGTGGTAACAGGTCGTTGTATGGCTTGAGAATGAAAGCTACCTTCACGACCTCCTTAGGTGGTGCTTGATTCTGAAATCAGAAATTAGTATATTACGCAAGCTGGCTCATTGTATGCGCAGACAATAAATACCTTCAATAATAGCTCTCCAAGCCAGTGTGGAACGGTCTTCTCAAGTTTATCAATCTCCTCGCGGATGCTGCCAACGGATCCTCGATAAAGATCGGCAGCCACAGCCGTGTCACCGGTTTCTTCTTGTATTAGAATATCGGTATCGGCAGGAATTTTCAATGCGGGCGTTTCGCTCGTAGAGCTGGGCGTGATCCCTGAGTTTAATGCTGATCCGGGATTGCGCAAAAGAAAAGCCTCATATTCATGACGAATGCGATCAATTACACCGTAAAGATTTGATTCGAAAGCTTTCTCCTCTTTTTCAGATGACTTGTCTGACTCTTCTTGTTTTTCTTCCGGTGCCGGTGTTTTCACTTCCGATGACGTTCTGCCGAGTTTCTTTGGAAATTCCATTCTAAACTTTTTCCCGAATAACGACCCTTTCTTCTTCTCCTCCTTCTCAGGCTCAGATGGAGACTGTGGGAGTGCTGTAGGAGTTTGCTCCTCTGCGGCAGTTTGGGGTGGCTTCTCCGCTTCGATGTAGTGACTACTGGAGAAGTAGTCATTTGATTTATTTGAAGATGGAGGTCTTCCCAATTCATGGCTCAATCTTGTGCTTAAGCCTTCTTCTTCAGTTGGGGGAAGTGGTGAAGAGTATGATGGGGCACCTGGAGTTGCAACGCCAATGTTGAGGCCGGGCGTAGTAGGGCCATGCAGTCCATTCGTTACGCGCGGCGTCATTGGGGAACCGTCTATGACACCTTGGGACCCTGGGGTTCTTGGTAGCTCAATTGAGGTGGGCGCATTAGTACGTTGCAAGGCTTGATTTTCTGCTGCTTTTGCCGAAAGCCGTTCCCTGTGAATTGCATCTCGCCTGATTTCTTCTTCTATCAAATCACCAAATAGCCAACGAAGAACCCATTTACCAAGGTTTACTGATAATAATTTGTTAGTATTCACCGTTCTATAAGAAATCATCCCACTTACTCCTTTGATCTGATGCATATCCTTCGCCGTTCGCCAGCTCAATTTCATCAGCATAAACTTCAGCATCAAAGCAGCGATTTGGTTCTAGAATGACAGACAAACGGCCTGTCCGGATGTCGAGGGTACACCAATGAGCTATACTTTCCACAGTATTGACCTCTGATGCAACATCGTCTATATGGCGCTTTCCGAAACTTTGAATCGGAACACACTATGTAATTGATTAGTACGTGGTTGTATAGGCAGTTTCGTTAGACAAACTCACTTTCAGAAGATCCCATAGCAAAACCTCTCCAGCTGTATCTTGAGTTAACGTGCGCTTTCTGTCATTCAACATGAAGTGCTTGATCACTCCAAGTTGGCCTTCAATGGTTTCCTCTGGAAGAGAATAGACAGGTAACACCTCTCCTAGCTCTTCATTGACGATCATTTCTGACGGCTTGCGGCCACTCACGGTGGAATATATGGTGGCTCTCTCGGGATCCACTTTCGGGAATATTGACATGTTTGAAAGAAGAAGAATAGAGTTGTGTGGGATCTTCTTCTTGGTCGGCTCGTCTGTATTACCGACAGTTCCCTGCGCGGGCGCCGCTGACGGAGATTCAGCAGGTAATCCGACGCTGGGCCGTCGTGCCGTGATGTTCGGAAATTCTGTTTCCGCTGTAGTATCGACATCTTTCCATCTGTTGATACTGGATTTCGGCGTCGCGGTCCAGATAGAGTCACAGGCTGCTACAACTTTGACTACCCCTTCATGTTCTTGAAGAGCGGCAATTGATGTTCCCTGATCAATATCCGACACGTCCCTCGTATCTGTCTTTGCGACGAGGCCTGACCTATCGCTGGAGTAGAAAACAGATAGCTGGGGGTGGTCCGAGTAGAGTGACCAAACACTATCGTTATGCATGGTCAAGGTATGCGAGCAGCGACCTGCGGTCAACGACCACACTTTGATCGTTTGATCGGAAGACGCAGTCATAATGGTGTCTCCATCTTTGTTGATCAGAATGTCTCTGATATTATCGGTATGCCCGACGAACTTCGTAATGAGTTTTCCGGATCTAGGATCCCATACGCGCACAACAGACTCTGGACCTCCGCTTGCCAGTACAGAACCACCCGTCCCCAAAGCATATACAGAGCCCTTCTCGGTAGCCTCATCACCACAAGTATCAATTTTCAAAATTTCTCCTTTCCCCTCCAAATCCCACAGAAAAACCTTTTGATCGAGACCGCCGGATGCTACCCAATTTGAATTTTGATGGGGAAGCGCCAGACACTTGACGTAGTCCGCATGCCGGCCGATGGCGATCGGTAATTCTTTCGTCTGCGATAACGGTCGCCATACTCTTACGGTTGTATCTGATGATCCGGAAACGAGAGCGGAATTATTCCGGGCGAGGACGATATCATTTATCCAGTGACTGTGTGCCTGCACCTGGTCTCTGCGCGTTGTAGGAGTAGTCCTGGAAGAGGGTGTGGTATCCGAAGGGCTGAAGTCCCAGGAGCAAATAACTCCATCACGGCCTGCAGAATATCTAGACACATCCTGCGTGTAAGTCATGAAGAAAAAAAACAAAGGAAGTATTCGAAAAAAGCAATTACTCACAAAATGCGATTGTCGGAATCGACTGCAAGGCCGTTGACACCTAGACGATGGCCGCCGGAGGCATTTGGTAGAGGGAGAACTAACGGACGACGGAAGACATGATCAGACAACAAAAGCTAGGGAAAGCACCGACAATAAGATCAGATGGAAGGGTTTCTATTTTACATACCATAGCTCACTCGCTGATGGGTGAATTTGCGGGCCATTCAGACGAATGCTTGCTTGACAGTGTTGAGACCTGATAGTCGGAGATGGGGTGTCATGGATTGGCTGTTGAGTCCACTAGAGCTGCAGCGATTTGCGGAGTAAAGCCCGGCGGGATGTTGAAAGTGCAGGGTCTATTACAAACGCCCTCTCTCTTTCGTTTTGCAATGCGATGGTACATCAAACAATAGAACGAGATCACTTACACAGGATAACAGACAGACAGAAGAGCAATTACATGGATAAGGGGGGAATGTCCAAGGGTTTTAATGAAGCGGACATATAGGGTATATAGTTCGCAGGGGATTAGCCTGATTCATGGAAGAGGTTAGAATCACCAAGTCTGAATTTAGAACAACAGAGCTTCAGTCTTGGACATTGGCGTTATTGGCAGGGGATAGCGATAGCATTTCACCATGTGGGGAGAGATAAAGTCAAGTCGCTCAACGGGAGACGTCACAGATGTAGACGCCGAGAAAGAAGGACGTAAAATTACAGACATAACTCGTACAATACACCGTCCGTGGGTAACCTGAATCATGCATTAATCAATACGCTGCATGTCATTGGTCAGTTACCCCTCACCTGATTGAAAGTTTGAGAATAATGTGCACCTGGATACGTTTCAATACGAACTTGCACCCGATCTATACCGGGTAAGGTATAGCTCTGTATTATCTGTCAGTCAGCCGCACTCCAAACAGTGTATGAAAGGCATACAACAATGGCCACTCAATCGATTCAACTACGAGAATAGAGAATTCAAAACCAGATAAAAAGGAGGTGTTTCTCTAAACTGCAGACTAAATTAAAATGGCACATCAGCTGCATGCACCGCTGTCACAAATCAAGCCAAGCTTTGCGCCGACGCCAGTCGACAACAATGACATGAATAACAGAACCGAACCACCAACAGTACAGAAAACCATCGATCTCCTGAGCATGCAAGCCCATATCGAGGGAGGATACTATGTGGAAACAGACCGGGACCCTCTGAATGTGCCAAATCCTTTCATTAACAATAAAGATCCTGGCACTTCGTATACTGTTCCGGAGACCGATGTGACGTCTGACATCCGACTGAGTCCTGGGCAAGATCACTCTACTCGCTCCGCCAGTACTACAATCTATTATTATATCACTCCCGGTTCTCCTCTGGGATGCTTCCATCGTAATCGCGGACGAACCGTTCACACGCTGCATCGCGGTCGCGGTTGCTACGTCTTAATCCATGCAGACGAAGTCCTTCGCGGCGATAGAACTGCCGAGAACAATAAAGCTCGTATCGAGACATTCGTCGTCGGCCACGATATTGAACGAGGAGAGAAGTTACAATGGATTGTAGAAGGAGGAAAATTCAAAGCGTCTTTTTTGCTCCCTGACACCGATGGGGGAGACAAACAGTCCGAGGGTTTGTTGATTAGCGAGGTAAGTCTTCTTCCTTCCTCAAGACTTAATGGAAAAAGCCGGGAAAGCTAATAAACCGAATAGACTGTTGTTCCAGGATTCGAGTTCGCGGACCACGACTTTATGCGAGCTGCAATGTTGGTTGAGCTTCTGAAACCAGAAGAGGTTGAGGAGCTCAAGTGGCTTTTGAGAGAGAAATCAATTAGTGTATAGAATTCCTGGAATAGTCCGTATAATATGAAATGTCGCTATAGTTCAGATAGGAGATTATATCGTTCGCTATAATAGACTCGTGGTATCATAAAAGTAAATGGGTATATGAATCAATAGTCCAAGCCTGATGATCCAAGTTTGTCATTGGTATCGAGCACACTAATCAACAAATGTCAGCTATGAGTCTCTGACGAACCTCTGAATAGAGGATGAAGGTGACTTACGAATATTGTTTGGTCAGTGTTCCCTCGCCGCCCTTTGATAGGTCGATATTGAATACATAGAAATTGCCCTCGCTCGTTACTACCATGACTTGCGGTGTATTGCTGCTCATGGCTACAACGCTCCTCACAGGCCCCGTATTGGCCTGACCTCCCGATCCCTGCCCGGTTTTTGGCAGTTTCATCCAGGCAAAGTCCCGCGTAGGTTCCCACATCTCACTCACCCCTTTGGGCAGATAACCTCCAACAGTAGCGGCAAAAGTATTCCCAACATTCTGAGACGTACGTCGAAGCATGCCAATTAATGTCCCGTTATGCTTCCTCGAGCTGAAGTCGGATGCATCCCCGGATTCATCATGTTCGTCTCGATAGTCGCCTGGACTGGGGCTGATGGGCCTATCAAACGTAGACGACTTTGGGCTGCCATCCGGGTTGTTGCCATGGCTGTTCAATTTGAACACGTGAATAGTATCCGTGGCCGAGGAGACACAGAGAAGAGTGGACATGGTATTGAATGACATGCTATATATGCGAGATGGAATGGAGCCGCGTCGGAATTGATAAAGCTTATGACCATCAGGTACGGAGAAAACGCGAATAATTGTCCCTTTGTCTGATGCGGTGGCCAAAAGAGTACCTTCGCTGTTTAGTGTGATGCAAGACAGAGGAGATCGGTGAGCTTCTATAACGTTGATTGCTTCCAGTTTCACAGCATCAAAAATCAATACATCGCCAGTGGTAGGGGATATATGGTTTGTAGTGCTAGGCGGAGCATGTGCTGGCGGTGCAAATGACGACGGTGGTGCTTTCTGTGGAAGTGGATAAGCCAGGTAGCAATTGTCCGATGAAGGTGATAAAGCACAGATCGCTGTTGGTTGTAAGTATCTAAGCAAATATCGGAAGAAGGAACCAGGCATACCGTTCGGATTAGGAGAAGTCTCGATCGTCGAAAGAAGTTTCATGGTCTGAATATCATATAGATAAATATAATCTTCGAGTACTATTACAAGTCGTTTCCGATTCAACTTGACCGCCAGCACGGTCGTTGGAAAGGTCAACTCGCATATGGTGGATTGCCGCTGCTCTCATTAGCTCCTCGTAATCCGTGATAATGCAGGATGATCTTATGAACCTTGGTGTTTGTAATCTGAAGGCGACGGGGTGATAAAATCAGAGCCACGAGTGATGTCGAAAACAACATCTCTAAGATCGCTATGTTTCCATCTTTGGTCTCATAGCTCTTAGTAAAAGGATCCGTTGTGAAGATTCGGAATCCTTTGGAAGTACCTAATTCACTGTCAATATCTGAAGTATTTCTAAGGGCATATAGGTATAATGTGAGAGCTTACCGACAGCCAGATAGCTGTAGTCTTGATTAAAGGTGACAAAGTTCATAGACATCCTGCCTACAGTGGGAGCTCCCTGACTCGATATTATTGGCAGCGCAGTTGATATCAAGAGACTGCAGGTGATTGAGATCGAATACCGGTGTGATGTGTATCGGTGTCTTTTTGATATCGCTACTCAACCTTGCACCCCGCACCAATCAGACGGAGAGCTGCTCCGTCAAGAATCAGACTGGTTATAAGGATGGCTATATAAGTGTGGGGAAAATCACGAACAGTGCAGCTTTGCCTTATACGCTGCTGTAAAGGAAGAAGAGAGCCTCAATATGGAGAAGAACGAGGTTTATCGACGGGTGGAAGGCAGAAAGGAACCTGTTGCTGTTCAGGTGACATGATAACTGGTAGGTCCGTTTAATGTTTTGGAGCAGGTCACTGATTCCTGAAGAATAAGGCAACAACAGCCAGTCTCCACACTAAGAAGCACGGCCAAGCTATAATAGGGATAGCGGCGAGGACCCTGCTCATTCTGCCGTGTTCTGCCGCTCTGCAAAATCCAAAAATTGACGAGGGGCTGCTACGTTTCTTGACTGTGTTGAAAACTACGTTTCTTACAATGGACGCTCCTTCCACACCATCGAATGAGTCGCACGATGGTACTATTAAAGACCCACCAAAGGAAATGGGGAGGAAGTCCATGGTGCTTACCAAGGTGGAAAAAGAGGCGGATCTAGTGATGGGAGTAAGTGTATTGTGATTAGCACTGTATGGTTTTCGCCTATGAAAGGTTTTGGCCAATTGCTAACAATTCATGTGTCCTGAAGACAAATAATAGTAGTATAGTCTCGAAAAGAAGCGTCGAACTTCGATACTACCCCCAATATGAATTCTTTCGCCCTTTCGTGAAGAAGCCTCAGAGACGAGCACCGTTGATTAATCGAGGATATTGGCTTAGAATGCATGCGATCGCTGAGACTGTCCGTCAATTCCTGCAGAGAGCGGATACGCGACCCAAGTTTGTCCTAAATTTAGGATGTGGATAGTGAGTAGACAAGACAAGACACTTGCCGGACGTACATTAAGATGTTAATGCGTAGTGACCCGTTGTCCTTCCAATTACTCAAGACTGAGCAATCGACATGTAGTAATGTGACGTTTGTGGATATTGACTATGAAAAATTGATGGGTATCAAAACGTCCATCATCCAACAAACGGAAGAATTGAAGAGTATATTGGGAGATATAAAAGCATATCCGGACCCTAATCCGGTGCTTCTGCGAGCTTCGCATTATGTTGCCGTGGGCTGCGATTTGAAGAATTTGAAGAAACTTGAGGAGGCGTTGAAGGAAGTCCTAGGTCCTTCGCCGGTCTCGGTGCTCTGCATAGCAGAAGTCTCGCTTACTTATATGGATGTTAAGTCAGCAGATGCGCTCATTTCATGGTTTCCGACGTTGGGCAAAGGTATTTTCTCCACTGTACGAGGTTTTTAATCATGACTGACATTATCAGATATTCAATTCTGTGTTCTGGAACAATTCTTCCCCGACGGGCCTGATCACCCCTTTGCGTCTACTATGATGAAACACTTCAATAAACTTCAAGCACCTCTTCATTCTATCCACAAATACCCGGCTTTGTCCTTACAAGAGCAACGGTTTTACTCAAGAGGATGGCGTTCTGCCTCGGCCAGGACTCTATGGGATATCTGGAACGACGATGCATTTCTCAGTAAATCACAACGAATGGGACTGGACTCTATAGAGCCATTCGACGAGTGGGAGGAATTTGCACTGTTTGCCTCGCATTATTTTCTCTTGACAGCTTCGACTTTTGAGGGGGGACCTTTCAGTACCAATGAGCTTAGGTCTTGCAGCGATTTGCCGAGAGCCCCATTAAAATTAGTATCGCACCGCGCAGCTTCCTTCAAGGGCCATCGGAGATTTGCCGCCGTTGTCCCAGATAGTGATCGATCTATAGGTGTCCATGGAGGGCTAGGAAGCCAGTCACGTCTACTGTCTACAGATCTATATTGCAGAGGTGAAGACGTTACCAAGCCTGCCGGCAATTTGCCAACTTACAAAATATCAGCACGCATGTGTCATACCATCACAGCTCTCAATAATGGGAACTGTCTTTTCGTCGGGGGTCGTGCATCGCCTAGCGCTGGCTTAAGCGATTGCTGGATTCGAAAAGACAATGTCTGGAAACCGACAGACTCTTTACCGTCTCCTCGCTTCCGGCACTGTGCGGTACGAGTCGAGCTAAATGACAATGAAGGAGTGTTGATATACGGCGGGAAAACCAGCAAGGGCGATACCCTGGATGACTGGCTACTGTGGAATGAGCAAGAAGGATGGACAGCCGTTGAAGTCGCAGGACAGCGCGCTATCGCCAGTCGATTTGGTGCTCAGATGATCGCCATGGATGCTTTGTCTGGCTATCTCTTCGGAGGCATGTCTCAGGATGGAATTGTCTTCAATGACTTTTGGAAATGGAGCCTGGAGACGGATGGAGATGGCATCAAAACCATTCAGCTCACAGACTTGTCTGAGAAACTACGAAACGCTACAAATCTCGCCGACTACGTTGCTGGGCGATTCGGTGCTACGACAAGCGTGGTTTCAAACAAGCTTCTAGTCATAGGTGGAATCGGCGTTCAGGGCGTTCTTCCAGAGACAGTGGAGTTTCTCTGCTTCGAAGTCTCAGAGCTTGGCCAAACCGAGTGGAGTTCGTCGATTGTACAAACTATCGATGCAAAGTCCGAGTCCCCAGCATTGCGGCCGCTTCTCGCCGGCCACATCTCAGGGACTGTTGGTTCCTCAGTGATTGTGGTATCTGGCGGAGCCGTCTGTTTCTCATTCGGAACATTTTGGAACAGCTACATCTGGGAAATATGTGACGTCTCAGCCGGTACATCAGAAGACTGGAAATTTTTACAAGTGGCAGAAACCAGACTTCCAAGGGCGGCGGCCGATGCATCTCGTAGCAAATCTTGTAACAAGTCGACCAAGCCGGGTGCAATCAAAAGCATTGGGCGAGTGACTATCCAAACAGCGGCAGATTTTGAGTCGATTCTGAACCAAGCACAACCGGTTGTGATAACCGGATTGGACATAGGAGCATGTACCGAAAAATGGTCTAAAGACTATCTGGTCCAGACCCTTGGGTCTGATCGCAAAGTCGTGGTCCATGAGGCCCAGAGCGATCATATGAATTTCCAGAGAAAAAATTTTTCATACAAAACCAAGGACTTTGGTACATTCATGGACGAGATCCAGCAGGGAAGCCGTCAGTATCTCAGGTCGATCTCGAGCGATCAACCAGCGAAAAAAGCGGCACTCTTTGAACAAGATTTCCCGGAAATCAAGGATGATTTCTGCCTTCCATCGCAATTGAGTTTTGCAAGAGACAATACGCATAGTTCTCCTTTACGCGTCTCCGGGCCTGTTACGATGTGGTTACATTATGATGTAAGGACATTCCCCTCGGTCGATTTGTGAGACACTGGTCTGACTAACGAGCGAATTGTACTCGATAGGTCATGGCCAATGTGTACTGCCAGATCCGCGGGCAGAAAAAGTTAGTGTTATACCCTCCCTCAGACGTGGAACACCTGCAACTACCGCCCGGCGCATCGAGCTCCACACTCGATATATTCGCCAGCGACAACAACAATGTCAAAAACGGACGAATAGTGTCCGTGCCCCGTACATCCCCTCACGAGGCGACGCTCTCTCCAGGGGAGATTCTGTTCATCCCACCGTTATGGCTGCACGCTGCTGCTCCTATTGAGGGTGTCAGTATAGCGATCAATGTATTCTTTCGCAATTTGGAAAAGGGATATGCTGCCGGTCGCGATGTTTATGCTAACAGGGATTTGGAAGCGTATGAGAAGGGGAGGAATGAGGTGGAAAAGATCGTTAGGTCTTTCGACGGGGTTCCGCCTGATATTGCGGCGTTTTATTTGGTGAGGTTGGCGGAAGAGTTGAGAGAGTGTGTGAGCATATCTCGAGAGACCAGCTAGCTGTAGTACATCTGGGGAAGTGTTCTGTGATTGGCTCTCAGCATAAATAGCAGAACGGTGTGGGGCCAAGTGAGGGGACGAATCACAAAGCGGGTATCTCTCTTGGCCCGTGCGCTATGCTTTCCACTGATTCCAATTGAGCGTCTATCACTGTTTGTTTCTACTATAGTGCAGAAGACACCTACAACCTGCCGCATTCAGCAATCGCTGAGAATCATCGGATATGATATGCTTAAGAGTGGATAATGATGCCTACACAGATCAGATGCATGTCCGATATGGACTCAACTGTGGATCGCCAAATACATCCAGATGGGGAGTAGATGCATATCAGAATAATGTCTGCATTGCTTGAACTGTCTATCCTAGTTAATCGAGAGATGCATAGTGTTGGTCAGTCAACATCACAACATGCAATGCTGGAACTACTATGTAAGCAGAGACGCAGCAAACAATAGGCAAGCGGTTGCCCTGGTGGGGACCATGCAAGGTGTATCCAATCATACTGCTTCTTCCTATCCGGCTGTGGTTTCCACTCGTCCCCGGCCGGCCTGGCCCACAATATATCGACGATTATTGGCTGTCATGCATATGGGCGGAACCCTGATGCAGCAACCAGAATGCTGTCGCTACACTTGGATAACTTATCATCTGGAAACGGAAGTATACTTGTTTATTTGTGTAGCATTACTACTGTAGAAAAGAGATACATACACAACAACAAGAAAAAGAAAAGAAAAAGAAAAACAAAGACCGGGACAACTCGATCATAGCAAAGATAAGATGCTAATTCAGACTAAAAACGCCAATTCCATCCACACCATATGGGCTACTGACTCAGGTGGCAGATTGGCGAATGACAGTGCGCGGAATATTACAGGCATCAGGTTACCCCTCGTGCAAGAGAGTTGTATGAAGTCAATTGTGTATTGGTCAGGCCGGGGGAATTATTTAGAAATAATTCTCGCCTCGTCAGCACTGATTGGACAGACAGACAATGCGCTGTCGTAATGTGTTTTGCTTCCAGACTTCTCTGGCATGGGCTATTTATTTTGATGATCTCTTCTTTTCTATCGTGTCTATCTGTCTATGATTACTCAGTCATCCCTCTAACCCACTCGTCGGAACACACATCTGTCGCGTGGATCCCAGGGCATTTACTATCTAGATTATCAATCGGCTGTGATTGGTTCCGTAGTGCAGCTGCCTCGGGACGTGGATCCATTCTTCGTCCCATCCCGAGACCGTCCAGTGTCCACCCCCGCCGACTGTCTATCTCCAGTTGTCAGGCAGCGAGACATACCATCTATATCGCTATATCAATTGTTAACTTTCAACCATCTTAAAGCAATTTACTTATCGGCTGTTTCGGAATCGGGACGCTGAACATCGAGCGAATCCCCGGTGCTGTCGGGCTCTGGAGCCAAAACTGAATTTCATGTGGGACAACATCCCTTCCCCGCTCGAGCGACGCCGATAGAACTGACGTCTCGCAATTAGAGCCAGCGAATATCTCAACCCTCCCCCCTCCCCTTCCAAGAGTGTTTTGCTTATGTCTTGCGCCTGCACAGAATTGGGATTTTGCAGATACCCGTCCTGCAGGTGATACGTCTCAGGTACTTGAGTTCTGGTAGATGATGCGATCCCGTTGATCTTGCGCGCATCAGACACTGTCCCAGCATACAAAGACATAGCCGGCGCACAGTACTTGGGATTTTCAGATTGGACCGCATACTGTCGGCGATATGGCGACAGTTCTGGTCCAACAGCAATCAATTCGACACTCTGCGACTCCGCCCCCCGTCTCTCCAGCCCTCAGTCTCAATGTTCGCCCTCGCACTCCCACGACTATCCCTAACAAACATATTCCAGCGTGCCCTCCCGGATCAGCGCCACAGGCCGTCTCACCAATAGAGCAGACAGGCGTTTCATTAACCTCGCTGCTATACCCACCTGATCGCTTTAGGAAGTTATCCAAATCTCCCCCTATCTACTCCATCACTGCGTCTGCGCTTGCTGCTGCCCTAGATCATCTAGCCACCCAGCCCCTGCCAGACCCTAAACAAGTCTTTCCGTGGCTACATGGCTTACACCCCTTTAACGGGGTCCAGTCGGCCTTTTTCGTCAACAGGAAGCGATCCCTGCGGCGCATACCGAGATGCTTCCGCTCCTTGACTCTGGTAAGTCTAGACGGTGATCTTACAAAGTCCCGTCTGCGAGGAGCCGTGTCTCTCGATGAGATTCTCGATACCAGCGGCACTGAATTCATCGACGCCGACCCGATCTATGGATTTTCTGTTCGCAACTTCCATATTCAGACTGCCAAATTGGCGCCGCTATCGGATATTGTGATTTATGCGGAAAGGAACGCTGATCCTTCTCATTTGTTTGATGCTGCGCAGAAAGTTGCCATCGCCCAACAGAATTGGAGGATGAAACATGATCCCGCTCAAGAGACTCCACTGTTCAATACGTTTATCTTATCTGGTAAGCGTGCAGTCGCCATAAAACTAGGATTCTGCTAATAACCTGTCAGATCCGTTTGAAGAGATTGAGCAACGATATCATGACTTGGTTGCGATAGATTCCCAAGGACACATCACAGGGAAGGTGATGGACTTTTGTGAGTCCCTTCCAATGTTATTTAATACCTGGACACTTGACTGACTGATTCGTCTAGTTCAATGGGAGCGTAATGAGATGTGCAGCATGTCCAAAGCCTCTGAAATCTCGAAAAACGTCTGGCTAGGCCCAAGTCCGGATATACTCATGTCTTCAGATGATCAAGACCAAGCACATGTACCTCACTTTGACTTGACAGTCGAAGCAATTGATCTTGCCCCGATCCCTGGTCCTCGGTACTTGGAAAAAGTGCGCAAGAATCTCGAGGAAGAAGAATGGGCCGAAGGCATGCCGATGCAATTTCCTTCTTCAGGGAGTATTGTGCCGCAGCTTGAAGCGAATCGAGACCAGGAGGATTTCGTGAATACTGTCCGTTGGCTATACGACCTCGCCAACCCGGAGGACAATGGATCAGATATCGAGGAGCTGGATGATATCCCAATGGAAGACTCGACCTCATATAAGATCTTGATTCACTGTGCCGATGGCTACACAGAAAGCTCACTGCTAGCGGTCGCGTACTTTATGTTCGCCGAAGGTCTACCGCTAGATAGAGCATGGATCAAACTTCACCGTGAAAAGGGACGCAATTTCTTTGCATATCCTTCCGATGTGGTTTTCCTGCGTAGCATCCAGCAACAACTTCTTGAACAGAGTCCTGCTGCCTCTAGTCTGAACTTGGATGTTTATTGTGAGCCGGCATGGCTTCGGAAAATGGACGGTTCATTGCCCAGTCGCATACTTCCTTATATGTATTTGGGCAACTTGGCGCATGCAAACAACCCGGAACTCTTGCGAGAATTGGGAATCAAGCGGGTGCTGAGCATTGGGGAGCCCGTCTCTTGGTCTGAAAAAGAAATTGAAAGCTGGGGGGAAGACAATTTAATGTTTATCGGCCAGGTACAGGATAATGGGATAGATCCGTTGACGCAGGAGTTTGAAAATTGTTTGTCATTCATTGGTAAGTTCACCATCCACATCATGGCTGAAGGTGTTAGCGACTAACTTGATCTCGTACAGAACAAGGAAAGGCCGATAGATCTGCTACCCTGGTGCATTGTCGCGTTGGCGTTTCGAGATCTGCTACTATCTGCATAGCCGAAGTCATGGCGTCGTTGGGCTTATCTTTTCCTCGAGCATAGTGAGTTACCACCGCACCCTTAGACGGGGGAATAACGCTAACGGAATAAAAAAACAGCTGTTTCGTCCGAGCAAGAAGACTAAACGTGATTATCCAACCTCATCTCCGATTTGTGTACGCACTCACCTTTCCTCCTTTCTTTGACCTGCCACTAATATACTAAATAGTTATGAACTCCTGAAATGGGACGAACAGCAACAACAAAAGCGACGAGAACCACTCAGACGAGAACTGGAATGGGCAAGCGTCGCTCGCGAGATTGCTTTAATGAATAAGCCGTATTCTCGACAGCAATGATTCTGAATGACGAGATGACTGAATTGAGTTGTGGGACTTGATCTTGATGAGTTATGAACGAAGATATACGAAAATTCCAAATCGAAGACTCCTAAAGGAATGGCGAAATACTTTTATACACGATGAAATGACTATATGACGAAAATCCCGGAAATACGTCGAATTGCAGCAATGGATACGAATATGAATATGGAATGGTATGGTATGGTATGGTAACATGGGTATGGACAGGAACAGGAGCGATCAAATCTGGAATCATGCGGAGTTTCTTTTTCCATGGCGTTTGATTCGTGCTATTTTCTTCTGATATGATATATTTATGGCTTGTTTTTATGATTCATTTCATGTCATGTCTTGCTCATTTTACTCTATGATGTTCTGGTTAGCAAGTTATGTATGTGCGAATTATTCTTGATGGATGGATGGATGGGATTTTACGGGAATATGTATGAATTTCAGGATTTATTCTTTATATGGCTAAAGATCTCTTTGACTTTCTTCATTTGGCTATTCCCACATCTAGATTATGCTTGTAGCAGCCTTGGAAGTTCAGAGTCGTGCTCAGTCAATGAGTCGGTAGAGTAGCTAAGTGCTGCTAAGTACATATACAGAGCAAAGACAGTCATAATAACTTAATAAGTATATATCAACACCGCTCAAAAACACGATACAATCCCTTCAAATCGGCAACTTCCACGACACCTCCGAGTAGAGCATTGGTAGCTACCATTCTCGCTCGGATAGAAGGGAAAAGAACATGTTCTAGCATTCGTATGAGTTGTGAGCGGCGGGTTGTTATGCTATCCTCTTCCCGGGTTTCTCTTCCTTGTGATTGTTCTTGACTGGTTGGGGTTGCGGTCTCGTCTTCTCCCTCCTGAGACGACGCGATCTCCGGCTTTCTGGGTTGTGAGGGCGGCGGCGGTAATTGTTCAGGCGTATAAAAAGCAGCTAGTTCTCGCAAAAATGTCCGAAAACATTCTCCTTCACTTGTCCAATTTACGTATGGACCTAGGCGTAATAAGAATCGGGGTAGTTTTGCCAACGACGGTACATAACCCCGAAGTAAGAGCGGGATTGTCAGTAATTCGCCTTCATCGGATATCTTCATGGAAAAGTATTCGTCTAACATGTCGCGGCGGTCGATGAGGGTTTGGCTCACAATTTCTGGGGCCTTTTGGAAGATTTCTTCCATTTCATCGTTTTGAGAAGATGACTGCGTTGTTCCTCCTTCAACTGTGGATGGATGGTTTGTCGTGTAGTGCTCACTTCGCTCGATTTCTGCACCGAGTTGCATCAGATCAATCAGCTTTGGCGGCGGGTCTAGTTTGATGACCCCAAAATTCCCAAAGTCAGTGAGTCCGATCTGATAGAAGAATTCATTACAGATCATTCCGTAGTCGACCAAGTATAGTTTCACTCCTGATTGAACTGCGACAATGCGTCGACGCTCGTCAACAAGGCCAACATATGTATGGGTTGAAAAGAGTTCGGTGAGCCCATTGTGCATTTCTGACCGTACAGTAGCACGGAGTCGTTTAACGGATGTAAGCCCTATGCGAAGCGGATCACGGTCAGTTGTCTCATAGTGGAGACCATCATTTGTCCTTTCTATGTCTTCGGTCTGATTTGTCGAGTCTAACTGTGTGCTAGACACTGCGGCAAGAGATGGCAGCATAGATGTGATCTTTCGCACGCGCGAATCCGTTCGAACAAGATTATTCTCATATGGTTTTTGTGATGATGTTCTGCGAGTTGCGGAATCACTCGGTGGTATATCTGACTCTTTGGGAACACCAGGCAAAAGAGTCTGAGTCATGAACGTTCTGCTCGAATCTACCTGCGCTAGACGGGTAGTGATCTCGCTGCATATCGACTCTATAATTTCATCCTCATTCAAAAAATTGACTTCCCGCTTCGTCGGATGTACATTGACGTCAACTCGATTCGGTTCGATTTCGAGATCAAGATAAATAAAAGGGTGTCCTCCTTTTGGAAGAAAAGTAGAGTATGTCTGTTCAATCGCCTTCTTAAGAGCTGAAGATTCAACTGATCGATGATTGATGAATAGCAGGATGGTCGTCCTCTTAACATGATAATTTGCGTTGGTAACCAGTCCAGACGCTTTGAATCCCAATCTCTTGGTATCCTCAATATTAAAGTCGATCAGTTCATTCGCCACAGAGCTTCCATGAATTTGACGAATTCGATCAATGGTAGATGACTTCGCAGTAGTCGCGATGCTACTGCCTGAGTCGCCGTGCTTTTTGCATGAAAATGCAACATTTGAGCAATGAACTGCGTATCGTCCGACAACATCAAGGATCTTGGCATATTCCTCACTGGATGACCTAAAAGCACGACGTCGTGTGGGAACATTATAAAAGAGATCCTCAACCTTCAATGGTTAGTCAGTTCTGATGGTTCATTAATCATTGAGCGGTAGGCTTACAGTAATTTGTGTTCCTCCACGTCCAGCCGTGGGCTTAGGCTTCGCACTCTGACTCGGTTTAGCCGGTACAAGCTTCCCATCGCTGTAATGTGCTCTCCAAGCACAACTGGAACTGGCAGTTTTGGTAGTCACCGTCAGATGAGAGATATGGCTGATACTGGCTAATGCTTCACCACGAAAGCCGTAGGTGCCAATAGCCGTCAAATCTTCAAACTCTCTCAGCTTTGAGGTAGTAAATCGTTCACATAGAATGGGTAAATCATCCACCTGTATCGTCCTATTAGCACGTATCATTTCCGGTCACGAGACAAACTCACATTGATACCATGACCGTTATCGGTTATCTGGAGAAGCTTGAGTCCTCCGTCCTTGACAAGAATCTCTATCGATGTGGACCCTGCATCGACGGAATTCTCGATAAGTTCTTTCAGAGCATGCATCGGGGCGACGATGATCTCCCCAGCAGCAATTTTATTGACCACATCAGGATCCAGGGCCTAAATCTCACGTAAGCACCTATTGCATCTGGATGCACAGAACCATATCGTGCTTACTCTGATCCGACGCTGCTCATTTGACGGGAGACCTGCATCATCAGCAGTGCGCTTGGTTCCTCGTGGTTCTGTGGTTTCGATATCCATTGTGTCGTCCATGGTAATCCACCTATAGCAGTTGTTGATGGTAGAATCTGTTTTCAGATGATGTCAATACTAGCAATCCTTATATCGACATAGGTCTATCCCGTAGTCATATCATTCAAATCACCATTATCGATAGAGAGTGTTTGTGTTGCCTCTTGATGAATGTTCAGATCGATGATTGAAGTGGAGCCGGCGGAAGCTTGAAGCTTTTAATGTGGCATCTGCGATGGATCATGAAGTGCTGCGAGTACGCTTCTGCATCAGAAAGTGCTTGAGCTACTTTCCTTGTGCTCTTGGTATTGATGTATCACCTGTGAGATACTTCAAAGATGCTCACATTTGTCAAGATCACTGCGAGAGTAATACCGGATCACGTGACTTCTGTAGATGTAGAGGGTATCAACTAATCGACGAGAACACCGACACAGATTGATACATTAGATCAACATATTAGAGAGTATATAATAGTATTGAAGAGGATTAAAATTCCATCAAAATATCGGAAAGTGAAGGAGTTGAGCCTGCTTACGTGATGTTTGCTTGGTTTGCTCAGCTCCGGCAGGGCACTGAGGCAGTCACGACCTACGTAGCTCCACAGCGGCGAGACGATATCAAGCTTCATCAAAGTCCAAACACATCTCTCCATCACACACCACACCTGCATCCCCCAATTTCGCTACTAGATCACCCTTAGATTCTACCAGACGGGACTATCGCAAGCTTGATCTGGTGTTCCATCTCCTTTTCTACTTGATTTCTCTCTTTTTGTATCATCGTTGAAGCTAGCCGCCGAGGCTCCATGGCGAAAGAAGGCCAGCGGTCAGCAGCTGCTGACAAGGGAAAAGGCAAGATCGATGATGTTCGCGAGCTGAACGGGCAGAAGAAAGATGCAAAGGATGATAAAATCTCCAAGACCGGAAAGAAGGAGGACAAGGATGATGAACTACAAGAGGGTACGGTGACAAATCAGCTGATTCTTCGACTTTTTCATTTCGCGCCCATATGTTCTTCATGCTAATCACCATGGATCTATCTACAGAGGAGCTCAGTGAAGAAGATCAGAATCTTAAGAATGAGCTTGAGATGTTGGTGGAGCGACTGAAGGTACGTGTCTACAAGCTTCAACAGCCAACGCAATTTCTAACCTCTGAATCAAATAACAGGAGCCTGATACATCCCTGTACCGTCCTGCGCTAGATGCCATCAAGAACTTTATAAAAACATCTACATCTTCGATGACAGCTGTTCCGAAGCCCTTGAAGTTCCTCCGACCGCATTATGACGAACTCACCGAAGTTTACGAGAGGTGGCAAGCCGGGTCAGACAAGGTAGGCTAGCGAACATGACTTTTAAGGATGCTTTGCTCATGAGTTGGTAGGATTCTCTGGCAGATACGTTGTCCGTTCTTGGAATGACCTACGGTGTGGAGGACAAGCTTGAGACACTCAAATATCGCCTTCTATCCAAGTCTCCCGCCGAGGATCTGGGATCTTGGGGCCACGAATACGTTCGACACCTTGCGCTGGAGATTGGGCAAGAATATCAGAACCGATTATCTGAAGACAAAGAATTCAGCGATCTTACCGAACTTGCTCTATCTCTCGTCCCTTACTTCCTTTCACACAACGCCGAAGCCGACGCCGTCGATTTACTCAGCGAGCTCGAGATGATCGAGGAGATCTCCAAGTTTGTGGATGAAAACACATATCAAAGAGTCTGCCTTTACATGGTCAGCATGGTCAACCTGCTCACATATCCGGAAGACCATCAATTCCTGCACACAGCGCACGAGATCTATGTCCGATACAACAAGTTGACACAAGCGATCGTCATCGCCATCCGTCTCAACGACGTTGATCTTATCAAGAGCGACTTTGCTGCGACGGATGATAAAGCACTGAAAAAACAGATGGCCTTCTTAGTTGCTCGACAGCAGATATGGCTCGATCTTCCTGGAGACGACGAGGAAGATCAAGAGTTGGCAGAATGTCTTAACAACACCCAAATCCCTACGCACTTCAAGGCACTGGCAAAAGAGTTGAATATTCTAGATCCCAAGATGCCGGAAGATATATACAAAACCCACTTGGAAAGCAGCAGAGGTGCAGGTTTGACGAATGTTGATTCCGCTCGGCACAACTTGGCCAGCGCATTCGTGAATGCGTTCGCCAATGCTGGGTATGGAAGTGACAAGATGATGTTGGTTGAGGGTGATAAAGGACCTTGGGTGTGGAAGACGAAGGATGATGGAATGCTATCAACTACAGCTTCGCTTGGTATGCTCCTACACAGAGATGTGGAAGGCGGTCTGGACAAAATCGACAAATTCACATATGCCCAGGAGGACCAAATTAAGGCCGGTGCTTTACTTGCCATTGGTATTCTCAACTCTGGGGTCCGTCTTGACTCGGATCCTGCAATGGCCCTTCTCAGTGACCCTGACAACATTGAAAACAAGAGCATTCCTATGCGCGTAGCGTCTATCATGGGTCTTGGTCTGTCTTATGCCGGTTCCAACAAAGAAGAGCTTTTGGATGTCCTCCTTCCGATCGTGGAAGATACTTCTTTAGACATGCAACTCTCAGCCATGGCTGCCGTTGCTCTTGGTCTGATCTTTGTTGGCTCGTCGAACCATCAAGTCTCAGAAGCCATTGCCTACACGTTGATGGATGAAGAACGACAGAAACAACTCAAGGACAAATGGACCAGGTTTATGGCCTTGGGATTGGCTTTGCTCTACTTTGGACGACAGGAAGAGGTTGATGTTATCCTAGATATTCTCAAGGCTGTTGACCATCCCATGGCTAAACCCACAGCTGTACTGGCTTCCGTCTGTGCGTGGGCTGGTACGGGTACTGTCTTGAAGATTCAGGAACTCCTTCATACATGCAATGAGGTCATCGAAGACAAAGAAGAAAACAAGGGGGATGAGCTCGTTCAATCGTATGCTGTTCTCGGTCTGTCTCTGATTGCCATGGGAGAGGATGTTGGGCAAGACATGATTCTGCGACAATTCGGACATTTAATGCATTATGGTGCAAGCAACATCCGCAAGGCTGTACCACTTGCAATGGGACTTATCAGTCCCAGCAATCCGCAGATGAAGGTTTACGATACCTTGTCACGATACAGCCACGACAACGACAACGATGTCGCTATCAATGCCATCTTCGCCATGGGTTTGACCGGCGCCGGTACTAATAATGCTCGTCTGGCACAACTGTTGCGACAGCTTGCTAGCTACTACCACCGTGATCAGAACTCTCTATTCATGGTCCGAATTGCCCAGGGTCTATTGCATATGGGCAAGGGTACGCTCTCAGTCAACCCATTCCACACAGATCGCCAAGTGCTTTCTAGAGTAGCTGCTGCAGGTCTTATTACTGTCTTGATTGCGATGATCGATGCAAAGCAGTTTATCCTCGCTGAACACCACTACCTTCTCTATTTCCTCATCACAGCTATGCATCCCCGCTTCCTCATTACTCTTGACGAAGACTTGCAGCCTCTCACTGTGAATGTGCGTGTTGGTCAGGCTGTAGACGTTGTCGGCCAAGCCGGTCGGCCGAAGACCATCACCGGATGGCAAACACAGAGCACACCCGTACTTCTCAGCTATGGTGAGAGGGCGGAGCTCGAAGATGAACAGTATATTCCTCTCAGTAGCACACTTGAAGGACTAGTGATCTTACGCAAGGTAGGTACTATTTCTGGTCATTAATTACAAGCACATGGCTAACCACGCGACAGAATCCTGAATGGGAAAGCTCGACCTAATAATGTGCCCTCTTACTTTTTTGGGTTGGAATTTGGAATCACTGTACACGGTCAATATGGCCTTGATGCGCCTAGCGTGAGGAAAGGTCAAGAACATCATGTTAAAATAGATGCTTCTCGGCCCGCGCGGGCTTAATACTGTGAGATATCTGCAATTAAATAGAGTCAGTTCACGTCTATACAGAGCAAAGTAGTGCTTGTCCAGACTTCTTACTGTAGCCATGTGTCCCAAATATGAGGACGCCTGATCGGGTAGGAAACTAGGGCTTAGGGCTGCGAACTTTTTTTTAATTGCGGGGAGCGTCATGACGGCCCAACTTTTCTCAAGAAACCAAGGTCCTTATCTCTTGTGATATTCTTTTTTTTCAGCTTCATAATTTGTGACAAGCTTTAATTGCCAACAAGTCACCATGAAGCTCGACGCAAAAGCAATGCGGTATTTCACCGCAGAGGACTTCCGAGTCCTTGCTGCTGTACGTTCTTACCTCTGCTTCGTCTTTTACTGATTTGTCGCAAATTGAATTTGGTTTGACGGTTTTAACAAGGCATGACGAATAGGTCGAGGCAGGTAGTCGCAATCACGAAGTTGTTCCTACACCGTTGATAGTCCAGTTGTCTGGTCTTCGAGGCGGCAGTGGTGTTCACAGAAGTATCTCGAATTTAGCAAAGACCAATCTCATTGCGAAGGTGAAAAATGCCAAATGTATGTTTTGCCATTAGTTTAGAAAGAAACACTTACTGATTCGTTTGGGCAGACGATGGATACCGATTAACGTACGGTGGTCTCGATTACCTAGCGCTCAACACCCACCAAAAGCAAAAGAGTATATACTCCGTCGGAAACCAAGTCGGAGTCGGAAAGGAATCAGATATCATTGTCGTCGCTGCTTCCGATGGATCGCAACGCATCCTCAAAATCCACCGTCTCGGTCGCATATCCTTTCGAACCGTCAAGACGAATCGTGATTATCTTCGCAATCGCAGCACAGGATCATGGATGTACATGTCGCGACTAGCAGCTATAAAAGAGTTTACATTCATGAAAGCTCTGAGAGAGAATGGGTTTCCGGTCCCAGAACCAATTGCGCAAAATAGACATACTATTGTCATGAGTTTAATCGACGCTTTCCCCTTACGACAGATAGCCAAGGTTGGAAATCCGGCTGTTCTTTACGCGGAGCTGATGGCTATGATAATGAAACTTGCGCGTTACGGATTGATCCATGGTGATTTCAACGAGTTCAATATTTTGATCAAAGAGGAGACGATTACCAATGAAAAGGGGAAGGCTGCAGAAAACGCGGAGTCCAGTGATGAGGACATTCGGCTGGTTCCGATACTTATTGACTTTCCGCAAATGGTTTCTGTCGACCATGTCAATGCAGAAATGTATTTCGATCGCGACGTGAATTGCATAAAGAGATATTTCAAGCGTCGGTATGGATTTACGAGTGATGATCCTGGCCCGTTCTTTGTAGATGCGAAGAAACAACTACGGAAGAATCCGGGTAAGAGATTGGATGTTGAAGTTGAAGCGTCTGGGTTTTCGAGGAAGATGGCTCGCGAGTTGGAGAAGTACATGAAGGATGTGGGGGTTGATGGTGATGCTGGCAGCGCCGAACGCAGTGATTTAGACGATGACAACGAGAATGATGATTATGACGAGGATGAGGACGATGAAGAGGAGGAAGACGAAGGTGAGGGAGACGAGGCGCAAGGAGAGGAACAGAGTTTTGGCGACAGCAAAGATCAACACGCAGACTCGATTGATCGTGATATAGAGTCAAGTTCTCAAAGGATAAACGGTCTCAAGGTATCCGATTCTGGTTGATTGAGAGCTCGATATTAGTCTAGACAAAGTCTGTTAATACCCTTGAATATGGAACTGGTATTCGCTTTAATCATTCTACTTACACATTCATGATTGCAATTGGCTATAACTCACAGATATTAGATAATAATACATTATGTGTATTATTGTTATTATAAGATGACCGTAAAGTTAGTAGAAGAATCTGGCTAAGATGAGTTAATATCAAGCTGGTAAAATATTTACGGCACGCGATGCGGCCAAAAGTGCAATTTTATCGAGATTCCGGACCCGACAAATCTTCAATCTAATCTGCTAAATAATTCAGAGTACATGCAACCACCCACCAACCACGCTAATTAAAGGAAGCCAATTGCTTGGAATTGTCTGTTTCTATCGAGCCGCATACAATTGACAACAAGATGACAAGAGTGCGAAGACTCGCCAAAAAACCCATCTTCCTGTATGTTCTTGAACAAGACATCCTTAACCATACGCTCAATCAGAATCACACAAAATACCCCCCAACAACGAATCAATCAGACAGTTAATTGAAATATACTCACCACAGACCCGAGTTCGTCGTAACTCTCGTTCGCACCCCTTTCCTCCCACCACGATATGCCACATTCTACGTCCCCCTCGAATTCAACAAGCTCGACATGCGCGAGTACATGAAACAAGTATACAATGTCGATATAATAAGCATACGAAGCTTCGTGGAGCAACAAAAAGTCACACGAGAATTCCGCGACGGTAGACCTGGGTATGGACCTATACGACGACCAAAGTCGAAGAAGAAGATGACTATTGAAATGACGGAGCCTTTTGTGTGGCCTGAGGTTCCTAAGGATTTATCTCCGTATGATCCTCCATATTTTTCTCTCTCTATATATTTATATACTAATGTCATTGTTTTTATAGCTGGCAACCAGATCAATTCTACCGCCATCGCGAATACAGCCAAGAATTTCAAGAATCCGGCCAACCATCCGCGAGCGCAAAACCCCTCAAAGGCGAATCCGATGCATTCGCAGAACAAGCCAAGGAACTCCTGGAAGGCAAAACAGCTTGGAAACCGACATGGCAGGCACTTGGGTTACGATATGATCGGCCGGCGTTGGCGAAATTGTCTGAAAAGACGACGCTGGAAGCGAAGGTATCGCAGCTGAAAACGACAAAGGAAGGGCAGGAAGCTCCTGTTCCGGATGTGAAAGTAGAAGAGTCTTCTCAATCGGTGGAGAGTACACCCAAAGATAAAACTTCTTAGGGGTTGTTGGTGATTGGACTGTCTTGGCAGTGATACCTTGCTTTCGCTGTTGAAATGTACTGCTTTGGCAAACATGTACAATATCGCATTTCATTTCTTTTCACAGTTTAAGAATTTCTGTAGTATATTATAACTTTGAAGGTTAGGGACTCAAACTTGTTTGCTTGCTTAAAATACAAAACCAAATATACATGAAGAAAACGATAATTTTATACTGAACTAAGAGACTTTGATTTCGGAAATGGGGAAAGTCTCTTGACATATATGAGGTACCGTATACACCGAGATAATGAGTGACGCTAATTGAAGTAATCAAGATGATCTGAAAACGGGCAAGAGATTATAGATGGCTCTCAAACATGTTAAGTTGCTGTCCTGGGAAATGAGCTTCCGGCCAAACGACACGGAGAGCTTCCCAAATGTGCCTATTAAGGTATAGATATTAGCAATTTGTCAATATATGACGGAAAGGAGGGACTTACTTGACATAAACAATCTCAAGACCGTCTTGAACCTCTTGCGGCACGTCTTTGACGTCCTTACGATTAGCGTACGGCAGCAATACCATTTTCACTCCTGCACGCATCGCACCAATGAGTTTCTCTTTGATACCGCCAACTGGCATCACTCGGCCACGAAGAGACATCTCTCCAGTCATCGCAATCTGGGGTGATACAGATTTCCCCGAGAAGAGGGAGATGAGGGCAATAGTATGAGCCAAACCGGCAGATGGGCCATCTTTAGGAATAGCGCCCGAGGGACAATGAACATGAAGACTCCTGTTTTTCATGATGTCCTCGTTGGGATCGTGTGAAAGACCCAAGTCGAATGAGTGGGCTTTGACCCAAGTCAAGGCTACCTCGACAGATTCCTTAAGCACATCTCCCAGTTTTCCGGTGAGTTGCACGCGCCCGTTTCCAGGCATGTCTGCAACTTCGATGAAGAGGATACTGCCTTGGCCACCGGTTGAGTATGCTACAAGACCGGTAACGATACCTGGTCGGGAGGTGGTCTCGGCAATCTCCTCATCGAAACGTTCAATTCCGAGAATGTCTTCGAGATCCTCCATAGTAACATTCGGATTGTAGGAACCCATGCTGTTCGTCTCCTTTGCGTCGGCATACTGTACAGCCTTGTAACGACATACCGAACCTATTTCGCGTTCCAAGTTGCGCACACCGGACTCACGGGTATACCCAGTGATGATCTTCTCGAGAACCTCATCTGACAGGGATACCTCATTGTCAGATAGACCGTTGATCCTGATTTGCTTGAGAAGAAGATGTCGTCGAGCAATATGTCGTTTCTCTACCGTGGTATAACCGGAAAGTGTAATAGTCTCCATGCGATCGAGCAAAGGCGCCGGAATGGTATCCAATGAGTTCGCCGTGGCGATAAAAAGTACTTTACTCAAGTCGATAGGAATATTGATATAATGGTCTGAGAAGCTGTGGTTTTGCTCCGGGTCCAAGACTTCAAGCATCGCAGCCGATGGGTCACCGTGGAAATTCGATCCACCAACTTTATCAATCTCGTCAAGGAGGAACACAGGATTTGCGACCCCAACCTTCTTCAAGCCGTTGACGATCAAACCAGGCATAGCTGCAACATATGTGCGACGATGACCCCTAATTTCAGCTTCATCTCGCACACCACCAAGTGATATGCGATGGAACTTGCGTCCTAGAGAAGTGGCCACTGATTTGGCCAAGCTAGTTTTACCAGTTCCCGGAGGTCCAACCAGTAGCAGGATAGGTGATTTATCGACTGTGCGCTTCGACTTCAAAAGATGGAGCTTGGTTTCTAGACCTTCTCTTTCGGGCTGAGAGAGGGAAGTACTTGCTTCGACGTCATTTTCTTTCTCGTTGTCCTTTTCAGAAGCACTAAGCTGTTCTGAAACCTGAGCGATCTGACGCTCAATATCGGAGTTGACGGATTGCTTCAATTTGAGAACAGCAAGATATTCTAGCAAGCGCTTCTTTATCTTCTCCAGCCCGTAGTGATCATCATCAAGCTGTTTTCTAGCTCGTTGCAAAGTATCACCTCCGAGCTGATCTTCCGTTGTCTTCAACCAAGGAATCTCCGCTATATTCTCGAGATAGTTTCGGCAAACTCCATACTCTGCATTGACAGGGTTCATTTTCCGTAGTCGTTTGAGTTCCCGATCGGCGACTTTGCGAGCTTCCAGACTCAATTGTGCTTCATTCAGACGTTGTTCAAGTTCATCAACTTCATTTGGCTCCTTTGCGTCTTCATTTCCACCATTTCCACCATTGGGTGAGAATCCATTAAGGCCAGCCATAGCGCGGCGGGCCAGTCTCGGATCAAGTTGCGAGATGTCAATTGGAGAATTAGATGGGATGCTTGTGGTTGTGATTGAAGTTATCTTAACGTTTTTCTTAATTCCTTGCACTTGCCTATTGAGTAGTTCGATAACTCTCTGCAACCGATCCTTGACGTCAAATGCTGCTAAGACCCGCAGCTTCTCTTCCAGACTCGACTCAACGATATCGGCCATAAAATCCGCCAAGCTCCCTGCTTGGGCATATTCCCTTCGAGATATGAAGAGTTCAAATCGACGGGCGACGGTGGGAGATATACTGGTAGGGTTCGATGGGAAGAGCGATGCGAGTCTCAACAGCGTCAGAAGTTCGCGGGCTAGTTGTTTGAGATGTTGAAAAGATTCGATCATCTCAGTATCCTCAGGATTAGGAGCTACATAACATCAGTATATTAGGACAGAGTCTTATAATTGAAATCAAGTGGTACTCACCAATCTCAGCATGTAGAAGTACCTCGGCTTCAAAGAACGGTCGTTCTTTGAGGACTTTGACAACAGACAGTCGTCTTATACCCTCAACGAGTAGATATGGTTCAGAATAGACACGACGTTGAACTCCAACAACCTTTGCAAGTACACCATATTTAAAAAGATCTTCCTTACGTGCCTGGCCGGCATCGACGCTCTCCTCTTCCTGATTCTCCTGTTCCGATCCGTTCTCTATAAGCTGCAAGCCATCCTTGCTTAGCCGAGGGGAAGCAAGCGGAACACAGGCGACGGTTATGGCGCTATTGTCTCGCCTATTGCGATTCACAAGAGATGTCAGGAGGTTGGCGACGTCGGGACGGTTATTCAGCGAGATGCGCAGAGTGACGCCCGGCAAGAGAACGGTATCTTTGGCCAGGGGCACGAGTGGTACTTTGGTCGTTTTGCCGTTGGTCGATCCCATCTTGGGAAGGTAGAGTATATAGAATCACCGACGGATCGGGTAATGGATGAGATAGGACGATGCTGGTATAGAAAAAGTGATAATATGAATCTGGGGAAGCACATGGAGTGATGGAGTCATGGAGGGTGCTGGAAGGAACATGGAGCCGAAGCCGAGGCTAGCTTGGCGACGTCACTTTATCTTATCGGCCGACGGATCGCCTGAAAGTGGCCTGAAAAATATGGTACTGCGGGACATTGCAAGCTGATCCCGTTCACGGGATCAAGAATCTTCTTTGAACACCACCATCTATTTTTGAGATTGGATTTTCTTGTCAATACATTGCCCTTTGGATTGCTTCTTCTCTTTGACCCTACACCTGCTAAGTATAAGTCCGGGATTTGCTCAGATCATCACACCATGTCGACTGCCCCGCTTGCCTCAGAGAGGAAGACGTTCAACATCGGTACTCGCAAGTCAAAGCTTGCGCTCGCGCAAACCTATATGGTTGTGGATGCATTGAAGAAAGAGTATCCTCAATATGAATTCAATATCAAGTCAAAGGATACCGCCGGCGATCGCGACAAAATCACCGCCTTCAAAGACATGCAGACGAAGAATTTGTGGACGGAAGAGTTGGAAGAATTACTGATTGGCGGGCAACTAGATTTTATTGTTCATTCTCTCAAGGGTATGCGATCAATTACTTCATGGCCTTCTAGAGTAACATGGTATTAACATATAACTGTATTTTAGATGTCCCTACCTTACTACCCCCTACTTGTGCCCTAGGAGGCGTTCTTCCTCGTGAAGATCCAAGAGATGTGCTTATAGTCAAGCCCGGTCTTCCGTATACCTCTCTCGCGGAAATTCCTGCCGGCTCTGTCGTGGGGACCTCATCAATCCGCCGCACGGCTCAATTGGCCATGAAATTCCCACATTTGAAAGTTCAAAGCCTCCGCGGTAACATTGACACGCGATTGGCGAAACTAGACGGAGAAGACAGCCCGTACACATGCATTATCCTAGCAGCGGCGGGATTATTACGGACTGGAATGGGACATAGAATCACGCAATATCTTGACTCGAGGAGTGGCAGTCTCTTATATGCCGTGGGCCAAGGTGCGATCGGCATTGAGGTCCGTTCTGATGATGGGCTCGTTCTGGAAATGCTCAACAAGGTCGGGGATCAGAAGACGTTCAAGGAAGTTCTAGCTGAGCGCAGTTTGCTTAGAACAATAGAAGGCGGATGTAGTGCGCCACTTGGTGTAGAATCAGAGTGGATCAACGAGGTGGAAGGCACGACAAAGCTGCATGTCCGATCCATCATTGTTAGTGTGGATGGTAAACGCCATTCTACTGCTGAATTGGAGAAAGTCATTGAGAGCGCCGCGGCTGCCGAGACATTTGGATTGGAGTTGGCTCAGGAGCTAATTGCGAATGGCGCTGGACCAATTCTTGAGGAAATTAAGCAAAACAAGGTTACTTCATGATTAGACAAGACAGTGTTGATTAGATACAGCTCAGATGGCATCTATAAGGAGACGCTGGGCATCTCCTGAATGCATACATGTGTTTTAGAAGTCAACAGGACAAAAGCTGGTATAAAGTCCCAATGTAAATAATTGGCGAGATTTATACTCACACTTGCATTCAAATTGTCCCTCGCCGGCAAGAGACTAGAGACATCAACCTCTGTTTAAGGTATTTCCTGATCCTCTCGGGTTATCTTCTTTAAACTCGTCCCAAGCACGCGCTTTCATCGTCTCTTCATCAGCCTTATCCAAATCATCCTCGTCAGGTTCCGGAACCTCGTTGCTGGTTCCTCCTTCAAGGATACCACCACGCCTTCGTTCCTCTTCCAAGTATTCATCAATAGTCATAGTAGGCAGATTATGTCCTGGTCTAAAGACGCCTTGCTGGAGCTCGGTACGCTTATTCGTGAGCGTAAATGGTTGTAGAGGTTTTCCGGATTTGCTCAGGAGGGGACCTCCTCGGCCACCCTGGAGAAGTTGGCTGAGGGGACCGTCTAGCCTTTCGGAATAATTGTTTTTGTCCGGCGTATTCCTACTCCTTGGATCATCCTGCGGAGCTGAAACGGGAGGCGCATGTCGCATTTGTGATAGCATTTCTAATTCCTGAGCAATCATATCGAGAGATTGGAAAGTCTGATGTGTGTAGAGATTTATTTCGGCCAGGTATAATTTCCTCGTCGCTTCATCATCACTCTGGAGTCGATTTTCATTCTGCCTGAAATACTTATTGCACAGTCAAGTCAGTACAAGCGCAGTCTACTCCTGGATAATTGTGACATATACCTCTAACTTCTGTTTGAGCTCCTTTTCCTCCCGAAACCGGCCAACTTTAACTTCACGTCTGTTGGCGGCATCGTTCTTTAAAGCGAGTGAAAATCGAGCTGGGTTCTCTGTGTATTGTTCAAACAGTTTTTTATCGCGGTCCGATAACAGTCCATAATCATCAAGCCGTGTTAGGAACTTTTCATATTCTCCCAGGGCGCGACGCAGTACGGCTTCGCGGTCGGTCGATGAGGCACGCTGGACGACTTCAGCTAGGAGGTGATCGACGGTTAAGAACCTTGAATGGTTGTCAGCACAATCCTCTAGGAATATCAAAGAACGTCGTACTGCAAATTCGCGGTTGACACATCCTCTAAACCCTCGTTTGAGCTGAACAGCGAGAGCTGGCTGATCAACCTCTGGCATTCTTGTAGCTTGTTGATAGTGTCCGACACCTGCTGACGATAAGCATCGCTGTTTGGTTCTGCGCTGGTCTCTAATGAGAGTTTCTGTTCCTTGGCCGCCTGAAACAGCTCTTTCAGACTCTGGGGTTGATCTGTCATAATGAAGACTAAATACTGCAAGAAAGACGATACCAACTATTGATTTTTGCGATCCCTAGCTCGAGCTAAAGGTGATCGATCGCTGGAGGGGCTGATCCCCATATCTGGGTTATGTAAGCATTCTACTGCTCTTGATTAGCTGCTGGAGCTCGTGCGGTTTGGATCCGCTTTATGCTGCAGATCATTCGGCTTCTTTTCCGTCCTCTTTGACGTCCTGTTGCTCGTTTTTGTTTACGCATTGGATACTTAGGCTGATATTCGCTGGACTCAGTGGGTTAATGACAAAAACTACCATCTCATACGCACTCTCCAGGAAGCAAGATGATACGTAAACGTTCTGATCCGGTAGGACAAGTTCCGCCTATATATAGATAATATAGTTTCTCAGGTACCGAGACAAGGGTTCATGGATTTATCGTTGAGCTGAGAGGCACGTGCATACATAGTATGATTTATCACCGCCTAGCAAACATCAAGATTCCCACTTCTTCTGTTATATAGCTAAGAGACGAGCCCCTTGACCTTCTGGGCCCCCTTCTGAGGTCATCCCTTCTCTTTTAGGCACTGCGAAAGGAGCACAAAAGCTAGCCATATGGCTAGCAGAGACCCGCTTCTTCGAGGATATCTGCCCTTGCCGACCCCTCCTTAGCACCTAGCTAAAACAGCCATATTTTTCCTTTATATTTTTCTTTTCTTTTATTCTCTTCTCTTTTCTTCCTCTCTTTTTGTAAAATTTACTGTTCAATTGGGTTGGGTGGTGGTGGTGGAATAATGGGTCGCGGAGCGTAGGAGGACCATTGCAGCTGGCAAACACCCAAAGCCTGCTGAATAGGGGACCTTCCTGTATGACCACTGCAGCTATGGAAATGCGCCAAAGGGTCTCTTATCTGTATATATAAATCTGAGATGGATCTTTGAAGCCCGGGGTTTACCCCTCAGCGGCCTTTGTCCCAATAGGGAACGGTGGGAAGCGTGCGAGTCACGAACCACGGCCGTTAAATAGAAACACACACACACACACACACACACACAATCAAGATTCCCACTTCAAGCCATCAATAAGGAAAGCAAGACTGGCAATTTCTTTGACACGGGGCAACCTGACACAGCTACAAAGCAATGAGTTCGACGGTAATTCCCTCCAAAATGTATGCACGACAAGGAACCCAAACGGTCTTGACTCCTGTCATTATTGTCCCGTTCTTGTCCGATCAAGATGGCCCAGACGCAAACACTTCTTCGCACCGCATCAGTGTGCGGTGTGTTCCCTTCTGTCCATAGCTTACTTAAACTTGAATATCAGCTTCGTCAACCCACGAAGCTTGACTCATTAGTTTCACCTGAGCATACTCTCAGATCACCCGTCTACTCAGTTCATCTCAGTATCAGTCCACGATGGAGGCCCCTATCCTGGAAGAGGAGCATTTCTCGGCGAGTGAGAGCGAAAATGAAGAGGCAGCACCCCCCACCGCACAATCAACTCGTCAAGAGCAAAAGGCATTTTTCAAAGACCTGTCAGCAGTATCCCTATGGCTTGGACTTTACAATCATCTCTGACCTCCTTAACAGACTATCTCAAGCTGCAAAGGACTTAGACAGTCAAGAACTGAATCGCTCCAGCACGGCCGAAAATGCAGGGTCCACTCGTTACCTGCTTACGACACAAGACTTCGCCGCTACGATTGAGGATCCGCGTGATTACCAGATTGAACTCTATGAAAGAGCAAAACATGAAAATACTATCGCGGTGCTAGCTACAGGTACAGAATCTCCTGATTAGTGATGTGATAGGTGGATGATATGCTAACTGTATTCTAGGATCTGGCAAAACCCTAATAGCCATACTTCTCCTGAAACATATTATTCAAAATGAATTAATTGATCGTGGACGAGGTCAAAGGCATCGCATATCTTTCTTCTTGGTATGAAAGCATGTTTCACAATAGAAGATGGCCCTCAACTAATATGGATGACAGGTTGACAGCGTAACCCTCGTGTTTCAACAGACAGCGGTCCTTAAGAACAATCTCGATCAACCGGTGGCTTCGATATACGGGGACATGGGTTTGGACCTTTGGAACAAAGATGTCTGGACGGGCTACTTCACGACGAACATGGTTATTGTGTGTACGGCAGACATCCTCACCCAATGTCTTCTGCACTCATATATCACTATGGAAGACATAAATCTGCTGATCTTCGATGAGGCACATCACGCCAAGAAAGAACATGCCTATGCTCGGTAAGTCAGCTCGGATGACATAACAGATTTGTTTCTTACCAACTGCTGCTAGGATCATGAAGGATGGCTACCTCAAAGCAAACCCAGCGAGTCGTCCTCGCATATTTGGTATGACTGCATCTCCGCTGGATGCTAAACGTGATCCGGTAAAAGCTGCTCAGTAAGTCAATCTACCAAGCATAGAATCTCGGAAGAAAAAGAAAGTCTAACAAGAAGAAAGTGAGCTGGAGAGTCTCTTGCATAGTAAGATCGCTACAGCATCGAATCTGAATATTCTGCGGCAAGTTGTTGGCCGACCTGAAGAGGAGCAATGGAAGTATGCAGCGCTCAAAAAGCCCTTCAAGACTGCCCTTTATCAGACCCTGGAGAATCAATATGGGGACATGGAATGTCTTAAATCCATATTTGCCTTCTCACTCCAAGCCAGTTCTTATTTGGGTCCATGGTGCGCAGACCGAGTGTGGGCAGACGCTCTATCAGAGAAACTGCTGCCGAGGTTCCATGGGAAAATTACTTCCGCATGCAAGCGACTGGGTGTCGAGACTTCAGCGCAGAAGGCTGAGAGCGAGATATCGAGACTCAAGCAGATGTCTGAAATGATAGCAAACTATGAGAGACCAAGTGGATTGGACATTCTGGAGCAACTAAGCGACAAAGTTCAGGTCCTTTATCGGCATCTGGCCAGAAGGTTCGAAGAAGCCCCAAACACGAAATGCATAGTCTTTACGAAGCAAAGAAATACTGCGAAATTGCTTGAAGCTGTTTTCAGGGAGCTGTCTGTTCCGAATATGCGCCCAGGGGTTCTAGTTGGAATCCGGCCGGGAGATATAAGCGGGATGAACTCCACTTACCACCAGCAATTTAAAGCAACAATCGAGTTTAGAAAAGGGGAACTTAATTGCATAGTAAGTACTGATATTCTTCTTTTGCCCGGAGTGAATGTCTAGTACTGACATGTTGCCAAGTTCGCAACTTCGGTTGCAGAAGAGGGTCTTGATATCCCGGATTGCAATCTTGTTGTCAGGTATGTCTTATAATTGGGGAAAAGAAGAACAGATATCTTACGCCTAGTAGATTTGACCTCTACGACACTCTTATTCAGTACATCCAGAGCCGTGGCAGAGCGAGGAGTCTTAATTCGATAGTAAGTGGATATTTAGCTCCCTTTTCTTTGGAGAGACGAACAAGACACACACTCATCACTGACACCACACCAAATCCAGTATGCGCACATGGTAGAGATTGACAACATGGAGCATGAAACCAGGCTTGATGAAGTCCATCAGGCAGAGGTAAACTTAACATCCAAAAGCCAAAGTTCTCTTTCACTGACATCGTGAGTAGGAGGTTATGCGCCGCTTTTGCGAGGCCCTTCCAGAAGATAGACTCCTTGGCGATAAGTCTGACTCTTTGAATGCCATTTTGGAGAGAGATAGCAGAAAAAGACAATACAAGATTGAAAGCACAGGAGCTACCTTGACCTACCATTCAGCTATGACGGTTCTTGCACGCTATGCAAGCTCTCTGGTTAGTTTTCACCAGCTGGGGTTTTGTTGAAGGAGTTGATATTGATTCGAATCACAGCAATACGAGATTAATGAGGCCCATTCCTCCTTGCATCCCTGTTATGTCACTACCCAAACTAAAGGCCTGTACGAGTGTGAGGTGATATTGCCTGAGGCTTCCCCAATCAGAGGCCTCATAGGCAAACCAGAGCCTCGAAAGTCGCTTGCCAAACAATCAGCAGCATTTGAAACGTGTATTCTTCTGCGAAGGCATGGCTTGCTGAATGACCATTTTGTGTCCACTTATCAACGCAGACTTCCGGCAATGCGCAATGCAAAGCTGTCCATCACTTCCAAAAAGACGAGCCAATATTCAATGATAGTCAAGCCTGCATTCTGGAAAAAGGGCTGTGACCATGTCCCATGTGAACTCTATCTCACGGTGATCATGTTTTCTCCGGCCGAACCACTACAAAAGGAAAGACGTAACCTGGTTTTGTTGACTCGCGAGCGACTACCACAATTCCCCGAGTTCCCCATTTACCTGGACGATGACGTCGAAACAACAATAAGGACTATCTCAATGTATAAGGCGTTATCTCTTTCGGCAAGTGAGCTTGAGCTTTTGACTACTTTCACTCTTCGCATCTTCCAGGACTTGTACAATAAGGTCTACGAAATGAATCAGGAGGCCATGCCATACTGGTTGGTTCCTACGGCAAGTGGTATTGGAGAGTATGGAGAGGATGCTAATCCCTCAGAGGTTATTGATTGGGACACGCTGCAGTTTGTTATGGACAACGAACGACTTGATCGAAACTCAGCTTCTCCCGAGGACTTTGTTGGCCGTTTTGTCTATGATACTTGGAACGGAAAATATCGCTACTTTCTCACAGGGGTCAATACTTCTTTTCATCCATCAGATCCACCACCATCGTTTGTACCACATCGTCGATATATGGAAAATATCATGGAATACGGACTCAGCTTGTACAAGAACAGTCGAGTTCGTTTCCTGGCTGAATGTGATTGGAACCAACCCGTTTATGATGCCGAGCTGATACCTCTCCGTCGCAACTTGCTGGATAAAATGTCAGACGCCGAAAAGGACGTGGAGAAGAGAGTGGTGGTGTGCCTCGAGACTCAAGTCATTTCCGCTGTAAGTTGCCCTCCTTACTTATCTGATCCATGCAGACTCACAAAGTGTTAGATCCCTGCCATGGTTGCTACGAGTTGCTTGGCGTTTCCAGCAGTCATTACCAGATTCGATTCATATCTCGTTGCTCGTGAATGTACCGACACTCTTGGTCTGAAAGTACAGTTGGAGTATGCTCTAGAAGCTGTGACAAAGGACTCTGATAATACTGGAGAGCATCGACTAGAGCAAATCCACTTCCAAAGAGGGATGGGAAAAAACTATGAACGACTCGAATTTCTTGGGGACTGCTTCCTCAAGATGGCGACATCAATATCTTTATTCGTTGAGAGTCCGAACGATCAGGAGTATGACTTCCATGTTAACCGCATGACACTAATTTGCAACAGAAATTTGTTCAATACTGCGATACAGCGGAAGATATATGAACATATTCGGAGTAAAGGTTTCTCTAGGTGAGTACGGATTGGAGAGTAATGTTTCCAAGAGACCAAACTGATGTGTGATCGCGATATAGACGAAACTGGTATCCTGACGGAATGAAACTGCTTCGTGGAAAAGCGAACGAGGACCAAGGATTAACACATGCACTAGGCGAGAAAACGATTGCAGATGTTTGCGAGGCATTAATCGGAGCCTCTCTCCTGTCTGGCGGCCCCGTCAACCGCTTCGACATGGCAGTCAAAGCTGTGACCGCTTTGGTTAACAGTGATCACCACAATGTCGATAATTGGGCGGAATATTCTTCTCGTTATTCCTTGCCACCTTATCAAATCAAGGAAGCCGATGGGTTTGAGAAGGATCTTGCCAGGCAGGTTGAAATGAAACTCGGGTATTGTTTCCAGTATCCGAAATTGCTTCGGTCCGCATTTACGCATCCTTCGTATCCTTCTGCATGGTCTACAGTGCCATGCTATCAACGGCTTGAATTTTTGGGCGACTCGCTTTTGGATATGGTCTGCGTTGAGGATTTATATGAGCGTTTTCCGGATCGTGATCCCCAGTGGCTGACTGAGCACAAAGTAAGCTGCCCCTATAATGCACCTTGTGACTGAGGTTATGGTATTGACGTGCTTATAGATGGCTATGGTCTCCAACAAGTTCCTAGGTAGCTTGGCTGTCCGCCTTAGCTTGCATACCCATCTACAGTACTTCAGCAACCCGCTTCAGGCGCAGATTGCTCGAGCCGTTCAAGATTCACAGCTTGCTTATGACAGTCATCAAACCGTAGATTTTTGGCTGCACACTGACGATCCTCCCAAGGTTCGTAGCCTGATCGTTACATGAGGGCTTGTGTGGAGTGTTGCTAACTGACCGATTCAGTGTCTTTCGGATATGGTAGAAGCTTATTTAGGTGCTATTTTTGTCGACTCTGGGTTTGATTTCGGGGTGATTGAGAGCTTTTACGCCAAGCATATCAAACCTTACTTTGAAGACATGGCCCTTTACGACACCTTTGCGAATAAGCATCCGACGGTAAGTTCACAAATTGTATCAGAACTTCTTCATGGTGACAGAAGACTGACAGCACGTGGCAGACATTCCTTCACCGGAAACTTACTGACGACTTCGGCTGTATACAGTACACCTTAAGGGCAGCCGAGATCCCGTCCGTGGATGGTGCTCCGCCTGTAGTATTGGCAGCCGTGCTAGTCCACGACGTTGTTCTGGCCCAGGGTACAGCGTCGTCGGGCAGATATGCCAAGATAAAGGCCAGCGAGGTTGCGATGAAAAATCTGGAGGGTTTGAGTGTGAGTAGGTTCCGGGAGAAATATCATTGCAAATGTTCTCGTAATGTATCATCTCATGGAGCGGCCGCTCCTCCTCGACCGGAAGATATGGGATGTGCGATTTAAGTCGTTGACTTTTGGAAAAGTCAAGGAAGTCATAAGTTGATACCTGGTGCCAGTTTTGGTAGACACTGTGTTGATATCACCATCGTGTGCCTGTCAACATTCTCTGTAGCTAGAATGAGTGGAAACAATTCAAGATATCTAGTGGATATATGGGGGTCAGATTTCTTACCGACATGTCTGAGACACCATACTAAATCCAGCCGAGAAACGCCAAGGTGAAAATATCCAGAATTACATACGGGTCAAATATTGTATTATTTTACTAGCGTACTTATTTTCTGCCGCTCATAAAACCTTCTTTATGTAAGCCTAAGAGAGCTTGGATTAACTTACTTAATAACTACAGTAGTTAACTAGTGGATGTTAGGCCATCTCTGTTTCATATGAGCAACAATTTTGAATATAGCCCCAGCCCTAGGAAGTATTATACACCTTTCTTAAGTAAAGCCTGCAGTTGATACAGCGTCCTCTGCGAGTTTCTTCGCATGAGTTCAATCTCATCGATTGCGTCGGCTAAAAGGATGCCTTTAGAGACTCGAGCCTGTATCCAGTCAATGATAACCTTCCTACGGCTAAAGAAGACGCGTTCCTTATTATCTGATCTCCAGCGACATCCGTACGAGTCCTCGAGAGACTGGATAGATGGATTGCCATGAATACCAACATGCCACTCCTCCCAAAGCTCTCGCACAGTCTGTATCGTACGAGACATCCGGTAGAAAGGGGGAGATCCGGACGGCTCGTTGGGTAGATGAATGCCCGGAGGTGGTCTTGTATAGGATTAGGAGTAACTTGGAGTGATTGTACACAGTATGTGCTGTATTTGTTCGGTAGATGAGAGTAGTATTACCAGGTGTACTGGGTTTT